TTCTAATGATGGCTAATTCTGATCGTTACTAATACTCTCCAGCCACGAGTTGGTATCAAACCATGCCCCATTGGGTGGCAATAGACTTCCATGCAGTGCCATTAGATAGGATCCACACTAGGGCATGCGGAATGCCCGCTTTTATCTTTTTACTTTGGCTAATGGACTTTAAAAATTCAAGTAGATGTGGGTAAGGTGAGAATCGAACCCACGACCTCAAGAGTCTCAGTCAGTGTTCTTACCCTCTGAACTATGCAGGCACACAGAGTAATTCCGGGTTTTTCCTATTTAACTCTTCTTCCAGACAGTTGACTTTAAAATTCAACTAAAGTTGGGTAAGGTGAGGATTGAACCCACAACCTCAGGAGTCCCAATCAGTGTTCTTATCCTCTGAGCCATGTGGACACACAGGAAATTTCCAGGTTTTTCCTATTTAACTCTTCTTTCTAGACACTAGACTTTAAATTTCATCTCGAGCTGGATAAGGCAAGGATCGAACCCACGACCTCAAGAGTCTCAGTCGGTCTTCTTACCCTCTGAGCCATGTGGACACAAAGGGTAACTCCAGGTTTTTCCTATTTAACTGTCCTATCTAGACACGACTTTAAATTTTAACTAGATTTGGATAAGGCAGGGCTCGAACCCACAACCTCAGGAGTGCCAGTCAGTCTTCTTAACCTCTGAGCCATGTGGACACATAGGTTAATTCCGTTTTTTTCCTATATCACGTTCCTTTACAGACACTAAACTTTAAATTTTAGCTCAAGCTGGATGAGGCTTGATAGCACTGAAACTGCACAACCATTTAAAACAAAAAAAAAACCTGTGACTATGTGTCTCTTTATTTTAATCAGATCCAAGTCTAGTTGAAAGGAGAGTGAGAAAACAAACAGAAAAGTCCAGGTCTAGGTGAATTTTTAAGTCCAGGAGCCAAAGTACCAAGATAAAAGGGCGCGCAGCTCCTACCGAAGTGTGGATCGTATCTTGTAGCATGTGTGTTAGTCAATTGACTCCCAATGTGTGGACCCTGGTTCGATTCCCGCTAGTGACGGGGTAGTTCAAAGTAATGAAATGACGAAAATTTCCTTCTATACCGTAATCGGTATAGAATTCTGAAGAAGTGATGGTTCACTTCTAATGATGGCTAATTCTGATCGTTACTAATACTCTCCAGCCACGAGTTGGTATCAAACCATGCCCCATTGGGTGGCAATAGACTTCCATGCAGTGCCATTAGATAGGATCCACACTAGGGCATGCGGAATGCCCGCTTTTATCTTTTTACTTTGGCTAATGGACTTTAAAAATTCAAGTAGATGTGGGTAAGGTGAGAATCGAACCCACGACCTCAAGAGTCTCAGTCAGTGTTCTTACCCTCTGAACTATGCAGGCACACAGAGTAATTCCGGGTTTTTCCTATTTAACTCTTCTTCCAGACAGTTGACTTTAAAATTCAACTAAAGTTGGGTAAGGTGAGGATTGAACCCACGACCTCAAGAGTCTCAGTCAGTGTTCTTACCCTCTGAACTATGCAGGCACACAGAGTAATTCCGGGTTTTCCTATTTAACTCTTCTTCCAGACAGTTGACTTTAAAATTCAACTAAAGTTGGGTAAGGTGAGGATTGAACCCACAACCTCAGGAGTCCCAATCAGTGTTCTTATCCTCTGAGCCATGTGGACACACAGGAAATTTCCAGGTTTTTCCTATTTAACTCTTCTTTCTAGACACTAGACTTTAAATTTTAACTAGATTTGGATAAGGCAGGGCTCGAACCCACAACCTCAGGAGTGCCAGTCAGTCTTCTTAACCTCTGAGCCATGTGGACACATAGGTTAATTCCGTTTTTTTCCTATATCACGTTCCTTTACAGACACTAAACTTTAAATTTTAGCTCAAGCTGGATGAGGCTTGATAGCACTGAAACTGCACAACTATTTAAAACAAAAAAAAAAACCTGTGACTATGTGTCTCTTTATTTTAATCAGATCCAAGTCTAGTTGAAAGGAGAGTGAGAAAACAAACAGAAAAGTCCAGGTCTAGGTGAATTTTAAGTCCAGGAGCCAAAGTACCAAGATAAAAGGGCGCGCAGCTCCTACCGAAGTGTGGATCGTATCTTGTAGCATGTGTGTTAGTCAATTGACTCCCAATGTGTGGACCCTGGTTCGATTCCCGCTAGTGACGGGGTAGTTCAAAGTAATGAAATGACGAAAATTTCCTTCTATACCGTAATCGGTATAGAATTCTGAAGAAGTGATGGTTCACTTCTAATGATGGCTAATTCTGATCGTTACTAATACTCTCCAGCCACGAGTTGGTATCAAACCATGCCCCATTGGGTGGCAATAGACTTCCATGCAGTGCCATTAGATAGGATCCACACTAGGGCATGCGGAATGCCCGCTTTTATCTTTTTACTTTGGCTAATGGACTTTAAAAATTCAAGTAGATGTGGGTAAGGTGAGAATCGAACCCACGACCTCAAGAGTCTCAGTCAGTGTTCTTACCCTCTGAACTATGCAGGCACACAGAGTAATTCCGGGTTTTTCCTATTTAACTCTTCTTCCAGACAGTTGACTTTAAAATTCAACTAAAGTTGGGTAAGGTGAGGATTGAACCCACGACCTCAAGAGTCTCAGTCAGTGTTCTTACCCTCTGAACTATGCAGGCACACAGAGTAATTCCGGGTTTTCCTATTTAACTCTTCTTCCAGACAGTTGACTTTAAAATTCAACTAAAGTTGGGTAAGGTGAGGATTGAACCCACAACCTCAGGAGTCCCAATCAGTGTTCTTATCCTCTGAGCCATGTGGACACACAGGAAATTTCCAGGTTTTTCCTATTTAACTCTTCTTTCTAGACACTAGACTTTAAATTTCATCTCGAGCTGGATAAGGCAAGGATCGAACCCACGACCTCAAGAGTCTCAGTCGGTCTTCTTACCCTCTGAGCCATGTGGACACAAAGGGTAACTCCAGGTTTTTCCTATTTAACTGTCCTATCTAGACACGACTTTAAATTTTAACTAGATTTGGATAAGGCAGGGCTCGAACCACAACCTCAGGAGTGCCAGTCAGTCTTCTTAACCTCTGAGCCATGTGGACACATAGGTTAATTCGTTTTTTTCCTATATCACGTTCCTTTACAGACACTTAACTTTAAATTTTAGCTCAAGCTGGATGAGGCTTGATAGCACTGAAACTGCACAACAATTTAAAACAAAAAAAAAACCTGTGACTATGTGTCTCTTTATTTTAATCAGATCCAAGTCTAGTTGAAAGGAGAGTGAGAAAACAAACAGAAAAGTCCAGGTCTAGGTGAATTTTTAAGTCCAGGAGCCAAAGTACCAAGATAAAAGGGCGCGCAGCTCCTACCGAAGTGTGGATCGTATCTTGTAGCATGTGTGTTAGTCAATTGACTCCCAATGTGTGGACCCTGGTTCGATTCCCGCTAGTGACGGGGTAGTTCAAAGTAATGAAATGACGAAAATTTCCTTCTATACCGTAATCGGTATAGAATTCTGAAGAAGTGATGGTTCACTTCTAATGATGGCTAATTCTGATCGTTACTAATACTCTCCAGCCACGAGTTGGTATCAAACCATGCCCCATTGGGTGGCAATAGACTTCCATGCAGTGCCATTAGATAGGATCCACACTAGGGCATGCGGAATGCCCGCTTTTATCTTTTTACTTTGGCTAATGGACTTTAAAAATTCAAGTAGATGTGGGTAAGGTGAGAATCGAACCCACGACCTCAAGAGTCTCAGTCAGTGTTCTTACCCTCTGAACTATGCAGGCACACAGAGTAATTCCGGGTTTTTCCTATTTAACTCTTCTTCCAGACAGTTGACTTTAAAATTCAACTAAAGTTGGGTAAGGTGAGGATTGAACCCACAACCTCAGGAGTCCCAATCAGTGTTCTTATCCTCTGAGCCATGTGGACACACAGGAAATTTCCAGGTTTTTCCTATTTAACTCTTCTTTCTAGACACTAGACTTTAAATTTCATCTCGAGCTGGATAAGGCAAGGATCGAACCCACGACCTCAAGAGTCTCAGTCGGTCTTCTTACCCTCTGAGCCATGTGGACACAAAGGGTAACTCCAGGTTTTTCCTATTTAACTGTCCTATCTAGACACGACTTTAAATTTTAACTAGATTTGGATAAGGCAGGGCTCGAACCCACAACCTCAGGAGTGCCAGTTAGTCTTCTTAACCTCTGAGCCATGTGGACACATAGGTTAATTCCATTTTTTTCCTATATCACGTTCCTTTACAGACACTAAACTTTAAATTTTAGCTCAAGCTGGATGAGGCTTGATAGCACTGAAACTGCACAACCATTTAAAACAAAAAAAAAACCTGTGACTATGTGTCTCTTTATTTTAATCAGATCCAAGTCTAGTTGAAAGGAGAGTGAGAAAACAAACAGAAAAGTCCAGGTCTAGGTGAATTTTTAAGTCCAGGAGCCAAAGTACCAAGATAAAAGGGCGCGCAGCTCCTACCGAAGTGTGGATCGTATCTTGTAGCATGTGTGTTAGTCAATTGACTCCCAATGTGTGGACCCTGGTTCGATTCCCGCTAGTGACGGGGTAGTTCAAAGTAATGAAATGACGAAAATTTCCTTCTATACCGTAATCGGTATAGAATTCTGAAGAAGTGATGGTTCACTTCTAATGATGGCTAATTCTGATCGTTACTAATACTCTCCAGCCACGAGTTGGTATCAAACCATGCCCCATTGGGTGGCAATAGACTTCCATGCAGTGCCATTAGATAGGATCCACACTAGGGCATGCGGAATGCCCGCTTTTATCTTTTTACTTTGGCTAATGGACTTTAAAAATTCAAGTAGATGTGGGTAAGGTGAGAATCGAACCCACGACCTCAAGAGTCTCAGTCAGTGTTCTTACCCTCTGAACTATGCAGGCACAGAGTAATTCCGGGTTTTTCCTATTTAACTCTTCTTCCAGACAGTTGACTTTAAAATTCAACTAAAGTTGGGTAAGGTGAGGATTGAACCCACGACCTCAAGAGTCTCAGTCAGTGTTCTTACCCTCTGAACTATGCAGGCACACAGAGTAATTCCGGGTTTTCCTATTTAACTCTTCTTCCAGACAGTTGACTTTAAAATTCAACTAAAGTTGGGTAAGGTGAGGATTGAACCCACAACCTCAGGAGTCCCAATCAGTGTTCTTATCCTCTGAGCCATGTGGACACACAGGAAATTTCCAGGTTTTTCCTATTTAACTCTTCTTTCTAGACACTAGACTTTAAATTTCATCTCGAGCTGGATAAGGCAAGGATCGAACCCACGACCTCAAGAGTCTCAGTCGGTCTTCTTACCCTCTGAGCCATGTGGACACAAAGGGTAACTCCAGGTTTTTCCTATTTAACTGTCCTATCTAGACACGACTTTAAATTTTAACTAGATTTGGATAAGGCAGGGCTCGAACCCACAACCTCAGGAGTGCCAGTCAGTCTTCTTAACCTCTGAGCCATGTGGACACATAGGTTAATTCCGTTTTTTTCCTATATCACGTTCCTTTACAGACGCTCATACTATACTATGACATTTTAATATCCCACTATGCTAAGACATTTTGATCATACTATACTGTGACATTTTTATATCCTATGTTAAGACATTTTTTTATCATACTATACTATGACATTTTTATATCCTACTTTGCTAAGACATATTTATCATACTAAACTATGACATTTTTATAACCTACTATGCTAAGACATTTTTATCATACTATACTGTGACATTTTATATCCTACTATGCTAAGACATTTTTATCATATTATACTATGACATTTTTTTTATCATACTACGCTACAACAATTTAATTATACTTTACAATGACATTTTAACCATACATACTATGACATTTTTATATCATAACATACGATGACATTTTGATAATATACTATACAAAGACATTTTGATCATACTGTAGTTTTTTTATCATATTATACAATGACATATACATGACTTATCATTATATGCAATGACATTTTTAATCATACTACACTATGACATTTTTATATCATTCCATACGATGACATTTTTATATTATACTATACAATGACATTTAATCATACTTTAGTTTTTTATCATATTATTCAATGACATTTTTATGACATTTTGATCATACTATTCTATGACATTTTTATATCATACTAAACTGACAATTTAATTTTTTTTACTGACATTTTTATTTTACTATACTGATATTTTTAACATACACTTTTATCGTACTATACTATGACTTTTTATATCATACTATACTATGACCTTTTATTATACTATAGTTTTTTTAATCATACTATACTGAGACATTTTTTATCATATTATACTATAACTTTTTTATCATACTGTACTATGAAATTTTTATGATCATTTTCTTTATTTAACAGAGAGAAAATCCTGTGTCAATTGTGTTTTACACCAAGATTGGGAGTGCACTGTACTATTTTTTGCAACAGTGAGCACCATAATGTGTGAGTGTGAGAACTGTACTATGTACATACGACATGACCGGATATTAAATAGGCATTCAGGGGAGGCTAAGTCTGTCAGGAGTTAGGAAAGGGAGAAATTCACCAGACTGCGTGAGCAAAGATAAAATTCAGAATAATGTTTCTGAGCCAAAATTAAGAAAAAATACATTAAAAAAAGATTCAAAATAAACATTTTACTGCAGTGAGGACTGATAAATATGTTTTATTAAATATGTGTTCACCTCTGAGTGTGATAAGATTGAAACACTGTTCAGACTTTGTGTTTGTTCAATCATTAAAAAAGCCTGAATGTTGCTCAGTGTTTGAAATAAAAGCTCCAGATTTACAGAGGCTGTTAAAAAACATGATCGGACTGATGTTTATAATTAAGAATGAAAGATGAAGGTAAAGACACAGTTTGACAATAAATGGAAATATGAGAACAATCATGTTTTTTTGTCTCTCAGGTCGTCAGGTTGTGCAGCGCCCCCTCGATGACGTTAATTGGTGGGCTTGCTGCCGCTGTATGATTCTGGATCCATTCCAGGTAGTTAGACACTCGGGTGTAGATGCCGTAGTTTCCTGGTCGAGCGCAGCCCTTTCCCCAGCTCACGATTCCCAACAGGAACACCGTCTTCTTGTACTCGGTGACAAGCGGGCCCCCGCTGTCACCTTTACACGAGTCCTGCCGGCCTTCGATGTACCCGGCGCAGAACATGTTATCAGTGAGCACCACGCCGCTGTCCTCGACACACTGCTGAGTCCGGATCCTTGGCACCTTCAGCCGCCGCAGGAGAGTGGAGGTGGGTCCGTTCTCGCCCCGTCTCCCCCAGCCGCTCACCGTGTGCAGGTGCACGGCCCATAGCTCACGCTCAGCCTGAGGGCGGGTTGGCATGCAAACCGGGACAGCGTATGTGTTGTAGACAATTGGCGACGCCAAGCGGAGGAGGGCGATGTCGCTGTCAGCGGTGCTTTTCACGTAGTTCTCGTGCATGATGATCTCAGCGACTTGGATGGTCTGCTCAGTGCCCTCATTCACGGCCGTGTTGTGCTCGCCTGACAGGCGAAGAGCAGGGACACACAGAACAGTGGAATCCAAACATTTTAATGGAGGAAATCTTTAAAAATCCTCCAAGAGGATCTTCATCTAAATTTTAAAATAAATCCTATTTACTCTTTTCGTACCTGCAACCACCTGCAGGAACTGAACATCAGTGTCATCCATGCAGTGAGAAGCTGTGAGGATCCATGTAGGCTTATAAATCACTCCTCCACAGAAACCTTTGCCTTTATGAACCAGCAAAACCTTCAAAAGATAAACTGGAGGATTATATTTTCAGCTGTCTGAGTTTTCATCAAAACCAAACATGCTGAATCTCAGGTTTCCACTGAGTCTTTGTTTTCAGACATCAACCCGACGATCATTCTTAAAAAGTGAAGTAAACGAGAGTAAACGTGCACAAAGTACACATGGGTGAACTTTAGCGTCATCGTACCTGCCAGGGGCATTCACCTTTGGGACACTCTGTCCCTCCCACGATTCGAGCTCTGGAGTCCAGTTGCTCTGCTTTGGTTTCACCCTGCAGGACGGGGACCATACCGCACGCTATCGGTTCTAAAAACTCAAACAAAAAAGACCAAAATGTCACATAAATTTTAGATTATGAAGCAGAATTATCAGAGGAATTCTTTTGCTGTTTTTTCAAATTGTAAAGCCATGGTGTCCCACAGGGGTCAACCAGGGTCACTGTTTTAAAGTATTTATTCATCCTCATGGGCCTTGTGCAAATTTAAACAGAGTATTGAACTTTAAATAATGTCTTTAAATACTGTTTTGTTCTTGCTGTGTCTCTTTGAATGACAAAGAAGCCAAAGTCCACTCATCCAGTCTGGTTTATTTACTGTCAAGCAGGTCAGTTCAGTGAATCTGAGGGTGTAAAGGTTCAAAGAGGCCCTGTGCAGGAGGGAGGGAGTTTTCCTGCAAAAGTATAAAATATTCTGACAGAAATTAAACCAGAAGTTTCTGTTTATCAAATCATGGTCAAAACTAGGAAAAAAAATTCAGATTCAATTTATCTTTTAATGACAGAAAATCCATTTTAGTGAATCTTTGGATATCTATGAGTTGACACCTCCTGCAGCCTTTTTTCAACATCTTTTTCGAAGTCTTGATCTCCCACCTTTCGCCGCACAGCTCCACCCATCAGCATTCAGTGTGTAGCCCTCTGCACACGAGCAGTTCAGTTTCTGTCCTCCCTGGTCTTCATCACAGTAGTGGTCACAGCCTCCGTTCTCCAGCAGGCAGGTGTTCAGGACGTTCATGTACTCTAAAAACAAGACCGGGTCTATGTTTTCAAAAATGTGAGAGGATCCATTTATGCAACTACTTAGGGAGCCAAACAGCAAACATTTTTTTAGATTTAATGTTAATAACTTTATGCAATAATTTTGAAATTAAATAGGACCGAGACCAGAGCCCTGGGGGAACTCCAAAGCTCAAAACAGCAGTGCCAAATATATTGTGGCTTATCAAAGCAAGTTTTTTAATTGTTCTGTCTGCCAGTTTATTGCATTTCAATGAAGGACTTATTTCAATGGAGTACTGATATTCTTGAGGAAAAACTCAAGCTTTTATCTTGACATCATAGACAAGGCAAAGGATATTTTAACAAAGCAGATAAAGATGCTTTAAACTAAACTGACTCACCGAGCTCACAGTTGATCCCACTGAACTGAGGCAGACAGAAACATGTGTAGGATGAACCCTGAGGTGAGCAGCTGCCGCCGTTCAGACACGGACTCGACTCACACCTGTCTGGGACTACAGGATGTAAAAAAAGTTACATTATTTAAACGAAGAAGTCTTTCAATGTGTTTGGCTTTTATTATTTCAGATCATTGATTTCTTATGATATTGAAGACTTAAACAGTGGGAGGTAAACATGTTTGCTTACCGTTGTATGTACTCCAGAACTCATTCTGAGGAAACAGAGACTGGTGTTATTATTCACTCATAAATAAAATGAATTAAAATTGACTTTAAGGAAAATCCATCTGACCGTTATCTCATCGTGTTCGAACACCTCCCGCGCCTCCTCATACGAGCATTTCTCCTCCAAACACTCCCTCTTCAGGTCTCCCTTCTGCAGCTCCTCAAACCAGCCTGAGTTAAATCTACGGGTCCTGACCAGCACGCCATGAGCCTGATCTGGATCCAGGAAGACTTCAGCACACAAAAACATTCAAGTTTGAATTCACTTTTCATTCACCTGGTGCTTGTCACTGATTTGGTTCAGACCAGGACCGCCGCAGTCAGGCAGATCCACCTCATGATTATTGAGAAATATTTAATAGGATTGTTACCATGACTGTCTGACGCGTTGAATCCAAAATGAAGCATCAAGTTTTTACTGCAGATCTAAGACATTCATTTTTTTATTTAATTACTTTTTAAAGTTATATCACCTTTATTACATTTATCATAGTATTAACGTTTTAGTCTGAGATCCAGTGTTTTCTCATCTTTTTTAACTCAAGATGTGTGTAAGTGCTGTATGTGTTGAATGGAGGTTGGGAGGGTGGGTGGGGTTTGGTATTTGTATTTGTATTTATTTTATTTCATTGTTTTTTTAATTTCCTGCGCAAATGGACAACCTTAACTTATTGGTGGGGTTTTTATTCTATATTATTATTATTTATTTATTTTATTTTATTTTATTACTATTTTTATTTTTTTTTTCTCAGACTTTATTGACATGTCAGGAATTACATCAAAACACAAAACGAAGAACAATATAATGCCAGGGGGTCACAGTATTCCGATAGAAAACAATGCATTGTTATTAGTTCAATTCAATAAAATACTTTATAAATGCATAACTGTGTTTTTATTAGCTTTTTTGTTTGATGAATATTGGATAGTTGTGAAGTATTGTTTGAGATCCTTTTAAAAAATTAGAAACGACGGATTGTGATCCGTGAATTTGGATTTGCGTATGTGGTATTTAGCAAGTTGATAATGTAATAATGATCTTTATTGTTTGCAGGATAGGAGTGGCACCCAAACAGCACATTGTTTTTTTGTTTTTTTTTAACCCTCTTGCGCTCAGGTAAATCGACTTCTTGTTCTGTCAGAACGATTTTTTATTTTTAAATAAGCTATTTCCGGTAGATCTTGAGTAACAGGACTTTGCGTTAACCGCTGCATAAGCGGTTAGAAAATACAAACGTTAGATGTATTCGCACTCCTGATGTGGCGTACAATGTTTTTAACTCATCCTCGGGTGTTAAAAATTAACTATAAAAAGTTAAGACCTTTTTTTGCATGTTTGACCTAACTGGTAAGTCTTCTATCGATGCTTCTTCTTCTTCTTCTTCTATTTCCTGTTTTTGAAAGTTGGTAACCAGTGTTAAGAGCTTCTGCCGCCCCCTCCGATAAACCACCTAGTTAGATATTTTTGGAAAGATCAATATTTTATTTGTTAAGCAATGATTTAGATTGATAAATAGTTTAGATATTATCCATTAACTTATTGTATCTTAACTTTTATCATCAAGTAAACATGCTAACTGTTCAATTCTGTATGTTTAGCAGAGTTTAGCAGGTTGTTGTTAGCAGCGTAGATGTTAACTCTTTATTTGCGCCCTCTGATTATTTCTCACTTCTAAAATAAAGATGACTTTTCAATTTGACTTTTTAAACATTTTTTAAAACTTAGTTCCCTCACCTGACGCAGCGCAGCAGATGGAGACGTTTAGGACGAAGGTGAAGAGGATTTTCAGCCTCATGCTGGATTCATCAGAAAGTTTTTGGACCTGAAGGTGCAAAGTCTGCCTCCAACACACACTCAAACACACTCCATTATGATCATGTGACCTGTGTGGACTTTCCCAGAGGAACTCTTTGGGATGTATTTAATCAAACATTTAACAGGGCCATGGTCTGAAATCAGGCAGATTCAGGCAGTTTTGTCTTTATTCAGAGTTTTATTTGTTTGAAAAGCAGCAACCAAAGCTTTGCTGTTATACATGGTAAATAAATCTATTCAGATGCCGTTTGTTTCCTCAGAATAAATGATAATTATTGACAAACTTCAGCTGTGGAGCTAAACTAACATCTCCGCAGACATTTAAAAGACTCTGCTGAGCCTGAAACCTGACTCTCTTTGTATGACTCGATGTGATTGTTTCTAATGTTTTGTTCTCTAACTCACAAACATCAGACTTTCATCTCAGATCCATCACACCCAGTTTCAGCTGGTGGACATAGTGTCCTCGATCCAGCTCAGGAAATTGGCCACCTTGGCGTAGACCCCGTACATGTTCTCGTTGGCGCAGCCCCGCCCCCAGCTTACCACCCCTGTCAGGAACCAGGTCCTCTTGTAGCGTGTAACCAACGGACCGCCGCTATCCCCCTGACACGCATCCTGTCCCCCGTTCCTGAACCCGGCGCAGAGCATGTTCTTGGTGATATTGAGCCGGGTGTGCAGGCGGCACTCCTGCAGCGGGACCCTTGGCAGCACCAGACGCTGCAGGATGCTAGACTCCAAACCGAACTGTGCCTGGCGGCCCCAGCCGGACACGGTGGAGTGTCGGACATTGCTCAGCGTGCGAATGAAGGTGCCGTTCTGGGCGGGCAGACAGATGGGGATCACATAGGATCCCAGTCTGACGGGCCGCTGCAGCTTCATGAGCGCCATGTCGCTGTCCTTGCTTGTGTCGTTGTAAGCGGGGTGGATGATCATTTTGACCACCTGACGCCGCTGCTCTGACCTCTCCTCCACGTTGCGGTCGTGTTCCCCTTCACAGACACACAAAGATCAATCAGGATAACACGGAGAAATGATTCATCTGTGTCATAAAATCACTGCAGGTAGAGGGGACGTTAAGGTTTAACCAGATCAGGTGGTGGAGTTAGAAACAGAGAGGTTATGAAGCTCGTCTCACCCACAGTGACGGAGAAGGAGGTCGCATCTTTCCCCAGCACACAGTGGGCTGCAGTCAGAATCCACACATCGGACAGGACGATCGCTCCACATTGAAAAACCTGCTTCTCGGACAGCAGAGCCTGAAGAGGGATCGAAGTGTACCGTCATCATTAAGTCTTTAACATTTCTGTTTTCAAAGCTTTATGAACAATCCAACAGTCAAGTGTGTCGGGACCAAAAACCTGTTGTTTGGTCTCCTGTAGTGAGTCATAGTGAATGACAGTCAAGGATATAGTTGGGACGCCCTAAAGGGATATTCTGGTGTAAAATTAAGTTAGGGTCAAACACACCAGAACACTTAGTTAGACACCCCCACCAGAGAACCAACTTTAGTAACGACCGTGCGATAGCAATACACAGCGGTCTGAGGAACCATAAACAAACCTCAACCAAAACGCCACTCTATAGCCACAAATAATGCTCAGAACAGCACCTAACTTCATCAAAAGTACATATAGGGTCCCAGCCATAGTACTAGCCACCAAACATCTTTTTAACTTTGCCTAATTTCTTTAGCAAAGAGTCTAAACACAACTCACCTACTCTCTTCCAGCAGCCACTTGTTTGTACAGAGATCTCCCAGCGAGTCCATCGACTACAGTGGGGTGACGCAGCTCAAGGAAGAACAATTACGATCATATCTTCATGGAAATACAATCAGACCAAGATGCTAAGGCAGAAGAACTACAGCGTCTGCAGTGCAAAATGATTAATATGATGATTATTACTTAAAGGAAATGATAAAGAAATGATCATAAATGTTCTTCCTTGAGCTGCGGCACCCCGCTGTAGTCCGTAATGGACTGGCCTGAGGTCTCGCTACAAACAAGCGGCTGCTGGAAGAGAGTAGGTGAGTTGTGTTTAATCTCTTTACTAAAGAAATTAGTCAAAGTTTAAAAGATGTTTGGTGGCTAGTACTATGGCTGGGACCCTATATGTCCTGTTGATGAAGTTAGGTGCTGTTCTGAGCATTATTTGTGGCTATAGAGTGGCGTTTTGGTTGAGCTTTGTCGTTACTAAAGTTGGTATAACTAGAGAAGCAAGCGGTCGGTCACATTCATCTCTTGAGGGGGTGCCTAACTTGTTGCTATGGTGTGTTTGACCCTAAATTTATTACGTCGAAATATCCCTTTGAGAATACCCAGCAGAAAGTTTACCCACCTTCATTGATTTGCTTTAAAATGACAGTAAGGTTATCAGTGAGTGTTTTTAGTTTTCCATGAGTTTTAGATCCTCTCTCAAACAAAATTCAAAAAGTACAAACGACACATAATAGTTCACATTTATCAGGAATAAACAAATTAAAAAACATGATCTGTCGTAGATCTTACCTGCCATGGACAGTGGCCCCTTGGGCAGATCTGCCCGTTAACAACGCGAGGAGTGATACCAATCAGAAGTCGTCCACAGGGGACGGTGACTGCAAGAGAGAGACAAGACAATCAACAACTGGACTACTGATAGAGACATTTTGGTTCATTTCCCTGCAGGTTTCTTGAACACTTCCTGTTATGTTTTTAGTGTGTGAGTGTTTTGATGCTCAGGAGGCTCAATCGTAACCCAGAGCTGACCTTGAGGCACACAGGTGCTGTTGTCTTGGTCCAGGCTGTAGCCTTTAGTGCAGAAACAGATGTGAGAACGATCCAGAGATTCTCTGCAGAACTGGTCACATCCCCCGTTTTTGTAGCGGCAACCTCTGGAGGTCGAACGAGCTGCAAAAACAACCTGATATATGAGAACAGCAGCGTTAATCGGGACTATCAGGGGGATTTTTCTGCTGTGAACAAACCTTTTTCACAGTGGGAACCGTGGAAAGCAGGTGGGCATTTGCAGACGTAGGTGTTGTCGTGGCGAGTGCAGGTCCCTCCATTTTTACAGGGAGAGGACTGGCAGTGATCGACCCCTGCAAACAAGGGGAGACAAACAAGAGCTTTTCTGGTTTATTTTCTGTCAAAAAGAGTATTTTGTTTAACAGTGTAAAAACTCTCTACACCCCCAGGTGTTTGAATGCTGTGGTTTGAGTCCAGAGCACCTGTGTACTTCCTCCAGAAGACCTCCTGCACAGAGACAGAAACTCAAATTAAAGGCAGAAAAATAAACTTGGTTAAATCAGTGAAAGGCTAAGACTGGACGAACCAGCTGCTGCGGCAGAGCAAAGATCTCCTTGGCCTCCTCATAGGAACATTTCTCCTCCAGACACTCACGCTCCAGGTTTCCTCTCCTCCACTCCTCAAAGAGGTAGTTCGCCCGACGACTGCGGTGCAGAAAACGACTGGCCTCAAGTTTGTTCACCGTCACAACTTCAGAGACAAGAAAGAAATAAAGACAAGGCGCTTAATTTACACACAAACACAGGCTGCATGAAGAGAGGGTTGAGGAAACATCAGTGTTACATGCACACCTGAATACAAATCAAATGCTTCCTACATGAGGCGCTGTGGTAAATCAATATAAACGAGGTCAGGGTTAATCGTACCAAACTGAAGGAAATTTAGAAACACACCCGAAGTGTAGGGTTCCAAACTGCAGCACCTCTTTTATCCACTAGTGGCTGCCTCACACAATGAGTCAACCCCCACAGAGATCCATGTTTAACTGTCTGACTTAATGGCAGAATTAAACCTGTTTACAGTTCAATACTCACAGACAGGTGAGTATTGAACTCACCTGTTTATGTAATATAAAAGTAAAGGTGATGTAGTATTAGGGGCGTGGCCTGTCGGTTTTTGACTATCAGCCATAACAGGACATGTTCAGCGAATCTTTACAGATTTTTTACTATTTTCTACAAAAATCTCTGTTTGAGAAACATGTACACTCTAATTTAAAGTTAATAAAATGTATGAATTGATTCAGAAGTCTGAAGGCCTGGTCTGTAGACTGTGGAGCTATTTGAAAATGGTTACTAATGAACTTTTTGTCACAAGGAAACAAAAAAAGGTTTTCCATGATTTGTCAAAGTAAACAGACCTCTGAAACTTCAGCGTCATTGAGAGTGAGGCAGACTCGCATCAACCAGCCGAGTTCACCGAGAAACACAGGGGAAAATAATACATTCAAGATGAAGAGGAGAAGAAGAAAAGGACTCACAACTTGGGTACCCAGTGCATGCTGGGATACAGGCGATGAGGAGTCTCAGGAGGAAAAGCTTCTTGGTTTCGCCGCTCACAGACGCCATGTTTGTTCTGAACTGTTCAAAGGTCAGACGGACGAAAAACACACAAAAACCCCTCAGAGTGTGTGTCTGTGTCACAAAAACCACACAAATTCATGACAGAGAATGAAAACACACACACACACACTCTCAAAAGAGTAACTTCAATTCACAATTTAAGTCACTATCAACATTAAAAATCAGTTCGGACTCGAAAACTTGTCATTTTATCTCAAAACATGAAACAAAAACCATACACACGGTTTGTTTTCTTGGTTTTTATTCTTATTGGAGCAAACATTTGAACAGATTTGTTCTGTAACCTGCTGGTCCTTTATGTTTAAGAAATAAACAGGGTCATTATAAGTAGATAAATCAGTTACTTAAAAAAAAATCACATCAGGCATTAACATTCACTGCTTTCCTGCATTTCACTGAAACGTATTTCCTGTAAATTAACAAAATCAGAAAAGCGACAAACAAAATTAAAACATTTGTTTATCTTAAATAAAAATAAAACAGAGAAAAACTACGTTTTATTGTTGCGTTTGTAAACAGGAAGACAGATTCCCCTCCGCTTCACCAGCAGGCGGCGCTGCGCTCACTGAAGCTCTTTCAGGATGTCAGGGAGGAACTCCTGAGCGTCTCTCAGCTCATCCTTCCACTCTTGTGGGATGACGGCTCCGCTGTATGCCCCCCCTGCTCCCAGGAGGGCCCCCAAAGCTGTGCCGCGGTTACAGTTCTCACCTGGAGCCAAAACATAAATATTATCAGTCATCAGTTTAATTAAAAATGAAGCAAAAACTAAAACTCTGCGTTTGTTTGAACCTCCACAGTTGGTGTTGGCGAGGATTCCTCCTTTGGGGTCGTCATGGAACTCGTGAGCGAGGTAAAACAAGCTGGACAGAGCTCCTGTGGATCAGCAGGCACTGGTTAAAGCATCGTCTTTGATGGTAAAACACGCAAATGAATTCAGAGTAAAAGAGTCTGAGTTTGAACCTTTAGTGTAGCAGGCGAGGCCGAGGTAGTTCACGGCGCTCTGATGGACCTTCAGGCGGTCCTCAGACGACACCGGGTACCTAAAAACACAAGCACACTTTCACACATTTTCCTCCTTTTGAAAGGCTTTTATTGTGAAAGGATTCAGTGACACTTGTATGTTCCTGTCCTACCTGGCGGCCTTGCGGCTGTAGCTCTGGCAGGTGTCCCAGGCGTCCAGCCTCCTCAGAGCGTGCTCCGCTTGATGTCGGACGCTGGCCCCGCCCAGCACAGCGTGCAGCGCCCGGCTGTAGATGGAGATGTACTCGATCACCTTTGGGTGAGGGTGGGTGAGCTTCACAAACTCAACAGCTGCTGACACCTGAAGACGGAAAGGTCAAAGGTCAGACTGTTTCACACCAGGTTGACTGAGAACATTTCATAACTAAATTACTTGAATACATTTTTTCTGGATCGAAACAGAGCTGTCCATCACTCACTGCTTGCTCCTCGTTGGCTGAGGCTGACAGCAGGATGAAGGGGAGGGTCATGGGAAGGCAGCCAATGGCGTCCAGCTGGCTGTCAGGGACCGAGGAGCTCATCTTGTTTTTGGAGCGTTTTTCTGCGAACTTCAGTACCTGAAACATAAAAATATAAAAATACAAAAAGGTAAAACAGAGCGACAGCAGGGCAGGGGTGTGTTTGATTCCACAGGGTGCGTTGGATTTACCTCCCGGGGTGACGTCGGCCTGCTGTCCTGCCAGTCAGAGAAGAACGAGCGATGGAAGGACTCGGCGTAGGTGTCGTTATGAGAGCCAGGCGCAGTCAGGAACCGGACATAGTCTGAGAGCACCGCGGCCCGAGCATCAGGCTGAGAGACGTCACTGAATCGTCCTGAGACCAGTGAAAGCAACACTCTCAGAGAGCAGAGGACGTTCAGGGTGTTATCGCCGGACTGAAGACCTGCAGAACACAAACAAGACCCTGAACTGTGAGGGGTTAGTGTGATTAAAATGTCTACTATCATGTTTCTCAATCATCAGTGATCTAGCTCAGTCCCAAGTCTTAGTTCTGGGTCATTTTGGGTCGAAGTACCTTGGTGGTAGTGGACCGTGCCATTGGAGGACTTCCACAGGTTCAGTTTGTCATGCAGGATTACATTCCCAACCACATCAGGCCGCTTGGCGCCGGAGAACCAGGCTGTCCGACCACTGCCGGCTGAAATAACCACATGTAAACATGAATCACATGACCACAGGGAAGAACTTTCCAGGACTGGACTGCAGAGTTTTCCCACCGGTGTTGGAGAGGCTGAGGATGCTGGAAGGGTGTCTGCTCCTGGGAGAGTTTAAACCCGAGATCCACCCGCCAAAGTCCCTCCTGATGTCATCTATGTTATAGTACCAGTGGACCGGCATGGACATGGAGTCGGCCGCACACATCGCCCACAACGCCTCTGACACTGACCGCCGCACCTGAGACATCTCGGCTGAAGAGAAGACGCCTGGTTTTAAAAGATTTGAAGAGTGTTTAAGTGTAAGATTTTAAGTGTTGGTTTTAAATGAATGTGTTGTTCTCCATAACAGATTTTTCTAACTAGGAGGACCCATCTAGGGTCATGCAGGGGTGCCAAATATACTACAGTGAAGAGTTTTTAATTTGTTCAACATTCAACAAGTCACGAGAGTTACCTATGCCAAAAAAAAAAGAAAAAAAGAAACCTAAGTCTGCTGCAAATAAAAAAAGAAATGTTGCAGATAAAAAAAAAAAAAATAGCAACGCATAAAAAGTGGCGATGGGGAAAAAAAAACAATTGCTGCGAAAATAAAAGGATGCAAATAAAGAAAGCCACAACGTAAGTGAACTGCCGGGGACCAATAATGACACTGCACTGATGTATTGCAATCTAGGCACAGAAGACGACAGAGGCGAGACGATAAGCAAAGGAGTAAGTGGAAAAGTTATTGTTTAAATTCGCTGCGTAAACTTTTTAATGTGTCATTTGATGAGGCCATGTTGCGCCTGAGTCGATATGAAGTTGAACTGAAGAGAAATTAAACACTAACCTTTCCACTTACTTTGTTGCGAAACTAAAGTGAGAAACGAACAAATCACTCGAGGAAGTGATTCGGTTCAGTACGTTCACTCAAAAGATTCGGTTCTTTTGAACAAATCATTCGCGAACGACATAACATTAATTGGAAAGAGGATCTGACTGTCAGTGCACTTGTGATTTCAGATTTTGCTCTAATTACTTATTTTTAATCTAACCGGATCAACAGCGACCTTAACACGACAAGTGCCATAATTTCAGTAAGAGCATTTTATAATTTACTCAATACATTTTTTGGGGGGGATTTTGTTGAAATAGAGGTTCCTGATAAAGTCAAAAGTCTTGATGCAAAAAAACTAATTTATGTGGTTCTTTTAAGCGTTTAAGAACAAAAACAACCCTAACACAGGAGGAGGGTTACAGATGAAGATAAAAAGAGAGAGAAAAATTATTTTAAGTACAATAATTCAAAGAAACTCAGAACCCTCCTCCGCTGTTGCAATGCACCGCAGTCCAATTTATCTGTTTGGAATGACAACAATAATACCATCTCTTCTGTGGTCCTTTAAACCTCATATTTGATATCAGTTTACCTAGTCCTGACCTCAGCAGTGAAAGTATTTATTGCACACCTGTACTCACCTGCAGAATGACTAAAACTGAAGAAACTCACCTGAGCAGATATAATTAGAGATGATTTCAGTGTCAAAAGTCCGCTTAAAATGTCTTAAATGTGATTTATAGTGTTTAAATGAAGAGTCCTCTCACCTTTCATTGAGCAGGAGCAGGTCTGTCTTCACACTGATTCCGGTTTTTAACTTGCATAAGTTCATTTTTACAACGTTACAAAACTACACAGGAAGTAGATCAAGTTAGCGTCTACAGCCGAACATAAATGAGCTCTTTTCAGAATAAACACAGACTGTCACAGTTTCTATTTTTTCTGGGGATAAAAAAATAAAAATACAACTGTTTTAAATGAGTTAAATGTGAGGTTATGAAAGCGTGAGTTTTGTTTATTATTATCCTTACGAAACTAGGCATCAACTACGGAGGCCATGAAGGGACAATTTAAAAGGTCAAACATTTTCTCTGAGCAGAGGCTGCCAGGCAGACATTATTGTGAAGTAATTAAAAAAATAATAATAATCAACCGAGTCTTCTAAACTCTGTTATCCATAATAATAACAAAAAAGAATACGTAAATGACGTAAATGAGCAGAGATTAGCCCACTTAAAGGTAAACGAAACGACAAAATATTAGAACGGACAGATGACGATCCCATCATGAAAAGATTTCGCTAAATTGTTCGTGATATATGTAGTTTGTTCAAGTGAGGATGTCAAATACATGCCAAAAAAGATACAGAATTTGCTTCTAAGTGTACAACTTTAAACACAAACCCTGTCGTATTCAATATTAAAAAACATCCGCCTATTAGACAAAAACCGGGGGTTAAAATCCTCCGGTCTACGGCGTCCTTTGTAAGTCAAAATTAGCCAACAATGTAAATCAATTCAAACGCGAATGCAGTGGCAGAAAGACTTCATTATTTACTTTTAACAGTTTTAGACGACCTATCAGAAGTTATCCGCTTTAGATCTGAAGCATGTGAATAAATATGAACTAAACTTCAGTTTCGCCGCCGTCTGCTCGCTGTTAACCAGCATTAGGTTGAGTTTATAACCGGCTGATCTGGGAGCTAACAGGCTAACAGCCCAAGCTGATGGAGATGGAGGAATTATTAGATCCTGGAGAAGTTGGTGAGAATAAATAAACTCTTATTTTCCACTTTAAACTGTGTCTGTGTGCAGGTAATTTAGTGCTCGTGTGAAAACAGAGATAAACACACACACATACGTGGAGGAGGAGGATGTAACCTGCTCTCACCAGACGTTAATCACAATATATATTGACCTATTTCTACCAAATGTTTATAGATATTTACATGGCTAAACTGGTGAATAATGTCTGGATTCTCTGTTTTGGTCTGGTCCAGGGTATGTAGGGGTGAGTGGGGTAAGTTGAGCCACCCCCTGTTTCTTGAAAATTGCAAAATAAATTGATCCTGTGTCCAAATATCAAGGAGATGGGCATCAATTCATGGAGTCTGTGAAGGTTAGAAGCTCATGGGTGAAGAGGTTAGACATTTATTTACAAAAATTTTTCACTCTTGAAAGTGAACTTAGTCTGTCATAAGTTTTATTAGAATTGTGTTCAGACCAAAAAAGATCATTTTAAATTAGTTTTATACATCAATTGTGGTATCTATGAGCTACAACATGAGGTCAAAAACCTAGAATAAAGGTCCACCATTTTAGCTTTGAGGACTAATAAAGTCATCATAGTAGTTCAGGGGTAACTGAGGAAAGTAAAGGAGTCTGATGAGAGGATCAGAGTTTCAGTTCAGATTGTTGAAATTGTTGTTGAAATGCTGTGAATGTCCTGAATCACTTGTAGACATTCTCATGTTAAAATGTTTTTTTACAAAACAACTTTTTAGCAGTTAAATGCAATAATAATAATAATAATAAAAAGAATTGTTGTACCAGTTGAATAGTGTATAATAGACAAAAATACTCATGAAGAAGTGAGTGTTATTTAGGGAGAGAGAAGACCCCCATACACAGGGTAAGTTGACCATAGGAGACCACTTTTTTTTGGCATGTTATATTATCAAGACAGTTCTGTTTTCACTCAGTTAGAGACAAAACTATGATTGGCTTGATGTAGTGATCCGAAATATGAAAAATGGCTCATCTTACCCCACTCTCCCCTACGGTGGCCTTGAGGGTCAGCTGCACAAAGACATCGTTAATGACAAAAATATTCCACAAAATGTCAAAATAATTTCAAAAGATTAAAATTTTGCAAGTAATCTTGGTAAAATTAAAATCTTTAAAGTCAAATAGAAGAGAAAGAAACTGGATTTTTCTCTCTATTTCAGAACGAGCCAAAACCTTCTGGGCTGAAGAGGACGTCGATCAGGTCTTCAGAGGAGTGTCCGAGTACCTGAATCACCTGAAACTTGTCCTGAAGAAGAACACGGCCACAGATCGAGGTTTGAGTTTTTGCTTATTGATCTCATATTTTATTTTATCGATCAGTAGGTATTGATCTCTTTGTTGTGGGTGTTGATCAGAGTACGTTCAGGCCTTTAAGCTGCTGGAGGCTCTGGACTGCTCCCCTCCGACCTCCTCTCAGGACTCTTCTGTGGTTCAGGTGGTGATCGGCTCAGGTAAACACAAGCTTTTATTTTGAAATTTGACTTTTTTTGAGTTACAAACCAAAAGTCTTGGTGTGTGTATTATTGTGTCTTATTTTGGCGATGTCCCCCTGTCCAGATGAGATCCTACCTGCTGAGTTCTCCTCCTCCTCTCCCCTCTCCCCCTCTGATGGACTGTTCAGCTCAGCTGCTCCCCCTGCAGGCCGAGAGGAGCTGATGCCTCCTCTGACCCCCATCACGCTTCACTATGAGCCGCACACCTGCTGCAAGGTCACACACACACACTCACACACAGACACACACTAACACTAACACCGTACACTCTCATTAACACTTGACTCCTCCCTCCAGGCCTGTCTGCTCAGTTTACCCAGCATGCCCCACTCCACGCCGCCGTTCTGGGGTCTGAACCCGCTGAAGGTCCCATTGCTCTGCGGCTTCAAGAGGCTGAGTGGTGTGCCGCGTACGTCACCAAAAGGGGGCGGGGCTTGGAGCGGTCAAGAGGCAGATTGTGTGGAGGCGGAGGACGAGGAGGACTGGGATGTGGTTTATAGGGCACCGTGTGGGCAGAGCCTCCGTAATTATGAGGACGTGATGCATTTCCTGTTGGCCACCGAGAGCTACGACCTCTTGCAGGTCAGACAGTTAAAAATAAGTAAATGAGGACAGGTGTGCAGACCCCTTTGTGTTTTTGTCGACTGGGTCTTTAAAGAGCGCTCTTCTGTCCTCTCTCCTCTAGATCGACTTCTTCACCTTTAACCCCACCGTCAGGTTGGACCCTCCATCTGCGTCTGCCCCCCAGCGACCTGAGGTGGACCTGAGCCGGGGGGTGGAGCCTACACCTGTGGAGTTGTGCGTCGGGGAGGGTGGGACCCGGCCGCCCGATTTCCGTTACAGGAAGGATCGCTGGCCGCATGGCTGCTTCTTAAGCCGCGGCCCTACGCCGTTCAAGGCCTGCTGCGACTGCACTGATGGCTGCAGTGACAAGCAGCGTTGTGCCTGTGTTGCTATGACGACAGGAGGGCGACACTACAAACACCACAGGCTGGAGGAGCAAATACCATCAGGGTGAGAGTCTGTGAACCAAAACCTGTCTCTCTGACTCAGTCAGTGTGTTTACATGCACAGCTTAATCGGACTAAGCTCATAGTTCGTTTTTTTCGCCGAATCGGACTTCTCTCCTTGTCCACGTAAACATGCAGCTGAGAAAACCGAATTATTGACATGTGCGGTGCTGTGTCTGGTTGACCCAACAACAACTGCAGGTCCGTGACAGACGTCAGAAGTGTCTACAACTGCTGCTGGGCATTTTTGAGGAAGAAGATGGAGCATCGTACAGCGTTGTTTTTGTTGTACATGATGTATGCGCTACTTTTTCTGCTGATGAGATCCACGCTACTCCTCTTCTCTGGTGTTTTTGTTCCAGGGTTACGGGGGCGTAGTGCACACGCTCATGCATTGTCCGATCATACTCCAACTATGCCGGTTACATGGTAGAGAAAATCGAATTCCAATCGCATTATCTGGGTGTCTTAATCGGAGTTCTCCGACTCCAATCGGAATACTCAAACTCCGATTATAGTCGGTTTAAGGTGTTTACGGGCACTTCAGTTGTCCGGTCTTAATCGGATTGAGGCAATAATTCAGTTCCTCGAGTGTCATGTAAACGTACTGACTGAAGACACAGAGCTTTGAACGGTGGGTCTCATCTGTGCGTGTTTGTGTTTGTTTTAGCGTCTTTGAGTGCGGCCCATGGTGCGGCTGCGACCGTGCTCGCTGTCAGAACCGTCTGGTCCAGAGGGGCATCAGAGTTCGCCTGCAGGTCTTCCAAACAGAGGGGCGGGGCTGGGGTGTTCGTTGCCGTGATGACTTGGACTGTGGCACGTTTGTGTCCATCTACGCAGGTGGGATTGCGTCAACATTTGCCAATCCTTTGTGTAAATAGACCGGAGTCTGACTGTGTGATCTGTTTCAGGTGTGATCCTACGGCGGGTTCACTCCACTGCCGAGCCGCCGCCCCCGAAGCTGACGAGGGCAGACCTCCCGTCTGATGACGAGGTAGAGGTCGTTACTGAGTGGCTGGCGCCGCCTGTCCTGGAAGGGCGGAGCAACCTAGTGGAGTCCACACCTGCCTCACTCCCCTCTCATGTACCTGTGATCCAGAGACCGTCTGAACCTCCTGGCACAACGCCGCGGGACCGAGAGGAAGTACGCCAACCCTCAATGCTTAATCTGATAAGTAACATGTTCTGATTGGCCGCTTGTTTAATTAGATAATCCGATCATGTCTTTGTCTCAGTCAGTGCTGGTCGGAAAACCAGAGGCCACGCCCACTGCTCAGAAAAAGGGAGTTACCAAGACAACCAGCAGTCCCAAGAAGGCTGGAGGTGTTAACGGCGCTGAGGAAAAGAGTGGGCGGAGTCTAAAGAGAGAACTGCAGGTGGAGGATGTGAACTTCCTGGACGCCAGCAAGGAAGGAAACGTCGGTCGCTTCTTCAACGTAAGAGATCAGCCAAGAGGGCGAGATAGCAATAGAGAGAATCTGAGGAGTAAACAAACAAATAAACAACAACAAAGAAAAAAGGTGTTTTAATATTATTTGACTTTTGACCCCATAGCACAGCTGCCAGCCTAACCTGTTCATCCAGAACGTCTTCACCGACTCCCATGACCCCGCCTTCCCCGTCATCGCCTTCTTCACCAGCAGGTGAGTTATAGGAGTGATGATGATGATAGCGAAGATGGTCTACATTAGTTACAGGTTATTGATGTGTTTTTTTTTCCTTCTCTCTGTCAGGGCGGTGGAGGCCGGCACTGAGCTCACCTGGAGTTACTCTTCGGACGCGGACGGCACACAGGAAGTGCCATGTCTGTGTGGCGACGAAGGTTGTCAAGGACGGTTCACCGTGGAGGAGAATCTGTGCGATATGTGCGAAGTTCAGGCTGAAACGCAGTGATTCATCCTGACAGAACTACAAACACAAATCTATTTTTTTAGACTCTTGTTTCAATAAAATGTTTAAAAATCAAACTACTGTTTTTCTTTGTTATTTTTGTGTAAATAAAAATGTGTAAAATGTGTCATATTTTTAAGACTTAGAGGTTATGCACAGCACTGGACTGAAAAAGACAGAGGGTCCAACTTTTTATATTTCTTTGGCTCTTTAATGCCTGAAACCACAAATATAACAAATATATTTATTTATCTCGTTATTTGTTTTTGGAAACTAATAAACTACAAGAGGACATTTTTATTATTTATAGGACTGTATTCAGGTGTTTTTTTGGTAATTTGTTGATCATACTGATTTGATAGATGTATAAAAAAGTATCAACTATGATACAAAAGACATTAAAGGGTTGAGTAAAGTCCTCAAACTCCAAATAAAACGAGATAAAATAAAAGTCAGAACAAACAACAGATGTACTGGAAATAGTCTCTGTGTCCCTAATCCTCTCCTATTGTTGTAAACATGTTGAAATTGGATTATTGACTTAGAACAAAAGAACCTGAAACAGCTTTTATTTTGAAATACCAAGTGGCTTTCTGTGACGCTCATGTATTTTACTTTGAAAATCCAAACCGGAAACTTGTATGTTGTTTATATTTCGTCCCTCGGTTCCCCTCACCAACTGTCCTCCAGACGTTAAACCCCATCATGACTCCTCTCCAGCCGCCTGTCTATGCACTCCTCCTCGGCCTCTTCCTGGCCTCCCTCCCCGCTACCTCCTCTCGCCGGTTCCGGATCCCCCCTCACGACCAGGTGGCCCGGGTCGCCCGCTTCGTTGCCCACCAGGTGGACTGGGCCTCCATGGCCACCATCTCCACCCACAAGCCAGTGGTGGGGCAGCCTTTCTCCAACGCTTTCTCGATGAGTGACGGACCGGAGGGGTCGAGCTCCGGGGTGCCCTACATGTACCTGACTCGCATGGAGATCTCGGTGCAGGACCTGGAGGTAAAACTACGACGAGCAGCTGAACAGTTTTTAATCTAAAAACACTCTTAAACTTATTTCAAAGTTTTCAAGATTCACTGTAAACTTTATCCTGAAAGCGTCAGTTCAGTTTCCCCAGCACCAAACCTCATTGAAAAATCACACAATTTAGTCAAACTGCTGATGACATTTTACCGCTAATTTGTTGTAATTTTAACATTAATAAGTTTCCATAACGTTTGAACTCATTCTTAAAAACCCTCTTGTATACATTTGTCAAGTTTAATCCAAACTGTGTGTGTAATAACTCTAATGTCCCCAGTTTGTTTGGTCCAATAATAAAGTATTTGTTCAACCAAAGTACGTTTAAAAATGAACCAATTTAATGATTTATGTCTCAAGCGCTCCTAAAACTTCATATTTCCCTCTGTGTGTTCGATGAAATGGAATAAAAACATGCCTAAAAAATTCTGGAAAGCTAAGCTGTGTTTTGAAAGGTTTATATTAACATATATATATATATATATATATATATATATATATATATATATATTTTTTTAATATTTAGCATTCCCAGATATTTAAAATGTTAAACATTTCATAAATTACTACCAGCAAATTATAAAAAAAAGATACAAAAAAACTGACTAAAAAAATAACAAGAAATCCCAAAAATAGATAAGAATTAACTGAAATTATGTTGAATCAAGTTAAAATAAGGCAGCACTAAACTCAAAATTTGAGCATATGAAAGTACAGTTTTTTCCAACCCTGTCAAAGATTAAAAAACACGTAGATATATTATTATATAAAGTCAAAATTCGATATATTATATAGTGTTTAAATTGCGTACAACACAAGCTTTTAGTTTTCAAATTATAATTAAGAATAGCTCAAAATAGAGCCTGTTTGTTTTTTACCAATTTAAGTCACATTATGTGGCAGCAATTAATAAAAAGTTCATTAAAAATTCAAAGAAAATATAATTTTAAAATATTTGAGTGATCTATTATGTTTTTACTCTGAAATAATTAATAACCTAATAAAGTCTGCAGAGTTTTAAAGCAGCTTTAAACTCAAAATATTTCATATAGGGTTCTTTGAATGATGTTTAAATAAATAATAAAGGCTCATTAATCAATATTTGTAAAAACCTTCACTCTTGTTTTTCTGTAATATTAGGCCTATTAAATATTGTAAAGAAAAATTTTTCTGTTTTATGCAACATCGGAGGCCTCGCCATGACGCAGCACTTTTTTCACTCTGTGACGCTGCAGTTTTGGGGTGAAAGTCACATGTTTTAGTTGAGGTCACGTGACAGGAAACCACAGAGTGATGAGCTAGACAAGAAACATGAGAACATACAGGGAAAAGTTTTATGATCCTGTTAATGTTGAGGTAATGAAAGTTTATGGACCGGAAAATGACTGAAGGGAAGTGTGACAGGAGGAGATATGAGAGGTTTTTATCAGCGGAGACAGTAAGTTATTTATGCCCTAAAGAGCATGTTTAACTTATATGTATGTTATATAAGAGAGGTCAGAGTTCAGGGAGATTGCTGCCATGACTACAAATGATCAAACTTTAATAATAATAATAATAATCTTTGAAAAATCCTGAAATCTTTGCGAGTGAAAGGCAGAAATGAATTTTTCTTAGAGATTTCCTCAGCGAAAAAGTTTTTATGCTTTTAATTTGGTATCTGTCCTCTCATTAAGTTAGCTTTCTTTCCTGTGTGTTAAAGGCATGCTTATATTTTGAAATGAAGTACATGCACATCCAGGCGGTCAGAAGTTACGTAACAGAGTAAAAACAATAAAAAAATGTCAATACTGAGTTTATTCACACCTCCTGAGACACTGTTACAGTGTTTTATGTTGTTTTATGGTGTTTTGGATTACAGTTTTTGGCGTGAATTTTATTTTACGTTTAAAAAATAATAATTCTTAATGGTTTTAAGTGTTTTTGTGTAGGTCGTTTTGCAGCTTACAGTCTGTTGTCTCTGCAGGTGAACCCTCAGGCGTCTCTGTCCATGTCTCTGGCTCAGACAGATTACTGCAGACAGCAGGGCTTCGACCCTCAGAGTCCTCTCTGTGCTCACATCATTCTGTCTGGATCTGTGATGGAGGTACAAATAAACTTATTTAATAAATACACACCTGTTTGTCCAGGTGAGCGGTCACATGACCTCCCTCCCCTCTGTGATTCTCATCCAAGGTGAACGGGACGGAGGCTGAATTTGCTAAGAAAGCTCTGTTCACGCGACACCCGGAGATGATCGACTGGCCGACTGATCACAACTGGTTCTTCGCCAAATTCAACATCACACAGGTGCGTCAACAAATACTGAAGCTGATGAAAATAACCACGACCTTATCGGCCAGTCAGATAACAGGAATCCTTGTTAACGTACCTCTCATCCCTCCTTGTTTCAGGTGTGGGTGTTGGATTATTTCGGTGGCGTGAAGACCGTCACTCCTGAGGAGTACTTCCAGGCAGAGCCATACAGGAAGCACCACTGATGATCAGGCAGCTGGTCCTTGTAGTTCCTTGTTTAATGGACTACAGAAATATTTGTATGTTTTTCAGGTATTTTCTAAAAAAGTGAAATGAAATATACGACTATAGATGTTTGATTTCTTGACGTGATCAGGGATGTTTGGACAAACCCTTCTTCGTTTTTTTCTTTGGCTGCAAGAACAAAAACACATTAATTTCAATTTTAATATCAATGTTACATTTCTTTTGTTGATTTAGGCCATATTATGTAAATGTGATTGATAATGAGTGAAAAAATATCTTTTTTTCTTTTTGAATGATTAAAAAATCAGCCGCAGTACTACAGTTTGACTGCTGGGGGGAGCTGCTGAGCTAAAATCCAGACTTATAAAAACAGACAAAAGATCTCAATTAGTTTTATAGTTATGTTCAGCTGCAGAGGTAAGAAAACTTTGAAGTAGGTGCTCTAGAAGAGAAAAATTTACCTTTATCTAGTCATTTCTTTTAAATGTTAGTCTAAATTTTGCTGCACTGATTCTGAAATAAGTTGCTCTTTACTCATGTGCCTTCTTAGATGCTTATACATTTTTCTCCCTGACATTCGACACTCTAGTTTTAAGGTTTTTTTGTGGGTTCATGCAGCTCCCCCTCCAGATCTCACTGTCACACAGACTGAAAAAGTGCCTGAAGCTCAGATTTGCACAACAAAGCCACAACAGACTGCACTTTATTGCTTTGTTGTTAAACAGGAGTGAGCAGATTTTAGCGACTGTTTTTAGAGGTAATCATGTAATTATCATGAAATGTGGATTTGAATGAGTAAAAACTGAATAAAGCCATTTTAAATCATATTCAAATGTTTATTAGTGGCGTGAAGTTATCAATATGGAGCTGAATCGACTTCCTACTGCAGAAACTCGTGTGTTCATTTTGTGTTTCAATGACTACATCTCCCATGAGTCTTAGCTGATAGTGGAGGGTTATGCAACAATTTGTTTTAATTCTTATCATGAAAGAAGTGTGAAGTTGATGACTTCAATAACTCTTCAAATACAGCCAGAATGTGCACTGACACCAGCTAGAAGTGGGTGGGGTTAATACAGAAAAAGGTGTGGCTTAACAGAGTACCTGAGTGATGGGCGGGGCTTCAAACATCATCGCAGCTGGTGTTACACCTGACGCTCCTCCTGTTGGATCACCAGCATGAATCACTGTGTACTGTCGCCCCCTGGTGGCCGAGAGTGAACTGAGGCAGGAGAGATGACAATGGTGACCTTTTCATCATCTGTGGTTACAGATGAACTTTTCTATCAACACCTTTTTAGTTTTTTAGTTTTTTTTTTTAAATCTAATTCAAAACCTGAAGATGTATACTGATGGTTTTGCTTTACATGACAATTATAATTCAATCTATAACAGAGAAAATGTTTTAAATCTGTTTTTCTTAAGTCAAATACTATTTTTAAATTCATTTTTTACTTTTAAACCTCCTCTTTCTCGAGGCATGTGAGGCTGCGGCCAATCACAGCACAGGGCACTCAAAAACAGTCAGACTTTGTGTCTGTTGTCATGGAAACAGCAAACCATTATAAACCCTTCAGAGGCAGGTTTAAAAAGTTTGAGGGATTTGCAAGCACGAGGAAAGTTTCAGTTTGACTCTTAAATTAAACTCGTTTTTCATTCCTCTCTCTTTTCTCTGACTGAGTCCTTTAAAACTTTTCCACATTTATCTCACAGTCACTGCTTTAAGTATGAAGAGTCTGAGGTTTCACCCTGGAGACTCTGTTTCCCGCACATCCCTGCAGGATCTGACGTCACGCCTCCTCTCTTGGCGTTTCAGTGGGTCTCCTGTTTCTCCTTCTTTCTGCTCATCCTTCAGCTGTTTTGTCCCAAAGCTAAAGCCGCAATAAATCACAGCAGAACTGAGTGTCTGTGGGCGTTTCTTCCTCTGTCTCTGCTCATTTAACCGCGAACAGAAGGGGGACCCTGGGCAGACCGCTTTGGTCCACTTCAGTCTGCAGACCGCGAGCTGTCTCAGGACCAGGATCAGTCCAGGAGGAAGCAGGAGGACCTGTTCTGTCTGAGCCGTAAGTTTTTAAACTTTTTGAGTCAGTAAAACAGGATCGAGCTGAAGCTGCGCATGCCCCTGCAGGTTGAAGAGATCCGTTACGCTGTCAGGATTAGAGCGGACTGTTTAACATGCCTTCAGAGTGGACCAGTACCAGCTCACTCTGAACAGGACTGGTTTAACTGGTTTAAAAGAAGCTGTAATTGATGCTGACTCAGAGAGCCCTGAATGCATCACAACGCCTTCATAATCAGATATTTTTCAAGTTTGAAGCAGAAACATGTCAGTCCTCTTGTTCTTCTTCTTCTCTTGTTTTATGAGCCTCTATTTGTCTCATTGTGTCATCATGGCCATAAACTTTCATTTTGAAGGTCGTGACCTTTCAGAGTAAAGGCCCTCCTTGAGATTTTATTTCCTGCAGGTCAATAAAAGTCTCTCTTTCTTCTTTTGTTTCTGGAACCCTAAAAAAATGGAATTCCTCCCCATGTAAAACCAAGTTTGAGTGTTTTTAAAGCTGCGTTCGAGTTACCTCGGAAGTCAGAAATCCGAGCTGAAAATGTCACACCCGAGTTACTAGCGTTTCAGTCACCAAGGCGGATAAAAGCAAAATCGGATGCTTGCCTCGTCTGAAAATTTAGCAAGCGCTAAAATAACTTTTGTAGATGTAGCCATCTTGTTTCCACCTCTGATTTTGCTTTTTTCTGACTTTGTAACTGAAATGCTAGTAACTTGGGTGTGACGTCATTTTCAGTTCGGATTTCTGACTTCCGAGGTAACTCAGACGCAGCTTTAAAAACACTCAAACTTGGTTTTACACGGGGAGGAATTCCATTTTCCATTTTCTGCAGCATTAGCTTACAAACAGGAAGTGATGTCATGCTCCTTTTGACCTCAGCTCTCTCCTCCAGGTACGACCTCATCATGAGTCTGAGCGTCAGTGACCTCAGTCAGCTCGTGGAGCTGTGGGAGGAGCTTAACTTGACGGCTGCTGACCACATGAACGTGTCCCGTGTTGAGACGCTTCACTGCTCAGGCGCCGTCAGCCACGCCTCTTTCCTCACCGTCCTCTCCGTCTTCTATATCTTCATCTTCCTCGTGGGGCTCGGCGCCACTGCTGCGGTGATCTGGGTGAGCGTGTGCTGCAACAGGAAGTACTCTGGGATACATGTGTACGTGCTGCACCTGGCTGTGGCGGACCTGTGCGTGGTGTCCACGCTGCCAGTGTGGGTGGCATCCCTGCTGCAGGGCGGCAGATGGCTGTTTGGGGACGCCGTCTGTAAGCTGACACACCTGATCTTCAGCGTCAACCTCTTCAGCAGCATCTTCTTCCTCGTCTGCATGAGTGTGGACCGCTACCTGTCTGTCACACAGCTCGCCACCGCCCCCCACAGCCAGAGGAAAAAGGTGCAACAGTTGATCTGCATCCTCATGTGGCTGCTGGCGTTGGTGGCGTCCATCCCAGACACCTACTTCCTTCAAGCAGTGAGGTCATCACACATGGACGGTATCATCTGCCGGCCAGTGTTCCCTCCGGACCGCCAACGAGAGTGGATGGTCGGCGTCCAGTTGAGCTTCATCATTCTTGGCTTCGCCGTCCCGTTTCCTGTCATCACCTTCTTCTACCTGCGGCTGGCGGCGGTGGTCCCTCCAGGCTCAGACCGGGAGCGTCAGTCTGCCCGGCGTATCATCCTGTCTTACATCATGGTTTTCGTGGCGTGCTGGCTGCCTTTCCACGCCGTTCTCCTGCTGGACACGCTGTCACTGCTGCAGCTCCTCCCCTTCAGCTGCCGGTTGGAGAACTTCCTGTTCGTGTCGCTGCAGCTGACGCAGTGCTGCTCGCTTGTGCACTGTTGCTGTAACCCCGCCCTCTACGGCCTCCTGCACCGCCATGACCGCTACCAAGTAATGAAGGCCGTCATCTTTAGGTACTCCACAAAAACTGGACTCATTAGACTCATAAGCCCCGCCCTCAACAGTGAATCTTCCACTGCGCTCACAGACAACAGCGCCCCCGTCTGACCGGAGGAGTTCACGGAGTATCTCTGGACCAGATCCAGAGCAGGAACCAGAACTTAAGCAAGTGCAAGGTTCTGGTTTGATTTTTTTTCCATTTGTAACTTAATTTGATTGAAATTTCTTTAAATATGAACAAAAGTTCTGTATTAATGAAATAAAACGATTATCATTATTGTTTTTAAAAATTTATTTCACGGCAGCGCCTGCTCTTTGAATCTTTGAAGGACTTTTACTTTGAAAATACTCTTGTACAGGAAGTAATCCTAAATTTTGACCCCTAAAAAAACTGAACAATCAAAACAAAATATAAATTTCTGTGCTAACACTTTACAATAACCATAATTTATAAAGGGTAAATAGATAGTTTATTAATGTAATTTAATAGTTACTTTACCATTAACAGGCAATGAAATTATGATTAATAATTTTCATTAATTATTAATGGACTATTAATTAAAGGATTATAAAGGGTTTAAATATTGGTTGTAAAACATCTAGATTAAAATATGTGTCAGTAGCACTTTGTAAATGGTTAAGTGGTTTATAAACCATCTACTAACATTACTTAGATTGTTATTGTAAAGTTAGGTTAGGTCTAAATTGTAAAATTTACATTTAATCTATCTTGATCTTTATGCTATTTATAAATGATGATTAAACATTAATAAACTATCTGAGTACCACTTATAAATGGTCTATTTACCATTTATAAGTTTTGATTATTGTAAAGTTGTACCGATTTTGTTGATTTATTTTGTTAATACTTGGGTGAAACTGATCAAACTTATTTTCAATATTTCTCTTTTTCAATAATTTCACTGAAAACAAACGTGTTATTTTTTTCTGCTGGTTTTTACCCTTCAGCTTCATAAAAGATCTGGTTCTGCTTAAAACCCACAAAGTTCCAGAAACTCTCAACAGTGTCTTAGAGTGGGTGTGTTTGTGTGTTTATGAGTGTGTTTATTGTGTTGATGTTTGTGTCATGAGGGCTGTCGTCATGTGATCGGCTGATTCTCAGTTTAAACTCCTTCAGACGTTTCTTCAGTCTGAGCTCGACACTCGGTGAGTCTTTCGCTTTTTCTCACGGACAATTATTGAATTTAGAAAATGTTTAAATATGTTGTATTTCGGTTTTTCATGTTTAATTAAGTTTATTGGTCTTGTTTAGTGTTTTGTAGAGGCAATTCTTCTGCATTACAGATTATTTAACACTATTAACTTGCAATAATCTCCTAACATCTGATTTTCATTGAGTTCTGTTAAATCAGATCAATTTCCTGTAATTCAATTTAGACTAAAAGACACGTCATTTGTTGAGAATCAAACAAATCTGCTTAATTGATTAACATAATTATTCCGTGGAGGTTTTCTTGAGTTTGACTTTAATTGAATGACAGATTTGATCTTAAAACAAAACTTTGATCAAATTGAATCAATCGCTAAATCAATAAAGATCAGTCACTGACAAATTTAAACATTAAAGAATCTTATTTTAGCATCAGAGACTTTGATTGAAATAAAATGTGACAAAATAATAAAGAATGAAGCAATCAGAGAGACGACACCGTCCACAGGGTGTGGCAACAGAGCAGCAACTCTCAGCATCCAGCAACTCACTGACCGCAACAGCAAAGAGCCGACGTCAGCGAGGAATTAAAAAAAGGAGACTAAATAAAAAGAACTTAAAAGAACTTTAACAAATTATCAATAAAACAGGAACACTCACACTGAGGAGGCCAACTGATGAACTTCAATTAAGAATTTAAACTTTTTGTGTTTCAATGTGAAAATTTGACTTTCAAGAGCCTCAAAATAGACACACCCTGGTAAACTCCGGTAGCTCATTTTTTTAGAGTAAATTAAAACTAAAAGACTCCAATATATGGATAAAAATATACAAATTAATATATAAACATAACATAGATGCGTGAATATAAACACAGAGAGTTTGTGTAAACGTATAAATGTCAATCTTCTTCATCTCAGCGCGATGGAGCGCAAACTGGATCTGACTCGTCTGACGGACGAGGAGGCCAAACACGTGTGGGAGGTGATTCAACGAGACTTCAACCTCCGCAAGAATGAAGAGGAGAGACTCAGGTATGAACTTTCCCTTTAACTGTATGACAGAACTTAATCTATAGATAGAAACTGTATCTGAATTTATCTGTATATATATGTTTACACTACATCGACATGTTTATATCTGTGTTAATACATCTGAACATCTACAGACCTGTTTAACGATATTGAAAAGGTCCAGATTAAAGACTGGATTATTTATAATGGATCTAGTCTATTCAAAGGGGACTCCACCCCACCTGTCCAGGTAAACCCTGACACAAACTGCACTTGCTGTGTGACTCGTTGCCTGACTCATCTGTGTGACTCGTTCATGTGAGCAGGAGGAATGTAAGGGTGAAAGACTTGGTTGTTGATGCACTTGATCATAACTCGGTCACGCGGTGGCGGCCGGCAGCAGGGAGCTCACAAAGACCCTCTGTGCTCCCCAAACACTCAAACTCCCAACAGCCCCTGGGGCGGACAGCTCACAAAGGACGCAGAGCTCATACTGTAATGAGCACATTAGCTAAAGCTCCTGAGAGGAAATTCCAGCTTGTGTTGATTTTGGCACCCCCTGTGGCCACAACAGGAACTTGTGACCTGTTGCTAAATAAGGTTTACTTCACAATCACTCATGGAAAGTTTGGGGTTTCAAAACTGTGCAAAAAGGTTTATTCCGTGTGTTCTTAGTGAGCTGAAGACGCGACTCAAGAAGGAGGACGTGAAGCGAGAGCTGCTGGGCGTCGAGAGTCATCTGTCGGACTCTCACTGTCTACGATGTCTGCAGCCGTTCAAGTTCCTCATCAACAGCAAGCGTCAGTGTCTGGACTGTCACATGTACACCTGCAAGTCCTGCAGCCGCTATAACAAGAAGGAGCACGGCTGGGTGTGTGACAACTGCCGCATGACCAGGTGAGACCCCTTCAGGTGTGTCAGTGTTTTGACGATCACAGTGCCCTCTTAAGTCAAAGGTGAACAAGGGTTTTAGAAGGTACTGCAGCTGAAAGGGTTAACTTCTGTAGGTGCTAATGCTGCATTCGAGTTACCTCGGAAGTCAGAAGTCCGAGCGGAATATTAATATGATGTGGCTACATGGAAACAAGATGGCTACATCTACGGAAATTATTTTAGCACTTGCCTTATATTCGGACAAGGCAAGCACTAAAATAACTTTCATAGATGTTGCCATCTTGTTTCCACCTCCGATTTTGCTTTATTCTGACTTGGTAACTGAAACGCTGGGAACTTGGGTGTTGCGTCATTTTCAGCTTGGACTTCTGACTTCCGAGGTAACTCGAACGCAGCATAAGACATGCTCAGGTGTGCTGTGTTCACCTGCAGGGTGCTGAAGATCGGCACTGTGGGCTGGTACCACGACAACATCAGGAACCGCTTCAAACGCTTCGGCAGTGCCAAAGTGATGAGGTCGCTGTACAAGAGGCTGAACGGAGACGGTGAGCACACTGTGACATCACCATACCTGTAGGACACCTGTGCAGGCGTGGCCACAGAAACAGCAATGTCCATGTTAAATGTTTCATCTTTAAGTTTTGATTTTCTTAAAATATCATATAAATTCAAAAGTTATAATCTCGTTTTGAAGAAATGTTTATAATCCTGCTGCAAGCTAACATGACTTCCTTTTTTTCATCAGGTCGCGATGATGACACTCAGAGCATGCCCGACATCTGCAACTGTGAGTCACCTTAAAATCTTTGTGAACAACAAAATTTAAGCCAGCAGCACATTTCAAAACAGTGAGAACAGGGATAAGGAAATACTAAAGAAGTCATGCAATCCCAAAGTAACCATCTTGAGGAACAACTCCAAACTGACTGGGAATAAAAAGAGCATTTTAGAGAGGCCAATGGGATGTTTCACCACTCTGTGAGAGACTGCGTGAGAAAACAGTTAAAACAATGTCCCCCAGTCTAAAATATCACATGAAAATTTATCATCCACACTCCATGATATCATTAAAAGATTCAGAGAAAAGGGCAATGCCGATAACTGATACAGCATAACTGTAATCTTCAGGCCCTCAGGCGGTACTCGAATAAAATGACTGCAGCAGGAATCACTCCATGAGCTCAAGATCATATCGAACAAACATTAATCTGTGAACACAGTTTGTCCCTGTATCCAAAAATTCTGTTTAAAACTACCACACAAAGAGAAAACCATCAATCGACATGATCCAGAAATGCCTGAGCCCATTTAAGAGGAAAAACTGACAGATCAATATTTGGCCTTTTTGGAAATCATGGCCGACAATCATATGTGTAAGTGTTTTGTCTCCCATTAGATGGGTTTAACGGTAGAGAGGACGAGCAGGTGGAGGTCGAGGCTCAGCACTTCAAGACGGTAAATACATTTAAAATCAAATAATCACATGATCATGATCATCAACCAAAGTTTAACAAAGTTTCAACTTCCTGTTTCTTGTCAGATGAGGAAGAATAAACGACTGCTGTCTGTTCATCCTCTCGACTTTGACCCCGAAGATTATTTCCCAAACTCACGAAGACCATCTGCACAGGTAACAACACACACAACTAGAAAATACTCACACCTGTGGTTGTCAAAATTAACTGTGTTTATCATGTCCGAGCAGAATCAGGAGGATCGGGGCCACAGGAATGACTATGACGACCCCAACAACCGAGTCAACCGCAGGAGAAGTATGGACCGACACAACAGCAGGCATGGTGAGCATAAGTATCTGAAATATGAGGGTCCGTTTCAGGAAATGACGTCAACATCAACAATGTTCACTTCCGTCTTCGCTGCTGTGTGTAGAAGACCTCGGTGACAGCAGGATGGTCAGTACTCGCTCCCTGTCAAAGATCAGCTCCTCAGTTGCCCGCCAACAATATGTTGACACCTCAGATGAAGACGATTACCCCCGTCAGCCCCACCACCGTCGCAAGAATAGCAAAACGTCCTCTCAGGAGAACCTTGGCCAGACCCAACCAGTGAGAGTATAAATACTACATCCATGAACCGTAACAGGAAAACAGAGACCGTTTTAGTAAATGAAAGCATTTCTCTCTACAGATGAATGAGCTGAACAAACGAATGTTCGCCATCGAGAACCTGCTGAGCCGCTTGGAAGAGAAGATCACGCCTAATGATCAGGTGAGACCACAAAACCCCACTACTTCCTGCAAGAACAGGTCCTGGTTCTGGTCTAAGTAACTGTTCTGTTGGCCTTGCAGGCAGCAGCTCCAGAAGCTCACGGCGAAGAGGAGAAGCTGAGGAGGAAGCTGAGCGAACTGGCAGCTTCCTCTGATGAAGAGGCCGACAGGAAGTGGGCTTCTGCAGGGGCCAGTGAAGCCCTGGTCTGGAAGGGTGCTGCTAATTGTCTTCGGGACAAAGAACTGAGTTCATCCAGTGACGAGATGCCAACAGAGGGTCAGAAGGTGAGACCGGTCAGATGATCAATCACTCATAACACCAGCAGGCAGAACTCCTGACTGTGGTGCATCTGGCTCCCTGTTGACTTGCTGGCTGTGGTGTGTTTGGATGCTTGCTTGCTTATGTGCACTTAAGTCTTTGCTCACTTTAGTGCTTTGGGTCCTTGCTTTAAGTAATCCATTTGAGTCCTTCCAATGGACAGTGCTTTTGTGTCTTTGGTGACTGCTGTGTATTTGTTTTTTTGCGGGTGGAAATTCTTTCCGATCTTTGCGAACTTAGGTGCTTTTGGGTCCTTCTTTGCTGGCTATCATCCATACGGGTTGTTGTTGTTGGCCGTAGTGTGTTTGGTTGCTTGCTTGGCGTTACGCACACTAGTCTTTGCTAGTTTCAGCACCTTTGGGTTCCTGCTGGCTGGGGCGCACTTTAATCCCTGCTGGCTGGTGCATTTTGGTCCTTGCTTGCTGTTGTGCATTCAGGTTGTTGCTAACTGTTGTCTGTTTGGGGCCATACTGAGGTGAATTTTTGTCTTGGCTGACTGTTGTGTCGTTTGTCATTAGTTGTGATGTACTGGGTCCCTGTTGACTGGTGCAGAAGCATCTGAACCCCAATATATACACATTTTAAGAGTCTCTTAATGGCAAAATAAACATTTTAAATTCCTGGAATAGTAAACACATTTTTGGTCTGACCGGCACACTTCTCTTTCTGGTGGGAGGTTGAGGGATTATAACTTTCTGTTTTCGGGGATGTTGAGGTTACAAGTTCTGCATAAACAGGGTGCAACTGACTGGACTGAGGGGGAGCACAACGTGGTTTTTAGCAAGGGGGCCAAAGGCCTGATTTCTACCTCTCTGATTATTGATAAGCTGACCGAAGATGAGGTTAAGTCAGCACTTCCACTGCTGGTGCAGTTGCTGCAGGGTCAGGCATGTGTTCTAACTCCACCCTCTTTGTGGTTTTCAGAGATCAACAGCCGCGGCGCTCTGTGACCTCACCACAGAGGTCCTAAGGACCATAAACGCCACGGAGAGCGCCATGTTGGAGTATGGTCTGTCAGAGCTGCCGCAAAGACCGCAGTTAGCCAGCTCTGATGTAAAACAGACAGACGATGCATTCAGGGAACTTGAAGAAAATGTACGCTTCAATAGACATTACGTTCTCTTTCCCAACAAATCAAACGATCTGCTTTGTCAGCCATCAAAAACTTCAAAATAAGAGTCTTAAAGTTTTCTCAAAGCACCAGATTATAACTGAGGGGGTTGGTTCTGATTGGACCACAGGGTAGGGTGACCTGTTCACGTGGAGGCCAGGAGAAAGTTTTAATCTCTAATGCTATATAATAATAATACCGTTTATGAATACAGAGATGAATAATATTTTCCAACAATTAAACTTTAACCTTTAATATGTCTGGCAGAAACCTTTTTTCTGAAATTATAATTTGTTTTTTTGTTATGTTTTTGTTTTTTTGTCTTCACATTCTCACCTGGACATCAGATCCGACTCTTTGTCATGGCTCTCAATACCTGAAACAAACACACCTATCAAGTGAACTCAGAGTTTAAGACAAAACTGCACCCAACCCAACCTCCCCCAACTATGAATCTAATTCTCAGGGCTCAATGGGCTTCTGATATTTTCAAAATAAAGCGATGTCGATGAGGAATTCAGGGCCGTGACAAAGTGTAGGATTGTGATGAGTTGGGATTGAGAATAGTGACACTGCAGAGTTTGTACTGACCTCTTGCTGTCTAAAGCCATGTTTCCACCCAAAAAAATAGGAACTGTTGGTCCCTGGACCTGTTTTCTATGTCAGGGACTAATAAGGCTTCAGGTTTTCCTGTTTTCTGTCTCAACTGAGGACTCATAAAAATCAGAGTCTCCTTCTGTTTCAAACGCTTCACCATTCTGAAAGGTTAAGAGCTGCAAGCCCCGGCCAAAAAAAATCCCAGTATTTTAAAGAAGAACCACATTCCCAACAGGAACCTTTAGTAAGGTTTCACCCTAAAAAGTCCCTTTTTGTACTTTCGAACAGTGTTACTAGCAGCAACCCAATGAGCTCCTCTTGAAGTTCCTGGTATTTTAATGAAGTTCCTGCTGTGGTGGAAACACAGCTCAATACCACTCCCCTCCCACCCACTCAGCCACACATGCACACAACCTCCATCCCCACACAAACACAAAAGCCCCCATGCAACACCTCCCCCTCTTCTGGCTCCAGCATGAAAGCAGTATGTGGACTTTAGCCCCGCCCCCTCCCCTTCCTCAGGTGTGCTACAGGTGTGTTGCCTGGTGTGTTACTCCATGTTATGTCATGGATGTTTGTGTCATGGTTCTGCATGAGTGCATGTATGTCACCCTGGCAAGTCTATCCCAGGTGTGTATTACAAGCGCTTGTGTGCATGTGTGTGTCACCTGTGCAGGTGTACATGGCGGCTGGTCAGTCTTTTGATTTGGAGTCAAAGTTGCGTCGACTCGAGCAGAGCGCCAAAAATAACTTTGGAGGGACGACCGACTCTGAGCTGTCCGAGCTGGAGGACGTTGTGGCGCTGACTGCTGCTAGAGTCCAGAGTGCTGAGAGCGAGGTGGGTCACACACCTGGATGACATAACAATGGCATCATAATAAGTAAATAATGTCATGTTTTCTGTGCAGGTGTCGGACATTGAGAGTAAGATCGCTGCTCTGAAAGCTGTTGATTCAAAGAAGGTGAGACTGAATTTTGGTGTGAACTTAAAGGGATATTCCAGCGTAAAATTAATTTAGGGTCAAACACACCATAACACCGAGTTAGACACTCCCTCAAGAGATGAATGTTGCTAAACGCTTGCTTCTCTAATTATACCAACTTTAGTAATGATTGCACGACAGCAATACAGAGGGCCACGCGCTCCACCAAAACGCCACTCTATAGCCACAAATAATGCTCAGAACAGCACCTAACTTCATCAACAGTACGTATACGGTCCCAGCCATAGTACTAGCCACCAAACATCTTTTTAACTTTGCCTGATTTCTATAGCAAATACACTAGCGGCTGCTGGAAGAGAGTAGGTGAGTTGTGTTAAGTCACTTTGCTAAAGAAATTAGGCAAAGTTAAAAAGATGTTTGGTGGCTAATACTATGGCTGGGACCCAAGTGTACTGTTGATGAAGTTAGATGCTGTTCTGAGCATTATTTGTGGCTATAGAGTGGCGTTTTGGTTGAGGTTTGTGTGTGGTTCCAAAGACCACTGCGTATTGCTATCTTGCGGTCGTTACTGAAGTTGGTATAACTAGAGAAGTAAACAGTCGGCAACATTTATCTCTCTAGATGGTGTCTAACTGGCTGCTACGGTGTTAATTTTACGGCGGAATATTCCTTTAACAGACAGTAATGATAATTATTGAATCCTCCAGGTGTCTGGATCTCAGAGGAAGAAGTCATCACATGATGTCCGCAGTAAGAGTCCTTCACCTTTTTGACACAAAACACAAACATGTCCAGAGTCTTTGTTTCTGCTTGTTTTTTTAAATCAATTTTTATGTTTTTTTTTTCAGAGTGATGGCGCTCAGGGGAACTTCAAACAAACATGTCTGTGTGTTCACTTACTCTAACATACTCTTCTTTAGATGTTTAAAGAGAAACACTCACTAAATAACACTCAGTCTTTGACATAACTCTGTAAAACTAACCTGTGTTAAATTAGAAGCAGACAGCACGTTTAAAGAAAGTTTACAGGTCATCTCTATCCTAGTTTTAAAAATTATTCCGTGCAAATGGAAGTAGAGTGAAAAATATAGTGACATCCTGAAAGATATTCATGAAATAAAATCTGGATACTCTCTGATGTTGTTCTCTGTTGTGGATTTTCTTAAAGGCTGCTGATTGAAATATGACTTTTCAGAAAGGTAAACATGTGAGGTTATTTATTTATTATTAACTTAAAGGATAAAAACAAAATCCTCCTACAGTTCAGGTTTAAAAAGTATCAAAGTTTTATTTGCACCAATGAAAACAGGTTTGTTCTCAATCTTTTTTCTTCACTTTTAACTTGGAAGGATTAAGTTTGCTCCTTTTATTTTGAAATCTGTAACAGGATAATGCAGTCATTCCCACAGGCGTACATTTTAAACTACTTCCGGGACCTCCTTCAGAGTAAAACTGTTATGCATGGGTTATGCAGGGATTTACTCACAGCATTAAATTCACAGATTTTAAATTCCTTGTAAATTTTTTCATTTTTCTCTGCAATACACAAACACGCACTAAATGGAACTGCAAAGCACTACTTAGATTAGATTAGCTTTTCCTTTATTCATCCCTCAGGGGGGAATTAAGTTGTTAACAGCAGCAGTACACAAAACATAAAAAACAAATAAATAAGATAAAGAACTATGGTAAAAAAAGAAAGAGCATTGCAAGGGAAGAAGAGTATTAAAGACAAGTACAAGAAAAATATCAAAGAGATAAAAAGATCGGTGCCAACAAAAAAACAGGAATGGTACTTGATTGATAAAACAATTTAAAACAAAATATAAAGAATATGTTTTCACGGGATACAGGTATGTACAATCAAAGTAACTTTTATCATTGTTTTGTTATTTTCACTGTGGTGATTATTTTTATTGCTATTATTACTATGATGATTAATAATATTACATAATATTATGATAAATATTTAAACCATTAGTGTAGGAGAAGGGGTGGGACTAGATAAGTCTCGACTTCTTCACACTCCTCTGAATTTGAATAACTTTTTGTCATTAGTCTTTACTCTTTTATTTTTATTCTTATATGTTCAAATAAACTTAAATCAATCAATTGTAAAGCCAATTTGATCGTAAAGGTACATAAAGATATGTCTTTTTCTAAGTCATTACTTTAAGAAACATTTATTTTATTTTGAAACTACATACCCGGAAGGAGGGTGGGCTTTTATTTTGAAAACAACTTTTTCCTCTGGGTTTATACTGTTACGCTTAACAACGCATACATCCCGCCTCCACAATAAAAGCCTCCACCCTCTGTGTTTCACTGCGGACCATCACGGTGCGTTCACGGTCCGGTACCAGCCTACCTGCGGCTTTACCTGACGACGTTAAGTGTGTCTACTTCACGGAACCCGGTTCGGTAACTGTAAGTGAAGGCTGCTGGTACCGGCGGATAACCGACTGTGCCGGCCAGTCTACCGACACTATGCCGACCGGTCGGTCCGGTCTGATGTCTGTGAATGGGAACAACAAACCGCAGAGACTGACGGTGATTATGAGGATCATTATTCTGCCCGTCCGGTTCTCCGGTAGAGACTTTTAGCAGCAGGCTAACGTTAGCAGCTCGGCCCGCAACCTCCTCGGACCGAACATCCGAAAATCTGCTCTTTCATCCCAGAATCGATTGTTCGGTTTATGAACAGTGAGCCCGGCTAACCCTCCTGATGGGGACTCAGGGGCCGGGCAGGAAGAGGATCCCGAACAGGGAGAAGCTGACCGCGGAGGATGATGCTTTGAACCAGATCGCTCGAGAGGTGAGATGGTTAATCGAGTATAACATGGTGTTAATAATGTGATTATGGACTGATCGGTGATCAGCTGTTAGTGTCGGTCTGCAGGTTTGACTCTTTCTCATAATGCTGCAGCCTGCTGCTGGTGGACAGGACGAGTGGGGGTCAGATACACAATCTACAACCATAACCGTGTGCTGCTAAAACCATTAAAAATAAAATATACTATAAAATATTTAAGTAAAACAAGCATAAGAGGGAGTTGATGGATACATGCGCAGCTAAGTTTTTGTTTAAAAGTGACTATTACTCACAAAAGTCTCATATATCATATAGTAAGATAACAGCATCATGTTTATAGTTTATAATTACATAGCTCTAGTTAACATTACTGAATTATTTTCATTATAACATCACATTATACAGTAACATTACTGCATCATATCTATTATTTTTGATTATAACATGAACTGAACTTTGTTTATATATTATCTATTACAAACATGTAACCCTGGGTGCTTAAGGGATATTCTGGCGTAAAATTAATTTAGGGTCAAACACACCGGAACACTGAATTAGATACCCCCTCGAGAGATGAATCTTGCCGACTGCTTGCTTCTCTAGTTATACCAACTTTAGTAACGACCACAGATAGCAATATACAATGGTGTGAGGAGCCATAAACAAACCTCAACCAAAACGCCACTCTATAGCCACAAATAATGCTCAGAACAGCACCTAACTTCATCAACAGTACATATAGGGTCCGAGCCATAGTACTAGCCACCAAACATATTTTAACTTTGCCTAATTTCTTTAGCAAAGAGACAAAACACAACTCACCTACTCTCTTCCAGCAGTCGCTTGTTTGTAGTGAGAAGCGGTCGGCAACATAAATCTCTCGAGGGGCCGTCTCACCAGGTGTTACATTGTGTTTGACCAGAATATCCTTTTAACAGGTGTACAGAAATAAGTTTAAAAGACAAAATCTGTAGTAAAAGGCTCATAGAAAAAGTAAAATTAAATACTTAATTCATGATATATGACAAAAATAAAATCAATAAAACCTGAAAAATATTTAAATAATAGGTACAATAGCTTTTAACAAAAAGGTTTTAAAATGACCGATTAATGGTGTTTCTCTGCCTTATTGTGTCACTTTTTTGTGGCATTTTGTCCCTCTTTGCACCCCATAAGAACAACCAGGTGTGAACAGCTGCAAGGTGATGTCAGCAGGTCATCGTTAAATCAACATAAAAATCGTCAGATCAATAATGTCATGATTCAACGCCACAACAAAGAGCCTTTATGTCCTGTTAGTGTGTGTGTGTGTGTGTGTGTGTGTGTGTGTCCTACATTCTGCTCTGGAATGTGAGGCTGATGAATGAACCTCACTCAGGGGAAAACTTCTCCTGTTTGTTGTTGTGTTGTCGCATGGTTGCATTTGTACAGTAATTTTAAAGATAGGTACTTGTGTTGTTTAGTTGTTGTGTTGTGTAGTTTTTACGCAGTCTTCTCATTATTGTCAAGGTTTTGTGTCACAGTTCTGGTCCTGAGTACTTCTCTAATTATTGTGGTTGTATAGTTTTTATAAAATTATTTTACTGTAAAGTTGTTGTCAAGCTGTTAAGTTGTTTTGTAGTGTGTCGCTGCTGTGCTGTTGTTTAGAAAGTTGTGTCTTTGCTCTTCAGTTGTAGTTGTTGCGCATTAGAGGCTGGTGTGAAGTTGTTGTTTAGGCTTGATTTTGTTGAATTTTGTGTGTAGTGTTAGGGTTTCATGTGCAGTTGTGTTGTTGGGTTGTGTGTTAATATTAATAAAATTAAAATGTGCTCGATGTTTGTTGTTGGTTGAAGCTTCATCCTGCCGATCTCAAACCTGCCAGGTCACATGACTCTCATATCTGAGCAGGTAACCGCAGACCCACCTGACTGCATTCACCTGTGTGTGTGTGTGTCTGTGTGTGTGTGTGTGTGTGTCTTGGGTCTTTTTTTGCTGATTGTTATCCTGATAAGACCAAGAGTTACTGTGTGCATGCCTGAAAAAAGGGGCAGAATCAGCCAAAAGAAACTACAGCTAACTACAAGTGACTCAGTTTAACTAAATATATAATAACAGAGGACTGAACAGATTAAAAGATACAATTATAAGACACTTCAAATCAGTTGGTATGCCTACATATGATGTTGGTATCTCCCAATCATCTCTTAGTCGCCTTTAACTTGTCCAAAATGCTGCTGCCCGTCTTTTAACCAACACTAACAGACGTGAGCACATCACTCCTGTCCTTAGCTCCCTTCGTTGACTTCCCATCTCTTTTAGGATTGATTTTAAACTTTTAATGTTTGTTTTTAAAGCTCTTGAATGCCTTGCCCCTGTCCAGCACAAGCTTTTAACTGTTCGGGAGCCGGGTAGAGCCCTGAGGTCGTCAAATCAACTTCGGCTGGAGTTGCCCAGGTCAAAACACAAACACTGGGGTGACCGAGCCTTTTCAGTCGCTGATCCCAGGCTCTGGAAAAAGCTCCCCACAGAAATGAGACTTATTTCTGACCAGGGCCTTTTCAAATCCTGATTAAAAAAGTACTTATTTATGCTGGCTTTTAATACCCAGTTGCGTGGTGACACTTTATTTTATTGCATTGCATTTCATTCTTTTTTATTGCTTTTATTGTTTTTATTTATTAATTTTTATTTTCTATGTTTTGTAAAGCACTTTGGCTCACCGAAAGGGTTGTTGTAAAGGGCTGTGAGAATAAAAAACATTTACATCTTTACCACAGATGACCTCAGGTTTCCTTGTGAGTGTAGGATGATGTTTTACTGGTTTGTTGTTGTTGTGTGAGCGTATATTGGCAGTAAATTGTCTGCCATCACCATGGTAACATCACAGCAGTGACCTACTGAGAGCTGGCAGTCTGTCACTGTGTGTGTGTGACCCCTATTCTGTAATCCTTTGCTGCAGCGCTAACACTAATCTCAACTCATGACGGTGCCCCAACATACACACACTCACACAGATCTGTGCGACATCTGGTTAGGACACTGTCTTAACTTCCTGTTTACTTCCTGGTTCAGCTGTTTAAAAAATGTTTAGAGTGAACTCAGGGCTGATCTCTCTCTACTCGGAGACCGGTTTACCTGCATACTGCACTCAGGTGTGTTGTTGTCACGGTGATGGAGGGTGTGTCTCCTGCAGGGAGGACAGGTGGATGAGCCACATTCCCACAGCTGGACAAACTGATGAGATGCAATGAAATAAACTCAGTGATGCAGGTGAAGATGATGTTTATATAAATTCACTGTGTTTACCTCCATCCTGTCTCCACTCAGGCTGAGGCCAGGCTGGCGGCGAAGCGGACGGCAAGGGCGGAGGCGAGAGACATCAGAATGAAGGAGCTGGAGAGACAGCAGAAAGAGGTTGGGAGGCTTTTATTTTGAAATCACTGCAAGGCACACCCACATAAACACACATGAACATCATGTCAGTTTGGGGTTTGCCGTGCTCTAAGAAACAACACAATGCTAATGCTAGCTAAGTAGGTTGCTTTGATTTATTTTGACCCGAGTAAAGTTTGTGTCAGTTTTGGTGCCCCCTGTGGACGAAGTAGTCTTTGCTTATCTTGGAATTTTCATGCTTAAATAGTGACTGGCCAAAAAATCTCCCTGCTGATTTTTGACAGTCAATTATCTAATTTATTTAAATTTTTGATGGTTACACCTAAGGGCATGACACTAATTTTTAATGTCATTTTACAATTCGCACACATCTATTTTTAGTCACAAATGCGAGTGAAACGGTCACACTGTCACGCCCTGCGCCTGTTTAAGGCATCAAAAACTACAAAATAGCAAACCTAAGTCTTGTCACTGATCGTGTAGTTCATGTTTGAATATCATAAAAATGCATCAATGTAAATTTTAGTCTGTTTGATTGGCGTTAAAAAGTTCTTTACTAGAGCTTTAATCTGTTTTATATAGAAAACATGAACATTGTAAATATACTGTATTTTGTATAATGTTAAACATATGGTGTAATGCAGCTTACTATGATGTCACATCCTGTCCAAGTTTTTTGTGAACATGATGAGGTCAGGTGACCGTACCTGAGTGACATCACAGAGCAGTGTTAAGAGTTGTCAGGGTCAAAGGTCAGAGAGTGTGAGGGAGCTTTAATCATCAGACGTTTGAAGGGTCTCTGCGGTGAGTTTCTTCACTTTTGACTTCAGTTCAGTTTCTTAGAAAAGTTTAAAAATCTAAGTTTCTGTTTTATTATTTAAAAAATTTAGACATGTCAGAGAAATGTATTTATATGAAAACGGGACAAAGTGACAGGAACTTGAGTTTGTTTAGAGTTTATCAACTCAGAGATGAAATTTTCAGATTTACAGAAAAATAACCATCAAATTATTTTGTTTTTTTAATGAAAAAAGTAAATTACTTTTTTAGATTTAGATATTTGAAACAAGCAGTTTTCTGTTTTTGTGGTTTTAACTGATCAGTCCTCTAGTTTGTGGAAAAAAATGTCATTTTTGCAGATGAAAAAAAGAAAACAGATTTACTTTTAAAACTTTTTTTGACTGACTGAACTTTATCCTGTTACACGGTCTGAATACCTGGTGGAGTTATTTTAGATTTTATAATATCTAAACATAGATTACAAAAAATTCAACATTTTTAAGGTTTGAATACAGATTGGTTCATTTTAACGTTTCCTGACCACAGCGCCAGCAGCCAATCAAAGGCTCAGACCTCTGACCTCATCAAAAGTGTCTGTTTCAACAGAGCACTGGGAGAATGAGTCATGTGACCAAGACAATGTAATCACATGACTCTGTGTTTTACACTTCACCTTATTTACAGTCAATTAAATTAGGATGTAAATACATATGAGCTCATTACCTCTGACCTAACTCTTTGCTCAGCTTCCTCTAAACTACATTATTTCATCACACTAACCCACCTCTGACCCCTGACCTCTTGTTCTTACCCTGTCTCTCCTCTCGTTTCTCGCCCTGCTTACCTCAGCTCTTTCACAGCCACAAGGTACGACTAACCCAAAACATCCCACCTTAAATCCACCTTAAATCCTCACTGCTGGGTGTTTGTTTTTCTCATGTGGAGGGCCGGGCGGGTGGAGTTAGTCTCCATGTGGGGGCGTGTTCTAACTCTGTCTCCTCCTCTTCCTCCCCTTGCTCCTTCCACAGAAGTATTATGGTCTGGACAATAAGTGGGGACACATTGAACAGTGGATGGTAGGACTCGAACAGACCACAGGTCTCTCTCAGAGTCTCAACGACTGGCGTTAGGCTTTTTAGGACTTGTCGGGACTATTTAGGACTTGTCAGGTCTGTCCAGGATTTGTAAGGACTGTTGAGGGCTTGTTAGACCTTTTAAGGACTTGTTAGAGCTCTTTGGGACTTGCTTTGGCAGTTGCACCTGTTAGGACTTGTTAAGGCTTGAAAGAATTGCAAAGCCTTTTCTAAAACTATTTAAGACTTGTTAGGGGTGTTAAGGACTTGTGAAGACTTAGAAACTTGTTTGGACTCTTCAGAGCTTACTAGTATTTTTTTGGATTAGCCATGCCAGTGGAGGACTTGGTGGAACTAGACTACCCCTTAGGACTTGAAAGACCTATCTTAAACTTGTAAAAGCTTTTAAGGACTTGTAAGGCTTGCTAAGCACTTGTGGAGCTTTTCAAGACTTGTCAGGGCTCGTTTGGACTTCTCTGGGACTCGTGAGACTCTGTATGTCACATGAAAACCTCATATAAAACGTGATTGAACAGATTTCTTGGATCTTGTGTGACTTTTGACCTCTGAACAAATACTGGATGCCATCAGTGGGGTTTGCTGCCCATGTTGAGTCTGGCGCCCTCCTGTGGACACACTTAAAATGCCCCATAGCATTAAAGAGGAAAATACAAACAGGTGTTTTGTTCTGCATTGCGAAAACTTCTTTAACACCCAGAAGGTCAAAATATAAATCAAACTTAAAATAAACTTAAAATGATCTGTTTTGGTTTTTTAACTCATACAGAGACCTGAAAATAAACTCTGGAGTCTGATAAGCAGGTAAAAACTCCTCTTAGTGCTCTATGTAATGTTAATGTATAAGAAATATGAACCATAATTAAACTACAATATGGAATATTAACATTAACTGAAATAATAAAACAAATAATAAAAGAGAATTATATTAAATAAACAGCTTCATATCATTCATTTGTGTGTGTGTTTGCTGATAATCAACAACAGTGGAGGTCAAAAGTCACACAGTCAGATCAGGTGTGAGGTTTTCATGTGTGTGTGTTGCATGTAAACTGGAAGTGGCTGCTGTTTGTTGTTTGTTCTGCACGCGCTCAGACAGACTCAGATAATCTAACAGTTTAATCCAGATTGGCAGATAATTTGACCCTCTTGTTTGTTTATTGTTCTGGTTTATTTTTTCATTGTTAAAGTTAAATTAGTTTGATCAGCATTTGATTTCAAATCATTTTTATTTTCAGAATTTATTTCATATTTATTTATTTATATTCCTTATTTTTCACCTTATTTTGGAGGGGTTCCAATCTGTGTCACATGACCTGCATGTCAGAGTCTTCACTGTATAATGACATGTGTGTGTGTGTGTGTGTGTGTGTGAGAAAGTGTGTGCATGTGTGTGTCCAGAGGAAACTGCTTGCCCCACCTCCTCTTCTTCTTCTTCTTCTTCTATGGTGTCTGCTCTGTAACTGCTCTCTTTTCTTGGTGGCGTTTCAGGAGGACAGTGAGCGGTACGCTCGCCACTCACGGAGACACGCCTCGGTCTGTACCTCTGCACCCACCTCCACCTCATTTCCTTTGTAGTCAGACTCTTCCTGTCATCTGTTTGTGATCACAGCAAGGAAACGAATAAAGTTTTAGAGTTTGAAAAATAGAAATAAATCAAAAAAAGGAAACAGAGTAAATAAAATCAACTAACATCAAAACTAACACTGAACATGCTGAAAACTGACTGTGTGTGTGTCCGTTTGTGTGTTTCAGATGTCCGACGATGAGGAGAGGATGTCTGTGGGGAGTCGAGGAAGCTTCCGGGTGAGTCTGGTTTAAAGAAGAGCTCTGATTGGTCGTCTCATGCCAATCAGAGCCCTGATTGATTGTGATGTAATCAAACTAAACACATTAACAGCTGTTCTTCTTTTCTAACTTTATAACCTTTTAACCGCTAACAGCTGATTTCTCCTCTCCTTCCTGCTTCCTTTTCTTCTCTCCTGTTTCCTCCCTCCTTTAACTGTCCCTTCAGCCTTCAGACTACAGCGGGTTTCTGGGTTCTGGCTCTCGGGCCTCTTCTAGGGCCAGCTCAGCTCGAGCCAGCCCCGTGGTGAGCTCTGCCTCCACCCTTCTAATAATCACTTATTTATAACCTAAATGCTCTCCCTGGTGGTTGAGTCGGTCTCCTGCAGCTTCACCATGATGAGTTTAAGTCTGATGAGTCCTTTCCTGTGTGTGTTTTCAGGTGGAGGAGAGACCTGACAGAGAGTTCCTGGACAAGGTGAGTCAGCTGATCTGATTTATGAATAACAGTTAGAGATTTTACCTGCCGTTTCTCTGACAATGCCGACATATTTTAATTAAATACAATAAATAAAATAAATAAAGATGTTTCCTCCTCCTCATCCGCAGGGCTCGAGGACCGCCTCCACGCTCTCCGCCGCCACTCTAGCCTCACTGGGTGGCGCTTCATCCCGCAGAGGAAGCTGTGACACGTCGTTCTCTGTGGAGACGGAGGCATCCATCAGAGACCTGAAGGTAGAAAAACATCGAAATGTTGAGTTTGAAAGGGGCAAAAATTATCCAATTTTAGCAATTTTGAATATTGTTACAATAAAGTTAGGCTCAAACAGGTTAAAAAAAAAAAAACTTTTAGTACTTTAAATTAAGTTTAAAGTGTACAAAAACATTTTGATAATCAAGTTCACTCCTGTTTTTTATATTTTAAGTATAAAAATATTTCAATTTTAACAATTTTGAAATCTTGTAACAAAAAACCTAAGCTTAACCACATAAAAAAAACCTTTTTTAATAAAGTTTAAAGTGTGCAAAAACATTTTGATGATTGAGTTCACTCCTGTTTTAATATTTAAGGAATAATTGTGAAGTATAAAATATTTTGTTAATTTATTTAATAGGATTCAAATATTTGAATTAAATACTTAAATGTTTTAAAAATAGTTTTATTAAAATAATTTTGACCCAGCACAAAAATATTTTGAAATGATAGTTGTGACAGAAATCAACATTTTAATAATTAAGTGTAAATAGTACCAGAGATCATTAAATGTTGAAAATTTACTTAAACAAAAATGTTTAAAATTAACTTAATGCTGTTTCATTTTTAATTAAGTGATTCTGAGTTTATTTTCAATCTTAAATATTGAGCGGCTTGTATATGTTTCAGACAGTTGACGAATATTCTGGGATTGACGGCGTATTAAGAGGAACAAATCTGTGATATAGTCACTTCTTAATTTAACAGGAGATTTCACAACTCATTATAGTGACTGATTATGATTATACTAATATGTTAGGAGTCTCTGTGCACCAGAACTATAATTCTTATAATAACTACAATGACGCGGTTGTGTTTAGGAGTCTCTGTCGGATGCAGAGGAGAAGTATCGGCGTGCGATGGTTTCGAATGCCCAGCTCCATAACGAGAAGTCGGCGCTGATGTATCAGGTGGACACGCTAAGGGAGGAGATCAACGACCTGGAGGAGGACCTATGGGAGACTCGTCGCCATAGAGACGACTTCAGAAAGGTCAGATGATGGTTGTTTGTACTTGTGAAAAAAAAAACAGCTTGTGTGGAACTGGTGTTTAAATAAAGATTGATGCTTTTGAATGTTTCAGGAGTTTGAGCGCGAGCGTCAGGCTCACAGCGTCCTACAGTTCAGCTACAAAGAGATCAAAGACACCCTGACGCACACCGAGGAGCTGCTGACGGTCTGTAACACACATCCAGACAACTACATACAACTACACACACACCAATCAACTGATCCAGATAAGCACTGGTTTAACCAGAGAGCGCGTAACGTCAGAGCACCTGACTGACCCCTCCCCTCTTTTCCAACTTTTCACTCTTTACTAAAAAGTTTACTTTCATAACTGAACTCACAAACACCTCGGCTCTACAGATGCTAACATGCTAACCCTGCTGCTCCTCCTTCAGGAGGTGTCTGAGCTCCGGGTGAGGAGCAGCTCTTACTGTCAGGAGGTCTCTGACCTAAAGGAGGCGCTGCAGTGGAAGGAGAAGAAGATGGCGGTACGACAAAAACATGACGGACCATAGACTGTATATAAAATGGACAGCGTCTGCCTTCTTGCTGGGTGAAGCCACTCCGAGAACAGCACACCCTGGTGATGGGCTACAGTATAGGTCATAAAACCTCTGTACAGCTCAGTTTTTAAAAGTTATTAGGGGGTTCATGTTTTCTATGATTGACACTTGATACAGCCTATGGGGGTACAAGGATTGCGTAGCTCTCGGCAACTCTCCCGCCGAATGTGCACAATGTGGTGGAGTGCGTACAGAGCTACTGTGCAATGTTGGTTTGAGGAAATGGAGCAAAAACGCAGAATTACCAAGAGCTTTTCAGCTTCAAATCCATATACTGGCAGAAGGCGGAACCAAGTTGTCCATGGTATATACAGTCTATGTGACGGACGCTGTTTTCTGTTTGACTTCCTGTTTGTGTCTGACATCACTCTTTGGTGTGCATCGTTTACTCCTGTATGGCAGTAAAGCCACACGACTCATCAGATTTCAGTTTCAGTTCTGATTCTGCTCTGATTTTCCTCCTCTCTTCTTGGTCCGCCCTCACTTGAAAATTCAGAACTCTTAACTTTTCTGTCTCCAAACCTCAACATTTTCCGGCAACTCGCCAACACGCACTGCAACCCAGCGTGCATGGAGGTGCCTGTTAATCACTGAGTGATTTCAGACACAACCTGTCCAAGCACTGACATTCCTAACCTGATCTAACCTCTGCTTCTTCACCCTTGCCTCCTTCTGTCTTTTTTCTTCCTCCTCCTCTTCGTCAGGCATTAGAGCGTCAAATGGAAGTGTCCGACATCGTGCGGATCCACCGCGATCGGCTCAGGGTTGAGGTTTTAAGACTCTCTGACTTGTTGAAGGTATTAGAGTGCGAGCCGTGAGGTCACATCCTGTGTGATGTCATTGATCGTCATCACCTTAACTCGACTAGAATGTTCCAAACCCCGTCATCGTATTTGAGTGACTGTGTTTAATGTCATCAACCCATTAGCCTTCATTTCATGGACTTGGACATTTATTGGCGGTATTGATCAGTCACTGTTGATTATTTGATATTGATCAATCACTGATGAGTTACTGATTAAGCAAAGATGTGTTGCCAATTAATAGATAATTCAATTCATTGAAATTTGATTAATTATTTTTCAGTGTTCGGGTAACTGATTAAGGGACTTTTGTTCCTGCTCTCTTTTACAGGAACACGGTGTTGTTGTCTCTCCTGAGCTCTCAGCCAATGGGGAAGCAGGACTGGGTGAGGCTGAAGATGGTGTCAGTGCAGAATCTGCCGCCTTATTGGCTCAGGAGGCATCACATGATGGCAGATCAAACACGCTGGGTAAGAATAAACTCACCTGTGCACAGGTAACGATGTTCGTTTAAATAATCAAAAAAATAAATAACAAAATAATTTACTTTATAATAAATAATAATGATTATTCAACTAATTGTAATGAAATAATTTATTGAAAAGATTTATTTAGACTCGCATGTTTTTAACTTTGTCAAATCCTACTATTTATGGATGATTTCAACAATTAACATCTTCCTTTAATGCGCCTTTAACGCACTTTAACGCGTCACCCATATCCTCATCCTCCAGACATAAACTTTCTTCAGCTTGTCTCTGATTGGTCCAGAAACCTTCACTGATAAAAAATCACTGTTAAACGTATCTAACCCTTTAGCTTCCCGATGTTTCAGGGAGAACCGGAGAGGAGCGTCCTGAAGACAAAGAGACAGCCACAGCTCTGTCTGTGTTACTGGAGCGTTTGGAAAGGACTCGAGCTCTTCTGAGAGAGTGCCTTCAAAATAAAAGCCTCTCATCCGAAAGGCTGAAAACTTGTGCATCTATCCAACAGTTGATTTCAGGTTTAGAGGAGGCACCAAGAACCATGTTTGATCAGCGTTATTCAGAGGATTTAGATTTTCACATGACTGACTCTGGAGTCTCTGAGCTGGTTTTGCAAAACTCCCCAGAAGGAAGAGAAGACCCAGAAGACAGTAGCAATCCAAGGCAGGGGTCTGCTGAACCACCTGGAGAAACCAGAGCAAATTCAAGAGCTTCTGTGGATAGTCAGGAAGATCACGTCTCTGTGGACCAAATGGAAGGGGGTCTTCAGGATATTCTTAAAAGAGGCAAGCTAGAGAGGCTCTATGTGGACTCAATGGTAGGGTATGATCAAGGTCCTTCCGCAAGAGGAGAGCTCGATGAGATCTCTTTGGGCTTAAAGGAGGGGCGCGTTCCAGATGCTCTAGAAGGAGAAGTTCTTGATGAAGTTACTCTGGACTCACAAGAAGAACCCCTTCAGAATCTCTCAGCAATAATGAAGCTCAAGGAAATCTCCGTAGACCCAAAGGAAGGACACATCCAAATTCAGGAACTTTCAGGAAAGGATATGCCAGAGATGGTCTCTGTGTTGTCAAGGGAAGAACTTGGTCTCGGTTCCCATGGAAAAGACAAGTTGAAGGAACTCTTTGACAATTTCACAAAAGAACACATTCAAGGTCCTTCAGGAAGAGACATGCCAGAAGAGGTTCTTGAGGACTTAAAGGAAGGACCCGTTCAAGGTGTTTCAGGAAGATACAAGCTCAAGGAAGTTTCTGGGGATCCAAAGAAGCTTGATGAAGTTACTCTGGCCTCACAGGAAGAACCCCTTCAGGATCTCGCAGGAATAATGAAGCTCAGGGAAATCTCCGTAGACCCAAAGGAGGGACACATCCAAATTCAGGGACTTTCAGGAAAGGATGTGCCGGCGGTGGTCTCTGTGTTGCCAAGGGAAGAACTTGATCTCGGTTCCCCTGGAAAAGACAAGTTGAAGGAACTCTCTGACAATTTAACAGAAGAACACATTCAAGGTCCTTTAGGAAGAGACGTGCCAGAGGAGGTTCTTGAGGACTTCAAGGAAGGACCTGTTCAAGGCGTTTCAGGAAGAGACAAGCTCAAAGAGGTTTCTACAGACTCAAAGAAAGGTCACGTTCAAGATTCTTTAGGAAGTAAGAAGCTCAAGGAGGTCTCTGGGGATCCAAAGAAGAGACACACTGAGGATGCTTCAGGGGGAGACATGTTCAGAGAGGTCACTGTGGTCCCACAGAGAGAGGATTTTCAGGAGCCTTCAGGAATGAGCAAGTTTGAGGACATTTCTTGTGACTTAAAGGAAAGCCATACTCAGGGTCCTCCAGGAAGAGACAATCCTAAGGGAGAAGAAGTCCTAGAAGAAGGACACTTTCAGGATCTTTCAAGAAAAAACATGCTCTTGGCAGTCTCTGTGGACTCAAGAGAATGTCTTGTCCAGGATCCCTCAAGAAGAGCAGTGTTATGGGACGTCCCTGGAAAATTCAAGGAAGGACACATTCAGAATTCTTCAGGGGATCCAGGCCCACACAAACTTGAACCGCCACCCTCAGATGAACAGACGGAGGAGGGTTTTGTTCTTATCCAGCACAGCGATATGCAGGGCAACCCAGAGGAGACTAGTAACCCCAACACATCGATGGCCCAGGGAGAAGTCCTCCATCACACACATCAACTGGAAACTCGTGTCAACCTTCATGCTCCCATAAAAGAAACCCAACTTAAAGGTTGCCAGACTTTTCCTGCAGCATTTAAAAGGTCAAAGATCAGCTGGTTCTTGGGACAAACAGCAGAGGAGATAAAGGTCATGGCTCTTCCTGAGCTGCTATCAAAACCACAAGAAGGTAAAACTATCGCAGATCAACAGGACAGGTTAACAGGTTTGAATACTGTTGGTCTGTCAGCTGGAATCATGGACAGCTGTGAGGAGGCAATGCAGCAACCAGAAGACATAGACGTTGTTGAGGATGCAGACGTGGGGCAAATGGGGAGCAGAGGACGAGGAGAACTCAGTTTGGAGCGGCAACACAAACCAGACTGTCAGATTTCATAAGAAAAGACCAGAAGCCTGGAGATCTTCAGTCAATTACACTAAAGAGATTACTTAAGGATATTAATAAAAAACAAAAAAAGCTGTTTGAAATTTGATTTTTGTGTCTGATTTAAACATGTCTGTAATTAAAAGTTTACTAAAAGTATTATTAAAGTCATTGTTTAATATCACTGATTGATTAATTTAAATAATTGATTCACTCATCACATTACAATATTTATTTAAATTATTCACAACATGTTTTCTGATTTAAGTATGATTTAGTAAAGTATGCTGTTTTTAAACACTGTCTCATCTGACTTCACTGATAAAGTCCTAAATTATTAATTCAAATTGATTGGTGGTGTCTTTTATTTGTTTAATTCAAGGAATTTTACTTTGAAATTAGAAAATCATTCTCACTTATCTTCTACATATTTTTGTTATTTTTGTTTCAAAAAATCATTTGTCTCAATAAATCATTTCATTGAGGAAAATTATGAAAATCTACCTTTCAAACAACAATGCAAATGTTTTGGACACTCACTGATAGCTCCGTAATTTCAAAATAGACTTATTATTGTCAGGTGTGTCTAAAGCAAATGATTAAAATGATAAAATCACAAGGGGCGACAAACATCCCAGGCAGGATGATTTTCAGAGTGAATAAGTTTGTCAAAGAGACAGACATAAACATTTGATCTTGATATAATTGTCGTGGGACTGGTTATTGTTAACTGTTCATTGTTTGTTGATTGATGTTTATTTGTTGTTGCAGAGCTGCGGTTAAAGAAGCTGTTTGAAGAGAGAGAGAGTTTACAGGATCAGGTGACGTTTGTTATTATTTATGTTTCAGTGTTTTCTCACTTTATGAATGAATGTGAATAAATAAAGACTGATGGCGCGTTATGCGTGTTATCTCCAGGTGAGGTTGTTACAGTCTCAGCTGGATAAGAAGAACGGGATGGAACGAGACCAGAACCCAGAGGTCGACGGTCTGCAAAATGGAGTGGACTCTTTGCTGGACATGCAGAGTACGACATCCGTTTGATTCAACGTCTTTGTTCTCTTCTTCTTCTTCTCTTTTGTCTTATTTTTTCCTTTGCTTTCTTCATCCTTTGTCATCTTCATCTTCATCTTCCTCATCTTCATTATATATTTATTTAAACTTTATCTGTGTAATCTTTTATTTCTCAACATTTTCCTTTCTGTCTGTAGGAGAAGCAAACAGACAGATCAGTGACCTGAAGTTCAAACTTGTCAAATCTGAACAGGAAGTGACCACGCTCGAGCAGAACGTGAGCATCCTCTGATTGTAATACCGAGCTGAATATTGAAGACAGAGGTCACAAAGTCCACATAGTAGAAATTAAAAGTTTGTGTTTAACCTCAGGTGATCAGACTGGAGGGTCAGGTGACTCGATACAAGACGGCGTCAGAAAACGCAGAAAAGACAGAAGACGAGCTGAAGGTGGAGAAAAGGAAACTGCAGAGAGAGGTGACGCATCTTTTTATCACCTGATTGGATGTTTACAGCGTTCAGCAGTCATGTGACAGGATGTTAACGTTGGTTTGTTTCTGCTGTAGCTGCGTGCGGCTTTGGATCGGGTGGATGAGTTGGAGCTCAGTAACCTCCACCTCAACAAACGACTCGACAAGATGAAGGCCAACAGGAGCGCCCTGCTCGCCCAGCAGTGACCCCAAGTCCCGTTTCCAGTCCATGACTTAGAGTTCAAGCTCAGCATTGGATCTGTGCTGCTTCCAAAGCCAGGGGAGGAGCTTCCAAGCTGATCCACCAATCAGCATCAATCAGCTGATTGACGGATCAGCTGATTGATGGTGTGTTCTCAAGAGGGATCACACCAGGCGGATCCTAATATTGACTGATTAGCTAAATAATCAATGAAGATCAATGAAGACATAATCAAACTGACCATTGTCCACACCTGGTCACATGATCAGTCACACTCTGCTATGATTGGATCAGCATATAGAAAAGGGGAAAGGGGGTTACTCTGCCCACCTGGACAAGCGTGTAAAACAAAACTTAAAGCTCCTGCTGTGTGTGAACAGCGGTGCTACCTCTACAACACGCCAGGGGGAGCTGTTTCCATCAAGACTGCGTTACAGACCAGACCAGATCAGACTGGGTCAGATCAGGTCATGATATCATTTTGTTTTGCTTTTTGGTATTTTTTTTCCTCTTCTTTTATTTTGAAAGGCACTGGTTTCCTGTTAACATGGCTCTTATTTTGGTAGGCTATTGATCGGGAGGTTTGACAGACTGTGGATCAGTCTGGATCTTTTTTTTTTTTTTAATTTTGAAATGATAAAAATGTTTGTGATTGGTTTGAACCGGGTACAAAAGATTGTAAAACAGCGAATAGAATTAGCCCCGCCCACCAGGTTTGTGTTCAGGTAAGATACAGGGCGTGGCTTCCTATGCCAGGTGTGGGCTCAGTTATTTCTGAATGTTAACAATCGATTATCAATGAACCATCACTAGACTGTTTTCAAATCACTGATTGCGCAACTCACAAACATTCAGTCTACATCATTATGCAAAATACTACAGTGCATGAAAGCACCATGACAGGAAGTCGGGACGCAAGAATTTCAAAATGAGTCTTCATTCATTTAAATATCTACACACTACAGCAGTTAAGGACTTTTATTTTGAAAGACAAAAGAGGAAGAGGAGAAACTTCATGCTTCCTTATATTTAGGTTTACAAGAGAAGATAACTAAGGCATCAGAAAATTTTTTGGTGCGTTCAAGTCACCTCGGAAGTCAGAAGTCGGAGCTGAAAATGACGTCACACCCAAGTTACCATTGTTTCAGTTACCAAGTCTGAAAAAGGCAAAATCGGAGGCGGAAACAAGATGGCTACATCTACAAAAGTTATTTTAGCGCTTGCCTTGTCTGAATATAAGACAAGTGCCAAACTAACTTTAATAGATGTAGCCATCTGATTTCAGGAAACAAGCTTGCTACATCTACAAAAGTTATTTTAGCGCTTGCCTTGTCCGAATGTAAGGCAAGTGCTAAAATAACTTTTGTAGATGTAGCCATTTTCAGCTCCGACATCTGACTTCCGAGGTAACTCAAACGCAGCAGTAGCTCACTACAGTCGCCATGGTGACAGTTAATTCTTCCACATGAAAGGAGTGCGAGGGGAATAAATGCTTGAATCTGATTGGAGTCGAATTTTCATGGGATTGTTCTAAATAAGGAAGTATGGGATCAGGTAATTACATTACTGAACAGCTGGCGAATGAAATAGCTAACTAATAAAAGCTGGTTAATTGACCAACTAATCTACCTGCTGGGTGTAATGGTTTAGCTGGTTGATTCATCAACAGGGATATTTTTCAGCTGGTTAATTGATTAGCTGGTTAGGAGATGGTTGTGGTGGTTAAGGAGCTGGTTATTAAACTCTTCAAACATCTGAGTTTCTGAGACTTTTTTGTCAATAAATGTTACATTTTGATTGAGGACTCTTAAAAAGTTATTCATAGATAAAATGAGATAAACATGAGCAAGTAAAATCGATAAATATATGGACTTTCTGAACAAAAATAACTCAAGTTATTAGGTCTAGTTTAGCACGGGCTCCCCCTACTGGACACTTCACCCAAAGTCTTTTAAGACCGGGTTACCTCTTCCTATCAACAAGTCCAAATATCTAATTTTAAGACATCTTTAAATAAGTTTTAAGCAATTGCTACACTTATATAACTCAGGGCGTTGATAATTAGTCAAAATAAATTAACCCTTCGTGTCTCAAACGCTGATAAATCGATGTGTCATTGCGTCCTACCTTCACGGTCAGCTCGTCCAGCAGCGCCAAAAATTAACGGCCGGTTAGCTAGTTTCCGTGGAGTCCCTGTGGAAGAGGAAAACTCAGATAATCTTACACTTTACTTGTTGTATCCTCTTAAAACTCACTTATTTCAGCCTTCAAACTTTCCCGCAGTTGGTTTACGGTACGTTCTTTCCTGAGCCTTCCGTGAGCAGCCCGAGAGGATCATGGGAGACTGAGTTCAATTCAGATAATAATCAATCGAATTTAGTTTAAGAAATTCAGCATAATCTTATTCAATATATATAAAGATTGATCAAAGACAAAATCAAAGCTTTTTACCAACATTGAAATATCAATAGAACATAATATAAGATTAGTAACATTTGTAGGCAAAACAAGACCCACATGACAACCACTTGGTGACTAAATCATCCTAACACTTACCTGGTCTTTCTCCTTGCTCATGTTTTATCCCTTTATTAACCCTTCAAGTCAGATTTGTACTACCTAAATCTGCTACAAACAGCTCATACATAATTAAAAACCTTAATCCTCATCCACTGAGAGGATCTGAATCGTGCAGAAAGTGACATTAAATAAAGACATTAAGGACTGTACAAACATCAAACCAGTATTTGACTTTTATTTTATCTAAGTGAACTGAAAAATAAGAAATAAGTTAACATTTGAGTCACAGATCTGTGTACTTGGGTTTTCATTTGTGTCCGACAAAGAGTCTGAGGTTTCCAAGCAGCCCAAACACACCATCCTTCAACAGTGTTTTCAAATCAGAAGAATTTAACAATTTCCAACAGCTTCTTTTCTCCACTCTTCAAATCAAATCAAACTTTATTTATATAGCACTTTTCAGGCAAAAAAGAATAGGTGAATAAATAGAATAAGCATAACATGTTAAATGAGGACTAAAATATATTAATGAAATAAGATAAAAGCAATTCTGAAAGATAAGAAGGTCCAAGACCCCAAAGACATTTAAAAACCATTAAAAGGACCTTAAAATCAACCCTAAAGCACACAAGGAGCAAAGGCAGTGATTTTAAAACCGGTGTAATATGTGCCCGCCTTCTGGTCCTCGTCAGCACACGTGCTGCTGAGTTTTGCAACAGTTGTTAACTTGCAATGTTTCTTTTTGGAAGACCAGAAAGCAGGGCATTACAATAATCAAGACGACTGGAGATAAAAGCATTCATTAGCGTCTCTGTGTTAGCCCAGGAGAGAAAGGGGCGGACTCTGGCTATATTCTTTAAATGATAAAACCCTGTTTTTGTTATATTTTTAATATGTGGGATAAAAGTCAGCTCAGAGTCAAAGATGACGCCTAGATTCTTTAGCTGATTTGATGGAATTAAGGACAGGGTTTTCAGTTTCGTTAAAACTTTCTCTCCCTGAGCCTTAGGATGGATAATTAAAACCTCAGTTTTGTCCTGGTTGAGCTATAGGAAGTTTTCTGCCATCCAGGATTTAATGTCAGCTAAAAAGGGCATCAATTGGCCCTTTGTCATCAGGAGACATGGATATGTATAGCTGTGAAAAGTGATACCATGCCTCCTGATGACATCTCCCAGTGGGAGCATACATAAATTAAAATATCATTAACATGTTTCAGTAGTGCAGTCTCTGTACTGTGGTTCGTCCTAAATCCAGATTGAAATTTCTCCAGGATGGAACGGTTATTTAAAATATTATTCAACTGAACAAAAAAATGTTTTTCTAACATTTTGCTTAAAAATGGTAAGGTGGACACTGGTCTGTAGTCATTAAGAACATTAGGATCCAAATTGTTCTTCTTCAGAAGGGGTCTTACTACAGCTGTTCTAAGGGCAGCAGGGAAAGAGCCCGTTTGAAGAGAACAATTCACTATATTTAAAAGCTCACCTTCAAAGAATCCATAAAACATTTTAAAAAGTAATGTGGGAATTGGGTCTACAAGGCAGGTTGTTGGTTTTACTTGGAAGAAAACTCTACCAAGCATCTCAGCATCAACCAGGACAAAACTGTCCAGTGTTTCCTCATGTAAAAACAAGCTTTCCACTGTATTAGAAACAGTGTTTTGAATAGATAAAATAGAGGATTGTATAAAATTAATTTTACCCCTGAAGTGGTCTGCAAAACCTTTGCATAGTGTGTCTGAAGGAGTGATTTGATATCTGTTAAAAAACGTGGTTTGACTTCCTGTCACCACCAGAAGTTCCAGTGGTGACAGGAAGTAAATTTGTGTCATTTGTGTTTCTAGCATGGTCAAGAGTGTTTAATTAAAAAATTGAGCCTTGGGGGATTAATTAAAAAATGACCCCCATCCCGTGGGTCACGTGATTCCTGCGGGAATCACGTGACCCACGGGAATTCGGCTGGGGTTTAGGCTGAGCAGCCTGCTGAAGCGCCCATTGCCTCTGCCACAGACGCTGGTTTTTACTGATTGGTTGATTGGCTGATGGGTTTAAAAGGAAAAGTCCGAGGTTTGGCAGAGGTACGGGGTCAAGAGGTCTGGACCAGCGCCAGTTTGGGTTCTGTGGATGAAGACAGTGCCTCGACGATTTCTCCTGCCATGTACAACTCCTGAAACAGAAAATACATCTTTAGTGACAACTTCATATCAGCATTTAAACTTTCACAATAAAAGCTGTGTTAAGAATTTCCATGGATTATTCTATTTTCTTTCTACATCCGGATTCTGTGTCTTTAAACCAGGTGTGACCATTTTTCTAACCTTATCATAGATGACTTTAACTATGAGTGAGCAGCTGGGACATGTGGCCACCTCCTCACCGTTCTCCAGATCTTCCTGAAGACAAACAAGCACATAAACACACAGAAATTCAGAATCAGAGAAGTTAAAAAACTCTCCCCCTTGCTGGCCACTCTACCACCAGCGCATGTCTGTATGTTTTCAAGTGTTTTATGTTTCTTGTTCACGACTCAGGGTAGGATGGAGCGGGAGATCGACAGGCAGATCAGAGTGGCGTCAGCAGTGATGCGGATCTGTCACGGTGAAGAAAGAGCTGAGCCGTATCATATTGGAGCATATATTCTGATGGCAAAAATAGGATAAACAAGATGATACAGAGGACCGGATCAGTTATTGGCTTAGTCCCAGAGTCTCCTGAGGCCATTGTTGAGAGGAGGACCAGGTCTAAATTTAAGTTAATCCTGGGCTACAATCAATGGCGTTTCTAGACTAAATTACTCCCTAGGGGAGGGGGGACTAAAACTAAAAGCTGACCTGTCTTGCCTTCCTTGATGCAAAATCATCAATAATCTCATCATAAGAAATCTGCTCCCCTCTTAACCCAATAGGACCTGAACCCTGTCTGAGCCGGGCCTCTGAAATCCTGAGAGCCATTTTGAGAAGGGCCCCCAGATCCCGAGGTTTTCCTAACTGTTGAGGTTTACAAAAAGCCGATATCTCAGCCTCTGTCACAGATAGAAACAGAATTCAAAAAGTATTTGAGAGCTTACAGTGACTTTCAAGATAACTCTATTTTACTTTTCTGAACCTTCATCACCTTATTGAAAACCTTGAACAAACAAACTTAAATGAACTAAAGCTGCTGTATTAATAAATGTCTGCACTGGAGAATAATAAACTATTTGCTCTCTGTAAAACAAGTGGCAGTCATGATAAAGTGTCCATTCAACCCAAATGTAATGTAATGTAAATGTAAAGTGTTGAAAAGGTATACAGCTGCCCTAGTATAGTGCCAGTACAAGACCAGCACTTAAAACTAGAAAAATGAATAAATAAATACGTGGCTGACAGTGTGTTCATCTCTGTGCTCACCCAAAGTCATGCAACACTCACAGAAAACGCTGATAGTGTCAACCAAAGCACTCCATATGAAGAGGTTGTTCACACTGCTGGATGTTGCTCTCTGCCTGTCATTGTTTACTTTCCTCTTGAGGCACGTAGCAAGATCCGAGCATGAATGTTGAGGTAATGGGAGAACTACATCAGTAACGTGTGTCGCCGGCAGCCGCTACGAGTCGCTTGTCACTTCCGGTGGTGACAGGAAGTCAAACCACTGTTGTAGTTCTTTTGTGTTCCAAGCGCGGTCAAGAGTGTTGGCTCTCACTGAGAGATGACTACAAAAATGGACGCATCTGTTTATCCGGTTGTTTAACACGGCTGAAAATGATGATGTATTAATGTTGTCCCCGCTCCCGTTGCTTTTTTTTCATGTTAGGGTCTGACTTGGCACTGCTGCATAGTTTGTAGAGGTATTCATTTTAGTATTTATTCATTTTAATCAGGCTTTTGTTGTATTAAATCATGTCCTTATCTTTATTGAACCACTTTTAAATCATGTTTCATTAAGTCTTCTTGTCCTGGTGGTGAAATAGTTACCCCCATGCAGGATCAATAAAGTCGACCTTACCTTAAGGTGAACGTTAGCTAATGACGGTAATTTACTCTTAAAGTGTCAACTTGTTTGGTTGGAGGGTAAAACGCTGTTTAAAGTCAGGAACAGGAGGATAAATGGTGAAAACAAATGATAAAAACAGCCATATTTGTTGTTGTTGTTGTGGGTTTAATACTATTGTCACGGATACGCCACCACCCATAAAAACATCATAACGGTGTCAATAATCATATTAAAACCAATCAAATCATCTCTAGATCGACATTTATCGTCAGTATATCCGTGTTTGTATGAAGTATCTGGGTGTAAGTCAGGATCATGTCGGACTCGAACTCACTTTAGTTATAGCGAACTTGTCTCCGCATGGACACGGGAAATAAAACGTCTCCGTCTCCTCATCGAACTCGAAATCCTCGATCTCGATCTCGTCGTGAAACACGGACATCTTCGACCACAATTCCGCTTCTTTTGCCCCCACATACAGTCCCAGCTGCTCCTCATTAAACCCGGCGTGGGTTTGAGTGAGGCGCGGGGTGATGACGCAGTTCAGACCTTTGTAGTTCTTGCTAAAGTCCAGCAGGTGGCGCCAGAGGAGCGGACTGCGATCGATTGAATTTATCACTTCAACCCGATTATCATCGAATAATTTATTTCCATAATAACCAATAAATCTTCTTTATGAATCATTTTCTTGTTAAATTTTCAGTATTTGTTTCTGTAGTGAAGGGTTTTTTATGATACTTAACTGCCAATTATTATCAAACAATTAGAAAAACACTTATCTTAAAAACACTAAAAAGGAGGGAGTTTTTAAAATATAAACAAATATTAAAAGTGTGTATTATTAGACAATGTTTAACCATTGATTACTGAATGTCAAGATAAATCAGAAAGATGGTTAATTATGGTGGTTTATTTAATCAAAGCTTTAAAAATGATTAAATATTTGGAGACTAAAAGAATAACTCAGACTTTACGTATAAACATTAAGGTTAAACACTAACACTTAAAAACTGGGCATTAAAACTGAAAATATCATCTGATTATCAATTCCTAGAGGTTTCAGACGGAGTAAAATGCTGATAAAAATAACATTTGATGGTTTAAAAGAATTGAATTGAAAATACTGCAAAATAACAACATATCAGGTGTTAAAACTGAAAAATCTCTTATTAAATGTAAATGCTTGTTAAATTATGCAGAATCTGACGTTTTAAAGGGGTCCTTAAATAAATTATTCAATTTGATAACAGAAAAAAATATGTAATTAAATCAAACTATAGAGACGTATTAAAAGATTCATTTAAGTAAACTGACAAAAAATATGGTTTTATATTAGATATACTTGATTGCATAGAAGTAATATTTATTCTGAATTGTATAGCACTGATTATTATAATAATATGCAAATAATTATAATAAGTAACCTATGTAGTGTTGAGCAGATATCTTTGTGTATAATATGTAGGTATTTATACAGATCTTTGTAATTTGTACGAATAGGTACAAATTTGCAAGGAAGGGGCAGGACTAGATAAGCTCTTTGCTTCATTCTGTTCCATCTTAAACTGTTCATTTTGTCATACATATGTTGTGTAAATCTATACAGTTTAGTGCACATATCTATTATTTTGTTCAGTGTTTTTATTTCAAGTTCTTGTTTTGTTGTTATTAAAGTTTGAAATAAATAAGAAGAAAGAAAGGAAGACTTTTGACTTTTAACAAACTTTATTTATGAGACAGAAAGAAAGAAGGAAAGAAAGAAAGAAAGACATAAAAAGAGAAAGGAAGAAAGGAATTAAGCAAGAAATTAAGAGAAAGAAAAAAGAAATAAAGAGAATAAGAAAGAAAGAAAAAAGAAAGAGAGAAAGGAATAAAGAAAGAAAGGAAAAAAGAAAGAAAAGAGAAAGATAGAAAAAGAAAAAAGACAGGAAGAGAGAAAGGAAGAAAGTAATAAAGAAATAAAGAGGAAAAAATAAAGAAAGAGAGGAAGAAAAAAGCAAGTGAGAGAGAAAGAACGAAAGAAAGAATAAAAAGAATGAGAGAAAGGAGAAAAAAGGAGAGCCAGAAATAAAAAAGACAGCAAGAAAGGAAGGATTAAAGACAGAAAGAAAAAAGAAAGAATGAAAGTAAGAAAGAAAAAAGACAGAAAGAAAAAAGAGAAAGAAAGAAAGAAAGAAAGAAAGAGCTTCAAAACAACAGAAAGTTCATTACTGAGTTGTATTCACTTCTCTTTTATGAAGACCCTGAGAATTGGAGATGTCAAAATCTGACTGTTGTACGCTGCTTCATCTGTTTAAAAGAGGAGAGGGACACACACAGTTCAACTTCAGCATCTCTGATAGTACTGGGGTCATCAAAGTCCATGTCATAGGTATCCTTCACATCTGTTAAGGCTCCAGTAATGCTGAACAATATCTACAGGTTTAGGAGCAACATCTGCTGACATCTAGACAGAGACTATTTTAGGACAAACCACCTGAAGAGACTGAAAGATGCTCAGATGCTCAAGTTTGATCCTAAAGTCTCTTCAAACCGGGACATTAATCTGTCTGATCGAGGGCCCTGAGGTCTGAACACACACACTTGTGATGCGGAGTGGTAGTGCAGCCTCTGAGTAAGTGTGTGTGTGTGTGTGTGTGTGTGTGTGTGTGTGTGTGTGTATGTGTGTGTGTTATCGCTTCCTGCTGCAGGCGGATCAATGATGCTGTTGTTTGCAGGCTCAGCCAATCACAGCATCTGCTTCAAGTTGGGGGGGTCGGGGGTCAAGCCGGGCTCTCCCTCTCTCTCTCTCTCTGTTGGTAGTGAAGCTGGCAGCAGCTGCACCGCTCAGGATCCTCCCTGAAGGAAGGAGTGATGTCCCAGCCAGGAGCCCCCCCCTCCTGACCTGAGGAGGAGGAGGAGGAGGAGGAGGAGGAGGAGGAGGTATAGACCTGGACCTGCAGAGACTCAGGGATCCTGAGCTGTGGAGCTACGCCGTAATGGACCCGAGCGCTCAGGCTCTGGAGCTTTTGGGGGTTGTGTTGGCCGGGGGGGCCTGGCTGTGCTCGTTGGCTACTACGATGTTGACCTCGTGGCTCACGCTGTCTACGGAGCTGCTGCCTACAGAGTTTTATGAGCTGGGCCTGTGGGAGACCTGCGTGATCCAGGAGCATGGGGGGCTAGAGTGTCGACCGTATGACGGCCTCCTAGGCCTCCCCCCCAACATCAAGCTGGCCCGGATCTTCATGGTGCTGACGCTGGGGGCGGGGCTGCTGGGGCTCCTGCTGGCCATCCCCGGCCTGCACGTCATCTCTTGCTGTTCTGATCTGCCGGACATCCGTCGCCGCAAGAGGGCGATGAAGGCAGCAGGGGGGGCGCTGTGCTTGGTGGCGGGCGTGCTGGGGCTGGTCCCGGTCTCATACATAGCCCACCTCGCTGTCCTGAACTTCCATGATGAGACGATGCCAGAGATGGTGCCCCGCTGGGAGTTTGGGGATGCTCTGTTTTGCGGCTGGGCAGGGGGAGTCCTGCACCTGATTGGAGGGGTGTTGCTGATCACTTCCTGTTTGTGCCAGCAGAGGGAGACCCTTGACCCACCTGAATACTTCAGCCAAGTCAGGGTGCGGCCAGGACAGTCTTCCTTCAGGAGCAAAACCGAGTATGTCTAAAACCATCAGAGACCTGAAGGACTCGACATTTATCAGAGACTTGTTCACCATCAGAGTCTGGCTTTAAGACTTCGTAATCATCTAAATCCTAAAACCCATTAGAGACTAGACTCAGTTTTCATGATTGATTAGATCCCGACCAGAGATTTGACTTTTCCCCATCAGACACTCAATCCTCCTTGGAGCTCTGATCCCGATCTGAGACTTGTTAACCATCAGAGACTCGATCCTATCTAGAAATACACTCTTTGTCAGAGCCTCCATCTTTATCTGAGACTTGCCCACCATCAAAGACTTGATCACCTCAGAGACTCATCCACTATCAATGACTTGTTCACCACCAAAGACCCTTCATTCTCAGAGACTTGGATGAGATCCCCCTCAAAGACTCGCCCACCATCAAGGACTTGGTCATTATCAGAGACTAAATCCCCTAAAGGAATTGGAACCCCATCAGAGACTCGTTCACCATCAGAGACTTGTTCGCTACCAGAGACTTAATTTTCATTAGGGGCTTGCTCCTTTTTGACCCCCATTAAAGACTTGCTCCCCTGTGAGGACTTGGACTTGGTTTGGATGACTAGGTAGGACTCCAGTGTTTTCCTTGCTGAGGCTCTGCGTAACAGATGCTGCTTTTTATGCTGTGTTCGAGTTACCTCGGAGGTCAGATATTGGAGCTAAGAACGACGTCACACTGGAGTTCCCAGTGTTTCAGTTACCAAGTCGGAAAAAAGCAAAATTGGAGGCCTGAAACAAGATGGCTACATCTACGAATGTTTTTATTAGCACTTACCTTATATTCGGACAAGGCAAGATGTAGCCATCTTGTTTCAGGCCTCCGATTTTGCTTTTTCAACTTGGTAACTGAAACACTGGGAACTCCGGTGTGATGTCGTTCTCAGCTGCGACATCTGACTTCCAAGGTAACGCGAACGCACCATTAGACTTTGTGATTCAGAAGCTCAGAGAGACAGTCTGCATTTTATTTTGAAAGGACAGTCTGAGTTGCGGCAGAGATCCTTTATTTGTGAGGTTTTTAAGATGCTCTATTTTTCTGTTTTTCTGTAGAACCAAAGAGTGGAACCGTCTGAGGATGTTGATGTCTGATGTATTAAATAAGCATTTTATCTCGAAAGTATTTTACAGATCACTCAGACGTTCAGATGATCGCTGAAGGAGCTTTAAACTTTCTCACAGCTGAGCCACGCCTCAGTATGTTTAAAAATCTGATTGTATTCACACCTGTGTTTTTATAATCACTGATTCAATCACACAGACTTGATTGTTGTTATCGTTTGATCCTTTACATCCCAAGCACGTGATCATCAGAAATAAAACTCTGAAGAATCAAACTTACGGCTGATTTTTACCCAAGAATAAACAGGAATGCAGGATGGAGATGTCTCACTCTGATGTGTTTTATAAGACTCACACATGTTTTTATGTGATCAATGTCTGATTGGCTCCCACAGCTCAGCCTTTGCCTTTGTTCTTCCTCACAATGCACTTATTATACACACACACACACACACACTCACACACACACTCTCACCATAATCGGACTATCTGCCACCAACCAGCAGCTGGCTCCACATCAGTCATCCAAGGCAACCAAACATACCATGTGACCTTCATAGAGTGTATAAATAACGGATGCAATGCCGTGACGTGGGAATGAGGCTTTAAGTTTAGCAGTTGGCTTTCATGTTGGTTTCCCGGAATCAAACATGACCATATTTGGACAAGAGGGAGGGGCTAACTGTCCAGGTAATATGAGCACTGACACAGATAGCTGCTAATAAATGTTAACATATAAATAGAATAATGTTGAAAAGTGTAAAACCTCTGTGATAGACCTCTCGGATAGTCAGTTCATCCAACTTTACTCCATACTCTCATGGCAGCCATCTTTTTGTTGCGCCAAGATTAGTGTGCCAAACTTATAAACGATCATGTCTAATTTCTGTGTTCCAGGTCGCAAGACATTTAAACTCTGATAACGTGATGAACTGTGATCATTTCAGCACACTCTGATTGATAAGTAGTCAAAAGTAGCCAATTGAGGGGCGCACAGATGGCTGAGCAGGTTAGTATGCCCCATATATGTGGACCATGATCCCTGAAGCGGCCGCACGTTCAACCATGTGCTTCATGTCCCCCCCACTCTCTCTATTTCCCCACATTTCAAATTGCCCGAAAAATAATAATAGTAAAAGAATTAGCTGATTGATGTTTAAAACAATCACACTAGCAGTAAGTTTTACATGTGGATGTGTTGTCATGCCATTAATGCATGCAAGCTACCATTGCCTATTGTGAGCTAACATTGCTAACGTAACAAACGCTGATTACTAACAACTTTCCAACACTGTTTTCGACTCGTCACTCGGGTGGATGCCACGGCATTCCCAGCTCTGAGTTTCCAAGAAAAATAAACACACCATGACTCACTTTTGGAGGCAGCCCTGTAGTGGACACGATGGGGACAACAGTTATTGTAATATATAATGATATAGTCTAGCGTGTTGTCATGCCGCTAATACACTCAGACTATTATTGCTGTTGCCTTTCGTGAGCTAACATCGCTAACAAACGCTGATGACTAACAACTTTCAAGCACTGTTTTCAACTCACCATTCGGATGGATGCAACGGCATTCCCAGTTTCCAAGAAAAATAAACGCGCCATGACTCACTTTTGGAGGCAGCCCTGTAGTGGACACGATGGGGACAACAGTTATTGTTATTAATATCTATGAAAGACTCTTTTTGATGATTTTGGGATTAAATTTGAATTGTTGGTTTTACAAACTCTTAGCGGTTGAATGTTCAGTTAGAAGTCAGTCGTTCATTAATATATAATGATAAAGTCTAGCGTGTTGTCATGCCGCTAATACACTCAGACTATTATTGCCGTTGCCTTTCGTGAGCTAACATGGCTAACAAACGCTAATGACTAACAACTTTCAAGCACTGTTTTCGACTCACCATTCGGATGGATGCGACGGCATTCCCAGTTTCCAAGAAAAATTAACGCACCATGACTCACATTTGGAGGCTGTTTGACGATTTTGGTATCAAAATTGAATTGTTATTTTTACGAACTCAGTAGTTGAATGATCAGTTAGAACTCAGTCGTTCATTAATATATAATGATATCGTTTAACGTGTGTTACTGTGTGTGTTTCTGTATCCCTGTGAGGACTCTGGCCTGGGTCCTCACAGGGATGCAGAAACACACACAGTAACACACGGTGCCAGGACAAACATGAAAGAGTTGGAGCTGCTGGACCTCGCAGCACGCCGCCCGCTCTTTAATTGCTCTTTTCCTTTTTCAGGACAATGAAGCGGCGATTTATAAAAACCTGGATCCAGACAGGAAGTGAACCCCTCACCCTCGCATTGTTTCACAGCGGCTCTCATCACCAAGACAAATAGGGAAACACTGCCACCTCAGCCGGCCCTGCCAACGCCGACAAACCCTCCCGTCTGCAGGGATAGGGTTCAGGATGCAGGCCCGGTCTGTCCCCGTTTGTCCTCACAGCAGGTCGACGGTGGGAACTGCACGTCTCTGCTTGCTGCGCTCAGTTTTTCAGATGTTGAGCTGGCACTCTGACAAACTGACAGAAAAATCTCCGCCATGGTGTCAGGAATAGCACTTAACAGATGTGAGAGAGCCTGCAGACAGGACTCAGGGCTGAAAACCCACCTTCACCCACAGATGCAGCCATAGAAAACAGGGAAAAACCTCCAATAAATGATCCAAAGACAGAGCAGTGGCAGAGTATAAATAAATAAAAATATTAAATTTACTCAGTTTGCAGATATTAATTATAACTAATCTCATTTTATTAGAGTTTGGCTGCAGTTCAAATGATGATAAGACAAGATTTTGTTTGCAAATAATGTAAAACAGGTACTTACATTTAAATAGTGCCAAGATAAAATAAATTCATATATGTATTTGCTCATTTTTAACTTGATACAGACGGGGAATCTGAAGAAATCTCTGTTCAAAAGGAAAAAGGCCAAAAACCAACACCTGAAGGCCCCGATCTTTGGGCCCTCATGCCCTCAGTGTTAAAAACAGACATTACTCTGTAGTGGAACTCATTGCATGGGCGTAAAAATCATTTTCACTGCATCCACAAATTATTGCTGCAAGGCGAAACTTTTTAACTTTTAACTGATTTTGTACTTATTAATCCGATTGATCTCCGTCTTGAAACAGCTGATAGAAAGCTGTCAGAGGAAAGTCGCTGTTTTCGCCGAATTCACCACAGCATACTTACTCTCATAATGATACGAATATGAATAGCCATGCAAGAATTTTAAGGTCTCACTTTTACACTGATGTGTGTGAAAGTGTGTGTGTGTGTGTGAAATTGTGTGTGTGAAATTGTGTGTGTAAGAGAGAGTGTGTGTTTCTTATCAAACTCTCTGCAGGAAACTAGGAGGGAAAGAAATTAGCTGATCTGCAAAAACAAACAAACAAAAATAAAGTCATAAATTTCAGGCTGTGGGACACAGTTGAGCGTGTGTGTGTGTGTGTGTTTGTGGTGTGTGTGTGTGTGTGTGTGTGTGTGTGTGTAAGAGAGAGTGTGTGTTTCTTATCAAACTCTCTGCAGGGAACTAGGAGGGCAAGAAATTGGCTGATCTGCAAAAACAAACAAAAATAAAGTCATAAATTTCAGGCTGTGGGACACAGTTTAGCGTGTGTGTGTGTGTGTGTGTGTGTGTGTTTGTGGTGTGTGTCTGTGTGTGTGTGTGTGTGTGTGTGTGTGTGTGTGTGTGTGTGTGTGTGTTTGTGTGTGTGTGTGTGTTTCTCTCAGTATTGTAACAGTGGGGAACAAAAGAGGCTGTTTTTATTTCTGATCCTCGTCCAACAGCAGCAGAAGACAGGAAGTCATTGAGCCGCTCACATGGGACTGTGAGAGTGTGTGTGTTTGTGTGTGTGTGTGTGTGTGTGTGATTGTGTAAAGCTGTCAGATGGTTAATCATTTAGACTGCAGTGTGTGTTTTCTGACATATCCTCACAGGGACACCAGTCTGAGGAGACCTGCAATCAGGGACACGAACACTCAACATCTGTAAGTCCCCCAAAGTGTCCCATTAAACTGTAAAAGAGTATTTTATATTTAAAATCTGCTTTTATAAAACTATTTCAGTTAAAAGACAAAGATGATCTCAAGTTAAAGCGTGTTTTAAATGTAATGTTAGTGGGAGACTCGGTAAAATGCTGTTAAAAAAGAATTTGATAGTTTGCATTTAAACTTAATTAAACTGAAAAAAAGTATAAAAACAACAACAACAAAAAGAAACTATTCAAAAATTTAGAAAAACAATGACTTTAATTGTTTTGTGAAAATTTGCTCTTTCTAAAAAAGTGCAAATGACTCTGTAGTGAAAATCACTGTACAGCCCCCCAAATAACATAATTTGTAAAATTCTTATCCACATTCAGGTTCAAACTGCACCATGCAAAAAGGACATAAAATTACATATTTCTTTAACGTGTTGCTGACATTACATTAAAATAAAGACCATTTAATTTTATAAATTGTATAATTGTTAACATTTTAGTTCGTTTTCTCTGTCCAATTTCAGTCAAATATGAGCTTTAAAAATTGTAACACCATCAAACATGTTTCACAGAACAGCCAAAATCTCAGAAACTTCAGATTTAAAATATGTTTTTAGGTTGAATCTATATGATGTTAATTGAATGTAAATGTCCTATTCATCCTTCGGTTTGGTCTTATTTTTTATTTGTTTTAATGTGAGAGTTTTTATTCTTCAGTTAATTACAAATGGTTTTAATCTTTGGCTACATATAATGTTCAATTCCTTGGTTTATTCAAAATGCTTGAATTTGGTTTTAATGTAAATGCCTTTTAATTTTTTATTTATGTGCTTTTTTTAAATCTTTAGTTTAATGTAAATGTTTTTCCTCCTCAGACACGGAAGGATTTTAGCTACTCTACCTCTAAATCTTTATCACATTATCTGGGAATCAATGAATTTTTATTCTGCAGGAATAATAATTTCTCCTAGTTTTTAATCTGAAAAATACATTTTAAGAAAAAAATGGATGAAATACAGAAAAAAACATGTTTTTTAAATTGTGTGCTGTAAGTCTGTTACTTTGAAGGAACACGCTGCTGCTGGCCTCAGTTAAGAGATTTTTACTCTCAATGAGACTTTACTGATTGAAGAAGTAAATTTATAAAAACGATAAGACAAACAAACAAACAAGAGAGTCAAAAACTCCAGAGAAAAAGACTAAACTTACCTCAGAGACTGAAACAGAAATTTCCAGAAGAATTCCGACTGAGACACGCCGAGATAGGCCCAAGGCAGAGAAGGGAAATATCAGAGTGACTGCTGCTCCCTGGTGGTCAGACTGAGTTGCCACAACCACGTCACTCCCTTGTCCTTCGGCATTAAAACACATCATGATTATGACTGTAAACAGGTCACCTCAGCTAAATGACGACAGGGTAACCAGGGCAGCGCTAGACTTTGTTGACTAAGGTCGCAACAGGGGCACCGACTGTAGCAGGGGTGGCCGGGCATGCTAAACATGAGAAGCCAACCTGAAGTCTTAGCAAAAGCATTTTTATTGAATTTCTTGCAGGACAGAAAAATGTTCCTGTGAAGAAGTTTTGGCTCAAGAAAACACTAAAAAAAATGGTAAACTTAAATCTGCTGAACTGCAGATTTACAGAAATGTTTTTATATGAAGCTGCAAAGAACAAACACACAAACCACATTTATCACATACTACTAAATTAAAAGCTGCAAATGTCCTTCACAGAGGCTGATCTCCAAGAACCAGAGAATGACCACAAACGGTCTCTGTCTTAAGAGGTCAGATGTCCTCCATGAGGCTGAGAAACTCCATCTCTCATTTACCTCTCCCTCTCATCCCTTTCGCTACACTCTCCTTTCCCCCTGGCTGGTGTTGTAAAATCTGTTATAAAACCGGCGCCATGACTGCAACGTCTTCCCTGACCAGATCCAGAAACCAGATGTAATCCCAACAATCATGGTCATCAGGTACTTGATCATGAACACAGTAAAGTCTGGCCTCAGCAGGGTAAAATTTCCTTCAGGGCACGGCACAGAAAGGCTCTTACACGTCTGCAGGAGCCACGCCCTCTCCCACTGCGGCCTGAACGCTTGTTCATAGAAGCAGCAGACAATGACGATGGTGGCTGGTACTGTGTAAAGCACACCGAACACGCCGATCCGCAACATCAGCTTCTCCAGCTTCTCTGTCTTGTTGCGGTTGTGCTTCATGATGGTGCGAATACGGAAGAGTGACACAAAACCCGCCAGCAGGAAGGAAGTGCCAACAAAGAGGTAGATAAGGAGTGGTGCCAGGACAAATCCCCTCAGAGAGTCCACGTTGTAAATCCCCACGTAGCAGACCCCTGTCAACAGGTCGCCATCCACCTGCCCCATTGTCAGGATAATAATGGTTTTCACCACTGGCACGGCCCATGCTGCAAGGTGGAAGTACTGTGAGTTGGCCTCAATGGCCTCTTGACCCCACTTCAGCCCAGCTGAAAGGAACCAGGTGAGCGACAGGATCACCCACCAGATGGAGCTGGCCATGCTGAAGAAGTACAGGATCACGAAGAGGATGGTGCAGCCTTCCGTCTTGGTGCCCTGAGCCACCACCTTAAAACCATCCTCCCTGAACTTTTCCACACACACCACTCTGTCCTCCAGGAGGAAGCCAGCAACGTACACCACTGCAACCATGAAGTAGCACCCGGATAGGAAGATGATTGGCCTCTCTGGGTACTGAAACCTCTTCATGTCCACTAGGTAGGTCAGCATGGTAAATAAAGTGCTTAAACAACACAGAACTGACCAGATACAGACCCATAGACGACCAGACATCAGCTCCTCCTCATTAAAGTACATCAGTCCACCAGGCATAGTCCTCTCACATGGGGCACCACAATCCTTCACTCCTAGGAATTGGTAGTTGAGGTAGGCAGGTACTTGAAGCTGCAGAGGACAGGTGGAGAGCAAGTTAGTCTGACTGTTTGATGGCAGGGTCACCAGCTCAGGAAGGTCAGGGGTAGGGCTGTCTGCGTCAGTCATGTTCTGACCCACACAGATCTCCCCAGCCCCGTGGACTGGGAAGTTCTCGCAGCGCAGCCTCTCTGGCCACTGGAAGCCAAATCTATTCATGAGTGCCTCGCAGCCCTGCCTTGCCCGCTCGCACAGAGACCTGCAGGGTGGGATGGCCTGCTCTAGAACTGTGCAGACCGGAGCATACATGGAGCACAAGAAGAACTTGAGGTCCACGGAGCACTGGACTTTAACCAGTGGGTAGAACTGGTGGACCTCTAGCCCTGCCTCCTCCTGGTTGGTGTGTCCCAGCAGGTTAGGCATGATGGTCTGGTTGTAGGGGATATCGGTGCACAGAGGGATGAAGATGGGCTGGCAGAAGCCATGCTCAGGGATGGAAATCCCCCTCTTGTACTGAGCGTAACATAGCTGGAGGAGGAAGACAAAGAGCAGAGTACATGCAGTCATCCAAAGCCTCAAGATCTTCCACAGTGCCATGACAAAGTCCTCAGAGCAGACAGACAAAAGTTTCCACAAAGAAGATGTCAGATGCTCCTGTCATGAATCTGTCCCATCCTCAAGCTCAGGCTGGATCCCTAGAAACGGGTCAGTCCCTCTGACACTCAGTCTAAACTCTTTGAAACCTTCAGAGCTCTTCTCCCTCCATGTGGTCTGCAAGACTGACTTCTTTCTCTGCCCTTGACTGATTTCCAGGCCCCTTCTGCACGTCTTCTCCAATTAAATGCTAGGTTTTGTTGGGCTTGCTGCTGATTGGTCAGTACAGTTGAAGGGGGCGGGGCTCAGAATCAGAATGATAAAAGTTAACATGCACTTTATTCAACTCAACTATTAAAACCACCAAGTCCAAGTGGCCCTGAGGGTTGTTCTAGGCGGGTTATTAACTGAAATGCTAATGTGTCGAAGTGTCGTGAGGTTTCCGCGGGTTCGCCATGGAACAGCACTGCGATCAAAGTGGAAAGTCAGTGTCAAAGTTGAGTTAAAGTTTTAAAGTGTGTAAGATCAGAATCAGTTCAAATCTCCTGAAGTCCTCAAGGACCGGAAATCAAAGGCTGATTAATTTATGACAGTGTCAGATGGAGACGTTATTGTTTGACATCAAACAGTCACGCGAATACGAACACAAACACAAACACGAATTTAAATATTCAAACCTCGTCTTTCATCTCTCCATCAATCAAACTCTGCATTTATAACCCATCCTGTCAATCACCGACCAAATATCATAAATTTAAACATGAACTCGCTCAAATTATTGACGCATTTCTTTTCTTTGTTAGACTTCAAACTTCAAATGGAACAGAGAGGCTGAATTTATACTACGAAACAAAACAGAGTCGGGTTATCTTCTGAAAGAATCGCATCAGAGAGCTTAGCAAACCGAAACTAGCATCTTCACGCCATGTGGTTTCATCTATTTATCTTTAAATGTTAGCATGTTGACCCTCTTCATTAACAATGTTTTTCACAATTGTTAGCTTCATATAAGGTAGTTTAGCTAGCATCCAGCAAGCTACATTAGCTTGCTAGCTTACAGGTTACCCTTAAAAAGGCTGCATTTAGCTACATCTTTGCTCTGACGCTATCAGAGTTAAGCTAATGTTAGCCTAGTTATTCAGAATATTTGAGATTTTACAGCTACATTTACTTACTTTGATGTTCAGGCTGACAGTCTTCGAAAATTTATAAAAACAAAAAAGAGACCACATCAGGTCGGACCAAATTCACTTTTTTTAATTCAAAGATTTTGGATAAAACAAGCCTACTGTTGATACGATTAATACAAATAAAGAAAAGAAGAATCAGAAACTCGTATTTATAGTTTCACTAAAACAACTAAAAACTTGGATCAAACAGGAAGAGATGAATCCCTGTTTATCAAATAAAAACAAACCTTGCTCACTCATTATTCATCATCCTCACTGTCGGGGGAATTCACCCGCCTTAGCACACCAACAGTCCTGATAAACACTGCTAACAAATGCTAACATATGCTAACGTATGCTAACAGGAGGACCGCTGACAGTACCCAGAGCCGAGGGAGCGTTAAATATTTAAACTGACAGATAAACGGATTAAATCACATTTACATGACAGCAGCTTTGTGCTAACAGGTTGGCTCATTGAGGTGGATATGGGTCTTTTTGCCCCTGCAGTTGTCTCATCAGGCACAGTCGGATCACCAGCAGGTGTTGGTGGGAAAAAGGGATGGTCTGACCCTACGCCCGGGCCGGAACACATCTCTGGCCTCTGTCTCTAGACGAACACCAGGAACCTTGAAGATGGACACCGCTGACAAAAGACAACAGCAGAAGAAGAGACACTGACTGATGTTTGGATATTCAGTTAAAATAAATTACAGATGTGATATCGGCTAAGGCTGCGAACAGAAACTCCAACAACATCCTTATCTGAATAAACCCCAAAAGACTTAACAAACAAACAAAAAACAATAAAAAAAGGACCAAAATAAAAGGGGGACTCACTGTCTCTCAGATGCATGATTGGAGGAGGTAGTGTGCTAAAGTATGGGTGCTGCAAGGAGTCCTGAGCCGATATTCGGTCAGATGGGACCCCCTTTAACATCCTTTGGGCAAGATCCTCAGTCTTGTAAGGCAGCTGGTTCAACCTGACACAGATTCAGACACAGTTTAGACCTGATTCTGGTTGAGAGACAGTTTAAACATGGCCCAGATTCAGACACAGTTAAAGGGATACTCCGGCGTATAATTAATTTACGGTCAAACACACCTTAACACTGAGTTAGACACCCCCTGGAGAGATGAATGTTGCCGACCGCTTTTTTCTCTAGTTATTCGAACTTTAGTAACGACCGCACAATAGCAATACATCGCGGTCCGAGGAGCCATAAACAAACCTCAACCAAAACACCACTCTATAGCCACAAATAATGCTCAGAACAGCACCTAACTTCATCAACAGTACATACAGGGTCCCAGCCAAAGTACTAGCCAACAAAATTCTTATTAGCTTTGCCTAAATTCCTCAGCAAAGAGACTAAACACAACTCACCTACTCTCTTCCAGCAGCCGTTTGTTTGTAACGAGACCTCAGGCCAGTCCATTACGGAGTGCAGCGAGGTGACACAGCTCAAGGAAGAACATTTATGATCATTTCTTTATCATTTCCTTGAAGTAATAATCACCATATTAATCATTTTGCACTGCAGACGCGGTAGTTCCTCTGCCTTAGCGTTTCAGTCAACTGCATTGCCATGAAGAAATGATCATCTAAAGTTGGTATAACGAGAGAAGCAAACGGTCGGCAACATTCATCTCTCGAGGGGGTGTCTAACTCAGTGTTACGGTTTGTTTGACCCTAAATTAATTTTACGCCAGAATATCCCTGTAAGACTTAACCAAGATTTGGAGACAGCTAAGACATGATCTGAATAGAGGGACGGTAAAAACACTTTCTGAGGAGTCATGGTTAGCTGCATGCTAACACTTGACATTAGACTTTCTTAAAATCTTTCAGCCTGTTGAGTTACTTAAACCTTAACTGCTGAAACTGTAATAAAAGTTTATTTTCTCACCTCTTCCAAAAGGTCCTGAACTGTTTGGGTTTGCAGTGGATGAAGAGCTCTGTGGAGGAAAACACTTACAGTAATTCAACTCTATTCACATGTTCATGATAGTTCCCTAAAGGTGAGCTCAAATATGATGTTACCCCTAAAAGCATGACTCCATAAGAATAGCCTTTTGAAGCAAACCACTACTTCCTGTTCCTTCCCCACTGTCTTGAGATTGGCTGATGGAACAGATGTGGGCGGGGTCTGCTCACCTGGTTTGTAGTTTGGTAGTTGGCTGACCCCGGGCCAACTTTCTTCAGAGGGCACTCCAAGAACCTGGAACCAGATTTCTAAATTAATAATCCATGAAATAAAAATATAACAAAATAATAAGAAAAATTAAGACTTTTCCTCACCGTCCAGATCTTCTGTAGTTGTTCAAACACGTCACTGACTCCTGGAAACGCTGGCGCCCCCTGTAGCATCTCTATGAAGATGCACCCAGCTCCCCTGATTTAAACCCAGAAAGCTTTATTGAAAAATCTGTAAAACTGAAACCATGCACAGGGTTGATTGAACAGAAGTCAGTGAGAAAATGTCTGTACTTATTCTTCACTCACTAATAATCAAGTTCCGTTCTCACCATATGTCCAGAGCCGTGGAGTAGTCCGTGGACCCTAACAGGACATCAGGCGGTCGGTACCACAGCGTCACCACCTCTGAAGAGAATGTCTGACTAGGGATGGACTTGGACCGAGCGAGACCTGAACCCAGAATCAGACAAAGAGGTCCAATCAGAGCAGAATCATGGGTAAAACTCATCAGATCACCTGGCACTGGAGATCAAAAACAGCTGAAAACTAGGACACTGATGCGACCTGATCTCTGGTAGATGTAAAATACCAGTGTCTGATGTACCAGATGGAGTTATATTCAGATCTAGATATTGAGTGTTCATAAAAACACATAATTAACCCTCGGTTCCTACTATGTCCTTAATTTTGAGCTGACGGTCACATTTTTATGGCACCATAACAACATATTACAACCTTCTTTTTGCAGTCACTCGATCGCCAGGGCTCTAAATTTTACTTGCCGACAGTGATACAACAAGTGTTATTTAGAAACGCACACTTTATCAATGAATATGACATGGTGCACAAATACTGGCATAAAAAGGGTAATACATCTTATTTTCTATTCATTACTTTTTTAATGGTTAGGGTTAAAGTTGTTTAAGAGATTTGAGTCAAAAAAGTAAGAAAAATTTAAAATATGATAATTGTATGAACACTTATCTGCATGTCCGTTTTGGGGACAAAATAGGCTGGATGGAGCTTCAAATATGAAAAACTGGCACTACAAAAAGTATTTAAATGCACCGAATTCGGTTTTACTTCTCATCATTGACATGGCCCAGACTCTTTTAATTAAAAAAATAATCATCTAGGTCATTTTATCTGGGAAATATGGCGATTATGTGTTTTTACCATTAAAAATAACAGTGACATGGTGCACAAGAACTGGCATAAACAGTGTGTAACATTGAATTATGTATTTATTATTTTTTTAATGGTCAGGGCTGAAGTTGTTTAAGAGATTTGAGTCAAAAAAAGTAAAAAAAAAAGATGATTATTTTATGAACACTTATCTGCATGTCCGTTTTGTGGACAAAGTAGGCTGGATGGAGCTTAAAATGAACAGGAACTGAGGGTTAAGGCAGTGTGGGGTTTGTGGGCAGAGCTTAGTGAGTCTAACCAAAGTCAGCCATCTTGAGTTCTCCAAGGTAGCTGATGAGCAGGTTCTGAGGCTTCAGGTCTCTGTGGAGGATCCTCCGACTGTGGATGTAACAGAGCGCCCGCAGCAGCTGGAACATAAACAGCTGCAACGACAACAACAAAAATGAGGACCACAAAAACAGCAACAACAAGGACCACAGAAAAAAAACAAGAAAAACAATCACAAATAAAGACTCCAACCGCAAAAACAACAATAGCAAGGAAAAAACAAGAAGAAGAACCACAGACAACAATCATTTAGAAAACAACAACAACAACAGAGGCTTCTAAAACAACAATATGGTTGTTTGTTAGGTTGTTTTGTGTGATTGTGTACAAACCCTGACGTTGTGTGAGTGTAGTCCTCCCGGGTGTTGGCTCATGTACTCAGACAGATCCGTCTGCTACAGGAATAAAAACACACGAAGAAGAATCAAACATTTAAACAACACACTCTATATCATTTCTTTATGATAATATTGGATTGTAATGCTGCGTTCGAGTTACCTCGGAAGTCAGATGTCGGAGCTGAAAATGACGTCACACCAGAGTTACCAGCGTTTTATTTCCAAGTCGGACAAAAGCAAAATTGGAGGCCTGAAATAAGATGGCTACATCTACGAAAGTTACTTCAGTGCTTGCCTTATATCCGGATAAGGCAAGTGCTGAAGTAACTTTCGTTCTAATTTTGCTTTTTTCCGACTTGGTAACTGAAACGCTGATTACTCGGGTGTGACGTCATTTTCAGCTCTGACTTCCAGGGTAACTCGAACACAGCATAAGTTCAAAAAAGAGTGACGCCCCCTGCTGGTCATGTATCTCACCACGTATTCAAAGACGAAGGTCAGAGACTCTGTGGTGTGGATGATGTCGTGGAGGACGACGATGTTGGCGTGCTTCAGACCTTTGAGCAGAGAGGCTCAGAAAAAAAAATGAAAAAGTGTAAAAAGAAAATCTAAAACTCAGACCTGTGATACACTGTAAAAAATACTTAGTGTGTGTTTTACCTTCTCTGATGGCCGTGAACGGGACGCCCTCCTCCGTTTTCATACGAATCACCTTCAGAGCCACCAACTGCCCGTTTATCCTGTAAACATTCAAAGTTAACACCGCAGCAAAATTAAGTTAAAGAAAGTGTCGTTAAACGGACATCAACACTGTAAAAATGACATTTAACAGAGAGTACACTCAAAAATTAAATAAAAACAGTATAAACTAACAATACTGGGAAAGGTAAAGTAAGAACAATGTCTGTATATGTTTGTCAAATAAAAGACACACTGTAAAAAAGAGAAATGAAACACCTCAAACACAGGTGAGACTCACCTGCTGATTCCTTTGTAGACAGAAGCGTACGCCCCCTCTCCCAGTTTCTCCAGACTGACATATGAGTGAGCTGCTCCAAACTGCAGACCTGGTCTCTGAGAGACATGGGACACATCAGCTCACCAAGTCAGACTTTTTCAAAACTCGATGAAAACCCTCAACAGGTGTGTTTTCTGACCCAGGTGAAGTGGTCCTGGCAGTTGTTCCCTCCCAGCGGGTCGCTGTTGCTCCGCCCTCGCTGAACTCGGGTCCGTCGGGTCTGCAGGGTGTGAAACCAGTGGGGCTGGGACCCCGAGGGGGACGTGCCGAGCTGATCCATATCTAACTGTGATAGACAGACAGACACAGACTGGATTGACAAATGACCATCCCAAAACATTAGGAACAGTGTTGTGCTGTGACTGTGTTACTCTGATAGTGTTGTTGGTGTGTTGTGTGAGTCCATGTGAATACCTCAGCTGGAGGAAGCGAAGTTGAACTGTTGCTCTTCCAAAAGTTCAGCTCCTCTATCTTCACCATCTCCTCCTTCACCTCCTCCTCCCTGCTTTCTTCCTTCTTTCCTCTCTCCTCCTCACCTTCTTCTCCACAGCAACACCTCCTTACCCACCACCCAGCCTCCGTCACCCACCGTCTCAGCTCCTCCATCTTCCCTCTCCGCTCCTCTTTCTTAGTCTCATATGACTCTGAGGGCTCAGGATGAACAAAACAGGGTCCCATGACTGTCTGTGTCTCCGCAGTAAGAACAAGAACGTCTATTCAACGCTTAATATGTGTGCGTGTGCTGCCCTCTAGTGGTCACTGGCAGGAACTACAACACCAATCATAATAGGAAACTCCTATGTAGTGATTTAAAGATCATTGAGGACAGACCTAGAGTTTATGGAGACAAGTTTGATTTCAACTTTATTTCAAATCTGTTGAGGGTGAAATCAAATCTGATTTACTTTTACAGTGAAATTTGAAGAATCATCAACTACAAGTCCCATAATGCTTTGCTCCGAGAGTTATTCAATCACGTAACAGGATTCTCAAAAACTGCAGCAGCTTCACTTTCTTTCATCAGCAGCTTGGAGGACCACAGCGGTACTGTCCTTTGCTTCCTGCAGCAACGCCGTAGCTCTCTGTAGAGTCTGCAACACAAACACACGTATATATATATAAAAAACACACAAACAAAAACAATAGCTGACATACAAACAACAACACACACAAATGACAAAACAAATACATATTATTAACATAACAAAAACAAAAACACATCATCAATAGACAAAAAAATCATAACAGAGGACAGCAACAACACAAAAAAACAACACAAACAATAATGGACGGATAAACAAAAAGAAATTAAGAAAGCACAAACAACAAACACACAAACAACAAACACACAACACACAAACAAGATTTGAGGCAAAGTCAACAGAAACAAATTAAAAAACACCAACAACACAAACTAAAATGACAAACAACAACAACACAAACAAACAAAAACCAACAACAAACACAAAAAATACGAAACAGTCGACACAAATGAAAAATAAACAAAACAATATCGACACACAACAGCAGGCACACAAGAAACGACAACAACAAACACACAGCTTACTGACACAGACGCCGTCTGAAGACTCACCGCCATCTTGAATTCTTCGTCTGTGATGTCTTTGAGGTTGATGGTGACGTTGTAATACGCTCCAAAAACCGCCGTCTCCAGGGCTTTAGCCGCCACCTGACGACACGCAGTGACATGACTCAGACTTATGCTGCGTTCGAGTAACCTTGGAAGTCAGAGCTGAAAATGGCGTAACACCCGAGTTCTTAGCGTTTCATTTACCAGGTCTACAAAGTCTACGAGTCCACATCTACAAAAGTTTTTTTGGTGCTTGGCTTATATTCAGACAAGGCAAAATAACTATGTAGAAGTAGCCATCTTGTTTCCGCCTCCGATTTTGCTTTTTTCCGACTTGGTAACTGAAACGCTGGTTACTCAGGTGTGACGTCATTTTCAGGTTGGACTTGTGACTTTCAAAGTAACTCCAACGCAGCATTGGTCTCAGACAGGAATGTTTCCTCCTGGTTAAACCAAATAATTAAATGGAGGGTTTCTCACCTGTGCGTCCGACTTGCAGGCGATGTTTCCGTAAACGACCATTTCCTTCAGGTACGGCCACAAAACGCTGACGCGTTCTGCCAGAGCCAGAGGAACGCCCACTGCTCGCTGTAGACCCTCCTGCATGGCAGCCACACGCCTTGGGGAGCACGTGGAAATGAAGAACAGAAAACATGTGATACTGAGCTGGATAAAATCGGCGTTTCTGCGAAATTAAACCCGTTTGTTCGTTTCTACGTCTGAATGATCACCTTTTGATTTCCTCTGCCGTGGTTTTTGGCATCTTCAGCGCCGTCTACCAAAAAAAGAGACAACCACAGATCATCATATTCCAACAGTAAAAAGAAAATTTTAAAAGTCTCTGTTTAAAAGTGTTAGGGGAATAAAGTCGTAAATGCGCCGTCTCTGCGCCCTGCTCACCATGTAGCTGTTGAAGGCGGTAGAGTCAGCGTCAACCATCACCAGCAACTCATTCATGGCCTCATGAAATGGAGGGATCAGCTTTCGCATCACACTGTCCAGGTTTTCAAACTGCCTCTTCCCGTACGTCATTTGACCCACCATGGCGCCCAACGCTGCCCCCTGCAGGAAGACAAGATGACAGGTATGTTAGGGCCTGGAGACGAAAAGATGTCCTCAGACAACAAAAGGAAGATTGACCACAGCGCTTTCAGACTGCAAGATGTAACATTCGTACCAGAGCAGCGATGGCCGCAGACACTGATCCTCCACCAGGGGCCGCCGTCCGAGCTCCAACGCTGTGAACAAACTTCTGCAGCGACAGAGACACCAGCTGGCCATCCTCCTGTGACTTCACCATGTATCTGCACAGGTAACAAACACATGGTCGACTCAAACCAACCAACCAACCAACCGACCACCTGACAAATAAAGGTACCAGCCATCCAATCAAACATCAAATCAATCAATCAGTTAACCAATCCTCCAACAAACAAACCAATCAGCTGGAAAAAAAAAACAGATTCACCAATTTTCAAACCAATATACAGTATGTATCAACCAATCAATTTTAAAAAGGCCAAGCAAGCAAGCCAGCAACCAGCCAACCAATCAACCAACCTACCAATTCTTCATTACCGTGATAACCAGCCAACCTCTGCCCTTTTAACTCACAGGTTACAGTACATGTATGAATAATATTTGGACTGAAGGCGTTCAGACTCACTCTATGATTCTCTCCTTTGGGTTGAACGGACCGAGAGAGTCCAGGCCCAGTTTACTGATGACCTGCAGATGCACACACACTTTAGGTCATGTACATGTCGTGGGATATTCCGGCGTAAAATTAAGTTAGGGTCAAACACACCGTAATGCCAAGTAGACAACCCCTTGAGAGATGAATGTTGCCGACCGCTTGCTTCTTTAGTTATAACAACTTTAGTAACGACCGCAGGATAGCAATACACAGAGCCTTTACTTTATCATTTCCTTGAAGTAATAATCACCATATTAATCATTTTGCACTGCAGACGTGGTAGTTCTTCTGCCTTAGCGTCTTGGTCTGATTTCATTGCCATGAAGTAATAACCATAAATGTTCTTCCTTGAGCTGCGTCACCCCGCTGTAGTCTGTAATAGACTGGCCTGAGGTCTCGCTACAAACAAGTGGCTGCTGGAAGAGAGTAGGTGAGTTGTGTTTAGTCTCTTTGCTAAAGAAATCAGGCAAAGTTAAAAAGATGTTTGCCGGCTAGTACTATGGCTGGGACCCTATATGTACTGTTGATGAAGTTAGGTGCTGTTCTGAGCATTATTTGTAGCTATAGAGTGGCTTTTTGGTTGAGCGCGTGGATCTCTGTATTGCTATCGTGCGGTCATTATTAAAGTTGGTATAACTACAGAAGCAAGCGGTCTGCAACATTCATCTCTCGAGGGGGTGTCTACTCAGCATTACGATGTGTTTGACCCTAAATCAATTTTACGCTGGAATATCCCTTTAACACACTATAACAGCTGAGCGCGCTCTCTGACCAGCCGGACTTTGTGCTCCTCCTCTACGATGAAAAGTCGCTCTTTGGCGATGAAGACGTCAGCGGCGTCCACCAGAGCTTGAAGGGGGATCAGACCCACGATCTGAGAGCCGACCACAGGCAGCTTCAGCTCCTGAAAACACACAAACAAATAAACAAACACATACGCACGCACAGTACACACTCAAGTTTTATTTGTGGAAAAAGTGGTGATCCTGTTAAAGCAAGGGTGTGACCTCTGACCTCTGCGTCCCTGCACACCTCCTGGTAGACCCTGTGCAGAGGTGTCAGTTCATGGTCCAGGATGTTTGTGGAAACCTGAGCGATGTTTTCCTCGTCCAGGTACCAGCCCATCGCCTGAACCTTCTGCAGCCGCCCGAGCTAAAACATAAAATACACAATATAAATCCAGATAATTCATATCAATCAATAATGAATCAATTCAAGATTGTCTAAACCAAATCCAGATTATTTTAACTAAATCCAGATTAGCGAAATTGAATTCAGATTATCTAATTAAAATCCGGGCTATTTCAATCAATTCCAGAATATATATAAAATCCAGGTATTTTGATGTTTATGAAGATTTTCTTTCTATTTTAATCAAGATTATTTGAGTGAACTCCTGATCATTTGAATTTAATCTGGATTTTTTCTATTAAACTGACTTTATCTGAGATTAATTCAGATAAATTTAGTTTAATTTTACAGTATTTGATGTAAATCAAATTCATGTCAAATAGATTCAGATTATTTTACATTAATTTGGGATTTTTAAAAAAATAGAGAGATTGTCACATATAGATCAGGATTATCTGAGTAAAATCCAGATTATTTGACATTAATCCCAGTCGTTACCTGGTCCTTTCCTCGGCCCTGCTCTCGGATGTTCAGGGCGATGCGGTGAGCTTGCTCTTTAGTGCTGATCAGGTTGACGTTGTAGGCGATCAGGAACTTACGAGCACCTGTTACCGTGGCTCCCCAGGACGGCACAAACTGGGCGGGGCCAAAATCAGGGGACCACTCAGCACGCTTCAACTGGATGGCCAATAAAAAAATGACTGAGTTAGTGCTGGCCTGATTCAACCAGATAAAAATTACAGGAACAGATGAGGGTGAGGAAGCTGGACTCTTATTGGCTGTCAGAGAATCACCTTGTCAGGTAAAGCTTCGTATTCGCCGGCTCTCACAGAAGGAAGATTCCTCCTGGAGTCTGTGCGAGCTGCTTCTCCATAAAGATACACTGAGGAAGAGGGAGGAGGGAGAGGTAGTTTAAACCAGTATAAACTTGTTCTGTAGATTCATGTTTGTTTGTTATTCACTGATTTTGTGTCCTAAAGGTGGGGTAGGCAAGATTCTGTTCAAAAAGCATCTTTTTTTGTGGTGTATATACAAAAAGCTTTTAGTATCAGTCAATAATTATCAGTCATTGATGACATTTGGTAACGATATCGCTGTGTTTTGTTATGTCTGTGTAGTCAACTTATTAAAATTTTTGAGCGGCCCGCTCTTTCTGACTGTAAACAAAGTCGTTCCCCGCCTCCCCCAACCTGGTTGGTTGTTAGGCGGATGCTGCTCCTTAGTGCTGATTGGTTGTGAGGCAGACGCTGCTCCCTCGTGTTGTGAGGCACGCACCACGTCCTCGATTAATGTTCACGAGCCCAAACAAAGTTAACGTGCTACAATATCGGACAGTAGAAACCAACCAGAAAGTAAATTAAATTGTCTGAATCCTCCTTTAGCCACGACTGCCGACACAAACAAGAAAACGAAGGAAATACCAGAGACTCTGGTGGAATAACGGGCGCTTAAAAAGGAGGTAGACCAGACAAGTGCTAAAAAGCCAGGTCAACATAAACGAGTTTTAAACGTGTGGGGATGCTTTGGGATCTTACTCAACCTGTAACCTTTCTGCTGGACAGGTAAACCGCTTTACCAAAGTAAGCCAAGTGTCTGTAACAGAAGTGTTTCTTGTCAAACGGACCTGCTGTAGCGTGTTGTAGCGCCGCTAAACTGTTGACCTCTGGTCCTGGACTATGTCACTTTATCCTAGTTGTAGAAGTCCTGCAAACATTGTGTTTGCTGGTAGTCTGTTGGCATCTACAGTAGCACCAATGCTTTTTTGTTGACTGGGCCCCATTTGTAATTATCTTAAGTATTTCTCTGCATTATATCTGAATTTAATTGGAACGATACGAGCGAGCAGGAGCGTCTGTTTGTGGGCGGGGCTTGCTGGAGCAGAAAGGGAGGGGAGGGGAGGAGCTGAGGGGAAAACTGGTTGGGAGCAGTAGAGTTTACATTCAAGATTGTTCCCATAAACTGGAACTAACTCAGATCCTTCCTACTCCACCTTTAAATGGATTTTATCAAAGGTCGGGTTTGGTCTCACCGGGCACGTGCAGCATCTCAGCCAGCTTCTGTCCAAACACGTTGGCACAGCGGACGCAGTCGTCCATAGAGACGTTCTGGACCGGGATAAAGGGACAGACGTCCAACGCTCCGGTCCGAGGATGCTCACCTGCACAGGTAACAGACGCACACTCATGACTGTTGTCTCCTCCTGTTACTGACGTCCTGTTTCCTTCCTGAAGCCTCACCTGAGTGTTTGCTCATGTCAATGAGGCTGAAGGCACATCGGGCGGCATTCAGCGCCCCCTGCACCACGGCGTCAGGAGACCCCACGAAGGTGTAGACGGTGCGGTTGGTGGAGGCCCCGGGGTCGACGTCCAGCAGGCTGCAGCCTGATGTGCCGGAGATGGCTGAAGAGATGGCATCGATCACCTGAGACACAAAAACAGACCTGAGACTTATGACTCATGATTATTTTATGATATATTTACAACACCCTTATCTTAAAGACTCTGTAGATACTGTTAGAGACGCACTCCAGACAGTGGGCCCATATCTCACACTCGTGAATTCACACTTTCACAGAGTCGGCCTCTTTTCTGATGAGTAACAGTTGAATAATTATTGTTTTAAAAAGTTCTAGACAGTGAGGAAATCAAATTTAAAAGCACAGACCTGTTTGTTTCGACCTTCAGAGAAGTTTGGGACACACTCCACCAGCTGAGCCATGATGTCTGCACAGAGAGAGAGAGAGAAAGAGAGAGAGAGAGCACAGTCTGCACCGAATAACACACACACTCACCCCTTAAAACACACACTAAACCCCCCTGAAGACAACAGAGTGTGTGAGTTGAATGATTAACCGCAGGTCTGTTTGTGGGTCGCCTGAAATCATTACAGAGCCTGTGTGTCAGCATCGAACCCGTCAGAGAGGAAAGCTTTATTTTGAAGGCTCGGGGTGAAAGTTCAGGGTCCAACAGATAAACTTCTCTTTGTGTTTAACTCAGAGTTTGAATTTAAAGATGAAGCAAAGAGAAAGTAAAAGAGAGTAATAGGGTTTTACGATCTGAAGGTGAGGCCTCAGATCTCAGGTCAGCTGAAGCTCTTTATTAAAGAATATCAAAAATGAAGAGATGTACTCGTCTTTATTTCCTGACTTATTCCTGTTTTAACTCTGAAAAGAAACTAAATCAGGGAAATTCAAACCTCAGACTGACGCCCTGCTGGTTTTCTGTGGGGTTAAACATTTTACACCAGTCCTCTTCATGAAGTCAAACTCCACAGAGAGTTAAGGGTTAATCAGTGATCATCTGATCTCTGACAGATGATTGGCTAAGACACTAGATGAAGACTCCGCCTCCTGAATTCTGAATCTTCTCTTCAATAATAAGAAAAAAATGGAAACCTTGCTGAGATGATATAATGAAAACTGACATAATTACACAAATAAAAAAAGGGAAAATTTAAAAAGATGAAATAAAAAATTTACAGGAGATATTCAAATCTGAATGAAACAAAGATTTAAAATGTTTCAAAAGTCAATGTAAAAAGGAAAATATTTTTTTAAAAGTTGATTAAAAAAATGAAAAAAAAAATATGCGAATATAACAAATGAATAAATTATATAAATAAAATAAAACAAAATTATCAATTATAAATCAAATTAATACAGTAGAGAAATATAGACAGAATAAACTTTAAACAACAAAAAAATATTTTAAAACATAAATCAAGACAAAACTAATTTAAATTGAATGAAAAAAAAAAAAAAAACTAAAATACTTAATTTGAAAAACAAAAATATCAAGAAATATAATATATAACATAAGTAGATAAAAGAGCAGAAAAACTAGAAGAAAAGGGAAATAAAAACAAAAGACAAATAATAATTAATAGAAAACAAAACTAACAAAAAAAAAAACAACAAAATGATGCCCCCCCCCCCCCCCCGGCAAAAAAAAAAAAAAAATATATATATATATATATAAGGATCAAATTAAAATATAAAAAAGACAAGTAAAAATTCAATAACAGAGATAAAACAGTAAAAATAATGTTTAAAGAGAAAACTTAAAAAATGAAAAAATCAATTCTACAAAGAATATAGATAATAGAGTAATATAAACAGAGGTGATCAATAAAAATGTAATAAATCATGATTAATTACATTTAAATCATATTTTGAATTCTTTTCAAAAATAAGGAATTTGAGACATTAGAAAAAAAATATTTTACACTATCTGAAACACACTTCATGTTTACAGACAAACACCTCAACAGTGTATTTACAACTCTGATGTGATATTAACGTATGGGCAGACTGAGCAGACTAATGAAAGGAAGATACGTAAATCTTGATGATGTGAAGCTGATTGGTCAGTGAAGGACTTTGACCTGTAAGTATTTTTCATGATTGGACTTTGATAAGTTATACTCAGCTCAATAAAATCACTCACACTTCCTGCTCCACTCCTCCCCGCACAACTCTGCTCAAAAAGTCACTTTTAACAACAAACGGGACTAAACAATCACTCAGCAAAGACTCTGAACTACAGCTTATGGTCAAGATGGACTCTGGGTTTTGGTGCCTTTTTACTCTGAGTAAGAAAACCTTTACTTTTACTTTAAACTTTTACTTTGTCCTTATTCAGTATTAACTGATGTGAACGGCAGTGGAGAGTTCAAGTACCAGTTTGTTGACTCTTCAGTACCAGGATGTGTGTTTTTGAATTAGTGGGACTCCAGCTAAAATATTGCTTCGGTTCTCTTTGTGTTCAACTTTATATAAATATGACATCATTCTTCTTCAAACATTCAAATGACTTGACCGACTTATTTATGTAGGTCACCTCATAAAGTTGAGTAAAACAGATTCCTCACTTGTTAACACATCGTTTCGTAGAGTGAATAAAAATGTATCTCTCCTAATTACTGTGATCATTTGTGTCTCGTTACAGCTTTTTATTTGATGGTCTGTAGAAGTGGAGCTCAAACTTTACCAGCAGCCTCAATAACATCAATCACTCCTGCCGACTTCCTTCCTACCACTGCTGCTCCTTTTACAGCTTCTACTACAACAGGAGTCCTACTTACGAGTACACCTGTGCATAATGAAACTACTGCAACTCAGAATGATACAAACCAAACTCCTGTGCAAAATTCAACATCTGCAACTCCAACTACTGATGAAATACATCCAACAGAAGATTTTAACAGCACAACCATGGGTCCTCATCTGAACACTACTACTGCACCTACAGCTGGTCCTACAGCTGGTCCTACTACTGGTCCGAATTCAAATTCTACAGTTGAACCAACAGCTGGTCATACTACTGGACCTGATTTTAATGCTACAGATACCCTAACGGCTGGTCCTACGACTAGTCCCCATTCAAATTCTACAGTTGAACCAACAGCTGGTCCTACTACTGGTCCTCATCCGAATACCACAATTGCACCACCAACTGGTCCTACAACTGGTCCTGATTTAAATGCTACAGATACCCCAATGGCTGGTCTGACTACTAGTACTCATTCTAATTCTACTTATGCACCAACAGCTGGTCCTACCACTGATCCTTATCTGAATACCACGACTGCACCTTCAGCTGGTCCTACAACTGGTCCTCCTTCAAATTTTACCGATGCACCAACAGTTGGTCCTACTACCAGTCCTCATCTGAATACCACTACTGTACAAACATCTGGTCCTACAATTGGACCTGTTTCAACTTCTACTCATGCACCAACAGCTGGTCCCACTACTAGTCTTCATCTGAATACCACAACTGCACCTACAGTTGATCCCACTACCAGTACTCCTTCAAATTTTACCGATGCACCCACAGCTGGTCCTACAACTGGCCCTCCTTCAAATTCGACAAATGTACCAACAGCTGGACCTACAACTGGTCCTCATCTTGATACCTCTACTGCACAAACAGCTGGTCCTACAACTGGACCTGATTCAAGTTCTACTCAGGCACCAACAGCTGGTCCTACTACTAGTCCTCATCTGAATACCACTACAGCACCAACAACTGGTCCTCATCTGAATACCTCTACAGTCCCACCAGCTGGTTCCACCACTGATCCTTTTTTAACTACACCTTCAGCTGGTCCTCCCACTACTAATGGACCTACAAATGATACCACTTCCAGACCTCCTTCAAATTTTACTGATCCACCCACAGCTGGTCCGACTACTAGTCCTGATTTAATCTCTACTGATGCACCAACAGCTGGTCCTACAACCGGCCCTCAGTCAAATTCTACCACTAGTCCTCATCTGAGTACCACTACTGGACCTACAGCGAAACCCACTACCAGTTCACCATCAAATTTGACTGATGCACCGACAGGTGGTACGACGACTGGTCCTCATTTAACTTCTACTCATGCACCAACAGCTGGTCCTACAACTGGTCCTCACCTGACTACCAATACAGCACCAACAACTGGTCCTCATCTGAATACCTCTACAGTCCCACCAGCTGGTTCCACCACTGATCCTTTTTTAACTACACCTTCAGCTGGTCCTCCAACTACTAATGGACCTACAAATGATACCACTACCAGACCTCCTTCAAATTTTACTGATCCACCCACAGCTGGTCCGACTACTAGTCCTGATTTAATCTCTACTGATGCACCAACAGCTGGTCCTACAACCGGCCCTCAGTCAAATTCTACCACTAGTCCTCATCTGAGTACCACTACTGGACCTACAACAAAACCCACTACCAGTTCCCTGTCAAATTTGACTGATGCACCGACAGCTGGTCCGACAACTGGTCCTCATTCAACTTCTACTCATGCACCAACAGCTGGTCCTACAACTGGTCCTCACCTGACTACCAGTACAGCACCAACAACTGGTCCTACAACTGGTCCTCACCTGACTATCACTACAGCCCCACCAGCTGTTTCCTCCACTGATCCTTTTTTAACTACTGCCATACCAGCTCCTGGTTCTACTACTGTTTTCCTTAATACTACTACTCCTACTCCAAACTCACCTGTACCCACCCCCGTTTATAACATGACTACTGCTGGAAACCTAACCAGCCCTCCTTCCACTGCCCCCCCTCTTCCTCCTACCACTACTGATCATTTGCCTACAACTCCTTCTCCCTCTCCTACTTCTACTCAATTTCCCCCAGCCTCTACAACTACCAGCAGCCCACCCACTACCACCCCTTTAGTTTGTAACAATGGAGGAGAAGCACTGAACAGTGTCTGTATCTGTCCTGATGAATGGACTGGAGCCACTTGCTCACAAGGTAAGTCGAGGTGGGCATTAGCAGCATGGTGCAAAGGTAAACTTATTTCACTTTTATTCAATTACCTTTCGCCTTGTTTATCTTCATTTTATGAAACATGGTCTTTAAAACACAACCCATACCACTGACCCAGATCACATCAGATAGTCCAGTGTTGACCGAAACCTAACAAAAAACTTTTGCAAAGTTTAAAAATTCAAAAACTACAGTTTACATCCTCTCAAAATGATCCCTACAGAAAATTTTTGCAGAGAACAAGAGCTGAACGGATTTAAGTTCCCACGGACAACAGTCGGCTGGTTCGCTTACTCTGAGGAGACCTGTCCAAAAGGGACAAGTGGAGGTAAGTTTCTACCAACATCTATTAAAAATATCTGTCCCAGAATTTCCAAAAACCAACATATCAACTTTTTCTGTTTACTTCACTACCTCCATTCAGAGGGTAAACCTCAGGCTTCAATCAGATGTTCGAACAGGAACGGTCGACCAGACTTTGACCGTCCACCACAGGTGCTCCAGTGTGACCAGACACTCAGCGATATTCAGAAAAATGTGAGAACGCCACTGTATTTCAAACTTGGCAGAAGAGAAAGAAGATCGGTCTTGGCACAGTTCACCACCAGTCTGAGTTTAATGACTGTCTTTCCTTTCTCAGCTCACCAGCCCAGCCGCCCTAGAGACGCTAGCTTCCAGCACTCAGATTCTGACCTCCAGACCTGAGGCGCTGACGGCCAAAAACGTCACAACAGCAGCTCAGATTGCTAATACATTGCTTTTGTCTCCTAATGCCACAGAGGTACAAACAACAAAACCAAAGAAGCTAGTTATGGAGGCTTTTGTAAACAGTGTTAGTGAGATGTCAGCCCAAAAGATGCCATCGTTAACCACAACAGTTCAACCAGGACCCAAGATACACCGCACACCAATGACTGACCAAAAATATCTCTACAAGTCTAAACTCAGTGAGATCTGATGAGAGGTGTGCTGTATGTTCATGTTTGTGTTGCAGAGTGTAAGGGTTGCTGCAGTAGCCACAGTCAGCCAACTGCTATCAGCCGAAGCTCCGGACAGTACAGAGGAAGACAACTCCACCCTGGGGTAATTGGATCAGTTTTACTTGTACCGTCCTGCCGGTTTGGGTCAAAGTTAAAGTGAACCGTATTTGTTCTGTCACAAGGGGATCTTTGCTGCTGCTCTACCTGCCATAGCATTTCATGTTTTTATATTTAAGTGGGTTTTTTGTGTGCAGCCTGACGCAGACTCTAGACCAGCTCTCTTTGAACCTCAGCCTCAGTCTCGACACCTCACAGTCACAAGTGGTTCAACCAAACCTGGTGGTCCAGTCGACACAGGTCCCTGCTACAGATACACAAGGAGTCCAATTCACCTCTTTGTCAGGTAAGAGTCATTCGATGCTCTTGGGTTGGTCCCAACCATGTGATCAATCACACTACGTCATGCTGTCATCAGAGTTTATTTCTTTATAGTTTTATTATTGTTATGGTGTGTCTTTTTCCTGCTTTTTGTCCTACTTACCAAACACACACAGTCAAAATCTGTGGATTGTCTTTATTGGTGGTGTTGTTTTCACTGACAGCTTTGTTTTTTGGTTGGGTTCAGGGACATCTGGTAGTTTTGTTGCTGATAGGATTCAGGTGAACACAAACACTTCGACTCCTGTAGTAGAAAACAGGTTCATAGTGGACGCCCTGATATTTGTTCAATTCTCACCAGGTGAGTACAGAAACAAACAGGTATCATATCTTTGAAGTGTTTTGTGTATCTAACTGAAAACTTTCCACTGTGAAAACTTTGAAAGCCAAACATGTCTCATGAATATACAAATCTCTTTGTCTAGTGTCCGCTGAAGCCGTAAGCGATCACCAAACGCCATCGAATGTCTCTCTGGGTTTTGTTCTCTACCAGAATGACCGTTTCTTCAGGTCAAAGCTCTACAGGCGGAGTCGGGCCTCCATCAGGGTGCTCTCAGGAAGCGTCCACGGTCGGGGGCGCAACGTAGTGCCGCAGCACGTGGAGATGATGTTCAGACCAAGAGTAAGAAGCCTTTTGGTCCACTTTTCAGACCTTGGTGTTTGTTTCCCAGCAGTTCGAAAAGTAAGAGTCCGTTCTGAAGCTGAAAGCCTGTGCTTGGTTTCAGATGGTGGCGGGAGCATCTCTGTACGACTTCGCTTGTGTTTTCTGGGACTACAGCGTGAACGACTGGAGCACGGCCGGCTGCTGGAAGGGAAACGCTTCAGATGGAGTCCTTCAGTGTTTCTGTAACCACACAACCAACTTCGCAGCTCTTTGGGTGAAAACAAATCTCAGTGGGTAACTCAAGAGCCGGAAATAAGAATTTCTGAATCTAAACCCTGACTGTTTGTGTGTTTCAGTCGTTCAGAGAGGATTACAAGTATGCCAAAGCTCTGGATCTGATCTCCATAATTGGGCTCTCTGTCTCTATTGTTGGTTTGGTTGTGACGATAGTTCATCACATCTTTGAGAAGTGAGACTTTATCTTTTATTTCCTTCAATTTACAGATTCTCAGTCTAAAAGCAGCCTTTAAAAAAAACTATCAAATAAAACAATAAAAGCAGGTCAATCAGAACCACTGTCTGCCATGGAAGATTATTTTGTCAAATTTGGGGGTATGGGTTTAGTCTGAGAGCTCCCTGCCCTTCAACATGAGGAAGCCAAAGCCTGAGGCATGGAGAGCAGCAGCAAAGGTACAAAACAGAGGAGGTATCATTCAGTAGGTTTACATACTTGCATGTTTACACGGACAAGGAGAGAAGTCCGATTCGGCGCAAAAAAATGAATTATGAGGTTAGTCCGATTAAGCTGTGCATGTAAACGTACTGACTGACTACAAAAATAGATGAATATATGGGCTGCAGTTAGACTAACTGATGTACTGTGGGCTGACCTTGACTCCTTGGCTTGCCTGGATTAGCACCATCAAGGCTCCACCATCAAGGCACCACCAAGGCTGGACTAGGCTCCATCAAACATGATTTCTTGTGACTCTAAAGCTACAATGAAATATTGACCTGGTGTTTTTTTCTTCCCTGTCTCAGCTGTTACAGAGTGCCTGCCGGCCGTCAGAAAAACAGGAAGTCACAGGTGTCGCTGCTGTGTGTTTACCTCAGCCTGCTCACCTTCATCATCATCTTCCTCAGTGGCATCCAGAACTCGAGCAGACAGAGCAACATTCAGCCAGAAGCTAAAATCAACATCATCCCCCCCTCTGATGAGCACGTGGAGTCAGATGTAGGCACGTGCACAGCGACAGCAGCCCTGCTGCACTACTTCCTGTTGGCCACCTTCATGTGGAACAGCTTATACGGGAGCGAGCTGGTGCTGATGATCCACAGCATGCGCCGCGGTCTTCCTTCTCATTGGACCGCGGGCAGCTTGGCTGTGGGATGGGGTATGACCTTCAAAGAAATATTCCGGCGTTTCATCAACAGTACAAATAGCATCCTAGCCATCGCACTAGCCACCAAACATCTTTTTAACTTTGCCTGATTTCTTTAGCAAAGAGACTAAACACAACTCACCTACTCTCTTCCAGCAGCCGCTTGTTTGTAGCGAGACCTCCAGGCGAGTACATCACTGCTTCAGTGTGACGCAGCTCAAGGAAGAACATTTATGATCATTCCTCGTGGAAATGCAATCAGACTGAGACACTAAGGCAGAAGAACTACCACGTCTGCAGTGCAAAATGATTAGTATGGTGATTATTACTTCAAGGAAATGATAAAGAAATGATCAAAAATGTTCTTCCTTGAGCTGTGTCACCCCGCTGCAGTCGATGGACTCGCCCGCAGGTTTCCATACAAACAAGCGGCTGCTGGAAGAGATTAGGTGAGTTGTGTTTAGTCTAACATCTAAATTCACATTAAAGCTTTTCAACTTCACCTGTCACCTTAGGGGTCCCGGCTGTTGTCATGGCAATCACTCTGGGCGTCACGTACAGGGTAGAGGACCCTTTGAAGTACAGACAGGAGGAATTGTGGGTATTTTATGTGGTTTTACATTAAAACTGTGTTGGTTGGTGATCTGGGTTGATGGCTGATTTCTCCTTCAGCTGCTGGCTCGCCGCTCTAGATAAAGACAAACGGTTCGACTTTGGAGCGCCAATGTTCTGGGGTTTCCTCATCCCTGTGGGTCTGATCCTTATCTACAACCTGGTCCTGCTGATTCTGGTCTGTACAACCACCTGCAGGACCAACCCCCAACTCAAGAGGTAAGTTCAGCTTAGAGGTTGGACTAGACCAGCCCATATCAGCTGATCACCTCCTTCACATCCAGTAGGGGATTGTCAAAATGGGGGATCTTCTCTTGATGCCTGCTTTTTTCTGTTTCCCTCTCTGCAGTAGTAAATCCTTTTCTCTGAAGAAGAAGGTCATGGTCAGTTTCTCTCTGACGGTGATCCTCGGTCTGTCCTGGATTATTGGGTACCTAGTCCTCGTCACCTCAGGTCACGCACACCTGGTGTTCAGCATCATCTTCTGCCTCTGTACAACCACACAGGTGAGTGAGCGTCATCTCTTTCACACTTTAAACTAACTTACCTAGTTAGTCACCTCTGTACACCGCAGGAACCATCAAGGTCTGAACGCAGATGTTGAATTTCAGGGTTTCCAGATCTTCATCCTCTTCACTGCAAGGACGCGGGCTTTCAGAGCAAGGTTGTCCCGTGCGGTCCGCCCCATCAACATCCCAATGAAACACAGCCATTACAGCCTGACCAAACACTCGGCCAGCAACACTGAATCCATGACTGAGTCCTACAGGGAGCTCTGGATCCCTGAAGACCTTCATCAGTTCTGTAAAAAAGAGTCGTAGACAACAGTTGGATTAAATCCACCCAGATGATCTTGTCTGTGTGCTGTGGAGTTAAACTGTGGTGACTCTAAGAGACACAGAAGAACCACAACAGAGTCCCAAACTCTCTGTGTGTACATGATGTGTTTAAGCAGCTTTACTATGGAGGGACTGCATCTCCCAGAATGCACCATGCTACCTGTGGAAGCGTGTGTTTGAACTTTAAGAGGACGATGGAGTGAAAAGAATGGAAAAATGACCTGTGATTCAGATTGTAGTGACGCTGTTTGTCCACAAGGTGGCAGCAGACTACAAGCAGAAGAACAAAAATTTAGAGGTGATCTGAGTCAACTCAAGTACGCTGCACTTTTTGTTTTTTACAGTGTGAAATTATCTGTTCTTTGTATGTGTCAGATTTTACAGAAATCTTTGCTGCTGTTTTGTGTGTAAAGTTGCAACATCACAAAAATTAAGTCAAATATTATGAGATTAAAGCCGTAAGGTTGGTTTGCCTTTAGGCCAGGTCCAAAGGACAAATTAGGGGAGCAGATGTCCGGACTGAGATTAGGAACATGGAGCGTCCTGGATTAAACTGTATTTGATATTCTGCATTATTATTGTATTTCATTAAAAACTGATCAAACTGAAAACTTGACACTGAACAAACTTCATGAATAAATCAACAGGGACTTCAACCAGGATCGAGACTTCAAAGTCTGAAACCGACTAACAAATTGATCTGATCTGGACAAGTAGATCAAACGCCATGGTTGTTGCATTCACACACAGACTAAAATGAAGTCAAATTTACAGATGAAGTGGTTTCTCTCCATAGGAAAGGTCAGTGAAGGCACCACAGCTCTGATACCAAACAGACTTTATGGAGGTGAAGGTGTCAAAGTTTTTCTCACACCACACACGCCTCAAACACAACACCTCACATGACTTCACACCGACGCCTCGTGCCGTCTGATTAATAAACCCCGAACAGAGAGGTTTCACTTAGATCCAAAAACCTGCACTAAACAAACTCCAGAACTTGTTCTGATCCGGCTTCTGTACTTAATCAGAACTGTACGTACCAGAGAAGCAGCTGATTTTCATTTAGGGTACGAAAAATGTGACAATGTTTTACTATCTGATGATAGTATGGTATTTGTGTGTGATAATGTGCAACAGTTTGATCATTCGAGGGTCAGGATTTTTACAGTAGGATACTGTAAAGTTTAAATTGCAACAATGTAATACAAACAAATCAAACTTTACAGTGAGACAAGAATGATAATGTTGCACAGTTAGATCAGATAAGTGTTTGTGTGGTTTTTGACAGGATATTTTTACAGTGTATAATGATGTTTTACAGTGTATTACCATTATTGATTTAGGTGATGCCTTCAGGGGCTCTTCCCTGGATCTCAAAGTGCTCCCTGAATGTTCTGATGTTAAACAGCATGATTGACAGCGGATTAATCTGATAATTTAACCTGTCAGTGAATGATGGGGTCAGAATTTTTACAGTCGCATACTGTAAGGTTTTGAAGTGTAACAATGTAAGACAGAAAAATCAAATTTTACAGTAAGAAAAGAATAATCACGTTGCACAGTTAGATCAGATAAGTGTTTGTATGATTTTTGACGGGATAATTTTACAGTAGGATACTGTAAAGTTTGAAAGTGTGATAATGTGATTCAGCCAAATCAAACTTTACAGTAAGAAAGGAATAATCATGTTGCACAGTTAGATCAGATAAGTGTTTGTGTGGTTTTTGACAGGATAATTTTACAGTAGGATACTGTAAAGTTTGAAAGTGTGATAATGTGATTCAGCCAAATCAAACTTTACAGTAAGAAAAGAATAATCATGTTGCACAGTTAGATCAGATAAGTGTTTGTGGGGTTTTTGACAGGATAGTTTCACAGTGTATAATGATGTTTTACAGTGTATTACCATTATTGATTTAGGTGATGCCTTCAGGGGCTCTTCCCTGGATCTCAAACTGCTCCCTGAATGTTCCGATGTTAAACAGCGTGTTTGACAGCGGATTAATCTGATAATTTAACCTGTCAGTAAACGATGATCGTTACATAATTCATCCTGATTTGAACCCTTGGCTGTACAGGGGGCTTGTTTTCTCTGTTGGGGTGTGGGGCCGGGGCGGGTGGGGCTGGTCTGATGGGAGCTGCTCAGACTGGAAGCAGATGTGGAGTTTAAGTGTCTCTGAGTCCCGAGGCTCTTCTTAGAAAAACCACTCTGCAAACAGAAAAATGAAGAGGACGCGATGATAACATCTGATAAAACCCGGATCAGTGTTCAAAGAACAGCTCAGTGTTTGTTGGTCTTATGATAATGTTGATGAATTCCTGCTTAACCTGCAGCTGTGTTCATCAGATCAGCACAGAGCGGCCTGCAGAGAACTGCTGCTGGATCTCTCAGCTGGGTCCAAATCTTGGGCTCGGCTCGGTTCTGCCTCGTAAAATGAAGAATGAGTCTTTGGATCAGAGCATCTCACAAATCTGTCCGCTCCTCCTGGAGTCTTTCAGCCGTCTACAGTTTCAGCTCCCATCTGACGATCTGTGGGCCGATAAATCCTCCGAATCGAACAACAGGAGGCGAGAAATACCTGAACCTGGAGTCCGTCAACACCTCTCAGTTTGCTTTTTCCCAACAAACACTCACAATGTCACCTCAGATTAAAACCTAAACCTGAGATTTAATTCAGAAAGAGTAATTCAAAAATAAAACCTGGATTAAAATACCTGAGCCTGGATCCCGTCAACACCTTTCAGTTTGCTTAATCCCTACAAACACTCACAATGTCACCTCAGATTAAAACCTGAACCTGAGATTAAATTCAGAAAGAGAAATTCAAAAATAAAATCTGGATAAAAAAAAACAAAGGGGGGTTAATCCTGAGGTCAAAATTTAAACCTGAGATTAAACTTTAAACCTGAGATTACTACATGAAGCTGAAAGTAAAACTCTTTAAATTGAAATATTGACTCAAGACAAAGTTCAAATCTTGGATAAGAAACAAAAACTGAGTGTTTAAACTCAGGCTTATTAATAAATTTAAGATTAAATCATGAACCTAAATCAGAAATGTAACCTAAGATTAAAATATAAATGAACTAATTAAATCCTACTTTTGACCCCTAATTTCATCATGAGATTAAATTTAAAAAGAGTTATTAGAAAATATATCTGGATAAAAAATACCTGAGCCTCAAACCTTAGACTTAATCTGAGAGTTAAAATTTAAACCTGTGATTAGACTTTAAACCTGAGATTACAACATGAAGGTAAATATAAAACTCTTGAGATTAAAATATTGACTCAAGACAAAATTCAACCTTAGGTAAGAAACAAAAACTGAGTTTAATTTATAAAACTAATAAATTTGAGATTAAATCATGAACCTAAATTAGGAATTTAACCTAAGATTACAATCCTAATTAAAAAACCTGCTAAAAAGAAGCAGACTTGTGTATTTTTGGATGGGCGGGGCTTATTTTCAGCAAAATTTATGTGGTCATACTTATTTTTGAGAGTGCGGTGCATTTTACAGAGTAGCATGGTTTTTATGAGCGGAGCATATTTGGTGTTTTTATTGGTCAAGCGTGTTTTTTTGTTTCGTTGTTTTAGAATATTTATCGTAGGAGGAGCTTGTTGTTTCAGGTTTGTTTTTGTAATAAATTGTCTTAATTGGCGCGCTGCAGACCTGTAACAGTGAAAAGCGTGCTGTTTTGGGGATTATTTTTGGCGGCGGCGCACAGATTAATTTGGGCGGAGCGTGTTTTAAAGGCAGCTTTAGTATGATGTGATAAAGACTGTTTTTACGAGCGAAGAGCGTTTTTAAAGCTGCCGCGTGCTTCGAGTGCAGACGAGTTTTATTGGCGCGGCGTGTTTTTATGAGCGGAGCACGTTTCTGTTTCCTCTTAATGAACTGACATTTGGCAGATGGCTTCAATGAGTGATTAAATCATTTGTGAGTATGAACCACAAAAATACATGGAAGGGTCCTTTAAATGTTTTATGGCGTAAATATAAATATCTCGGCTCTGCAGATGTGATCGCACCCGGGTGCAGAAACGTGTTGGCGTGAGTGCTGCAGGAATGTGGGCAGGTTCACTGTAAAAAATGAAAAACTGCACAGCGGTGTCTAAAATGTGTGCAGAGCTTGTTTTCCAGCTGAAGATGTTGTAAATGATCCGGATTTTCCTCAAGTGAATCCTCATCCTTCACTTTTAGTCTCCGCTCCGTACCTCTTCAGGTGATCATCACTCAGACCAAAAAAAAAGTTCAAAATTGGACACGCTGATCCGCCCGAGCGATGAATCTGTCGGCTCGCTGATCTCTGCGAGTAAAAATCTTTTGGAGAAGGATCCATCTGGTAGAGCGTTGGTTTTTATTGAAGGAGAAAGTGAGCGGTAAATCAGATTAATGGAGCCGCAGACCAGCTCAAACGATCTGTGAACAACATTAATCTTCATCTGCTATGTTGTCCTAAAGGAACCGTTCAAGATGAATTTTCACTCACCGGGGGGGAATCCTGAGAGCGTGGAGCCCCACGCTCAGATTAATCTGAACATCGTGTACTTTATGGAGGATAAAGAGATGGCAGAGTCCGTACGGTGAATTACAGATATTTATGTCTTTAGTTCAGGACTGATTCAGAGGAGCCTGTTTCAAACTGTTTACATCTGTGATAAATTTATCAAAGTTCTCCGGTAATCTGACTCTTATTATCGACTCTGTTAGGAGTAAATGTGTGTTTAATGCTGGCGACGGTTTCCCAATCAGGACTGGCTCTTTTTGTCTCTGCTGCACTTTATTTTGACAGAAACAAACTTGTTCTGTTCAACTTTGTGTCAGCCAAGATTTTTTTTTTTCTGTAGGATAATAGGGGAAGGTCCCGCCCTCCTTCGCCTCTGATTGGCTAGAAGTGCTGGGCTCCGATTGGTTATTCCTTATGGCTGTGAAACGTCATCGTTTGTCAGGTTAGGGTTTGGAGATTCAGAATTGCGATGATGTTCTGTAATGTTCTGTTCGATGTACGAAGTCCAACAGCCCGTGCTCGGCTTGAGCGTATGATGACGTTTTACAGCCAATCAGAGGCAAAGGAGGCGGGCCCTTCCCCTACCATCCAACAAAAAACAAATATCGCCCCTGGGTTACCAGTTTGACCACTAAACTTAGGCTACGTTCATACTGCAGGTTATGATGCACAATTCAGATGTTTTGTTAAATCCGATCTTTTTGTGCGGTCGTTCACATTACGCCAACGAATGCGGCATCTAATGTGAACGGAATGCGTCCGTGAAGTGACCGGCATGCGCACAAATTGCTTTCCGCGCCTGTTTGTGTTGTCGAACAATGATCGGGTCAGATTTGAAAAAATCTGAATTGCACTGTTTACACTTACATGAAAAAATCAGATATGTGTCACATATGGTTAAAAAATCGGAATTGACCTGCAGTGTGAACATAGACTAAGAGAGGGTGACCATATTCTGACTTCTCAAAAAGAGGACACGACTACGCAGGGGCGGGGTCACGGAGTCGCACAAAGTTAATTTTGAGTTTTTCAGGTCAAATCGAGTGTCTTTTAGTCGCTTTCAACTCAATAAGTCTATGTGACACAAACTCGAGACTTATGTACAAAACCGCAGACATTTGAAGGATTGTACAAACTTCCTCTGACAAACCTGGACATCCCCCAAAAAAGAAGACATATCCGGGTAAAAGAGGACATATGGTCACCCTAACTAAGCGAATCCTGCACTGAGTCCTAATCTACCTTTTTTTTTAAGCTTTGAATGCAAAGGTGTGTTCACATGATGTTTGCAAAACAAGCTGCTAGCATCAGGTAAGTCAAAGTCAAGTACTGAATGCTGCATAAGACTCACCTGTAGTGCCGCTATCTTGGATTTAGGACAGGAGTGATGGCCGTCTTGTTTTCATTTTTGAGTCCTGTAAAACACAAAGATACATATCAGAAGGTTAAGGAGGCGCATTGGAACTTTGAGGAACTCTTCACAGAAATTGCTAAATATTTCTGAAAATATGAATAATATCAGTAAGAAAAGTTAAAGCGATAAACTCCTGAGCTGGCTGAAGGTCATTCTGAAAACTGACCTTTTTAGTTACAGGAAAAAGTACCTGTAAGGAGTATCGTAGTGCTGGGTGAAGTACCTGCTCTCTCTCTTCTCTCTAACGGGCTCTTACATAAGCGCTGTGTTTTCAGGGGTTTTCCTGCTTTAAATGAGAAGCAGACCAGGACCCTCTGCAGCTCTATAAAACACACACACACACACACACACTCTCACACACACAGCTCACAAGGCCCCTGCACTGCTACAAGCCCCACGGGCAAGCACAGGGTACCCACAGACCCCACACAGGGTCCACAATTTAATAACTGATGCTAAGTCTTAAATAAAACACATCATGGTGCCGAAAAGAGAGACCTGCAGAAAACATACACACACACACACACACACACACACACACACACACACACACACACACACACTGAGAGACCTTGGATTCAGGTCCTCCTGGAGAGACTTCCAGCCTCTGTTCAGTCCATCAGCTCCTCCTCTGGCTCTGGTTCAGGGTCTGTTAGAGCGATCAGGGTTCTGGACCCTGCGGGGCCGATCTGGACCCGGCAGGAGATCCGGAGCCAGCGCTGATTAAGTGAAGAGACGTTCGGGTCCAGAATCCAGTTTGAAGTCAGGAAAATCTCCATGGGTGCAGCTGGAGAGCAGAGGAGACACACACACACATCTTTAATTTCAAATCGCATTAAATAAACACGTTAAACATCATTAAGGTGAAACCTGCTGCAGGAGCTGCTCTGCTCGGGTTTTCCAGGGACACTTTGGATCCACTCAGGCACCTGCACACTTAAAAGGAAAGGGTTCATCGCCCTTCAACTAAATACTTAAAATTCAAACAATATCATCACACAATAGCAATACACAGCGGTCTATGTCTCTATGCGCTCAACCAAAACGCCACTCTATAGCCACAAATAATGCTCAGAGCAGCACCCAACTTCATCAACAGGACAAATAGGGTCCCAGCCATAGTACTAGCCACCAAACATCTTTTTAACTTTGACTAATTTCTTTAGCAAAGAGACTAAACACAACTCACCTACTCTCTTCCAGCAGCCACTTGTTTGTAGCGAGACCGCTGGGCAAGTCCATTGCTGCTTCAAGGTGCCGCAGCTCAAGGAAGAACATTTATGATCATTTCTTCATGGAAATGCAATCGGACTGAGATGCTAAGGCAGAAGAACTACCACGTCTGGGATCGTTTATATGTGAGTTTTATTTTGAAGGGACACAGGAAACGGCTGTTTTCAACACTGTTTGGTCGCCTCTAATGATAATGGTCACAGAGTGTTAGACACACCACAGAAGAAGAAGAAACAGGGCCTCATGAGGACTCTGATGAAGACATCTGGACCTGGACCTGGACCTGGACTCACTCTGGTCTGTCCAGGTTTATGTAACCCGGTCTGATGAAGACCAGCTCTGAAGTTGGAGGACACACGTCCTCTCAGGTGCTCCACACACATGGACGTCCTCATGGTCCACGTGTCGGGGGGGGGGGGACAGGAGGGGTCTGGTTTTCCTCCATCAGCCTGAAGAGGAGGAGGAGGACTAATGAAGGCCACGATCTGACGTGGTCTCCCTCGGGGTTTTAGAGGACTCTTCAGATTAAGAGTCCTGAAATTAAAGCTGTCATAAATTCATGTGGGGGGAATTATGTCCCACGCTCACTAAACGCCTCTTCATCTTTATACCTGAGCATGCTGGGCTCATTAAGTCCTCAGATATCCTGTACTTATTCTGGCCCCTGAACACCCCACAGTTATTTTAGTCCCTGAATGCATCATTCAACGCCTCTTAACCAAGCGGTGTCAGAATGTCCAACACTTTCTTTGGTCCCTGAACACCTCCTGTTAATTACAGTCCCTGAACTCATCACCATCCACAGCGTCCCTGTAGAGCTGTGAGCTCTGTGCCCTGGTTTCTGTCTCACAGGTAAACTCCCTGACTCCTCTGACCCGGCGGTGCGTTCAAGGTGTCTGAGTGTGAGTACGGTTTTATTCCTGCCATCTGCGGAGGCGAACAAAGAGCCAACGGGACATCAATCTCTGCACTTCTTTCAACCTTCGAGTGTTTCTGCTGCCATGAGTGACATAACGGCTTCATCCACACACACACACACACACACACACACACACACACACACACACAGAGTCACAAATCCTCTCCATGTGTTCTCATACGAGCAGAAAAGTCTCTGCTTTACGTTTTCAGCTCCTCTTCCTGCTGCAGGATCTTCGAGTCCGCATCAATTTGAACCAGATTCATCGTCTGATTTAAGCAAACATCCGCTCCGCTGACAGGCTGAACCCCGAGGACTGACGGCGTCTTTACGGGATCAAACATGAGCGATCGTTTTCTCTCTGACATTTCATAATAAAGGTACAGACCGGCTGCTTCAAAACGCCGTCATGAAAATATCATCTATCAGGTCAGCGCTGAATGAATCCCTCTAGTAGGCTCTGTGACCTTTGACCCTACAGCCACCACGCTAATTCAGGTAAGTTCAGCTCAGGTGAGAAGAGAAGACTGAATTACTGCTAAAAATACCCAACATTCACTTTGATTCCAGGGTTCGTTCTGGTGTCGGAAATTCCCCAGACTGGTTTTAGCCCCTAAACACACCGTGTTGCATTTGTCAACAAACACCCCATGCTCTTTTCAGACCCCGAGCCCCTCATTGTAGTCCATGAACACCTCATATATTATTCAGAAACAGCGCCATCAGACCACAGGACAGTTTTCGACTCAGTCCATCTTTGAGGAGTTCAAGCCAAGCCAAGTCCCTGGTGCTTCTGGATCTGGTTTACATCTGGTTTCTTCTGGGTAGGGTTTAGTTTAACCTGTATTTGTGGATTCAACAAGAAACCCTGATCAACAACAGAGGTTTTTGGAGCCTATGCAGTGATTCCCACTTCTGAGTCATGTCTGCCTGAGGGCCAAAACATCACGGACATCTAGTATCAACTGTCCGCCTTGTCCTGGAACAGAAACCCTGAATCTTTTGACATTATAACCTGTAGGCGATAAAATCCCTGAATTCTCAGAGGAACATTATCCTGGATTCTTGGACCATTTCTGAAAAAGATATTTCGGCGTAAAATTACTTTACTAATTACCCACTATGTACTGTTGATGAAGTTAGGTGCTGTTCTGAGCATTATTTGTGGCTATAGAGTGGCGTTTTGGTTGAGGTTTGTTTATGGCTCCTTAGACTGCTGTGTATTGCTATCGTGCGGTCGTTACTAAAGTTGGTTTAACTAGAAAAGCAAGAAGTCGGCAACATTCATCTCTCGAAGGGGTGTCTAACTCGGCGTTTGCAAGTTTTTAATTTTACGCCGGAATATCCCTTTAATGCAGTCTTGCACAGATATCTCAGAACCAGAATCAACGTTCTGACTCTTTTGGAGTTTGTTGTACAAACTGGACCTTCAGGCTTGTCCTTAAAAACCAAAACATCCTCATTACCATCGTTTCTGAGACCTGAACTTGGAAACACTTGAAGGGCGTTCATAAAGCAGGTTATACAATCATCTCAGCCACGAAACCGATCCAAAGTTCTGCCTCTTTTCCCCACCTCAGCAGGACCACGCTGGATTTATCCGACCCATGTGTGACGGCAGGGATCCAGAGCTGTGAACGGAGACTCCGAGTTAGGAAGAAGAGCAGGAAAACATGACGAAGAGGTGATCCCGGGTCAGTATTTAAAGACTTAACCTGACAGTGAGAGTCCTTCAGTCCCCCAGCGGTCAGGATGTCCTCCAAAAAAAGAACTAAACGAATATTTCAGTCCCCTCCGTGACGTCATTAGGAAAACCTGTGAAAGGGATTCAGAAGAACTCATCACCGCAGAGCATCATCAATCTCTGAGCTCCTCGCCTTGGCTTCAACCGGGGTTTCCCTGAAATAAACAGCCAGCATCCGCCCTTGTCCTCCCCTGCCCTTCCCTGTCCTCCCTTGTCCCCCTCTCTGAGCTCGGCCCAGACTCAAGATCCTAAAAAAAAAAGAGGGGAATCCCAGGCCGGATGAGATCAGACCGGGGGAGCTCTTCTTCTTCAGCCAAAATCCTCCAGCAGAGAAAGTGGGACAGGAGGACAACAAGAAGTGAAACAAGGGGAAGTTACGGGGTCGAGATCAGGACAACCTGGACTGCAAACATGACCGGGATACCTGAGGCGGATCAAATGGCTGTAAATCTGTGAGAGGCGTGAATCCAACAAGTCCTGACTAAAGACCAGAGTCTAAACCCAGATGAACATCCATTAATTCATCCATCCAAAAACATGTTCCCTCAAAACCCATCCATCCATCCATTCATCCATCCATGACCTATCAATTCATCTTTAGATACATTATCCAGAGACCCAACCATCCATCCATCTGTTCATTCATCCGTTAACCCAACCATCCATCCATTCATCCATCCCTCTCTGCTCTTTCATCCATCTGTTTCTCCTCACTTGGACTCAGATGTCTCTTCTCCTCTCTGTCCATCTTCAGCGGCTCATCCGTCAAACTTAAATCCTGTTTTGATCAGACCGTCCGTCACCAGTCACTGTGAAAACTATTAACAAGTTTGTCCCCGCAGACACTCAACTTCCTGTGAGGAGCAGGAGACAAACAGATGTTTGGAGGTTCAGGAGGGATTTGCGGGTCACCTCAAACTGAAGGGTGATCTGGTTTTAAGGTCCTGAACCTTGGAGGAGATGTTCTTCATGAATCAGGACAGATACTTGTGGGATTTCACGGTGCATTCACTGACCCCTGGAGCTGCTAAAAACAGCCCATCTCTCTACAGCTTTATACTGTAAGGCTTCTTCTATGTGAGGATTTTTATGCGCGACATAAAAATGTACATTTACGGCGTACGATGTTCTCTGGAAACATGGAGGAACGAGGAGGGAGGGATGAAATAAAACCCAGGAACGAAAAGAGGGAATAAAGTTTAAGAGCAGAGTGGAAAAACGTCCGAGACTAAAAACACAAACTTCGAATAAAGATAAAGTTTAGACTGCCTCCTCTTCAATAAATCTATAAAACCGCAGTCAAAACATCACAAACTGATAAAAACGTGTAAATAACAACGCGGGTTCATGACGTCACGTGTAAACAAAGAAACATACGAATAAAAACCCACAAATATGACACCATGAAACTCTCCTCCGTCACTCCTGCTCAACTCTCCTTCTTGTTCTTGTTTCAAACACTCGCCGGAGGCCTGGCGCTTTTCTTCTTCTGCAGAATAATTGGGTTGAGGAGGTTAAACAGAACCAGCGGACCCTCGGCGCGTCTGCGGGATTACATAAGTCCTCCTCACAGCAGGATCCAGTTTCCTGCCTGCAGGAACATGGCAGACCGCAGAGCCCCTCAGCTTGGTGTGTTTTATATGTTTCTGCCTCCAACAAATCAAAGAACCGCTCCGCAGTCCAAGTTTACACCTGTGACATCATTTCCTGTTTGACTGCAGTCCCACGGCGAGAGTGTTTTCTTCATCATGGAGCTCACTGAGGCCTGCTCCTGTGTTCGCTCTGAGATACCAACATGAGACCGAACCGCCAAAACACACTGGATCAACATTATTACATTAACCTCAGTGATGTGTCTGAGGTCAGAGGTCATTGCTCTGCTAATCCACCACAGGACGCCGTAAACTGGGGGTCAAAATACCATCAGGAGCTGAATCTGAGGGGTCGAAGGTCATTGTTTTTTTTTTTTACCTCAAAGCTCTTCCTTAGATAAATCTGAGCGGTCTATCTGAGCGTGGTCACATGACCTGCCCATCAGCAGCAGCAGCCGCATTACCTCACTGCTGGTCGTCCCCGTCCTGGCTAATGGAACGTTCTGGTTCCCAGTTGAACCGTTGGCATGTTACATAACGGGCTGAAATTACAGCAGAGCTGGCAATGAACCCTCCCCTCCTCTCTTCTTCTTCTTCTTCTTCTGTGGTGAATAAACGTTCACATTTCTGCTCTCGGAGTCAAAAATCTGTCACATTTTTTCCCTCTTAACTGAAATTATCCACCCGTTACCATGGTGACGCTACATAAAGCCCATCTCTGACCTGCGGTCTCAGCAAAATCAACTCGGACAGTTTTCTGGAAAAGTGATGTAATCCATCACATCGGTGTGTGTGTGTGTGTGTGTGTGTGTGTGTGTGTGTGTGTGTGTGTGTGTGTGTGTGTGTGTTGTTGGGGGCTGTAATGTGAGGACGGAGAACAAGCTGCAAACAAAATCTGTGGATCAGAACCAAACCGCTCTCACAGTTTCCACATTTGCATTCTTCAGTTTAGAGCACGAGTTACCGCACCGCATCCCGACTGTGTTTTCATGGCAACAAATACACTATATCTGATATTACATCAACTGCAATCATAAAGAAATACACTGACTATATTTTCCTTCACATGCACACACAGCAGAACCAACAAATATGTTTTACTGTTGGCTGAAAACACGTCTTTCTAGTCTTATTCCTCTGTGGTCTTTAACCAGTTTTGGGCAGAGTCCACAACTTCAGTACTTGAGCCTCTGTGTACATAATCCTGGTCAGATTTCACTCCAATACAAATAAAAGAAGCTCAGTCAAACTGTTACCTCAGTTCAAGAGCTGCAGAAAATAATACATTACAACACAATAAGCCAATGTAAAGTCAGGACCCCGCTTTGGTCAAAGACAGCAGAAAAAAAGTTACGTTTCTGTTTTGAGAGCTCCCTGCCCTTCCTTTGACATTCATGTGAGTAATGCAAAAACCTGTGGCAGGTAGAGTACACCTCTCTAACGTGCATATGAGGACTACACACACTGGCAGCGGGGAGAGCAGACCTCATTTGGAAACATATATGAATGCAAAAACCTTCAATGCAATAACCTAAAGCAAGGAGAGCATTAAACCGAGCAACAAAGACTCTCATTTACAGACCAGTGCAGGAATCTGGACAACACAATTATAGCAGACAGGAAAAGCAGGGATGGGGATGGGTTAACACCAATTTACACCGCATCCGGAATGGCTACGAAAAGGTCGTATCCGCCGATCGCAGCTGATCGTAACCATTCAAGTTAATGTGTCAATTTCCACCGGCTTCTTTCAGTTCCGCTACGGATCACCAGACTCTGCAGTTGATCGCAAGAGTTCTATTTTTCCGGATGCTGGATAAATTCAGCACAGATTAACCCGTGCTGGAAAGGAAGTCGGGCAAAGACACAAAATAAAACATCCGACTTCTTTTCAAAATAAAACACTCTGTGTTTCAGGCGGATCGTATGTCACACCATGCTAAACTAAAAACTACTGCTACTGCTACTACTGCTTATATGGCTATGTGGTTATCTTTATGTAGACACCTCATTATCGCGCGATTGCAGGTTCTTGTGAGTTCTTGTGATTCCCGCTGTCCGTAATCCGCCACGAAATTCACCTCACAAACGGATCTGGTAGGAATTGGCAGACAGTGAAAATCGAAATTCAGGTTCAAAGTGCAATGTTCAACACCTCATTAGATCAATCCACAGTGCCATAATGCTTAAGGACTGCCACCATCATCCCAGTGCCAAAAAACCCCCAAGATCACCTCTCTCAACGGCTACCGTCCCCATCATGATGGAGTGCTTTGAAAGGCTGGTAAAGGGCCACATCATCTCCAGACTCCCTTCCAGTTTTCCTACCTGCCAAACCAAGGACGGGCACTGGGGACGCCGTTCCATACTTGAACCTCGCATACCTGGAGAAGAAGAATACTCATGTGAGGCTGCTCTTGGACTTCAGATCAGCCTTTGATACCATCATTCCACAACACCTGGTTATCCACCTACATATAAATATATCCCTTTTTTTGCACATATTACCAGATTCCATTCAGTGTGCACCTGCTGCATACTGATTGACGATAAAGTCCGTCAAAGTCTAATTTACATCTTTTCAACTCACAATAGAGAGTTCCAGATCTGAAGCTGGAAAGTAGCAGGAATGAGTTACCATTGATTGAAAACAGCTACTGTGTTTCTACAAGCTTAGACAACTCGTCTTAAACAAATATTTAGCTACATATCTTGACACGCTTTCTTAGGTTGGGCAGCATGTTTTTGCAGGATCTGATTACGTCTGTGTGCAGGAAACAGAGTGGACGTTTAAAACAATAGAAATCATCACTCATTTAATAAAAAAACCTCAAACATGGACTTCAAGAGTCGGCTCAGTGCTCTTGAAGTGGGCTCATATGACTTAGATGTCAGTAGTAATTGTGCAGGAGGAAGAGCATGCATCTGCACACAAAGCAAAAACAAAAGGGATTCCTGATGGTAAACCTAGAAGCGCTGGAGTTCGAGTCTCTCAAAATTGGCTGAATCAAGTGCTAGACTTGGCCTTGTCTGCAGAAAACCGTAGCCTAGCTTGTGTTTGTGAGCTCAGACATAGAATCATCATCGCCCTCTTCTGAAGTCGGTATTCTGAGATAATCGCTGAAATTATTATGAATAAACTCGAGGGTAAAAGAAGAGACGCCATTTTAAAAAAAAAGAATCATATTTTCTTTATTATTGAAAATCAAATACAGAAACAAACATACGGTATAAAATCATGAACAGCCTCATGTTAACATACAGTCTCAGTTTATGTACAAAGCACTCTGATTGATCAAACAGTCAGACAGTTAAAGGGACAGTACACTGTTTTATGACAAGGGGCGGAGTTTGGAAAATGACCGCTACAGACAATGATAGGTTAGCATGTTAGCTTGAAGAGAAGAGAGTCTATCATCTCTCTATGGACAGCACCTTAATACGTCTGGGCTTGTTAGCTTGTTAGCTATGTAAACAGTTAGCGAGGACATTGGTCGCCGTATAACGGACATATGTAGCCAACGCTAACAGCTAGCCACAGCGACCTTTCTTTGGGATGATGAAAGAGACAGAGGATGAAGAGCGCTTACGGAAGCCATCTAAAAAAATAGAAATGTTGATGGAAGTGCATCTGCAAACATGTATTAACACACATTTTCTCCATATACATATAAAACATTTTTCTGTTGTGCAAACTGCAAGTGAAGAAGCCTCTCAGCTTTGGTTCAAATGTTCCTAAACTGTCCGAGTTATTTAAAACACTGAGCATCATTTCTGTCAGAGGACCAGCAGAATATAACTGTAAATACACACGTACATGTACATATCATTACAACGTTTAAATTACTTTATTTTCAGGCTCTGCAGACTAAAATACTCAGAGCGCCGACATGCATGAGGCAGAAAAACGGAAAATCCAGCAAGTTTATCTCAAACAGCTCAAATTCACTGGCCTCAAGGTCAGACCAAACCAGCGGGAGGCGGACGATCGGCTCCTCGGTGGTTTTTAATCTTTATTTTTTAGGACAGGAGTGAGCCTGTGACATGAAGTGTCCAGCAGAGAAACAGCAGAACAAAATCCTCTGACTGCTCATGAAGAAATGTGATCAGACCTTTTGATAAATAACATCTCACACTTTATGAAAATAGTTTTCAGGGAGCCAGCTTCCCATGATGAGCACAAAATACAAAAATAAGAGTGGTTGGTGAGCTACCCCCCCACACCGCAGAGGGTAACACACCTCCACGTCTCCTCCTCCTCTACCTGTCTGAACGGGTTCATCCATAAATAGGAAAGATGAGGCGTGTTTACATATTTCTCGTTGCTAAGTCCCTGACTGGATTGTCCTTTACATGTTTGTACAGCACTGGGGGAGCGAGGAAGGGAAGGGGGGGGCTCCAGGCTGGTGTCTCCCCCCCAGCCCCCCGACACGTCCTCATCTGGGTATTCAGAGAACCACCAGTCCTCTCACCACTTCCCAGGGATGGGTGTCCCGCACTCGTACCATGACACGTAGTTGACGTGGGAGTGGCCTCCGATCTGTCCGAAGTGGACGGGTTCCTGACGCACTGCGCGGTAAAAACCTGCAGTCGAGAGGACAAGGAGTGAGTGAGGTCACCTGTTTAGAGAGGTCTTTCACCTGTGGTTATGTTTTTTTGTCCACTCTAACTTCTTCTAAGTGTCTGTATTGTTTTTTTGCATTTTACAGTATCTTTGTTTGTGATAAAAAGTGCTTTATAAATAAAATGTATTATTATTAAATGGAAACATCTGTCGGGGTCTGAAGTGTTTACCTGGTCTGGACGGTAGCTGGTCGGATTGGAGCTGCCTGCCTGTCCTTCCATCAAGGAACGAATCCACAAACTGACAGTGGTCCTCGCCAAAACCGGTCTGATCTCCGATGTTGTGGAATTTACCTGCATGACGACAACGAGACCATCAGATCAACTTTCACTTAAAATTCCAGTCCTGCATCTGCGCCACAGACTGCCTTCCCTTTATTGACCAACAGGGGGCCACCCACTGGGTTTAATGCATAGACTGTATATAGTAAGGACAACTTGGTTCCGCCTTCTGCCAGTATACGGATTTGAAGCCGAAAAGCTCTCGATAATCCCGCATTTTTTCTCCAGCGTATCCCCCGGGTGAGCTACGCAATCTTTGTACGCCTACAGGTTGTATCAAGTGTCAATCATAGAAAACTCGAACCCCCTAATAACTTTCAAAAACAGAGCTGTAGCCAACATATACTGCAGCCCGTCACCAGGGTGTGCTGTTCTCGGAGTGGTGTCAACCAGCGAGGAGGCAGACGGTGTCCGTTCTATATACAGTCTACGGTTTAATGAAAAGAAAACTGATGGTATGTCTCCAGGTACTCACCGTTGAGCGAGTCACTCAGGTAGATCTTGTACCTGAGTGAGTTGCAAAGCTGGACGCCCACAAACTTGCGATACCAAGTCCTCTTCACGTACTGTTTGCCGTGACAGTCCGAGTACGAGTCTGTCTTGAAGGGAAACTGTGTCCAGATGGCGTCTTTCCCTGCAAAGAAAGGATGTTTTCAATCCACTGCCCATAAAAAAAACACGTCTGTATGCTGACGACAGTGCGCTGTTCTTACCTGAAACATTCTCGCTCACTCGTGGATCGGCTGAAAGAACAAACAAAGAGAGTTTGAACATCTCAAAGATCACAAACAGGGCTGAAACACGGTTATCCAAGAGCTGACGGTACCTGACTCTGTGTTGAAGGACACAGGCTCACTGAGAGGACCCACCCCGAGCTCGTTCTTTGGCTTCACCTTGAACTCGTAACTACCAAAACACAAAGAGAAAGGGGTTATTCAGAGTCCATGTGTGGAATGCCAAGCCTGAGATGGGTGGGGTTCTCCTCTTTTCTTCTTCATTTTACAAAAAAAAAGCCAAGGCAGGGAGAGCAGCAGCAAAGACTCTACTTAATGTTTGTAAAACAGAGTAGAGTTGGAAGTCTACACAGATTTCATCTCTAATAGTTTTCTTCTTCAGGGAATCAAACTTTACTTCTGCTGTCTTTTAGCTTTAGACGGTTAAAGACTCATAGTCAACAGCATTTAACAAGTTTGAATCCATCAGCATGATCCAGATCTAAACTCCAGTTAGCTTCCTCCACACCAAATAGTTTTCTCGTATCCAGCCTCATTAAGACCTCAGTGAGCGTGACGGACACACTGCTTATTTTACTCTCTGGATGTCTGGCTGCCATGCTGCGCCGTCACTCTGTGATCGCTTGGCTGCCTTGTGGTGTTTGGACAGCTGAGCGCAGCCCGGCTGGAGAGCCGTCGGAGCGGTGAACAGATGAGGCTTTGTTAGATCGGAAGAGTTCAGGAAGGTTTGCAGCAGACGACCTGTGAGCAGGTGATCTGACGGTGATGTCATGTGTCCACTAAGGTGTGACGGAGTGAGCTTTTTTGGCTTTGAATTCGTCAGGAATTCGACACAGCTCTGCTCTGTCATGGTGGATGAACCTGTCTTCCCTCCTCGCTCTAAACCATCCAAAGTTCTTGTTGATTTATTGTGTTTCTCCTTCAGGAGAAACTGAAGCTAATGAAACAATGGATTCACTGTACCTGCTCTCGGGTTTGAGGTTTTCCACCGCCGTGTGGGTCTGGTTGGTGGTCAGGATGGAAACCTGCTCTCCGTCAGGTCCTTTTGTTGTGGAGATGACTTCATACTCTGAGGAGAGGACAGCAAAGCCTGAATTAATAAATCTGAGGACTCCGGCACAGTGTCCCTGATAGGATCTCCACCATCATCTCCTTTGCTGTCTGTGCTCCTACCTGTGGTATCGTTGTCCGGTTTCTCCCAGTCCAGGATGATGAAGGATGGGCATCCCTCCACTGTCACCACAGTGAGGTTGGAAGGCGGACTCTTGGGCGGAGCCGTCACGTTCGTCTCACTGCGCTCATCCTCCGGGAAGTAGTTCAGGGAGGAGGTGATGGAGCACGGCTCGTCGGGTTTCTTCCCCGTCTGATAGACGACGTGAGGCGCTGTGGGTGGAGACGAAGGGTTGATCAGCCGTCGTTAAAGCTTCTGACGCCATGATGAGGCGGTTGAATGTGTTCACTCACCAACGTAACGTTTCTTCCCCAGGGCGTCAAGGTCAGAGGCCGGCTGTGCCTTGAAGAGTTCAGAGTCCTCCCAGGTCTCCTGTCGAGGAGCTGGAATAGAAAAGAGAGATGACCACACCATCAGTGGGTAAGATGAGGGATGTTCACAATCAAGTACTGAGTAACCGGTTGTTAAGAATGACACCAGATTAATTACGTTATCATCTGACTGACACCTTGATTGGGAACCTCTACAGAGGAACGTACCAAGGGTGGTTGGAGCGACAGTGCTCGTCTGTTTGCGTTCCTGTTTGGTGGGCTTGGCAGTTGCTGGAGGTAGTTTTGGTTTCAGGATGGGCAACTTGTCCGTCTGCTTCAAGTTATTGACTTTGTCTGATGGAGAATATGCAGACAATAAAAACTTATTCAGCATATTAAAGTGCAGGACATACAGTGATCCGTTTGTGAGGACAGGTCAATCTCACCTGTCTCCCCGGGTTTCCCCACAAGGTTGGGTCTCTTGTTGAGGGGGATGGACGGACGAGGGAGAGATCCTGAAACAGAAGAAAAACTTTTAAAAACCTCGAACGGTGAGAACATCTCCAGGTGATTCTTTCCTCTGTCTCTCTCTCCTCATTGTTGAACCTGATACTCGTTTCAAACAGCCAGTGAACCTGAAAACATGAACAATCCCGTGTAACTTGTCTTTGTTTCTCTTGAATCCACCAAAGACCCGAGTCTAAAACCTGCAGCCAATTACCTCCCGCCCCTTCGTTTAAGGAGAAGCCAAAATTCTTCACAATCAAGGAGCTGAGCCTCTTCCAGCACTAAATGGAATAAATGCGGAGCGGTTACGGTGACAGATGATAGAGTCCTGAAAGTCTTTAGCTCCTAACATGAAACAGACTCATTCCTTTCAATCAGCTCCATGTAAATATGTATCAGGCTGCCTGCAGAGCTCTGCTGGATGTTATTCTGAGGATATTATCTCCCGCTCTCTGAGGGTCTTTATTCTTAGACAGCGAGGAGTCTGTCAACAAACACAGAGGTGCTGTCGACTGGAAACTCGTCGTGGAAACTGGAGTCAGAGCCCACGTTCAGCAGCTCTATGATTACAGTATGAGACTCAGAGAAATAAATATTGGTCTGATTCTCTCTGTTCGCACAGAAACAATCCGTCAATAAAAAGCAAACAGCGGTTTCCTCGTTCTGATGAAGAGCGCTCGATGCACGCCATGCTGTCCTGGTAGCGTGTGGGCTTTTCTAAACTCAGCATCTGTGCAGCAACATGTCTGAAGCTCATCACGCCAAAGACGCTCGCAGTCAAGCAGGAAGCAGAGGCCGAAGCACAGGAACCTCAAGCACTGAGGAGGTTCATGTCTTATCGAACTGGTTCTCCAAATTCGACTGTAGCAGGTGCAAAGCTCTGCAGAGTCAGCTCATGATCAGAGGAGGATCCGGAGATCTCAAGCTGACATCCAGAGTTGAATTTTTACAGCTTCTCTGGACCGAACCATGCAGACCTGGCAGAGCAGAGTGACTGAAGCGCCAGTGAGCACACGGCATCAGCAAGCGTGGAGCAAAACTTTACCAACCATGAAACCGCTCCTCTACGGTGGGACTGGAACGACCGAATCCGGCGGGAATCTCGGGCTTCTTCTCCTCCAGTAGGGAATTGTTCACTGCGGCAGGAGAGGCACTGTGTTTAAGACAGAGCTCCTTCTCTTTGAGTCCAGGTTCACTGAGATGCTAGCACAAACCGTCCTCTGTTTCACATTTTAAACGAGTCTGTTGCACATGGCAGACCACACGTCCCCTGTTTCACATCTTAAATCTTTTCTTTTAGATGTGAAGCCAAACTATTGCTTGTCCAAGTGTCTCCTGTTTCAAAGTCACGTTTGCTCCTGACAGGACAACTTGGAGTAACTGCTCCTGAAAAACTGATGTTACAAACTCCTAATAACTCAGGACAGGTGCACGGACCGGCACATGTGCAACATTCCTCGTAACCTCTGCACTTTGGCTGAACACATGTCAAGGAAAACATGAACACCTAATGGAGTTAACGGTGTTTATCCACAAATTTCCATTCGAATTTGCAGAGATGGAGTGTCTGGATCATAAAGCTGTAGTGAGTGAGGGTTAAGTTTGTTATTTTTTTGACTGAATAAGCAAAAAAGAGAAAAATGAAAGTGAAGCAGACTTTTCCTCTGAATGTTGCGTAACAGCAACGATCTGCTCGAACAATCAAAGAAATCAAAAACACTCTGCCTCTGGAAGAACAACTGGAAACCCCGACCACAGCCCAAACCCAGACATTCAAACATACACCCAACCCCCCCCAAGCACCCACACACCCCCAGCACATGGAGCACAGAGTGACATCATCTGTGGCGGTTTCTGGACTTATGTAAGCCGTTCAAATAATCGAGCTGTGATCCTTGATTATTTGGAGAAGCTCTGCCAGAAGCTGAAAACCTGCACAAGCTCAAGATGACACAACAAACAGTTTGGACAAAAGGCAACACAGACAAACAGACAGACCCATGGATGAATGGATGGATGGATGGATGGATGGATGAATGGGTGGATGGATGAACATGAAAGTATTAATAAACACAGTGGATGGAGACAAAAACACCAACATGTGCTGCAGGTGAAAATGCTGCAAAGCGAGTGAAGGGTTAATGACGAGACACAGAGAAACAAGGAGGTCTTTTACCCAGTCGAGGTCTGGACCATAAGGCTGGTCTGGGTGGGGAAAGGCCCCCCCGGTGGGGCTGTCCGTTAACTGCAGGGAGAAAAGTGAGTGTTACGGAGAGAAAGAAACCAACTGAAAACTGAACCCCACACCAGAACAACCAACACGTCCTGATGGAGCAGTTTGGAGCTCTGAAGAAAAAAACACGTTCGGCTGAAAGTGTTGGAACATTTTTTACCATCTTCATCATTTTTTTTATGGAGTAGCAGCACAGAAACTAAATCGTAAACACCGACAGAAAGCTGGGCAAAAGTGCAAGTTGACGTGCGATGAAAAGCTTTGGAGCTGCCATTGAATTTTGTGATTAGTTTTTACAACTTTAGCATTTAAGGGCCCAGGTTATTGAGGGGAAAAAAACTGTTTCCATCCACATCTATGAAGTGTGAATATCTGTTTCTTTTTCAAGTTTTCCGAGAGCGATCTTTAGAGGCTGAAAATGGACGTGTGTGGTTGTTCAGATAAGAGGTTCATTTAGCAGGTCAAAGTAAACAAACACAAAGAGCCTGTGAAAGCTAAAGAGTAAAAAACAGTCGAACTGTGGCAGACGTTAGCCACAGCTCAGAGAAAGATTCATCCTGACGGGGTTATTTTTCCTTTGAAATCAAAAAATGTTAAAACAATGATCAAGTTCAAGACCAGGACCCAGTGGCTTGAAGAACAAACCATTTCATTTGCACCGATCAGTCAAAGAGGGACCAATCAGAGCTCTACCTGAGAGTCAAAACCAGCGCTGCACAGCTAAGACATCTTCACCTCCACTGACCTGTGAGTCCATTCATACCTGACATTTCTGACTTATATAGCTAGTAATAAACGATGGACAAAGAAACTGAAGGCGAATCAAGTTTTAAGGTTCTGGGCTCGAATTTTTATGACAACGCTCTTATTTAACTAGACAGAAGTCCATATCTGGATCAGTTTTGAAAGAAAAAACAGATTGAAAATGTTGGTGTGTGACAAGAAAATAAGGAATTAATCTTTTTTCAAATTTTAAATTAAAACCAGTTACAGTGCGATTGTATGCAGATGATATTTTGACTTACATTGAAGTCTTGTAAATTTCTTATATATTGTTAAATGTAAAAATCTAAACTAACATTTATCTTAAAAATGCTGAGAACAGTCCACATTAAGTGTTGAATTATGACAAAAAATTTGGACTTGAACATTTTTAGAGTGAGACGCAATGGGACTTTGATTTCTTACTCCAGTGAAAAGTTTGAAATGAAGCTAAGGGTATTTTAAATTCAATGTTGCGTCTTTGTCCAGTTGGTTTATCTCTGAAAAAGTCTATCTCGGGTTCATTGTGTAAATATATAAATGTGTTATGGGTTTAAGTGACTAATTTTGGGAACAGTTAAAGACGATCTTTTCTCAGGGAGTGAACTGAAATATAAAAAAGAGAGAGAAGAAACAAAGGAGCAAGGAGGATTACCCCCGAGTATCGCAGAGGTCGGGGAGGAGTTACTGGGTCTAGAGGGAGAGTAGGGCTGTCTGAGACCATTAGAGAGGGGGAACAGGGGGTTTCTGGAAGCAGGCCTCATGGATCTGACAAGCGTGGTAGCTGCCGGGTTGTAGGGTTGATAAGTCAGAGGTGGAGAGAGATTTCTTTTGTTGTCTTGACCTAAAAAATCAGAAACAGTTGCCCGTGTTACAGTCTGAACTTGGCTGTGTTGGTTTTGAGCGAAGCGAGCTTGCAGCAGCCCTGAGCAGTGATGTTAGTGATGGATGACTTTACTCTGATGGACCGTTTAATCCACTGTATTGTATGAACACACACTTTGATGGGATCATGACAAGTCACAATCTTTCAAAAAAACCACAGTCATTAAAACTGTTACTGAGTCTGATGGGACAACCATGACTGTCAGATTGTGAGCTGCATGCAGACACTGGAGGCCTAGTTGGATGAAATGTGTCTAAATGGTGCAGCTCCCACAGCGAGCAGCATTCCTGTGGACAAAAACTTCAGTGCACATTTATCTGGAAGCTGGTGGGACAAAGACGGCGCACACGGACAGCAGAGACGGACAAAAAAAGCAAAACTGCCTCTGATTGCAACACAAAGAAGCGTTTCATGAGGTTATCGTTACCCCAGTGGTTAGTTCTGGCTCTCTCATTGGCCAGAACAGCTCTCAGCAGTGATGACTCATCCTGTGATTGGCCGATAGCTGTGTGGGAAAAAGAAGGTTTAAAATAACGTGCTGACGCGAGAAGTTCCTCAGGCTGTAAAAATTAAAACCAACAAGACAAATAAACCGCGTTCATTACGAAAGAGTGAGTGTTGAGAAAGTTTGACGTGAGGGTGGATGGAAGAGTTTACCACTGTTTGCAGACGACACAACATTATCACACAAATCTGCCCAACAAATAGATACATTTTTATCTCTGATGAACAAAAAAAAAAAAGAAATTTAGATGAAAAATTAGTGTTGATGTCTGAAATTTCAATAAAGCTGTTTGCTGATGACACCCTGTTTTTTACGGAGGAGCTGTCATTTGCCTCTGTCCTAAAAATCCTGATGACTAACAAACTCTCTTGAAAAGATTATTTTCTATGTTGGATCTTAAAAGGTATTTGTTACATTAGGGGAACTAGCAACATGGGATTTATGTCAGCTTTGCTACTTGGTAGAATAAATGGATGACAAACGGAAGCTGGGCAATCACAGTTGCACACAGGGTCACTCCAACTAAAGCACTAAACTAAAGTATACAGTCTATTTTTCTGTGCTCTACCTCACTGTCAGAAACTGAGTAATACACATACTATAGAAGTGCTTAATACAACACAACTTAAAAATATAAATGACCCATTTAAAGACAAAACATTACAGAAAAAACAGCATCTTTGCCTTAAGCGTACGACTGTTTGCAGATGATACTGTCATTTCCAAACAGCTTGAGCAGCCACCTACCTATGATCTGTAATCTCAAACTAAAAGAAACAGAGTACGCCTTGAGTATTTTTCCCCACTAGAACATGAGGTACAAATATCAGCTGCCACACAGCAGAATTTTGGAAGGATTTTTCCAAATAAAACCTTTAGAAGGAGGCTTCATTCTTTTAGGAGCCATAGTGGTCAAAATGTTAATGTTATAATGGTCCTACTTGAAGAAAAAAGGTTTTAATGGACGATCATGTCCTTCTTTGCAGATGACACTCCTTTTTTTTAATGGAAATCACACTTGACTATCAGAGGGCGTAACTTCAGAGTCAAACAGTTGTTGTATTTCTCAAACATGGCCATGAAACCAGGAAAATGAAATGAAAAGGGAAATCTGAAGGTGTAAATTACCAGCAGGGTTATGGGTCTTCTCAGGGACATTAGTAGGTGCCTTAGTAGTCTGGCCCTGATGTGAGTCGGCCCTGGAGGTTAGTCTAGGGAGGGGGGAGACTGTGGTGTCGGCAGGAGGGGCTTTGGTGGGCGGGAGTGTGGGGAGGGCAGGAAGATGATCCACTGATGTCTTGGAGCCTTTACTAAAAGTGTTTCCTGTGTCTGAGGTGAGAGAGCAGAGAGGTACCGTGATCATGGGAGTCTGATCATCAGGTCTGATTTCAGTATCAGGCTGATTGGGTTCAGATTTTCTGTATTTTCATCTCTAGACTTCTTTTTGATATGTTTTGGCAGCTCTAACAGCTGCAGCCATGAAAGACAACAATCAGACGATGATCAGGCTTTGGTCCATCATCTGGTACCTCATGGAAATACAGAAAGTCTGGAAGACTTGGGATTTTGCAGAACGACTTGTGTTGTCTTCCCCTGCCGGGAAAGTCCAACAACGTCTGCTTCTGAACTGACTGACTGACTGACATGCAGTCTTGACATGCAGACTGATCCAACATGGCAACTTCTTGAAGCAGCCACAAAGAGGACAGAGGGCAGAGAAGAAGACAGAGACAAGACCGCACAAATGAGAACTGTCAAGTTGGTTGACTATACCAACATCCAGCTAACATGCTAGTCTTTCAAGTAGCCGCAGCATCAGCTGAATCTTGTAAAGAACATCTGCACTAAGTGTCTAGAGATGGTCTTAGTTTAATGACTCAACATGTCAAAGTACAACCCTGAATCCAAAAAACTGGGACCATAATTAAGGCGAGTTGGGCACAGTTTAGGACTGCTACTCTACTACTCAGCCATGTTGTTGCAATATGAAATCTTTTTGCTGCATTACACAAAGTCATTGTCTGGATGGCAGCATATGTTACTCTAAAACATGGATATACTGTTTAGCACTAATGTAGCCTTACAAGATGTGTAAGCTGCCCATACCCAGAGAAGTCACAAGGATTACATTTATATTTAACTAATGTTTAAAACTGTGTTCAGAGAAGAGTCCATGCTGTGACTTCAGTTGTTTCATTACGGTGCTGCTTAAAGGCTTAAAAATTACTGCCATCCAGTGTTGGTTTTCATCATTAGTTGGGTTTCCATTACCCATAGATTTGCGCAAAACCTAAATATCGCAATAGAAAACTGGTAATGGAAACACCTAAATTTTGAAAAACCTCTCAAATATCGCTAAAAAGTTTTTACGCTCTCATGAGGTGGTTTTTCAGACGTGTCAATATAGAAGTATATCGCAAAAGTGTAGCAGCGGCAACAGCAGTAATGGTCACAGAAATAGCTGATCCAAAGTGCAAAATGTTTTGTATCTCCTCCATGTTGGTGTGCAAAAAGGCTTAAGGAATACGAGGTCACACGGGCAGGAAGTTTACCTCGTTGCTAAGCAATGGCCATTCAAACACGGCTCGCGAGATGCAGACGGCTCGCTTATGCACTGAACACCATTCAGTGGAAACACCCGCAAATCGCAATTGTACTTTGTCGAAATTTGACAAACATCGCTTTTATTTTGCGAAAAAATGTAATGGAAACGCAGCGATTGCCTTGTTTGTACAGAGGCTTTAAATACTTTGCAAACCATCAAATTTTGTTTTTACGAAGTCTTTTAGAATTAGGGTTGTACCTTTCTTTTTGCTAATATCGTTCTGATTTGGACATTTCAAAAGACAGAAAATCTCTGTGAAAGAAGAAAAGCAGAAGAAGGAAATTGGAAGGTGTTTCAGGTGCATGATTGAAGCGTCGCTGGTGTCACATGACCTTTAGCAGCGCGGTCTGCAGTTTCTGCGCTCAGGGTGGGCGGCACAAACCAGACTTAATGATAAAACCTGACTTCCATAACCGCACTTTGTACTGACTGCCTAAGTGGGCTGAAGGCATGCTAGCATGCAGCCAATCACAACAGCTGCATGGACCTAACCCCTCCCCCAGGTGCATGACGGGCTCAGCTGAAGCAGGTAAACAGGCTGCAGGTGAAGCTGCTGATTGAAAACATGAAGGAACGTCTGTTTTTTTACCGAGTGAAACATGAGCAGATTTAGGCTCCTCAGAGCCGGACTCAGGGAGAGTCTCCTGCTGGGCTTCAGGTGGCGCTGTGGGGAATAATAGGCGTCATTAAGAGGAAGTGACTGTCAAAATAAAAGCAGAGAAAGGAAAGAGAGAAATGAAGTGTTTGTAAGCAGCGGAGAGGTCAGGTCAGAGTGATCGCACTGATGGAGCATCTCTGTGTTTTACCATCAGTGTCACCTGACTGAACCGCCGCTGAGGTCAGAGAGAATCTGCAGACCTGATTGGAGGAAACAAAGTGTGACAGGAAGGGATGTGTTTGTGTTCGTGGAGGGAAAAAGGAAGTGATAATCACCAAAAGAAGTGCGAGGAGCTCCGGGGAAAGTTGGGTTTTTGAGCAGAGGAGTGAGACGGGTCCTGTTGTGCAGAGCTGTGACGGGTGGATAAAAACAGACGAGTGTCAGAGAGAGAGAGAGAGAGGAAGAGTTAATGAACACAGTGAAAGGTTTGAAACTTGTATATTCAAGTTATCTCCAATTTACACTTAGACCCAGTCAGTGAAAGGGTGAACTTTTAGCTGCACGAATGAATGAGGGTCATTCAGGTGAGTCTGTTCTGTTATATAATCCTCCTCTCTGTTTGTCATGTTTGTGAGTTTTACTCCTGAAGAGTTTCTGACCGGCCTGAACATGTGCTGACGTCTGTCACTGCTTTTATTCTCTCCTTTATTATCATGGAAACAGATGGAGGCGGATTACACGCTCTGTACATACCTGCTGTTACAGATTCCTGCAGAAACGTGAGGCAGGGAGACACTGTCTAAACATGTTCACAAACACTGAGAGAAAACGCAAAATTCACTGAACTCACCCAGACGAGGAGGGAAGAGAGCGTGGGGGCCCAGAGGTTTCTGAAAAACAACCGAAATTCATCATGTCATCACAGAGGACACTATAACTGTAGTGTTGATGTGTGTGTGTGTGTGTGTGTGTGTGTGTGTGTGGGGAGTGTTCTAAGGTTCCACGAAGAAGTAAAACCACACAAAATATCACAGTCATCCGGCTCTGCAGACACATACTATTGCATTCAGGGGGTCAAAATCATCGCCAAGGAATAAATAGTATAAAAGTGAGGACAATCCCTGTGATATTGGGATAATAAAAGTCAATATTTTGGTAGAATAAACCTGAAATATTATAGGTTGGCAGACAATACATAAAAAGATGATAATAAGTAAAAAATTGTAAAATTAATAAAATCTAGATTCATATCTAAATATGTGACTGTGGGCACTTATTTATTTTTAAAATAAATTTTGAATCCTTGAAAGGAAGTGGGCCGAGTCCCAAGAACTGAAAACTTTCTTCCCAAAGTTCAAAGACTTTTTATTTTGATCCAATAATAAAATGTGATTGCAGTCACTTATTTATTAACTTGTTTATTAAATTAAATTTCTGAGCACAAAAAGTGATGTTGAACAGTGGTTAAAAAGAGGGTTGTGGATCTGTCATGGTTGTGGATCTGCTTGGCTCTCCGGCTCTGCAGACACCCCCTACTCTATTGAACGGGTGAAAAGTGAAAAACTGTCTCTGAAACAGAGGTGTGTTCAAGATCTCATTGTAGCCGACACTCTGTTGTGACCTTTGACCCCTTAGATATCAAACAGACCCTGTCTGTTGTTACATGACACGTATGTTTCACTTTAAGTACATGTGCAGCGTGGGAACGTGACGGAGATGTATGGAGCCATCGTCCTCGGGGTCAAAGACGCACATAAATTTGGGGCTTTTATTTTGAAACAGAAAGCTCAAAGCGCTGCAGAGCCACCATCATGGAAAAAAGAAAATCTCTAAAATCAATGTTGATATTTTTCTTTGTTTTGGAGTTAATTTGAAACTGAGTCAGAGTTTATTTTTACTGAGTGAACAGGTGACTCACCAGAGGCTTGGCCAGAGGGTTGCGCAGCTTGAACGGTTTCTGCTGGTTTTTATCTGTGAAATACAAAAATCAAAAAAATAGAGTTTAGAAATTTAGAAAAAGATGTCAGGCACACTGTAAAAACTCTCTGGTGGAATATAAACATCTCCTTACTGCCCATGTTGGTGTTATGGATGACGGGTTTGCTCCACATGCTGCTACGGTCGTCCTTGTTTGAGCGGACGCCAAACTCATATGGCGTGTTGGGTTTGAGATTGTCAACAACTGTGTCGCTGGTAGGGCAGGTCTGATAGATCCACTTCCTGTTTCTCTCCCTGTAGCGGATGGTGTAGAACCTTAAGGGAGGAAGTTAAAGGTTTAATACCCAGAGAGATGTCCGGTGTGGATGTTGTGCTACCATGAAAAGCACCATCATCAGTGTTAGTTATCACACACGGTGTTCCTCAGGGCTCTATTATTGGTCCTCATTATTTTCTTTTAATCACACATGGCATGGACAACCCGAGAACACTTAGTCCTTTCTGTTTTTCTCCAAATATCTTCAGTTCTGATCTCAGTAAGGAAACAAAGTCTCCCATCAGGAGCCACTCACTCAGCCAGCAAAAACAGATTCACTGTCTGCTCATCATGGGAAAGGCTGGATCCACACAGAGGGATCTAATTTTAGCTTTAATGAGACACCGTGTCGGGCTGACCAGCAACTCTCTCTTGTGCAACAAAAGAAGAAGAGAGAGGATGTGGTTGTAATCTCAGTCTGCACACTCGGATGGTTGAAACACAACAGCTTTAGTTTCAGAGACATCCATCATCATGATTGGTCGAGGGCTGTTGGGTCAGGCTTTGGAAACTTCCTGAAATCATAAATAAACATGAAAGGAGATGGAGAGCTTTCATGTTGAGCGGACCCTGACGCCCTGTCGTTTTAAAGATGACAGAGAGAGTATGAAGTCCTTCTGATAAATCCGTCAGCTGTCCCAACACGCAGGTGAGCTCACTAATGATCGCCTGCTTTCCCCCTTTTTTTCGCCTGGTCTTCATCATGTTTCCTGTGTCTCTGAACGCCTCAGTGCGGCACATCCAGACATGTTGGAAGACAAATGGGAATTTAACAATCAGGCTTAAAGTCATTGAAGCTCTGACTTTGGGCAGTTTATCTTGAAAGAGACACACACGGTTATTAAAAATCAAAAGGGAACAGATGTGGAGGAGAGGGAACGAAGCCCCACCCACTTTTATATCTTTCACAGCTGACCACTCACAGCGAAGAGTGTGTAAATGGAGGGTTCAGGGATTAGAGAATTGCGCCTGTGCCTCTCTGACCAATAAGTCATCTTAAACCCTCCTCCCCTCTCGTGGCTCTCACCCATCTTCCAGACACTCGTTCATGATGTTCCCCTCGTATGGCGTCTTCAGGTAGTTCCCCCACGACAGCAGCACAGCAGTCGGGCTAACTGAGCCGATCACCAGGTGGAGCGGCTTCTCCAGGTTCACCTTACCTGAGTACACAGGTGTTAAAAGAGTAATGTGTTTGAGTTACCTCGGAAGTCAGAAGTCTGAGCTGAAAAAGACATCACATCCGAGTTATCAGCTTTTCAGTTACCAAGTCGGAAAAAAGCAAAATCGGAAGTGAAAACAAGATGGCTACGACTACGAAGGTTATTTTAGCGCTAAGATAAGTTTCGTAGCTTTCCGACTTGGAAACTGAAACGCTAGGAACTCAGATGTCACGTCATTTTCACCTCGGACTTCTGACTCCTGAGGTAACTCGAACGCAGCATAAGACTTAAGAGCTAAACAGGAAGTGAGGGTGTACCTGTGCAGTGTTTCTTCACGTCGTTGACAGGGATCGGCTGGACGGCCACAAGGTACTTGGGCTCTGCATCTGTAAACACAAACAGGCAGACAGTTTGATCAGAAACAGAAAGAAGTCCCTGAACACACCTCGCTGAGATGCTAACATGTTTCAGCCGATGTCCTTCAACTGGAACCTGGAGTTCTGACAAAAATTAGTTCCACATCTGAAGGACCAGATATACATTTAATGATCCAGTATAAAACCCAAATAACACGTTTTACGACATTTCTGCATCTGGTACTACTGCTGGGATCACACTGAGCACACTGTGTTCACATGGTGCCCATGAACACTTTGTGTATTTGAACACACCATGTTCTTGAAAACGTTGTTTACTTGTAAACCTCGTGCACATCCTTTCAGCAGTCGAGTCAGAGGATGTGAGGAATGTTTCACCTCGTTCTGGAAACGTGATGAAGATAATGATGATGTCATAACAGCCAATAAACTGGGCCCCAGAGGGAAAACGCACATAAACACACACACATGCACACACTCACACACACATGTAAACCATTACAGGCTTTGAGTTTAAACAGACTCGAAGTGAAACACTCACAGCTGCTCTTCATCATCTGATTCATTCACAAGGTTCGGGTTTCTCTGCATCCCTGCAACCTCCCCCCACATCCTCACACACTCACACGCACGCACGCACACACACACTTTTCTTCTTGTCACTTGAACAAAGTCTGAAGCTTCCAGGACAAGAACACACATTTAAAACAACAACAACATGAGTCATAAAACAAAGTTATTAAAGTGATTTAATCCTAAGGTAGGAAGAGCATCAGCAAAGACACACCGGTAAAAAAAAAGAGCTCCCTTCCTCTTCATGTGCATATGTGGAATACCAGATCCTGTGGCAGGAAGATCGGCCAAGGCAGGGAGAGCATCAGCAAAGACACTGACACACAAAAGGATGAGTCAGTATAAGAATTTCCTACCCCTCCATGTACATGTGCAGAGCGCAAAACCTAAGACAGGCAGAGCACACTTCTGCAAACATGAAAGGCTAAGGCAGGGAGAGCATTAGCAAAGACACTGACAAACAAAAGGACCAGGAGTCAATATAAGAATTCCCTGCCCCTCCAGGTACATGTGCGGAGTGCGAAACCTGAGGCAGGCAGAGCACATTTCTGCGAAAACATGAAAGGTGAAGGCAGGAAGAGCACCAGCAAAGACGCTCCAGGTAAAATGGAGCTAGAGGACTCCTTCCCTCTGACTCATGTACCGTCATTATGGCTGATGTGTTGTGGGCTGCCTGGGCTTACACCACTCTCAGTATGACCTTTTTGACCTTCAGTCAGTAAATCAGTCAAAAAAAAAACTATCTTAAGCTTGAAACATGTTTTATTTTGAAAATCCTGCTCCATTTCCTCTTCTTATCCCGTTGTTGAATTCAGTCTTTTTGAGGTAAAGAAAAGCTTTACCGCTCTTTCCCATGTATCATTTGTCTTCTCTTTCAAAGCACCAACAGGTCTGAAACAAGCTCCGCCCCCTGTTCCCCTGCTGACCTCATCATTCACCTGCGATCACCTGTGCAAGAAAGCAGAGCTTCTGTTTGTCTTTCAGCCCACACTCTCCACTCTGTTTGTTTTTTCTTCCTCTGTCTTTCTGGGACATTCATCAGCTCCATTTGTCACACAGGTACAGGAGGTCAAACACGCCAGACTGCGGTTTTCTTTGACTTCTGGCGAACACACGCCCACTTTCCTGAGAAATTCCCCCGAGCTCTTGAATAAACCTCAGCCTCTTCAGAAGATTTTCCTGTCAGATTTCATCAGAACTGAGTTTGTTGCTCAGCTTTTAGGTGAAGTGACTTAAAGAGGGAAAGTAGAGTCTTGTCAAGAACATTTTCAGATTTTTTTTACATGATCTTGGGAACAAAAACCCACAAAAACACGGCTGTTCCCCTGCAGAGGAAATGGTAGATTATCACGTCTTCATGTTTGCATCTCATGTGGCTCAGAAACCAGAAACCAAAACCAGGAGAGGGATTTACAGAGTCCACAGTGCGGTCGATCCCCGGGGCTGCTGATGGATGGTTCCTCTGGGCAGGAAGGTAAACACCACAAGAAGTGTTTAAGAGCAGCCCCTGACACCACAGCCCCGCCCACTCACCGTGATTGACAGGTGACCTCAGGGCAGGAAAAGTAGAAACGTTTGGTTTTCTGGTGATAGTTTTAAGTGTTGGACTGATAAACAATAAAGACTTAACCTCCTCAGAAATAAGCTGAGGATCAACAGCAACCTCTAACCACCAAACCTCAGCCAAGATTCAGATGATTTTAGAGAGGCGAAGAAAAACTGAGCTCAAGAGAATTTACAAATATCCTCCACCAAACCTCCGCCAAACTGGAAATCTGAACTAAACAAGTTGTAACAATCATTTCTCCTCACTGCCTAAAACAGTTTACAACCAGAAGACACTCCACAACCAAACCAAAACCCAAATTCTCAGTGGATCAAAGTTGGAGGAAATTATTACAGAAACAGAAACAAACTGTTCAGATCGTTTTTCCTCACTGCCTGACACAGTTCAGTTCACAACCAAACCTGGACTCGGTTCTCAGTGGAGTAAAGTTGGAAAAATTCTCCATCAAAACCTGCAAAAATGAGCAGAACCTCCACCAAACCAGCACTAAAAATGCACCAAACCCACAACTTACAACTTGTCTCAAAAAAACATGAACCAAACTCGCACTGGACCTGCTCCAAACCTTAAAAAACCTTTGCTAAACCTGCACCACAACCTGGACCTCCATCAAACCTGCACCAAACATGTTTAACATCTGGACCTATTGAGAGAAACAGGCCAAAGTTCATCAAACAAAGGACAAAATAAGCTCATCTGTGAACCAAACTCCAGCCAAAATCTGGTGGTTTTAGAAGTAAAAACAAACGTGATCTTGGAGCACTTAGAGAAGAAATCACAGTCAGTTTGAATCAGAATTACTCAATCCAAAGAAAAAACAAATGAGCTTCAGTGATTCAGTGAAAAACCTGTCAGAGAGAATCAGAGTAGAGGGCATGGAAGGTGATGAAGGACTGTCAGCAGGTTTTCTGTTAAACCCTCCATGATTTGCCCTCTTAAACACATCTCAGCATCTTAACTTTTGAGATTTTGAGCCGCTGGGATAAAAATTATTGGCAAAGCTTCAGAAAAAGGATCAGAACCACCTGCTGCCAGAGGACTCAGCCGCTCTCAGCTTCTCACGTTCTGCTTTTCCCCAAAGAGATCCTGCAAAAAGCCCCTCTGTTTCCCACGAGTTGGACGGGTTAGACACGCAGAGCTCAGATTCAGACCCCAAAAGAGCTCAAAGTTCTGCATGTTCTCTTCTGCACGATGAAAACGTTCCCTCACAGCTGCTGCTGCTTCTGATTTATGTTCACTTAAGAGATTGTCAGACAGCAGCGCTCGACTCTGACTGACAAATGTTTTAGCTGAGACATAAATGAGACTGAGAGGGGGGACCTCTCCACCAAATTCCAGTCACTTTTTTAACGATTTTAGATTCAGCGTCTTAGATTTGGACGTCTCTACGTCTAATGTTGGTTTAAGGAGGTAAAAAGTCCCAAATTTGTAAATAGTTCGGAAAATGACAAAAAAAAATGTGGTATGAAAAGTTAACTTCTGTAAAACATGTGATGGTAGACTTATTAAAATGTCCCCTCCGGGCCCCCATGGCTCCGCCCCCTGCCCGTCTTACCTAGCTCGGTCTCGTAGGGTTCTCCATTCTCTGGCAGCGGGATGAACTGTTTGGAGAACATGCTGCTGCCGTAACCCAGAACGTAACCCTCCAGCTTCACGTCGGGACTCGGGCGCACAAACTTCATGACGATGGTGTCACCCGTGGCGTTTATCCGAACCTTCATGTTCTGGCGCCGCACTGAGGAGGTAGAAAGAAGAAGAAAAGAAGAAGAAGAGGTTAACAGGAGGGGGTTGTTGTGAATCTGCTGCCCCCTGGTGGACAAATTTAACAGACTCTCTCGTCACGCTGAAACATCTTCGTGTTTGGGCTCGCCCTTCTCTCTAAAACTTTATTAACAAAGCAATTAAAGACAGACAGAGTGGGGAGCAAACCAACAAAAAACCAGCAAATTAGCGTTTAGCACGAAAGTGTGTCCAAATCTGTCTTTGTGAGCTCGTTATTCTTTTACAGCGACTAATAAAGTTTAACACTAAAATAAGAAAAGAGGAGAAAAAGGATGGGAAACGTAGAAACCAAACACTCCTCTTTCTCTCCCTCTTTTCTCTCTCTCTTTTTATTTTCCTCTGTTGTTCTTGGCTGTCCCTCGCCCTCTGAGGTAACCAGACCCCCGCGTTGTCTTTGAAGGATTTTATCGTCTTACATAACTTTGAAAACTCAATGAGACGGAAAAATCGCAGGTTTTATCATGAATTAGCCCCGCCCCCTCCCTGCGGGGCATCAGCACACCTGTCTGCACCTCCTCAAACATCACATCACTCAGCGACCATCAGGCGCAGAGCACTCTGATTGTTTTTCTGCAGCTCCATCACTGAAATGTTTCTGCTCCTCTGCTGCAGAAATGAACAAGTTTCCTCCACACGTCGATGCTCAGACAAAGTTACTCCTGAGTGCGTGAAAATCGGCACATTTTTTGGAGCTTTTTCAGCAGAGTTCCTTTTTATTTTTTTGTTTTTTTCACATCCTTTCTACCCTGACTCAAAATCTGCACATTTATTCCAGATTGCCTCTTTAAACTCTCTTTGCTGCTGGATGCAACAAACTCTCAGAGTATTTTTTCAGTTTTATACAAACAGGAGCTACAAAAAACTCAATCTGTACATTTACTGCTCTCGTCACAGTTTCGATGATTTGTGCCGTTTGACTTCAGTTCTTTGAAACTTTCTTCTGTTTGTTCCACTTTCATTTCAAACACCTCTGACACTTTAGGTCATGCACTTCTTGCACATCTTTTACACATTTTTGCAGATTTTGCGAAATGTTTGGACAGTTTGGCAAATTGTGGAGATGAGTGCACATCTTTTGCATGAAAAATCACAGTATTTTTGCCGGGTTTTTTTTTGCACAAGTAAAGCAACTCTTGCACACTTTTAGAGTTTTTGCACATTAAATGCACACTGTGGAGATAAGTGCACGTCTTTTGCTTTGAAAATCAAACTGTTTTTGCAGATTTTGTCCTTGTTTACCCTTCTTCACAAGGTTTTTTTGCACAAGTAAAGCAATTCTTGCACACTTTGAAAGTTTTTGCACATTTTTGCACATCCTTTGCACATTTAATGACATGTTTTTGTACAGGATTTGCAAATTTTGCCCTTCTTTTGGTACATTTTTTCACATCAATGAGCATCTTTGTGGGTAATCTGCATATTTGACAATTCTTTTCCACAGTTCTTACAGCTTTTGCAGATATGCATGTTTTCGCATGCAGTTATCTTCTGCACATTTTTAAAACATATATGAACATATTTTGCATGTTTTCTGCAGATTTTGACAATGCTTTCTAATTCATGCACAACCTCTGCACATCTTTGAATTCTTTGCATACCTTTTGCATTTCGTACACTCTTTTTTTCTCTTTTTTCTGCATTTCTTACACTCTTTTTTTCTCTTTTTTCTGCATTTCTTACACTCTTTTTTTCTTTTTTTTCTGCATTTTTTGCACCTTTTCATGTTTATTTTTTGTCCCTGATTTCACACACTTCTCTCTCTCTTTAAATCTAGTTGAATGTCGTCTGAACCTTCTCCTCCTGTCTGCTGTTAAAGACTCATTCCTCTTCTCTCTTCTCCTCTCATCATGCATCCTCTCCTGAACCCTCACACTCCTGTCCGCTGCACGTGTTTGATTCCCTCCATCAGGTCACACTCATCAGCTCCACTCACCTCTGATCCTCTGTGCCGGCGTGCCGCTGAGCAGGACGGTCCATCCCAGCAGCAAGACCAGGACCTGGAGGAGAGCGATGCCTGCCATGACCTCAGAGCTCAGGAGTCGAGGAGGATGAGGATGAGGATGGAGATTAGGAAGAAGAAGATGATGATGATGAAGAGTGTTGGAGGTGATGATAGAGATGATGATGATGAGGAGCGACCAGAAGCTGACAACTTCACTAAGCCTCTCCCTGCTGACTCGCTCGGTCACTCGGTCTTAGGACTTGTTCAGCTGTCGGACGTCCTCACTGTGGAGAGCTCGACCTTCAACACACCGGCATGTATAGCCTCTGGAGGGGGGCGTGGCCTGGCTGACATCATCACCCTCCTCACGTACTGTACACTCCCCCCCTCTCCTTTTCTTCTCTCTGGACCTCAAACATGATTTTTTTTTTTAAACTCTGTTTTCTTCATCATGCCCCCTCCTCCTCCTCCTCCTCTTCTTCTTCATGTGTTGTTTTGCAGCAGTTTGGCTCCGACTCTGATCAACGCAGCAGAAAACTAATAATCATAAAAACAGTCCAATCAGCGTCTGATCGATAATCATCAGAGTTTTTGTGGAGTTGTAGTCGATAGTTTGTGTAGTTCCATGTGCAGCTGGAGGTGTTATTGTGTAGTTGTTGCTGCTTTTGCACTGGCATGGTTGTTGTTTTGTGGTCACTTTTGTAGTTATTGTGAAGTAGTATCAGTGTTGTCTCTCTCTGGTTGGTCTGTGTGTGTCTTCCTCTTTGTTGTGTCTTTGTGGTTGTTTTGTGTGTCTTTGTATCTCACTTCTCATGATTGTTTTTTGTATAGTTTGTGTGTCTCTGTGTCTTTTTTGTGCATTTCTAGTTAATTTTGCCATTTTTGGTTGTTCGTTGTTATTTTGCGTGTCTGTTTTGTTTGTTTTTTTGTGTGCATTTTTGAGTCGGTGTGTAGCTTTGGTTTTGGTTTTTTTCCTTTTCTGGTTCTTTACTGACATTTATGTGTCTCTCTGTCATTGTTTTGTGTCTTTTGTGTATTTTCTCGGTTGTTTTATATTTTTTAAGCCTGTATGTCGTAGTTTGTGTCTCTTTGCTGATGTTTGTGTGACTTTGTTGTACATCTTTGTGTTCTTGTTTACGTCTCTATACTTTTTTGCTCATGTTGTGTGTCTTTTTTGTGTTTCATGTCACATTATCTGTGTTTAGTGTGTGCCTGTGAAGGTGTTGTATGTCTTTGTCAACATTTTGTCAGGTTATTGTGTAGTTGTTGCTGCTTTTGCACAGGCATGGTTGTTGTTTTGCTACACAACTGCAAAAACTAACCCCAAAACAACAACCATGCCGTGCAAAAAAGTATCGAGACAAAATCAACAAGAACACAAAGAAACAAAGATGCACAACAAAGACACACAAACATCAGCATAGAGACGCAAACTATTACATACAAGTTTAAAAAATACAAAACAACTGAGAAAATACACAAAAGACACAAAACATTGACAGAGAGACACACAAATGTCGCAAAGAGAAACACAAGAAACATAACTAAAACCTCACACCAGCTCAAAAATACACAAAAAACAACAACACAGACACACAAAATAAACAACAATGTCATTGCAAAGCCAGCAACAACTACACAATAACCTGACAAAACGATGACAAAGACACACAACATCTTCAGACATCTTGCACATTTTGTATGTCTTTTTTTGTGTTTTGTGTTCCATTTATATGCGTTTCTGTGTTCAGTGTGTCTCTGTCTAAAGGTGTTGTGTGTCTTTGTCATCGTTTTGTCAGTTTTATCACTTCAAATGGGAACAGACTCCAGATGAGGGCCCCCATGATTACCTGGGCCCCTGCGGCTGAGTCTGGGAGACCCCGTCAGTAACACAGACTTTAATGCATCGAGTCGCGCTGTGTGAACATTTATAGACCTCTTCCCCCTGCAGCCCTCAGTGTGTAATCATGAGCATGTGTGTGTGTGTGTGTGTGTGTGTGTGTGTGTGTGAGTGATCCTGAATGGATTTTAATGGTTCAGAGTGATCGAAACGAGCAGCTGGAGGCAGAAAATACAGCCGACAGGAATTGCAGGAATGTAAATCACACACTGATGTTACAACACAAACACACAACCAGAGACGCTAACGAGTGTGTCCATTAACACACACACACACAGTCGGAGAGTGTGTGTGTGTGTGTGTGTTTTGAGGGGGGGGTCCTCTGAGGTTCGCTCCACGTGCTCACCCAGAGCTTGTGAAATCAGAGCGTCCTCGGTGGCCCCCACTGCTCCTGCGCCCGAGCATGATGGGAAACATCACAACATCACACAGGCCCCGCCCACATCACAACACATCCACCCACCTCACACGTGCACGCCGGGAGCCAGAACCCTGACATGTTTTCTCCGTGTTGGCGGGGTTGATGGCGAGGAAGACGATGAGGGAGAGAGGGAGGGAAAACCCGATCGGTGGACCTGGACTGCGAGGATGCTGCAGCCCAACACGTGGCGTCACATGCGACAGGAAGCGGGCGCGGCCCTGCCAAACAGCAGCTGATGCAGGGAAGAGGAAAATATTTAAGATTCAGAGCAGAGTTACACAACCGGACAGAAAGAGGAGGAATCAGAGCGAGAGGAAGAGGAGGACGATGACAGGAGCTCGACAGGTGTCATCAGGAGAGAGCGCGGAGCGGCGAGGAGGCGAGGGAGGGAGCAAGGAGGCGTGTCAGATCAAACATGTTTGGATTCTATAATCCTCATAGTATCACCTGTCAATCACCTAAACCCTCACCCTGTGTGTGTGTGTGTGTGTGTGTGTGTGTGTGTGTGTGTGTGTGTGTGTGTGTGAGAACAGGAATGTTTCAACACCTGACTCTCACACAGAGCTGCTGTCAGTGCAGTCTGCCCCCAGAGGACGCCCACGGTACTGCAGCTGCTGAAGAGCCAGGAGACTGTGAGCAGACAGAGACATTCAGGGTTTTAAAGGCTGAACATAAACCTTTAACAGGCCGTAAAGCTGCTAAAAAACAGGCTGTAACACGCCGCTACAAAGTCGACGAGGTCGTCTTCTCTCCTTCTTCTTCAACTCTTTTATTTCTCTTCCTGTTTAAAGCAGCGACTCGCCTTTCAAACACACATTTCAAACCAGGAGCCGTCTCATTGGAGACTTACTTATTACCCTCTGCTAATTTGGCTAATTATGGGACTACAAGGTGATTATATCAAAACGGTCCAATCAGAATATATAAACATTAAAGCTCCAATGAGAAACGTTTAGAACTTTTTCCTCCCAACGTCAAAAACTACAATATTAGGTGTCAATCTTGTCCCTGATTATCTGGTAAAAGGAATCTGAATAAATTTAAGTCGATTGCATCAACATGAAAAAACCCTTATAGTAGCTTTAACCAGGATAAAGGATTATTAAAACAAACTGTTTTGTTTTTAATCTGAGAGATTGAGGACAGGTTTTATTCAAGGAAAAGTATCCAAAGAGCGTGTTTTCCTTACTAATTACAGGGTTTTGGGACTTTATTCTCATTTTTTTTGCAGTGTATCTGGTTGGTCCAGCTGTTCCTGGGCTCTGGGACCCCTTAAACTCTGTGCCAAAGCGGCGGCGTTGATTTTTTCGCTCCACCTGCGTCTGAGCCGTCGCAGCGCTGCTTATGTAACCAAGTTTAACTGCTCTGTTTCTGTTTCTGAGGGAAAAGTGTTCAGAGCTGCACAGAGCCGCCTTTGTCTGCCCTCAGGCCCCGACCGCAGTGTGAACACAGACCCCGAAAAAACCAGCACGAGGACGCCGAAAAACACGAGTCCGTACACTTTCAGAACAAACAGAGACACAAAACAGGCTGAGGGGTAAATCACAGAGGAGGTTTCTGACTGTTTTCACTATAAAACCAACAATAATGGAGAGTTTTGATGTGGTAGGTTCAGTTTACAGAGTTATTTATGAGAAAAATAACTTTTTTATTGATCCACATCATGACCTTTGAAGAGTCCGCTTCATCTGGACTCTGTTTACGCTATAAAAGTTTGAGTGCGAGTCTTTTTTTTTCATCTTTAAATCCTCCACATAAGAGCTCTGGAGCTGTAAGACTCACATACTGTTTCTTTTTATTCAGCTGAAAACGAGTAAAAAAAAAAAAGTTATTAGGCAGCACTTTTTTTTTCATCTTTGAATTACATTTTAAAAAAAGGTGGGACTGACTTACATTGAAAACAATGATAAAAATTGACTGCCTTTGACCCTACATTAATTTTACACCGGAATATCTCTTTAAAGCTCCTGTGAAGTAGTTTGAAATTCATTTTGATACCTTATTATGGCTAAGAAACGCAGACACTGCTTTGACCACAGGGGGCGCCAAATTTCATTTAAACTAAAAGTTACTCACAAGACCCTTTTGACTACTGATTTGAATTGAAATCGCTTAAAAAGTTTTGAAAGTTTTCTCCTAAAATTTTGTTATCAGAGTTGTCTCATATTAGGGTCATTATGGTAAACTAACCTTAACCCATCAGTCTTCTGCACCTGTCCCTTTAAGATCCACTCTACATTTCATACCCTGACTGAACTGTCAGGGTAAATAAGCCGCACCCCCTCACGCTCAGGTGGGCGTAATGAGGTAATTACCACGGCCGTTTTGGTATTTCTTTCCGCACGCTTTGAACGGATTCCCAGAGACACGTGTGGAATCAGAGCCAGAACCTCTGAGTCCTGACAGGTGGGGAGGGAAGAAAGAGGAAAGTTTAAAACACAAAGAGTCCTTCAGTCCTGCTCTGTGCTGCGTTCAGGAGCTGCTGGGAAACTGGCACTCAGGCCGGGGAAACGATGACGACAGCTCGACAGGCTGCGGACGAGTCGAGTTTGAGGTTAACCGAACTTATTTGGAAGACGAGTGATGAAATTATCGAGAAAACTCTGAGCTGTAAACATCTGACTGACTGACTCAGTTTACGGTTCCCTGAACAAAGACTCACCAGGAAACATGGATTCAGTTTACGGTTCATATTATAATCTGATTAAAGGATCTGACTCTAGTTTAGCTGACCACGATGATTTACTAACCATCATCGTGTTTTCTGAAACCAGAAGAACCAGAACAACAGCAGAACTTTTACAATGCCTGAATTTGAACAGGATACTTTTTGTGTTATCTTGTTCTGCACCAAAATTCTGGATTGCGTTTGTATCTTGTTTCCTCCAGTTACCAAATGGTAATCTTGTTTGGACAAGTTATTTCCTCATTGCCATGAGTGATCTTGTTCTGAAGAGTTATCATGATAATCTAACATTTCAGAGAAAATTCTATCATGTTTGCATTATCTATCTTGCTTTCTCAATAATCCATCTTATCTTACTTGTATGCTGATTTAATCGATTTTATAAAGATAATAATCTTGCTGGCAAGTGTGATCTTGCTCACCTAACTGTAACCTCTTGGCCTTGGTTATAATCTTGTTTGCACTCACTGGATCTATCTTGTGTGATGATGTGTCACTTATCTTGGTCACAGTATTTTTTATTATCTTGTTCGATTAAGTCAGAATCTTGTTCACACTGACAGGACTTATCTTGTTTGCATTACATGATTTCCTGTCAGCTTTATTAAAAATTTTAAGAGCATGATTATTATCTTGATCGCAGAGCTCCTCAGTTTGTCAGATGGGATCGTTCTGACAAGTTTTTATCTTGTTTGCATAAATTATCTTGTTCAGACATCTGTTATCTTGATCGCAGTACTCTTCACTTTGATGAACATGGTAACAATCTTGTTCAAACGGATGAGAATTCTTGTCAATATTTGTTACAATCTTGTTTGCAGGTTTGAGATCTTGACGCAGCACTTTTTGGTTGGTATGGTGTGGTGATAATCTTGTTCACACTACTTGGACCTTTTTGTGAGAGATATTGTCTAGTTTCTGTAATAATCTTGTTCATGCTCCATAAGTTATCTTGTTTGGATGTTTGACATCTCAGTTAGACTTCTCTTTGGTTTGTCAGTTAATGCCATAATCATGCTGGAGCTTTTTTATGATTAATCTTGTTCAAACAAGATTTATTCTGAACAAATTAGCACTGGATTGTTCAAACACAGAAAATGTAGTTCTGAGAAGTAATTTTAGTTTAGGGGTATAATCTTGTTCAACCGATGAGACTTTTTAGTCAACATTTGTTACCATCTTGTTTGCAGGTTTGAGATCTTGACTGCAGCATTTTTGTTTGTTAAGGTGTCGTAATAATCTCGTTCACCTTCTTGTGAGAGATCTTGTTTACATATTTGTGATCCTGATTACAGTATTTTTCAGTGATTTAGTTCTAGTCATAATCTTGATCGCACTTCATGAGGTATCTTGTTTAGATGTTCATTATCTCACTTAGACTTCTCTTCAGTTTGTCGGTTAACGTCATAATCTTGTTGGAGCTTTTTTATGATTTATCTTATTTAAACAAGATTTATCCTGACCAAATTAGCACTGTTTTGTTCAAGAACAGCAGATCTAGTTCTGAGACAGGACTTTAGTTCAGAGTATAATCTTGTTCACATGAGTAATCTTGTCCATGTCTTGATCTTTTAGTCACTTATTTTTGTTTTGATGTAAAAAGTTTCCCTGATATTTTTGATTTAAAGGAACTTTTTTTTCGTGTTTTTTTGCTGCAGATCTCTCCACACAGCCTCAGATCGCGCGTTAAATCCGCTCTCAGGATAATTCGTCTGTTTTTATTTTCCCTCCTCTCACAGATGAAGTCTGAACACACAAAAATAAAAGTCTGGAGCGTCTCCTAAATTTGTATTTCAGGATTCGGAGTGTTTGGCCCGGCATGTGTTGGACTTTTATTAAATCAGATTCTAACAGTAATCCCTCTAAAAGATGATCATATTTCACGCTCTTGTTGTGCTAATCCTGACTCTGCAGCGGGAGGTGATGAACGCAGGTTTTATGGAGCGTTTCTGAAGATGGATGATCCATCAGAGCTCAAGGCTCAGCACTTCAGGAGAAATAACTCCTCCGGCGCTCACATTAAAACCTCCTCCTCCACCTCCTCCTGCTCTTCCTCCTCTCTGGGCTCAGCTGCAGTGATTTAAAAAGTGTTTGCAGATGTCGCCCGTGCGGGCCGAGCGCCACCATGTCAGCTCCCCCACTTGGAACATCTCGGGTTTGGACGGCGGAGCGGAGAAGAGGAGGCTGATTTTCCACGCCAGCTTACATGAGGAGCAGCTCTGTGAGGCCCGGAGAGGAGTTCAGAGCGAATAATCCTCCTGTCCGGCTGCTGCTCACAGACATTAATAAGAGCTGCTCTGAAGGAAATCCCCCAAAACACCACATCCATTTATCCTGCTGCTAATTTTACAGCTCTGGGAGGCCGCTTTTGTGTGCAGTACAAGTTCCTGAACGCACCACGGAGAAGAGAGGAGAAACCTGCGAAATGATGGCTGGATAAAAAACAACACGAACCTCGACTAACCCCCAACTTCCACCGCATCCAGAACGGCTACAAAAAGGCTGTATCTGCCGATCATAGCTGATCGGAACCATTCAAGTTAATGTGTCAATTTTCCAATTTCCAGTGAAAGGTTAATAGACCTCAATTTATCCCGATGACCCCATGGATGAGGGGATGCTGATTTTATAAGTCTAGAAGTAGATTTCCTCCTCTGGAAGGACACAATCTACTGCTTACATGTTATCGTGTATTTGCACATGAATCCACGGGTTCTTGTGAGTTCTCGCGGCTCCTGCTGTCCGTAATCAGCCATGAAATTCACCTCACAAACGGATCCAGTAGGAATTGGCATATGGCGAAAATCGCTGTTGTTCCAGTTGCGGTGGAAATCACAAGTCACCACCAATTTCCACCGTATCCGGAACAGCTACGAAAAGGCCGTATCTGCCGATCGTGGTTAATCGTAACCATTGCCCGTGAATCAGCGGGTATGTGTGAGTTCTCGCACTTCCTCCTGTTTGTAATCCGCCTCGAAATTTGCCTCACAAACGGATTCGGTAGGAATTGGCATACGACAAAAATTGCCGCCATTCCGGATACAGTGGAAATCCTGGGTCATGCTGTTCACGGTCTCTGCGGCGGGTTTCAAAGGTCTGTTAGATTTCACCTCAGAAACAAGCGAAGCCGCTGGGAGAAGTCTGACTGATCTGTTTGCACAAACTTTGGATGATCGGACCGAAGAGAAGAGGATCCAGTCCCTGCTCGGTAATTTTAAGGATCCTTAGCGTCACTTTTTGTCTCTAAATGAAGAAACAGTTCATCTCAGGTAAATTACAGCGTGACCTCTGACCCCTCCAGTCGTCTCATTAGAGCTCCTGTCGTCCCCCGACGTTCAGCCGAGCAGCGGTCTGAAGTCAAACTGTTATTTAATCCCTGAATTCTGTTTTTCCAGCTCATGAAACTCAGCCTGCCTCCCATTAGACGAAATCGATCGCTTCAAAGTGAGAGACGGAAAAAAAACACACCTCTGTTTTTTCTGCTCCCGGTTACGTAAGCGAGGCTAACGGCGTCTGTCAGGACTTAGTCTGGACCCGAGTGAGGAAACAATCAGAGTCCTGTTCACATTAAACGCCCAAAGTTTCCAACATGTGAGATAAAGTTAGAACAAAGACACTGACCTCGGATCAGAGGCTCATCTTCTGCTTCATGACGGTGGTCACAGTGTAGGCAGGTCTGGATCTTCTGGTCCACCTGCGGGTTCAGATTCAGAGATTCTTCAGGACTAGAACCAGTCATCGAGTTAGATATTTTGTGCACAAAGTAGGAAACCAACTGTGTACCCATTTTATTGTTACTTAGACAATTATTATATTATATTATCCCTCAGATTGAGCTGTCCATGTCGTTTGTTTTTTTTCTGTCAGTTTTTTGCCATTTTAAATAAGTTTTTACACAAATTAATGAAGAATTATTTTTTAGGTATTCATGGCAAACAACAAGGGAATTAATTTTTCGGAAATCATATGCTCTGTTTCCTCATTTGGGAATGAGAGCCGGCATGATGGCGTGAATGGACGCCCCGTAAGTGAATGAAGTGATGAATATCTATGAATGTTTAAGTTAGCGGATAGAGCTCCAACTATACAACCTTGGGATGCCATTAAATTTGTCATTTTAAGCTGTATTTCAGGTCTTCAGGCAGAATTGCGTTGAAATCAGACATGACTCTGTAGTGGAAATCACCGCACAGGCTCAAAATCGCCGCCAAAAACCACTTGCTGTGAACACAGCTGGTCCCTACATCCCTCACTCTAAAGAGGGACCACCTGGCTTATTTTCCTTTGACCGTAAAATGATTTACACGCCGTTCAAATCTGTTTTCGAAAACAGTCCTAACCCCTCTGGAGCCGGGGTTTTAGTTCAGATGAAGACCTGATGATCGGACAGATACAGGTGTCTTCGTTTAGGGATTGGACTCCTTCCTGCCACAGAAAGCTCAGTGTCCAATCAAAACACCCGTGAGTGTCTGTGTTTAAATCGAAGCAGAGTAAAGGAAGACAGACGCATGATGGGAAACATACAGTCTGATCTGAGGTCAAACACGTTTTTTCTTGCAGTGGGGACTCGGGTTATGTAACCGTGTTTTGAAATCAGCTCAGATCCTGAGCCCGGACTGTGGTCAGGGTCAGGATGAGGTCAGCTGACGTGTCATCGAATCTGGGTCCATGAATAAAAAAAGAAAAAAAAGAGAACGTAAACAAAGTCTGAGTGTTTTTGTCTTCTGCTCGGTTTGGTCTCCTCATTTTCCAAAATAAAAGCCGGGAGACGGCATCCTGTTTGACAGGAAGTGTCAGCTTTTATGATTTTCCAAATAAAAGCATCTTTAAAAGCGTAAACCGATAAAAACCACAAAAGCAGACGGACCACCTCAAGTTTTCTTTTTATTCCCCGCTCAGATTATCGTCAATCAAAATATTTCTAAAAGCAAACTTTTGTCAAATTACTTTTTATTTCAGCTTCAAAAAGAGAAATTATAGTCTGAACATTTATGATCATTACTTTATCATTTCCTTGAAGTAATAATCATCATATTAATCATTTTGCACTGCAGACGCGGTAGTTCTTCTACCTTAGCGTCTCGGTCTGATTGCATTTCCATGAAGTAATGATCATAAATGTTCTTCCTTGAGCTGCGAAACTCCACTGTAGTCCTTAGCGGACTGGCACAAGGTCTCGCGACACAAACACAAGCAGAGACCGCTGTGTACTGCTATCCTGCAGTCGTCACTAAAGTTGGTATAACTACAGAAGAAAGCGGTCAGCAACATTCATCTCTCGAGGGGGTGTCTAACTCGATGTTACGGTGTGTTTGACCCTAACTTAATTTTACGCCGGAATATCCCTTTAACTGTTGAATTTCGTGCTTATGCAGTCCCTCGCTTTGGATGAATCTTGTCCTATCTCTGTAGACTTTGCCTCATTCTCAGTCATTTTCTCTATTTTAAATTAACCCTCATTGGATTCAGAGATTTTCCTCCAGGTGTTTTTTTATTTTTTTATATATCACATGACTTCTTCATTGTTTTGTCGTTCCTGTTCAAATTGTTTCGAAACATGTTACTGGCGTCAATGTTCATATACGTAATCAACATTTTACACAATGTTCCGGCTGTTTTGTAATTGGGGATGTACAATAATCTCCTCTAGACACGGAGAGTCAACATGTTGAGTCTGAAACATTCCTCCTCCAGCCGAGAACAAAAAAAAAAAAAAAAGAGAAAATATTTCTTCTTTTCATCGTCTGGTTCTGCCTGGCGACAAACGACATCTGTCAGCAGTGTGAGGCCTCACTCACACTCACACACAGAGGAGAGGGAGTCAGGTATAATCTTTAAATCACAGCCTCTCTTCCATCACCAGGATCATAAAACACTGATCAATAATTCAATAAAAATAAATCTTTCTCTATAGAAACAAAACAAAGTGTAAAAAGTGATCAAACAGATAACGACTGACCTCAGCCTCACACCTGAGATCTTCTCGCTGCTCAAACTCTGTTTACACATCGCCCTGCTGTCATCATGTCGTCATGGCAATGAGCTTGACTGACAGGTGAAGAATCAACAGTTTGTTGAGCGTCAGCCTCATCTGTTCACAGCCGACTGTTTCCACTGAGTGCCTCACAAAAGAAGACATTTCAGGATTTAGACCGCTCCCTACAATCAGAAAAATCAACATTTAATCAGGCCTGAACGCCGACTTGTCATGTGATGTTTACCCAGCATGCATTTCTGTGACAAGGTGAAGAAACTCGCTTCCCAGTACAGCAAACTCAAACACTAATCTATGAACCAATCAGAGGTGCAGGCTGTAAATACCTTACATTTCTTTGCACAGACTCTGACTGTTATGAGGACTTTTCAATCACCTGTTCAGTTGGACGACTTTTTGTTTTTAAATTCTCCTTTTTGTTCCCCCCGGAAAAAGATTTAGCACCTGGACTCTTCTACTACAGAGCCATGCTGTTGTCATGCATGCAGAAAGTGGTTTTGCGTATCTACATGACCAAGAAAGACGATTTTCAGACAAGCGGAGAAGTGAGGATGCTGCATCCATGATTTGGAATTGGGGGTTTTAGACCAATTTGAACAAAATCTAAATCAAAATTCAATTCTGGTTTTCTCGAACATTTTTTACTGATAAATCAAGATGCTAACATAGGACTTAGAACCTAAAAAAAAGGCAAATACTGAATGAGATCTTTTAAGTCTTGGTGGTGACAGGCTGGTAATTCAAACTATCACCTCTCTAAATTCCCTAGTCTGTTTAATTCTAATTAGGACAGTAACTTATGATTCCTATGGTTCCTATGAGGTGATCATGGTGACCTGTTTTACAGATCACCTGAGGGATGATGGGAGTTTTCACCGAGGTCGCCTCAGGTTCGGTAGACTGTTAATTAATCATTTAAACTCCAGTTAGACTGCAGCGCTGGCAAACAGTCAAGAATAACGGTGTAAATCTCACCATCTGTTGTTCAGGTCATCCAAACCTGAGCAGCAGGAAGGAGCCACCAGAGGGCAGCAGAGAGCATCACAGCACACATCTATGATGATGTTACAGTACGACTTAAAGGTTAAAATAACTTCAATCAAGATCTACTGCCTATGCCTAACCTGTCAGGTCACATCCTGTTACCCTGATGTGATGAGCATGATAGAAACCACATTAAACCAGGTTCAATCCTATCTATAAGATTGATCTGAGTTTATACAAACTCACTTATCCTCCCTTTAAGTCATAAATGACCAAAAAAAGTCTATAGTTACACAATAAGAGCAGAAAATCTCCATTAAGATCTATTGTTATGCAGATGATACGCTACTGTACTTATCAATGAAGCAACAGAAGGAAGATGATACTGTAAAAAATAATGTCATTTTATTTAGAAAAATGCTGTGTCAGCTTGTACTCACACATCATCGGTTCTTGATATTGTCTTTGTGGTGAAATTAGACGCACAGCATAGAAAACACAATACAAAACACAATGACGACAAAGGAGGGAGAGCCCCAGGCCTGCACACAAACCAATGACTGTCAATGAAGTGAGAAGGTTGAACTGTAAATGAAACAACATGAGCGTGACGGGTTGAGATGATTGGTGGAGTTACACTGAGTGGGTGGGGCCTCCTGAAAAACAACCTACAGACAGTAAAAAGTGAACTAAACACACAATAACACACATCTGCTCCTCGCCTACTGGGAATATCTCCTCTATACTTTGGACGGTTAAAGTCGTTCAAGTTAACACAACAAAATAAGAAAATTCAAGTAATTTATAAAATGATTATTCTGAAGATTAAGATTTTTATTGGCTGTCCTGTGGATGAAGTTTTATATTTTTGGGATTCAGATTTTTTTTTTATGATCAAACCCTGATCAATATAAAAGTTATGATCCTGTTTTCTGTGCAAAAAAAAACGGTTTATCTAACAGAGGAACTGATAAAAACAGGATGATAGCTGGACTGAATAAGATAACACTATTCAGGCAAAGAGAAGAATGAGCAAATGTGCCAAAACGTACTATCTAGAGACACTATCCTGTATTAACAATATGATGACTAGTTCAAAGATTAGATTTAGAGGGACAGGAATTAGAAAGTGCCCTGCAACAAATATGTTTGCAGATCTTGTTGAAACAAGATACTTTCTTGCATTATCAAGACAATTTTTTATGAAAAAGTCTGGAGCTTGAATAAAAATAAGAGAACAAGCAAACTTGGGGATCACACAATGACAAAATTTGTTTAAAAAAAGATCATACGTTAACAAGATAATATCTTGTCTGTAAAAGTTGTATCCAAATAAAGTCAAGATGTTATTTAAAACAAACGTAAAAACCAACAATAAAGACAAGATTATGTTGAAAGAATTTTGGCCCCCTACAAAAAGTCTAATAATCTTGTATGAGCAAGATATTTTTTCAAATGGCTGGCAAAACCCAGATGTAATCTTGTTTAAAAAAGTAGTTATGTACATATTTTGAGAACAAGGAGAACAAAATAATATCTTGAATTGCAGGATGACTGCAATAACAAGAAATGGTTTAGTGAGTAAAGGGAGGCAAACTTGATGGTATCTTGCAAAAACATGATTTGATTGAGTACAGACAAGATCTATGTGCAAACAAAATTTTGTTCCTTGAAGTGGTGATCTTTTAAGGTCAAGATAATATTGCTCAAAATCCTAAAATAAGATTATGCAAACAAGACTTGGTTCAAACAAATATGGACATCTTTGAACAAGATTATCTTGTGTGAGCAAGATATTTTTTTTTTCACACACAGCTGGCAACAACCAGATGACATCTTGAACCAAGAAGATTATGTTGTTTGTATTTGGGGAACTCAGGTAAACAAGACAATATCTTGCACTGACAAGTTGATAAACGGTGGAAGCAAGGTTAAGGTTTTGAAAGAAAGAAAGAATAGACAAACAAGATAGTATCTTGCACAAACAAGATCATGTTCTTTGGCGAACACTTTTAGATCTGTAATTAATCAACAGCAAACTCTCTGAGAGGAACTGGTGTGTTGGCAGTTTATCGCATCACAGCCTCGATCTGTTGGCAAAGACTTTATTCTGATAATGTGTTCATAGAGCTCACTAAACAGTTCACCTCTACACAGGATAGCACCAATCATGATAAAGAACATGTCAAAAAAACTAACGCCACATTTGTGGTCAGGAGAGTGGCTAAATGACTAAACGGCTAAACGGCTCAACAGCTAAAGCTCAGGTTGATTTAACTGTAGCTACAGCTTACGGTTAGCAGCCTTACTCAACATGTCCGACATTTGTGTAGCCCTTAAACTTAAAGACTCTTAAGTGTTTTCCTCGTTGGTTGACCACGTATGCAGGTCAGTATCAAGGACTTCTTCAAAAATAAAAATAAAGATAAAACACGCACAAGCTAATTGTAATATAAGATAGAAGATAGTTTTGGTTGACAAATGTAAACATTCATGTGAAGGGAGGCAGACTCGCTGCTGTTGATGGCTTATAGTCCAAGATTATGTGTAAATTCAGAAATACTGACGCTCGATGTGTCCCAAAGACGCTGACAAAGCAGTGAAGGCACAGAGGAGGACGAGGAGTGCTGCTTGGATTGTCAGCGATCCAAGACATCAGAAAACTGTCCAACCAACACATGAAATAGACCACTGAACAACCTCAATGAAGACCAGTGACAGGATCCCCTAAAAAGTCTCAAATGATTACCACCGACCCTTCAAGACGTGCACGGAAACCCCAAGAAATCCAGGTGACAGTGTAAGACAAAGGTACTCAGCAGAGAATTCGCCGAACAGTGTTAGATAAACAGTGTTCACAGGTGGAGGAAGAAGGTAAAGGTGAGAGTTCAGGGTACAGGCCACCTGAAAAAGTCCTCAGAAGATAAACTTCCAAACGTCCCAGAGGTTTGTCTACTTCGGGTCCAGTCGAGTTGATCGTAAGCAACGAGGCAACCGAAGACCAACTCCTCTTCGTTCCTGGGATCAGACATGAAGGCAGGTTTCTGCAGAGACACACAGGAAGAAAAGATCCTGTTAAATCTTAATCCTGTTGACTCTTCTTGCATGGTTTGATGAAGATTAGGTACTTTTCACGTTTAGAAAAGCAATGCCTCTCCTTCAACATGTCCACTACCAACAGTAAGAGTGAGTCAACCTGTGCAACCTGTGATCCCGCTACAGCTCTAGTAGGACTACCTTATATCTGATCTATCTGGTATCACGCTCCAAGCCAGTACTGTCTCAGATTTCAGTCAAATATCGTGGTATCATCTTGGCATCACTTAGGTATCCATGACTCCAGGAGGATGTAGTCAGTGCCTTTTGATTACAGGAACAAGATTCCTCCTATAGTAACAGGAACTTAATCTACTCTCTACAGGTATCCTTAAAAAGACTCTACACACTGCTGCAGTCAGACATGTACTGAGGGAACCTTTAAAAAAGTAGCATCCTGGGAAGTGTAGTCCTGAGAGTTTAAAGTGTTTGCAGAATCTCACTGACAGATTAGACCTGACAAAGTTTGACTTGAAGAGTTTTGGTCTAAAATGACGGAACGGTTTCCCCATCCAGAACTGATCCTGTGGTTTACCTTCATCCTCCGAGCCCACAGAGTCAGAGACAAACATAGAAATCAAGCAGAATCGAAAAAAGATGAAAATAAAGTGTCTCGGTGGAACCTGACACTCGTACCTCGAGGTCAGCGGCTCAGGGCTGGTTATGTGGTCGAGCTTCCTCTCCTCTCCAGGAATCTGCCCAACGAAACAGAGAAAATTAGATTAGTTTGGTGGTTTGTGGCTTGCTGAGATGTGGTCCAAACAGGCAACGTCAAAACCACAAAAACCCCAGGACATAAATAAAAAGGAAGTCCAACATAAACAGCGGAGTGGAAAGAGGAAGGGCGATTAATGTTTGTGTGTTTGGATATTTGATGCTGTTAGCAGAGCGTCTCTGAACCTGTCTGCTATTTTTAAACCTTTCATTTCACATCAGATGCTGAACCACAGATGTTAGACTCAGTTCCAGTCTGTCAGATCTACAAAGTTTCTGCCGATCACTAGGGTTTCTGGTAAGCTTTGTTGGTGTGCACAGAGTCCAAATCTCCCTTGTCCAGTCTGGATATCCGACTGGCGGAAGCAGGTGTCCAGGGTGTCTAAATAATGGCAGATTAAATTAAAGTCACCCTGCCGTGTTTGGTCTGGTCTGAAGGTGTTTTTCTGCCAGGTGGAGGTGCCGTCTGGCTCACCTCTTGGCTTTACACCCCCTGCGGAGAGCCGGTAATCCCCACAGGGGTCAGTAACAGAGTGACCAAGACAATCTGATTGGTCAAAGAGCAGGAAGTAGGTATTTATAAGTTCTTACAAACAACACACCTGTTAGTGTTTTTTTTAATGGTTCACCTAAGGGCCAGGGTCTATTTTTTACAGAGTAAGCTTACATTGTATGTGGACGATTAACTAATGTACATCTATATGCATAAAATGTTAATAAACCTATCTGTACATATGCAAATACATTTATTCTTCATTTTTTCCAAGTAATTTATACTCTGTAAATTAAATGTGATGATTGGGTGAATTACCATCTATGATTGGTTCTTGATCAAAGTCTGATTGCCGATCTCGAAGTCCTTTAGACCCTCAACCCAATAAGTCCAAACTAGAAATATGAAAAACTGTAACTTCAACATAAAGAGAATCTCAGTTGTGAGTTTTTACACCCACGTGTGCGCTTAGACACTCACACTTGGGTCTGTCGCACAAAGTCTGCAAAGTGCTGGTCTCTGGAGCACAACTCGATTATCCTCAGCCGCTCCTGGATCTCCTGCAGAGAGGTCAAAGGTGAGAGAGAGGAAAACATGTTTATGTAACACCAAGAGGTCAGGAGGAGAGGAGGGAAAGGAGTAGTAGGGTAAAGGGGAGGAGCTAAATTTACTCATTCTTGTTGGACAACAGTCCCACTAATCCAACAAAATGTCACTACGCTTCCCGGTCCTGGTTTGGAAACCGTGCCGTACCTCTTTGGTGAGCATGGTGTTCTGGTAGATCTGTTGGATCTCATCACTGCTGAACTCTTTCAAGCCTTCATTGCTGGTTGAGCTGCTGTACTGGGGCGCTTCATCGTCGTACCGTCTGTAGTACTGGACAGAGACCGGGTCGCTCTCAAACATCGGATTGAACTTTGTGGCTCGCTCCAGTGTTGGCACACTGTCATTGCGTCTACAGGAGAGAAAACCTCATGTTTCAACCACAACTGTTTTACAACAAGACTGTAAAATTAAAATATTTGAATAAACATGATGCTGACCGTAACGGGTCCTCGGTGTCCTCGCCGTCGTACTGCTCTCTCAGCGTCCTTGCGAGGAAGAAGATGATTCCACCCGCCACCAGGAGGAACCCGACCACTGAGATGATGGCGATACCCACCACCAGCGGCTCAGACACGTACTCCTCACAGTGTTCACCGCGGTACCACCAGTTCTCCCCAACACGACACCTGCATTTTCAATCAATTGGTCAATCAATCAACAAATAGCTAACAGGTTACTTCCATTTATATGAGTCTACAGTCGTTTTAATGGGGCATTCGAGTTACCTCGGATGTCAGATGTCCGAGCTGGGAATGATGTCGTGACCAAGTTACCAGTACCAAGTCGGAAGAAAGCAAAATTGGAGACGGAAACAAGATGGCTACACCTACGAACGTTATTTTAGCGCTTGCCTTGTCCTTGCTTATATTTGGACATGGCAAGTGCTAAAATAACTTTCGTAGATGTAGCCATCTTGTTTCCGCCTCCAATTTTGCTTTCTTCCGACATGGTAACTGAAACGCAGCTCGGACTTCTGATTTCCGAGGTAACTCGAACCGGGGTTAAGTCCTCCTACCTGCAGATGGCGCCCTTGCCAGGAATGATGTCACATTTGCCATCGTTGAGGCAGAAGTCTTGCTGCACCTCGCAGACGCTCCGACACGGCAGACCGTCGACACTCAGATACCCAGGGTCGCACACGCACTCTGCCTCGCCCGACCATTGATTCACCATACATTTGGAAAATTCGTTACAGGCCTGGAACTTACAGGGATCAGCCTGATCACCTGAGGAGGAAAGAGACGCACAGGTGGGAACGTGAAAACTTTGTTACAGTATAAATAACCCCGGTTTACAATTCGCATTATCTGATAGCTCTTCGGGTGAACAGGGTCTAAGTGAACAATTAATCACATGTGGAGACATCAGATCAAATATCCTGCCTCTCTATAAAGCAGGTTTATGGAGCTCAGGCTTCATGGAGGAGCTCCAAGCAGAGCTGCTACTCCTCATTATCAGGAGGTCGTTTCAGGTGGTTCATCAGCTGATCAGGTACCTCCTTTTATCCAACTAAGACAAGACTCTGAACAACAAGTTTAAGATTCCATCTGGCCTGCAAACACTGCGGCATGCTCCCAGAGGGGATGCTAAACCCATTTGAGTCCTGTTTTCACAGAAAGTGATCCGTCTCACAGGAAGACTCTTAGTGGACTTCATGACAAAGGGATCACACAAGTTTTACACAACAGAGAGACTGGCATGGGAGTGAATCACAGCTGATTAACCGATTGTCATCTGATCTCCTCTGATTGGATCAGAGGGATTACCGTGCAGCTGCAGCTCTGATGTGTCTTTATCAGAGTCAAAAATCAAACGTCATTGGTTGATAAAATTAACAATTAACTCATAAAGGAAGAGAAAAACTGTTCCAGGTCTGCTGAGTGGCATCATTTCACTGTCAAACCTTTAACACATGGATCCATGGAGGTAGACCAGCAGGCAGTGCTAGGAAACCAGTCATTCAGCATGTGTAAGACAGCCATGATGGTAAAAGGGAAACAGGTGAATATCGAGCCACCATACTGGTTCATCACTCTGAGTCACTCCGTGCTCCTGCTCACGTTCCTCCCAGACAGATTACCCAGGTATTAGCGTGCACACACACGCAGGATTCAGCCGCTAAGCATTACAGGTCTGACACGCCTCTGCAGTGTGTTAAAGAAACACTGAGTGCTTTTACGTGAACTTGGGTGTCCCATAAGGTTGGGTTTTAAGTTTGTGCACGTAAACATCAAATCCTGTTTTCAGTAATGCATCAAAAGGGACTAGACACTGGAGTGGAAGTCACTGCATAAGCTTGAAATTGACCAATAATACCATCTTGAGTGACAAGTTTGTTACTACTTTACCACACAAGAACGAAAAAAACATCAAAATTTGGAAATACATCTACTAATTTCACATTCTGTCCATGAAAAACTGAACTTCCTCCATCTAGTCTCACCTGATTCGACGTCCAGTGAGTACTTGTCAATAGCCAGGTTCATGGTCTGGTATGCAGTGTTTGCAAAGTCCTCCAGGATGAGGTAGACAACGTTGGTGACACCGCTGTGGACCGGTTTAACAAATCTCATCCTGCTGTTGACCACAATGCTGCCGTTCCTGAAGTTCAGGATCTCCAGGTTTTTGAAGTTGTTGAGGTTGGACTGGAGGTACGGGACCAGCTGTAGGATGAAGACAGGGACACTTTGAAGGACATGGCATATTCACTCTTAATCTTTACATTCACTCAGACTCTGGCCCAGCTTGGATCATTCAACTCAAAATGTTCCCCCAACAGCCAATTCCAATCAAAACTGGTGGTCCCCAGGGTTAGGGTGTGTCATGCTCGGTAGGCAATCAGCCAAAATCTGATCACTAACATCACACAGTCCATAACATTCTAACTTCATAACACTGAACACTGAACACCCAACAGTACCACCAGTCTTGTCTCCACCCTGGTCACATTCCACACCAATAACCCCCAGTTTCCACCGCATCCAGAACGGCTACAAAAAGGCCATATCTGCCGATCGCAGCTGATCGTAAGCATTCAAGTTAATGTGTCGATTCCCAAATTCAGCACAGATTAACACGTGATAGAAAGGAAGTCAGGCACAGACACAACCGATGACACTATGAATGAGGAGATTCTGATTCTGGAAGTCTAGAAGTGGATTTCCTCCTTTGGAAGGACACAATCTACTGCTTATATGGTTACGTGGCTGTCTTTATAGAGACAAGTTGTTATTGCGCGATTGCACGTGAATCTGCGGGTTCTTGTGAGTTCTCACGATTCCCGCTGTCCTTAATCTACCACAAAATTTGCTTCACAAGCTGATCCGGTAGGAATTGGCGGACAGAGAAAATTGCTGCCATTCCGGATCGAAGCCGTTCCGGATGCGGTGAAAATTCGGGGTAACTGTAATGCTCCTTCTTTTGAGTCCATGTGACAACCATAGGATCTAGAACCTTCAGCCAGACTATCCCCACCTTTAAAACTCTCTCCCACGAGACATGCCCTGTAGCTTGTCTGTAAATTACATCTAATGTATCAAATGGATTTTTGTTGTGATTATTTCTCACCAGCTGGAGGAACCGCTGCTCCAGGGCTTTGTACTCAGAGGAGCTCTTGTTGAAGAGGTCCATCGAGAACGCCATGTTGGTCACCCGTAGCCTGAAAAACACCATCAGATCTCTGCCAGGTGGGGTCGGTATTGCGATGGCATCTGGTTCGTTTCCTTGAGTCCCACTGGAGAAGCCACTGCTGTCAGTCTCAGCCGCCCCAGCGCCAAACTGGAACACATCGAAGCTGACGTCTATGGTCGGCACATCAGAGTAATCTATATGGAAAGGCTGGATATCTGTATCAAGCTTGGTGTCGTTGACACTGTGACCAGGAGTTGTTTGGTTAATTTTGTTGTCTATTTCTCCTTCTGGGTCATCGGTCAAGGAGGTGTTTGAGTCTCCACCCCCCACACCTTCTTCAACATGTCCAAAGGAATCTTCAGTTTTATTTAGGATATCGATCGACAGTTTCAGAAGCGGAATATCTGTGATCGGAAGACTGATGGAGATTTTGTCGTTGTCCTCATTGTTAGGAGGCTCATGAGGAATCAGGTCCTCATCCTCTGGGGCCACGTCCGACACTCGTGTGAAAGGTGAGTCCTTCTCAGGTGAGTGTTCCACGCTGCTGCTGTGATCTACTTTCACAGACGGAATGAGGACCGGAGCAGTAGTAGTCGTGGTAACAACAATCATTTCATCCACAGCCAGATCTTCGTCCTGGATGGCGAGTGTTGGCTCTGGTGTTATCATGTTGTCAATGACGCCAATGTGCTGCTCGTCTAAAATCTCGACCTCATTGTCATCTTCAGTTCCAAATGTGGGTTTTTCAGTGAAAACCTCAAGTTCTGCTGGTTCTTCAGTGATCGTACCAAAGCTGGATTCTGAGGGGGACTTAGTTTCAGGGATTTCAGGTGCTTCGGACACAACAATAACCACAGCCTGCTCCTGATCGAGTCCATCTTCTTCTGATTCAGGCCCAGCTGCTGATAGGAGCTCTGTTGGTAGTTCAGGACTTAGCTGGAGCCCCGCAGTGGTTTCTAGAATAACTGAATCAGTAGAACCTGCATAAACAGGGGACTCCTGAGTCCAGAATTCAGGTACAGGCGAATCTGTAGCTGGACCTGCTGGAACGTCCGGTTCAGTCAGTGAGTCTTCATTGTAGATACCAGATGCCTCCACTGGCTGCACTGAAAGTTCTACAGTCCTGCTTCCTTCAGGTGAGAATACAGGAGCTTCAGTGGTGGTTGAGTAATACGGGTAAGTACTGATGTGTGGCGTGACTGGAACATGGTCCACGAAAGGTTTCTGAATGCTGCCATCTGGCACAGAGTCCTCGTAAGCAGGAAGTTTGGTTGTCTGAAGAGGCTGTGCACTGGTAACCTCAGGTTTAATTGTAATTGAATCAACCTGCTCAGTGGTTTGTGGATCAACCCCAGCTGCCCGATCACCCTCATCCTCATCCTCTGTCTCCTCCAAATCAGGCGGTGGTAACACCTCCAGGCTTTCTTTGAAGAACTCTGTCTGGTCTGAGGTTTCCATTGGCTCCCAGAACCAGACGTCAGCTCCTTGGCCATCCCCAGAGAAACCAGAGCCAGACCCTTGGTCCATCATGAAGTCAGAGTCCAGGTGGGGATGAATCAGCTGAGGGGGCATGTCTGCAGAGGAGTCTGAAACGACTTCATGGTCCCCTCGAGTGGGTTTCTCCTCAGCAGTGTTACTAGAAAGAAAATCCTCACCTTCAATCTTTTCAGGATCTGAAAAACAGAAAAAAAAGACAGTGTATTAAAAATGATATGAAAACTTTGAACGTAATGAAATCGACATTGTAACGCTGATGACAGATAATAGGACAGTTAGTCGTCCTGGACTCACTTTCTGGTTGATCCAAGTCAAAAGAGAACTCAGCGGTGGTGGGAGGCGCTGCGCTCTCATCAAACATGAAGACATCGTTTTCGCTGACCTCCTCACCCTGAGCACCTTTCCACGGGTCGAACGGGTCAAACAGGAAATCGTCTTTCTTTATGAAAACCTCACTGCTGTCTGGCTCGTGGCTCGGAGCGTCGGGAGGCTTCTCTGCGGCGAGCACGTTATCCTGACCGGGGAGAGGAGATTCACCTGAGCGTTCCCCTTTGTTCTGAATGTTAGCGTATCTTTAAACACTGTAAACACTAGGGTTATCTCACCATGTTGTCGTAGGTGTCGGCTGTCCTGGTTGTAGGTTTCATCGAAGGTAACAAGTTCTCTTCTGCAAAGGAAAGCAAACACAGCACCAGAACTGCTTTACTCGGAGTAATAGTGAAATCTGATCATGGCAAATACTGAACAACCTCATGAATTGTATCTGAAACTATTGATATTGGTGAACTGGGACAGCTTTCAATGCTTCAGTCCTTCTTCTGTAATAGATACTTAATGTTTGAATTTATAATAATTTTTCCTCTGCTGGTTTTCTGGTATGCGGAGTTCCTCAGGGTTCAATCCTCAGGCCTACTCTGTTCTACTTCTCCAGGTAATCTGTTCAGCCGGTTCCATAACATATCACGTATTGTCCTGACATCAGTGATTGTAATCGTGAACCCTTTTCTAAAATGATCAGTGTTGTTACCGGTGTTGATTAGCAAGGGTTCGGGCTGCGTCCCCAGGCTGCTGTTGGTCATGAAGTTGTCTTTGTGCAGCGCCTCGGTGATGTAGTTCCTGAAGTCGGTGATGGTGTAGACCACAGTGGGCTGTTCGGGGGCTGTAGGATAATTTTTTTCCACCAGGTTGTTCTGCAGAGAGATGAAGTCCAGCGTGTCGTCGGGGATGCCGCCGCCATCGACCTCCAGAGTGAGAGCATAGTGGACCAGGACTACCAGACCCCTGATGGAGACCGAGGAAAGAGCTGTTAGAGCTAAACGGACACCATCTCTGAAATGTTTAACTCCTAGATTCAGTGCCTGTTTTAAAGCCCGTCTTTACAATTTTTATAGTTGATATACTTGTCATTGCTAACTGGCCAATCCTCTGAAACACCCTCCTACCCTGCAGACTCCTTCTACTCTTCGAGAAACACTTTTTCAACGGGAACAGCTCGTGTCTGTTCAATTCATCATCATGCTGGAGCGTTCACGCTATAACAAAAAATAACAATAAAAAATCATGTTCAAGTTTCGCTCCACTTCTGCCTGATGTTGATCTCTGACCTGCACTCATGCCTGAATGCACATTATGGCCGTCATATAATCTGACATCTGTTGATCATGTCTGTTATTTCTCGTCCTCCCTCTCTGATTCGACGGTTTCAGGAAAAAGTTCCTTTACGAGCGCACAGACTCTCTCCTCAGTGTCGTGTCGAGTTCAGGTGAGTTGTAAACTCTCTATGAGCTCACAAAGTGACTTTATCACTGCGGTGGGGGGTCGAGGTGGGGTCCTGTGGAGGGGGGGGAGGTGGGGTAAGGACAGTGAGTTGATGTAAGTCTTTTATGATAATCCTGCGGCGGCTGCAGGTGGCTGCAGAGCAGTGAGGGGCTTATCCCACTTAAGAGCTGATGGACTATTGTTAAGGACATTAGAGAGAAACTGGAGCAAAAGCAGCAACCCTTATTTACTGCAGCAGGAGGGGGAGGGGCTTTAAGGGGAGGTGGGGGGGCAGTCTGGACCAGGTGAAGAAATCCCTCCTAACCACCTTTGGTTACCGTGACCGTGAGGGAATGTTGGAAACACAGCATTGAGACATTCAGGGTCCCAAAAAGAAAATCAAAAATGACACGTTTGGTGGTTTTAATGCTGTGCTGCCGTTCCCAGCATGCTTTGGGACACTTATAAATGGAGTATGTGGTCATGTTTAAAATCTTTTGACGCAGTTTTTTAACATTTTTAGTGTAAAAGAATCAAACTTACTTCTCCAGATCCTTCTGTGGCCTGAAAACACAAACGACACAAACAATTCAATAAAACTCTTGTGCAATAAAGACTCATCTACACAAACAGCAAGTTTAAAAATGAAGATGAACAAAGTGATACCTCGCATCTACTGCTAGGTGAAAAAGTTTTACCTGAACTCAATGATGTGGACACTTTTAAAGCCTGGCAACCTCTCGAAGGCATCTTCCACCTAGAAATAAAGAAATGTTTGACAATATTTATCATCTTTTTTTAGGTTTTATTACCTCAGTTTCATTAAATTCTGATAAATAACATATTTAAACAGGGATAACAGAAAAAAGTTGAACTGAACCAGCTGCTTATTAATCATAATTATTGTAAGCAGGTTAGTAACATGACTGGGTATAAAAAAGGACATTCAGAGACGCCTTCAGATGTAAACAAGGATGATTAAGTGTCTTAAACTTCTTTACAGTTTTACACTGAGTGTCCTGCCCCTTTTGGATTCAGGGATTTGCATGTAAACACAGGATAAGTGCTTATTTTATGTATAAATCTGCTCTGGGGATAATGTCTAAGATTTATTCAGTCGAAATGAACACAGATCAGTCTGTAGTAAATATGAAATGATTTGGACACAGACATTCTGGTCATAATAAGTGTGTTTTATGTTGATTTATCTCCGTGGAAACAGTTTAAATAAGCATTGAGAGTGTTATTATGAAGAATTATTGTATCTGAGAGTTTGAAAAGTGCAGCTGGAGTCTTTTGTTTGGAATAAAAAGATCATTTCTGCGTCTCGGTGGCCCGTAGCTGCACTCTCTGCAGCTCCTCTTTCTTCTTGCGCTGTAGCCAAACTCCTGCTGTTTCTATTAGCCCTCTTATCCACTTCATCCTCACTCATTAAAGCTCCTGACCCCGACTCTTTAACCGTAAACTGGCTTCCCGCGTCACTAACTGTGGAGCCGAGCCTGAAACGCTCCCGGCGGTACGGGAATACACCGGCGCTCTCTGCTTTCCTGGCATGGCGTGTTTTTCCTCTCAGTGAGTCACGGCTCGCTCTCTGGATGTCCTGCTCCAGCTCTGTCTCTGCATCAGCAAAACGCTGGCAGGGCCCAGGAACTGAGCTCTAAAGCGTGAAGATCTTTAACGGGTGAAAACCAAGCGGGGCCTTTGAAGCAGAGTCCAAAACCCTGAGTCTGCAGTTTGTGAGAAACCGCAGAGAGTCATCGTGGAGATGAGTGAGAATCTTGGACGTCAGAGAAAGTTGTGATGGAGAGGAGGTCGAGCTTTCTCCAAAACACAATGATGACAACACCCAGGGTGTTAGTGAACAACAGGAACCTCAGTACGTCAGACAAATCAGCTGAGTCTCTGCTGTAGGTCCTCAATGCTAACACACACACACACTGATACTCAGCTCCAGCAGCATTTAGGTCAGTTTTTATGTAGCTCTGATCATGACAATCTGGATTTTAGTTGATATAACTTTTGTTCCAAGTTTTAGTTTTTCAACTACAGACGACAAAAAAGATATGGAGTGAACCCTCCAGTTGAACTCGGAAGTCAGAATTTCCAAGCTCCGAGTCCGAAATTCATCTGGAACGCCCCCCTGAAGTTGGATTTCCAACTGGGAAAGTCCGTCAATCCTCGCCAACCCTGACTTGACGACAACGTCATTATCCAAGATGGCAGCGCAGTGCATCAACAGTAAAGAGTAACAGTGAAAGCTCTCGTGATTAATTATTTATTTGCACTTCTTTTTTGTTTTTATGAAATGAAATAAGTGGTTTATGTTGTACTGCCCAACGTCTAATTGTGAACGCGGTGCTATGGTGTTCGTAAGAGTAAAATACTGTTATGTGTCGTTTACAACTGGTATAGCTAACAACAACTAACAACAGCTGACAATGGCTAACTATAGGCATCCATTTTGGTTTTCCGACTTGTTAACTGGAACGCCGTCAACGTGGGTGTAGCGTCATTCCTAGCTCCGACACCCGACTTCTGAGGTAACTGGATCCATAGTGGGTCCTTTTTCATTTCTATTTATATCAATGATTTATGTTAAAATGTCACGTTGTATTTATGTGCTGATGACACAATTGTATATACTTAACTCGCAATCAATGAAATCTAAGCTGAGTCTAGCACTGAATGCAATGAGGTTGTAGCAGTTGTACGGTGTTGGGGTCATGGAAATCTCGTCATTTTTGCGATCCAACTTTTCACCCTCAGGTGTGCACCAACAGAACAACATAGTCATTGTATTCGTCACTCATATTGTGTTTCTATTATTATGTAAATTATGTACAGATGTAAATATGGCGCATGCACATATCTTGTTTTAACTCAAAGTCTTCTTATCTTTTAACTTTTACCTTTTGTATCTAAACCATGCTGCAGTAATTTTGGAATTCCCCCCTGTGGGACTATTAAAGGAACATCTTATCTTAATCTTATCGTTCCAGTGATGGCGTCTCACCCTGCGTATGAAGTGTTTGGCGAGGTGCTGGTACTGTAAGCTGCCCGGGTCCCTCAGACCATCATGGTAGGTCTCTCCTCTCAGTTTGATGGTCAGCTCCACCGTGTGGTCCTTCAGGAGTCTTGGGGGCCACAGCATGGTGTTATCAATCTCGTTACCGATCTGGAGGTGAAAACATACGTTAAACATCAGACACTCGTGAACATCAGTGGTTCTGATATTCTATTTCTTGACTGTGTTTCCTTACACTGCCGTCTGTTTTGACCTCCAGCCCAAAGCCGTTGTTGCCCAGTGGGTCTTCGTCCACCTCAAGAGGGACATCTGTGAGGTCGGAGATGTCGGCGATGTCGCTGATGTCGTAGTCCACCTTGTTCTGGGTGGTAAGCTCCACAGAGACGCCAGCGGTCGGGGTCTCTGTCTGATCTGCTGAGGTTCCTGGAGTCATTTTATGGCTGGACTCTGATGTGTCATCCACAGGAACCTCTGTCAGGATCTCATTGGCATCATCAGGGGAGACACTCTCAGGGACATCCTGGTCTCCTTCGGGTGTGACTGCCAGGACAGGTTCAGACTCAGCAGTTCCTTCAGGTTCCCCTGGAGCCTTAGAAGGGGGCTCGGTTTCTGGTTCTTCTCCTGGAGACTCAATGTCCTGAGCAGGTATCTCCTCGGGGGTGAGTTCCACCTTCACCTCTGGTTCAGGTATGTCCTCGTCTTCAGTTGCAGGAAGTAAACCCTCGGTGTTCTCTGGGACAATGACGATGAGTGGAGTGATCTCCTCCTCGGACTCTGGAGGACTTTCTGGGATGAAGATTTCGGAAACTTCTGGTTTAGACACTTCTGCTTCAACTGTCACTTCCGATGGTGGGGTGACATCTGTGGTCAAGACCCTGGGTTCTGGTTCAAGTCCAGGTTCTGGTTCAGGTTCTCTGGTCTGTTCTGCCTCTTCAGGAGTTTCCTCTTTTGGTTCTGGTTCTGCTGGCTCTAATATTTCTGGTTCAGCTTCCTCCTCTGTAGGTTCTGGCTCTTCTGTGGTTTCGGCATCATCTGCTCTGTCCTCCTCCACAGGACCTGGAGTCTCTTTTGTCTCGTTATCTGTCCTAGTTGTCTCTTCTTCACCGATTCCCGTTTCCAGAGACACTTCAGCAGGTTCTTCTTCTTCTGCTGTTTCTGCAGTTACATGTCCCTCTGCGTCTTCTGTCTCCTGTTCCTCCACAGAGACATCTAAGTCCTCCTTCATCTTGTCAGGTATGATCTCAGTTGGCTCTATGTCCTCAGTCTCCTCAGGGGACACCACCTCAGTGGTCAGGTCTTCATAAAAAACTGGAGTGGCCTCCTGTCTAGTAGGAGACGTGTCTTCATCTATGTCATCCTGTAAAATCACCACAGACTCAGAGGGGACCTCAGAAGTTAAAGCTAGTTCTTCTTCAGGTTCTCTGTCCTCAGGTGTCTCATCTGTTGTCTCTGGGACAGATTCAAATTCAGGTTCTTGGTCTGGAGTCTCATCTATGAATACTTGGTACTCTTCCTCTGAGTCCAGATCTGTTAGGAGGACCACGGTGGGAACTGCTTCTTCAGAGTCCTCTGTTTTATCTTCTACAGAGGTCTCTGGTAGATGTCCCTCAGGAGGTCTTGAACTGTCTTCTTCAGGTTCTTCAAGGATGTCCAAACCGGGTTCATGTGTTTCTGGCTCTGCTGAATCCTCCTCCTCACTTTGGTGCTCAGTCTGGACTTCATCAGCAGGTTCTGGAAGAACAGGTTGTCCTGACTCTGCAGGTGAGACAGCCTCCATATCCGACATCCTCGTCGGTTCCACCAAAACCACGACGGCAGCTTCAGTGATGACTTCTCTCATCGCCTCCTCTGAGGGAGGCTCCTCCCCCTCAGGTGTGGCCTCTTGAATCACCTCAGGACTCGGTGCACTCACATCTTCAGGGACCATGTCTTCTACCTCTGTGACCATGTCTTCTGTCTTCTCAAGGACACTGTCGTCCTCCTCTATGTCTTCATGAGTCTGATCAGGGTCAGAGATTGAGTCCGCAGGTCTCTCGGTGGAGGAGATTATCAGTTCATGATCTGGTTCTTCAGATGGTGGAAGTACAGGGGTCTGATCTGTGACCTCAAAGCTGGGAGGAAGGTCAAGGGTGACATCACTTCCTGTAAAATAGAGATTCAAACTTTTATCCAGACTTTTACTTTTTCAGGGAAGACCTTCATGTCTCACCACACCACATTCTGACAGCAGGGATTACAACAGCTCAGCTCTCTAGGAGAAGAGTCCTGCTGAGAAACTGGTCTACCTGCGGTCTCCTGAGCTCCCATGTTTTTACATCAAGGCTTTAACTGAGTGGGCAGGTAGACAGGTAGTCCACCTACAGGTGTGATCCCACTAACCCTGATGGTTGTCCTGCTCTGACTTAGTCCCCACTCTGACTCCATTGACCAGACTGCTGCTTGGAAATAAGCTTACTGATCTATTCTGGGAGCTTGGCTTGTGACGGGAATCAGACCCCCTACCAACACACACACATACACACGCAGGTGACGTGGGGGCGTAAGGTGACAGACTGCCACGCTCCTTCAGGTTCATAGTTTGGATCGGTAAACTGGTTGTCTCGACTTTACGGCTTCGTTAAGCAGGTGAAATATGAATGTATGTAATCAGACATCACATCACACAGAAGAAAGGTAATTAATTAATCAGCTGTTAATTAACAGATCAATTAACAGACTCTAGATTCAGAGCTTTGTGAACGCTGGTGTTTCTCAATCTGGGTCACCATGACGACTCTGAGTGGGTCAGTAAGTGGTCAGCAGTAAGACAGTCTTAACCACCTGTTAACTGAGCAGCTTTCTGCCGCCAGGTTACCTGATAAAGACAGATTCACACCGTCTCAATGTCCAGTGTCTGGAAACAGTACGACTTACTGCTGCAGGAAAGAACTCAAACTGTGTCGACTGTCTGAACTTAACAGAATATAAATGTGTGAAACATCTATTATCATATGTGATCGATGGCGTTTAAAGGGATATTCCGGCGCAAAATTAATTTAGGGTGAAAGATGAATGTTGCCAACCGCTTGCTTCTCTAGTTATACCAACTTTAGTAACAACCGCACGATAGCAATACACAGCGGTCTGAGGAGCCATAAACAAACCTCAACCAAAACACCACTCTATAGCCACAAATAATGCTCAGAACAGCACCTAACTTCATCAACAGTACATATAGGGTCCCAGCCAGAGTACTAGCCACCAAACATCTTTTTAACTTTGACTAATTTCTTAAGCAAAGAGACTAAACACAACTCTCTTACTCTCTTCCAGCAGCCGCTTGTTTGTAGCAAGACCTCAGGCCAGTTCATTGCAGATGACAGTGGGGTGTCGCAGCTCAAGGAAGAACATTTATGGTCATTTCTTTATCATTTCCTTGAAGTAATAATCATTATATTAATCATTTTTAACTGCAGACGCTGTAGTTCTTCTGCCTTAGTGTCTTGGTCTGATTGCATTTCCATGGAGAAACGATCATAAATGTTCTTCCTTGAGCTGCGAAACTCCGCTACAGTCGATGGACTTGCCCAAGGTCTCGCTACAAACAAGCGGCTGCTGGAAGAGAGTGGGTGAGCTGTTTTTAGTCTTTTTGTTTGAGCGCGTGGCTCTCTGTATTGCTATCCTGCAGTCATTACTAAAGTTGGTATAACTAGAGAAGCAAGCGGTCGGCAACATTCATCTCTTGAGGGGGTGTCTAACTCTGTTACGGTGTGTTTGACCCTAAATTAATTTTACGCCGGAATATCCCTTTAAGGGTTACAGTAAACTAAAGCGACAGTTAACAATCTGTGCGTGCTAATTGGTCGGAGAACTTCAGGTGTGTTTACCTGGTACATCCACGGACTCCTCGAGGCCGTCGGTCACTGTCTCAGAGCTGAAACAAAAACAGACAAAAGTCAGAGGGGAAAAAAGTGACAGAAAATCCAGAATTTAACTCTTTATACAACCTCAGTTCAACTGGAGTCAAGAAATTTTGACAGAAACTGAATTTAATCGTCTGCAAATTGTTTAAAGCAATATTTAGATTTTACTCTCAAACAGAACTGAGGTTGTAAATTCCACTTTTTCCCCCGGGACAGCAGTGTGTACTGATGTTTGACTCTAATGCTGTCCAGACTGTAGTCCAGGTTTTATCAGCACACACTGTTTGACCCGCAGAAACAGCAGAGGTCGGCACTTTTGAGTCTTTTTAAAGAGGAATTTTATATGTTTAGAGGCTGTTTCATCTCAGACAGTTTTTTATACTTCTGTCTCTGATCACACATCTGCAGGTCTTCAAAATAACTCTCATTCCCCTTTAAAACACAGCCGACACCACAGAGCTGGAGTGAAGCGCGCTTTAACAAAAACCACATCATTGTAAAGAACAAACAAACAAACAAAGGAACAACAAGTACACAAAGACGGCGCAGTCTAACTCTGAATGAATGTGGGAGGGAGAGGAACTTGAGAGTTTTCATTCAGTCCTGATCCAAAGAAGAGTCTGATCTATCTGTTATTTCTCTTTTTAATCAGATTTCTCATTTCCTGACCAGCTGGAGACGATCAGCTATTTTCACAGATTCTTTAAAACCGTCTCAGTTCTGTTGACTTTAAAGTCAGAATCAGAAAACTTTGTGTCCTGCTCTGTCATCTCTGCTTCTGGATCAGCTCTACGGGTGAGTGTTCGGTGTCCGCAGGCGTACCTGCATGGAGGCGGGCCTGAGGTGATGGGCAAACTGCAGCAGGTGATAAAACACAGCACAGGTGTCATTTCAGACAGACCACAGAGAGTGAGGCTGCACCCTTCACATTCAGACAGTAAACAAACATGATGTCCTGTCTCATCTGTGTGTGTCTGAAAGAGGACGACGACGTCTCTCTGGAGCAGGAACTCTTAAAATCTGCTGCTGTTTAATAAACTTTGAACAACCTCACAGGAGCACAAACCTGCATTTGTTATTTCACTTATTAAAGTTGTTTTTTTGAGAGAATCGTAAAAAGTTTAACTCCAAAATAAAAGTTTAATTTCTCATTGTAAAGGTAGAAATATCACTGTCAACAAATGTGTGAAAAAAAGGAGAAAAGTGAGTCTAATAGCTGTGAATCAAAAGTCAAAATGTAAATGTGTTTGAAGGTTGTCTGAAAAATGTTGTTCTGAACTTTCAGCAGCAAATAATTTAAACTTTTTATCAAATAAGGAAAGGTGTTTTTTCATGTTACTGTTCAGTCAGTTTTTAATTAAAAGGTTAAAATTAACTACAAAAAAAAAAACACAGGAGGTGTCATGTGACTCGGTGACAGAGAAATGAAGTCAAAACTCACCTGCTGCTCATCTCTGCCACCTGAGCCATCCTCTGAAAGACAGAAAGAAAGAAAGGAACAAAGAAAGAAAAGAAAGTAATAGAAAAAGAAAGAAAGAAAAAAGAAAGGAAAGACATAGACAGTACAAAAGTATGAAATTAAGAAAGAAAGAGAGAAAGAAAAAAGAAAGAAACAAAAAGAATGAGAGAAAGAGAGAAAGAAATAAAGAAATACAGAAAGAAGGAAAGAAAGAAAAAGGGAGTGAAAGAAAGGAAAAAAGACCAAAAGAAAGAAAAAAGAAAAATTAAAGAAAGACAGTAAGAGAGAGATAAAGAGAAGAGAGAGAAAGAAAGAAAAAAGAAAGATTATTGATAATGCTTTGTGCTTTCTTTTCCTTTTGCATCCAGTTTAGTGTTGTTTTTTTGTTAACCAAAGAAAGAGGTAAAATAATGAGGATCCAAAATGATTAAATTAATTACATAATATGTGAGTAAACAGAGTGAGTAAAAGGAGGGATAAAAATAAAAAAGAATGAGAAAATGAAGAGAGAAAGGATGAATCAGGGAAGGCAAGGGGGAAGGAAAATGAAAATAGAAAGAAGGCAAACAGAAGGAAGGAAGGAACAAAGGAGGAAAAGAAAAAGTAAGAAAGGTAAAAAGAAAAAGAATAAAAGGAGGGAAAGAAGGAAAAAATGGAAAAGGGAAAGGGAAGGAAAAAAGGAGAAACAAGAAAACATAGATCCAAACATGAAAATAATGGATCTTTATCTATACTCACGTTCCTGACGAGGTTGGCGTGCTCGTCTGATTGGCTAAAGAAGCTTCCGATGTCCATGACGCTGACGGAGCCATCCATGCAGCGGCCAACCCAGTCCTGGTACTCTTCCCGGTCTGGCAGCCGGTCCCAGAAGATCTTGTAGGCCTCCCACACGGTCTCCTGACACACTGAGTAAACACACACACTGAGTTACCAAGTTTTCGGATTATGAGCAGTTTCTGGGTTTCAAGAAAAACATCCAGAAGGAGACATCAGGAGGAGACATCAGGAGGAGACATCAGGAGGAGAGCAGCTCAGACCACGTGAATAAAACCAGAGACATGTTGTCCTGTTTGACTCTGGAGGCCGTTACAGGACAAAGTGATTCAACAAAACAGAGAGATTGAGACGCTCTGACTCCTTAAGAAGGTCATGTTATCGCAGTGTGTACAGCTCTGTGTGACCTCCGACCCCTGTGAGATCGGCTGCCTCAGATGACAGCAGACTGACTCTAAGCTGCTAAGTCCGCTTGGATCAGAGCGGGAGTGAAACACCTCGAGTAAAACGCCAAGTACCTCTGAGGTGGAAGTAGCTGAGGTGGTTGGCGACGGCCTGGTCTACCGTCTCCTGGGTGCACATTTTGACTCCGCTGGGGAACAGGACGTCTCTTTTCCTGCGGGTCAGAGCCGAGTGTCGTCGGTATAGAAGCTGATCCGAGTCCGACAAGGACCTGACACGCTCGTCCAAACCCAGCTGATCGTCTCCAGAGGCGCCTGAGAGCAACAGGAAGACAGATGAACACTCAGTACAGCTCATTCAAACATGTTTATTATATTCAATGATGAATTAAAGCCCCTGTAAGGAATTTTTAGCTGCTTATAAACAAAATAAAACTAATTCTGATGTCTCAATGTGACAATAAAAGCAAACCTGACCATTACTGACCACAATCAGGATTTGTATTTTGTCATTTTGTGAACATATAGGGTATATGAACATGGTATATTAGGTACATATATGGTACATGTATTTGTAGGGTGTGTGTAAAGTATATAAATGGTGGGTAACACTTTACAGTAACCATAATGGTAAGCAGATAGTTTATTAGTGTGTAATCATCATTTATAAATAGCATACAGACCATTAATAAATTGTAAATTCTACAATTTGAGAAACCTAACCCTAACCCTAAGTTACATTAATAAACTATCTATTTACCAATTATAAATTATGGTTATTGTAAAGTGTTACCAAATGGTGCATATCTTTATTTATACCACTTAAATACAATTTAAACAATTTATAAACTTTATATACCATTTATATGCTATATTTACCATGAACATTCTATATCTCTAAGGCTACGTTCACGCTGCAGGTTATGATGCACAATTCGGATTTTTTGTTAAATCCGATCTTTTTGTGCGGTTGTTCACATTACAACAACGAATGCAGCATCAAATGTGAACGGAATGCGTCCGTGAAGTGACCCGCATTGCTTTCCGCGTCTGTGTGTCGTCAAAAAATGGTGACGTTTGTCGCATATTGATGACGTATAGGTCGGATGAACGCGACCTGAGCGTCCACACTGCAGTCACATCGGATACATATCCGATTTATATCCACATACAACAGAGGCCTGGGTTGGATTTGAAAAAATCAGAATTGCACTGTTTACACTTACATGAAGAAATCAGACATGTGTCACATATGGTTAAAAATTTATATATACAAATATCATATAGATTATTGTATGATATTCTATGTATGTACTTCTGCGATAATGTTGCATCCAGCAGAGATCATTGCTAAAATAAAAGATTATAAAAAATGAGGAAAAAGTTCAGTAAACACGTCTGAAAATTTCTGAAAATATTGATGTATTTTTAATTGAATTTTTAAAGCTCCTGTGTCTGTGTTGATGTTGGCGCCCCCCTGTGGAGAAAGTGGTATCCCTTATATTATATTGTTGCTGATGTCATTTTAAAGTGATGTTAATTTAAAACTCTCCTCATGTCGACTCACTGTGCGATGGAAAAAGTAACTAAGGCTGTTCCTCAGTGTTCCTACCCCCCCTCACAGCTGTTACAGGCATTAAACTTACTCCAGCCAAATCATTAGTCGTATTATTGATGCTCACATTTGCTTTTGTACATGATAAAGACACATCACACTTCGTGACAGCGTGATTCATAACTGATCAAAAACTCCTGACTAGAGCTTTAATATGATTCTTCATTATATGCAGAACTTTTTAGGTAATTCTCCAACTACATTAGGGTAAAAACAGCTAAACTTTGACTTGCAGAGTCTGTCTACACTGTTTTGTTCTATGATAGTGAGATTACAGCAGTAGATTCACTTTGACAATATCATTTTGCAGCATTAAAGCACACTGCAAAACTTTTTCCTCACTTTTTGAGTGTTTTAGGTAAACATGTTTTCGAGTAAATCTGTGCAGCTGACTGTATTTTCAGTCACATCTTCATGATTTAATGGTCCACGATAAAAGCTGTAAACCTGACCTGTGTCTGTGGAGATGTATCCTGACAGCAGCAGGGCCCCAAGCGCCCACAGCACCATCCTCCCGCTCCCTCCTGACATTTCTGTGAAAATCTCTTCGCCCTGCAGCCGGACTCGATCCTTTTTCTGAAACTTTCCTGGTCTTCAGCTCATCAGCGCTCCGCCTCACAGCCGTCCATCCAGCGCTCCGGCTGCCATCCTTCAGAGTAAAACAGAGTGATGGAGGTGGTTGTGGTCGGGGTCGCCCGGCGCGCTGCTCCTTGCTCCCTCTCAGGTGAGCAGATGGGACTTTGGTGAGGGAGATTTTTCTCTCTTTGCTCTAATCCTATTTGTTAAGCTGCTGGAGTGGATGAGTGTCAGGCCGTGGTGCACCAGTGCAGCGGGTCGCTGTCACTTAAGAGGGAATCAAACCCAAGGCCAGGGCAGCTACACACTGAATTAAAAACCACATTTACACTATTTAAAATGAGACTTTCTTTCTTTCTATGGAGTCTGATTTTTTTTGGTTATTCTGGTCCAGATAATCTATAAAATCAGACTCCATAACCTCCCATAATTCACCTGTCAGTCAGTCATTAATTAAAGGAAAATAACTCCAATGATTTTGATCAGATTATTAAGAATTTCATGGAGCTTTAAAGAGACAAACACAGTGATTCTTGAAAAGCTGCGGCCAGCCTGGAATTAACTAGTGTATTAGAGCGATTATAAGCTCTAATGCTTTTGGTTGGCTGTTTAATTGGATGTATCGGACCGTATCAGTTGGTTTGATTATTCCCAAGACTGGCACTCACTTCTGCCAAAGCATCTGCCAACATTTAAAAAAAGACTATAAAATAAAACAAGAGTGCTATCAAAACCCAAACATGACACAGCTAAACAGAACCGGGACACACAGGCGTTTCTCATACCGAAGAACCTGCTGGTTTAACACACAAAATAAACGAGCTCAAAACTCTTCAACCTCAAATCTTTAACTTATGTAGGATCACACTGGCTGCAGGTAAGCTTTACTGATTATTATATAACACCAAGGTTCATGTTTATACGTGTCTGCCCTTTAGACGGCTCAGCTTGTGTCTGCCTGTAAATTAAGCACCTGCTTTTAATGTAAACAAGATCATTTCCTGAGAACTGAACTGTTATAAAACCTACAAACATCACAACACAAGAATTAAACGTATTTAAAATGGAGTCATAATGTGTGTAAGTTTTACATAACATCAGGTTTTCTCTACATGTGCACATCTATGCAAACAGCTGCTAGTATTTTATATGTTAATCAAGGACTTTTTTTTTTTTACACCTGAAAGCACCTGAACTCTAGTTATCATTTATGTTGGATAATAGTTTTACTGATCAAACTACATCAAGTTATCCCTCCTGCTTCTTTCTGGAATACAAGTCTTATAGCTATTTGTATCTCATATGTAAATCAAGGACTTTTTTCTTTTACACCTAAAGCTTCCTGATTTAAGGAAACAGATTATTTATTCATGTTGAGTCTCTAGTTTTACCTATGCAGTACTGTCAAATTATCCTTTCTCTTATGTACACAGTCAGTTTTACGGTATTATGTGTAAATCAAGGACTTTATTTTTTTACACCTGAAAGCATCATATAATAGAAATGTGCATAAACTAGAGTTTTCATTCACGTAGGTTCATGGTTGATGCTCCTATTCTTTTCTCCATGTGCGTTTATGCACACAGCTTATTCTATTTAAAATGTAAATCAAGTACTCTTTTTTTAAACATCCTGTTATTGATAAATGTGTCAATAAAACAGAGGTAAAATTCATGTAAGTTCATAATGTAACTGATCAAATAATACTAGGTTTTCTCTACCATTCCCCTCTGTATGTGCTGGGATCTTATATGTAAATTGAGGACATTTTATGCAAATAGCCTTCAGACCCTGTTCCCAAAGTTTCTCACGCCTAAGCATAGGGCTTTTCAAGGGGACGAGCGACACTTAAACCCTTGTTCGTTATTGAGTTCTTCAAAGGGGCTACGAGCAAAAACACTTTAATTTTGATTTTAAAGCATTTAGTTTGATTCTAGTTTTTATTTCATTTAAATTTAACAGAAATTTGAACGAAACTTTTGCAAAAACCCCAAAACAATTGAGGCAGACAGAAGCGTGATCAGACCAAACTCACCGTCTTCTTCATCAGTCACTGAGATCCAGGAGAAATCAGACTGGACAGCAAGCTGTGCTCCTCAGGTACCACATTTAGAGCAGACGTGTGGCTCATTATCAGGACTCCACCAGGTGGTCTTCACTCAGACTGATCGCCGGATTACCTGAAACACTCTGAGAGGTCACATCTTGCATTAACGGGCCAAAGGTCACAGAGAATCTGCCTTAAACTCTGAATCTTTAGCACGTTCACTCACACTTTTCTCCTTTACTTTTTAAACCAGTTAAACCTCAGTAATCACCCCGTTAAGGTCTTTCAGGAGTAAATAAAACATTTATCTATGAGCACTGGTCACATTCAGTCCAGCAGGAGGGTTGAGGATCCGTGTGGGTCAAACTTTGGTTCAAAGTGCTTAGTGATTGTTAAAGGGATATTCCAGCGTAAAATTAATTTAGGGTCAAACACACCGTAACACCAAGTTAGACACCCCCTGGAGACATGAATGTTGTCAACCCCTTGCTTCTCTAGTTATACCAACTTTAGTAACGATTGCATGATAGCAATACACAGCAGTCTGAGGAGCCATGAACAAACCTCAACCAAAACGCCACTCTATAGCCACAAGTAACGCTGTAGTTCTTCTGCCTTAGCGTCTCGGTCTGATTGCATTTCCATGAAGAAATGATCATAAATGTTCTTCCTTGAGCTGTGTCACCCCGCTGTAGTCCGTAATGGACTGGAAGAGAGTAGGTGAGTTGTGTTTAGTCTCTTTGCCAAAGAAATCAGGCAAAGCTAAAAAGATGTTTGGTGGCTAGTACTATGGCTGGGACCCTATATGTACTGTTGATGAAGTTAGGTGCTGTCCTGAGCATTATTTGTGGCTATAGAGTTGCGTTTTGGTTGAGGTTTGTTTATGGCACCGGGTTATCCCTTTAACAGAAGCTGTAAATATTTCTGAGCGTGAAGCTGAAGCGGCTCTCAGCCTGTTCTCTGTAATTAGACTCGTCCTCGTCCAGACGATAACCCCCTGCCGCTTCCCTGGGTCAACAATAGCAGACATCTTTTATTGGATAATGGGATTAAAGGCAACAAAGCGAGGAACCCAGGAGAAGAAGCTATACGTTCAAACACTGAAGGTCTTCCTCTGAAGCCAACTAAAAGGAACCTGACTGAACCACCACGATCAGTCCGTCAGGATACGACTTTTTAAACTGCTTTAAACACTGACGCTGTTCCCTGGACAGAGAGATGGTTTTTATTTAGAGTCGGCGTCCTGCAGGGAATCCGGATCAGTATACTCCCTCAGATTATTTCTGGGAATCCGGATGGAGGCCTGATGAAGGTCCTAAATCCATCGGTCTAATCTCCATCTCCAATCGATCAGATTATCCCTCTGAGGGAACACCGCACCAAAACATGACCTCTGCAAAGATCCACAACTGGACTACAGTAGGGGGACCAGACCAGGATCAATTTATGGGTCAAGGCCAGGATCACAGCAAGGGACCAGACCAGAGGACCGGACCAGAATGCGGAATGGACAAAGATCAGACAAGAACCACCCAAGGGAACCACCCGAGAATTAGTCCAGAACTACAAAAGGAGACCAGAACAACACCTGAATCCCAAGGCAGGAGCAGGACCACACCATGGGACTGGAGTAGGACCACATTGAGAACTAGATCAGGATAAGACTAGGGACCTAAACCAGATCAGGACCACACCAGGTGTAGCCTACGACTTTTCCAGAACCACACCAGAACCAAACCTATGCTAGATGGCCAAACAAAGTCCAAGGTTATACTAGACCAAGACTAGAGCAAGACAAACACCAGACCACAGCCAGCAAGGGGATTCCACTGGATCTGCAACGGCTCAGCTCTGCTCTAGACCGGTAGGTGGATCAAATATGCAAGCATACAGCACCCACCGGATCCGATCCACCTCCACCATTGGAGGAGAAGCACTTGCAAGATTACCATCTGGGCCAGGCCCGACAAAAAGGAGGAACAGATGAGGGGTTGAGGCCAGGACCAATACTGGGCCATCACAGACCAAGACCAGGGGTGGCCACGGGCAAGTATCCGGAAGAATCCGGAACGGCTTCGCTCCAGACCGGCAGCATATCGCACCCACTGGATTTGATCCACCACCGCCATCAGAGGAGAAGTGCTTGGGAGATTGCGAGATTACAATATTTCTCGCGAAACTGGACAAGGTCTCACAAGATCTTGCGTGTTTCCCCGTGAGACATTATATGAGATCCGCTGATCGGTTTATATAATCGGCGGTGTATGTAAACACCCACATCCCTGGCCTCTCCAACCCTGGCCTCTCCCATTATCAAGCTAAGAACAGTTTTGCTTATTTATTCTGAAAATTAAATGGTTATTTTACTCTCTAGCCACATACAACTTCCGCTGCTGTTCGTGCTGCGATGCCCTGAATTGATGCGCCATGCTGCAGCGTCCGGCAAAAATAGACGCCTTGCATACCTAAAAAGCGGAGCCAGACAGCAGACGGATTGTGCGGAATCACACACATTGGTTATAATGCTTTCGAATTTAATCCGCCTGCGGTGCCCGAGCAGTTCCGGATCCTGTGGCTTTTAGCCGTAAGACCAATCCAAACCAGGGCAAAATAAAGAGACGGATTAAACAGACGAGACGAAGACCAAGTCTGAATGAGGACAGGACAAGAGCCAGACCAGGGACAGCCATACTGTACTGGAGCGATAATTAACCTGACCGATAACCTAAAACGCCCGACTCACCGCGGCGCCTCTTTTGCTTAGTCATGAAAAAAAAGAATTAGCTGACTCATGTGTTAGCCAAGAGCTTAGCGCGTACTCTTCCCCAGCTCCACCTCTTTGTCCAAATATGGTCACAAAAAGATGGTGGCAGGCAAACCGCCAACCCAAGCTACTGCGAGCGTCCCCGCCCACTTCCCTAGCACAGTTGGTGGTTAACGCACTTGTTCCCTACTGAGTCACAGTAGTTAACTTTATAATCAAAGTGATCTGTTAATGGAGCTGCTGCTGCTGCTGTGGTTGTTGTTCCTGTCCAGCCTTGGACCCCCTCCAGTCTGATCCAGATAATGGACCTTAAGCTGATTGTTCCTGAGCGGGGGGACGCTGGGTAAAACCCCAAGATTACCAAACACAGACACACACTCCTGCACAAACCAACACAGACACAGAAACAGACGCGCAAGCTGACGACAAAGGGGCACAAGACGATGGAAACAAAATGAGACAGCAAAATCAAATGGATAAAAATTACTAATTAAAGGTGCAGTCAGCAATTATTTAGCATATTTGACAATACCCTGTGAGACCCAAACACGTCAAGAGTCTGAAAAATATCTCTGGCCCCAGAAAAAGTGTTGGAAAATGTTAAAATGATGAAATGTTACTGTATTCTTTATGCTTAAGCAGGTAAATAACTGTACCTTGTGACTTCTTTCTTCCAGTTGTGAAAACGCGTCATCATCCATTTAGCTTTTTCGAATCCAGTTAGCTAAATATAAAGTTAGAACGCTAGTTACTCTATCGACACTGGCACAATGATGTTTGCTATAATCCAATTGGCTTTAATTTAAAGTAACAGGCCGGCTAACCTTGTTAAAAGATGTGAGTGACATTTCAGCTAACCTGACTTTCACCTTTATTTAATCAGAAGAACTTATTAAAGGGCAGTACGTCTTTTTCAATGGTACAGAATCGCACGTGGCTAAATAATCATATTAAGAGTTGGATGAAGTGATCTGTGTGTGGAAGAGCTTTGATTATCTGCCTCCTGCTAGATGGGGAAATCATCAGTCAAGCTAGCAGAGTCAAATTAATGATAGTCCAGCTAGCTTAAAGATGTCCTGGAGAGTTTTTGAAAGCTATGGAATTCACTTAACACCAAAAACATCTACAGTACAGTTAGCTTCACAGAATACACACAAGTTTAAATTTCTGGATTAGCTACCTTTTCAAAAATGTTGACCACGGCATCAGGAATACAAGCTAACTAGTTAAGAGGTGAAAAAAAAACAAAATATAGTAACTCTAAAGGATACAGGTTAGGTTGGTTTACTTTGTTCAAAAATATCCGTAACTGGGCTAGCTATGAAGTAAAAAGCTAGCTAAAGTTAAAAATTTGAGTTCAAACTAATGTCAGGAAACAAAATGCTATACAGTAGCAGAGCTGCCACGCCTCACGCTTTGAGTGTGACGGTCACGCAAATTGAACCATTCTCACGCCACACTTGACATTTCTCGTGCTTATTTTTTCTCTATTCAACACTCTGTATTTTTTTTTTTCATGATACTAAACTTGGCTTGCCGTAGTTCGAGTAACTCTGATTGGCTGACCGAGATAACCGATCCCAGACCAATCCATCAGTCCTTTGTGCCTAAAGCCATGTTCGAGTTACCTCAGAAGTCAGAACTGAAAATGACTTCACGCCCAAGTTTCCACCAAAAAAGCAAAATCGGAGGTGGAAACAAGGTGGCTACATCTACGAAAGTTATTTAAGCGCTTGCCTTGTCCGAATATTAGGCAAGCGCTGACATAACTTTCGTAGATGTAGCCATCTTGTGTCAGGCCTCCGATATTCCTTTTTTCCGATTTGGTAACTGAAACGCTGGGAACTCAGGTGTGACGTCATTTTCAGCTCCGACATCTGACTTCTCGAACGCTAACCAACCACGGAAGGCACCACGCAATATAAACCAATCAGAAGGATTAGGCGGGTCTTGGCGTCTCTATCTTTCACACACAACAGCGCTGACATATAAAACTCACTTGACGTAATGGAATATTGACAAATAAATGTATTTTGTCAAAATTCTTGTTACAATTTTCATTTTTAATTTCTGGTTAATTAAGACGAGCGTTAGGGAGAACAGCTGGCATGGAGGTGAGGACATCGGTCTCAATGTATAAATCGGCGTTAAAAAAAGGATTTTTTTTTTCACCAAAGACATCACAGTGCTTAAGTCTTACTCTTGTCATTTTCCGAAACTTGGCAGCGACTCAGTTAGCCATACAAAGCCGATAAAAGGTGAAAGTTAACGAGCTAAATTAGCGAAGTTAAACCGTCACAGTCAGCGAACCAACAGAAATATAACTTAGCTGTGCGGTTTGTGATGCTAACAGCTGAGACGTTGCTGTTGAGGCTGTTTCATAACTTTGAGGTCTCTGCGCTGTGTAATGAGTCAGATATGAAGCATTCTTGGTGGTGCTGATGGGATATCCTCATCTTGTTTCCATGAAGAAGCCCGTACTTAAACCTCTTACATAAGTCTCCTCTGTATTTTATCATGTCTCTGTGATCTCATCTGTGATGTATAATTCGGTTTCCTGGGGTAGAAAATCATTTCATGTATCCCTGCGTCTCTGCACATCGTCTGCTCGCTGTGGGAGAATCACATCCAGAGATTTTCCATCACTGAACAAACCAAAAATGTTTCCGCTGCTTTATTTACGTTCAGCTCCACATTTCTGGACCGGCTCGCCGCTTTATGAGACCAACAGGAAACAGATCTCTCTCCGTCCAAACCGCAGGAACATTAATGTCTTTTGGACGACATCTGATTGTTGTGGAGGCAAATTTTCATCTGTTAAAGATTGAAAAAGAGAGACACAGAGAGAAAAGACGGATTTTAGATTATATTTTAGAAGCTCTTTTCGGAAATTTGGTTTTGATTTTACCTACCTGTTGGATCGAAAACCCTGGAAATCGGTTTTCTATTTATAAAGAAGCAACAGGAAACCCTCAAACGGAAGAATTTCACATTTAATCATTTAAGTTTTTACAACAGTTGGATCACAAAAGTCTTTTTTTTTAAGTTACAAAAAAAACAAAAAGTAAAAGCTTCAGTTTATAAACGTGTGTTTCAGATTGAGGATTATTAAAGACACTTTATTAAAAGAAACTCGTTTGACAGACACACTCAGATCAAACTAAATCTAAAGGAAAAGTATAAATTATTTATTGCACAGGTGAGTTAGCGGCTCGGTGAGAGTTTTTGGTCCTGGTTGTTTCACGTTTGTTCAGTCTGACTCTTGTGCATCGTCATTATCAGACTCCGGATCTCCTCCCGCTTCTCTCGCACTCTTTGTCGCGGAAACCAACTGTTCAAGTGCAACGGGAGGTCAAAGTGCACCGCGGGGTTCTGGGAAAGCCAATCAAAGAGCTCAATCAGGAGTAATCTTCAAAAAGGAACGGTCAAAATAACACAGAGCAGGTTTTCTCTTTTCTACGGCTGATTTTTAACTCTTATCCGTGAACTCTGAGTGCATGCATACCTGCAGGAAGCTCTCGACATACTGCAGCAGGTACAGGCCGCAGTCACTGCTGTTGTCCTGCTGAGGGACTTTGCAGCTTGAGCTCCTCATGCTGTCAGACGTGAAGAGACGAGGCGTCCCCCTCCGGACCTCCCACTCCACCTGCAGGTAGCTACACAGGTGAGACAAAAACACAGTCATGTGCAGTTTTTGAGTTAATCGTTTTTAAAACAAAGACTGGAGTTCAATGTGAGCATCAATAAAGAGTGATATTTGGACCCCCTCAAAAGTCCTCCATCTGGAGCTCAAACTCACTCTCGGAGGAGTCTGCAGACGTTCTCTCGGTACGACAGCTTCAGAGAGTCCATGACCAGTATGCATGGCCTGGAGGGAACAGAGAAACCGTGTGTCAGGAAATCTATAAATACCAGCTGACCTGAGACGCGTCGGGTCAAAGTGAACTCATGTTCAGGTGAGTTTGTTTGGACTCACCTCCTTATGACTGAGCCTCTCTGTCTGCCCTGCTCGGTACAATCCTGCAAACGAAGAGAAGAGGTCGGATTACACAGAAAAACAAACTCCAACACTTTATGTAGCTGTGGTTCATTTCTACTTTTAACCCTTAGAACTCCCAGATATATCTAGCTATTTTTGGTTTGCGTTTTTTTGTTTTGTTTTTTTTTTATGTAAAAATCTATGTGGCAACTCGATCCTTTCAAGCACAGCAAATATATACACACATCTTTTTTTTCAGGACAACCTCAGCTGTCAGTTTAAGGGTGCAAAAATGATGTAAAATGAGTGTGACAGTAGATTCAGAACCATCAACGTCAACCAAAAAACAAAAACTGAAATTGATACCAACAGGACTTTGCACAAAAAACACAAATCTACAGTGACCAAGCCTTTTCTCACCTACGCATCATTCTGTTAAGTCTTAGCAATCAGGAGAAGAAATATTGGGATTGGAACAAACACACAACAGAAACTATTTACATATTTACTCTAATTCTTCCAGGCGTTTCTTACTATTTACAATTGTTTATGCCGCAGTTCCTGTCTGGGATGAGACAGAGGACCACATCATACTGCTCAGAATCTCTTCTTTGCTTGTTTCCAAACATTGAGGACCATTATTTCTGATTTTGCAGACAAGCAGGAAACTTGTCTGCAAATTCTTTTACTAGTTTATAAAACTCTCAATGGTCTGGCACCCTCCTACCTAGTTGACTGTCTACCTAGATATGTTCCAAACCGCTCTCTTAGGTCATCCAGTGCTGACCTGCTTGAAGTACCTAAAATGGCGTATAAAAAACATGGAGAAGCAGCATTCTGCTTCTATGGACCCACAGCATGGAACTAACTCCCAGTTTGCATAAGACAGGCAACCTCTGTTGATAATTTTAAAACACAGCTTAAAACCTATGTCTTCACTCTCGCTTTTATTTCATCATGTCTGCACTGTTTGCTATTATTATAATGTTGTATTATGTTTCAGCATTTATTTTCTGCTTATTTTTATTGTATTTTTATTGCTAATTTTATTGTTTCTATTGTTAATTTTATTGTTTTATTGCCAATCATTTACCTTCTCTGTAAAGCACTTGTGCTTTGTTCCTGATCTGTGAAGCACTTTGAGCTGCATCTCATGTCATGGAAGGTGCTATACAAATAAAGTTTATTATTATTATTATTATTATTATTATTATTACTTTCTGTCAAGGGAACAATAGAAAAAGAATATGAGACCATGTAATTGGTCGAAAGTTTGACAGAAAAAGGCGTCATCAAAACAGCTTGTCAAACCCGGAAGATGTTAGCGGCGTTAAGCGATAGAGATCTTTTTTTATCACAACAATATGATAAATAATCATGTTCTCACCGGTATATCACTGCGGATTTACCATCAAACGTCTCTGATCAAACACCTATTTTTGTGGCTGGATTGTAAACCTTGTGGCAGGTGTAGAAATGTCTAGAAACCCTCGATAGATCACCAAAAGGGTAAACTTTTGAACACTTTTTATCCCATAGAGATACGCTGTATAGTTCCTGAGAAACTGTAAACAATATTAAAAGGTGTCACGTGGGATTGCCGGCGATCCAGCGGAGTTCTGAGTGTTAAAGAAAAGTCTCTTTAATGCTGAACAAAAACTACAGGTTTAGCTCTGAGTTGGTTTGTGTCGGTGTGAATGAGTGAACTCACCGGTGGATGCTGAGATCTCAGACTGAGGGAGGATTTTCCTTTAGGTTCCTTCAAACTACCTGAAAAACACAAATCATCATGAGTTCAAACCTCTCAGGGTCTCTGTCGCAGAAGTCCTCTGACAGGTGGGAGCAAAGTTTCCCACAAAAACAGAGAGATGTTTTATCTTTTGAGGGATCCTGCTCGACAAACATTTAGACTCATCAGGATTTCAGATTTATTTTGGTTACGATGGCTGACAGGTCTGAGCGTTACATAAATCTGCATGTCTCTACGGTTACATGACAGTCAAACCTTCCAGTACGTTAATCACACAAAGACTTTAAAGCCGTTTCAAACTGCTCCGTGCACAAAAATCTGACTGCTCAGACATTTTCATCCGCGTGCGAGTGAGTCATCGAGCGAAATAAAGAAAAACAGCTCAGTGGAAAGACTTCAGAGCCCAAACAGAGATGTTGACGGAGAGAAATCAGGCTGTCAGAGCGTCAGACGGATGATCAACAGGATGTAAGGTCATCACTCTTTCTCCTTCAATTATAAACAATGCAGATATAAAGTGACAAACCAAGACGTCTCTGACACCACATGTTGGAGTGAGCGCAGAGCAGAACAAAATCACGTCTGGAACATTTAATCCTTTAATTTTTGGGGGAGTTTAATTCTCACAGGCGAGGTGCCAGTGCCCCAAATACCCAGAAACCACCTCTGTGTGCGACCCTGAAGGCCGTTCAACAACATGAACCGTTCTCATGAGGATTACAGAGGCTCTGTTCAACATCAGCGAGGAGAAGAAGTGTAGAAGAAGAAATAAACACACGGCAGCGGCTCACCTGCTGGGCTCTGAAACTCCACGTACTGGACCTCCTCCAGACCGGGGAAACAGACCACCACCAGGAACCAGTGAGCCCTGAGAAGAATTACAGAAACGAGGTTAACAGAGACGAACGTTTCTGAATGTTCTCAGGCAGCGCTACATTTAATAAAAGACATAACTCTGGAGTGGAAGTCACCGCATGGTCTCAGTATCACTTCTAAAAACACTGACTGTGAACGCAGTTTGTTGTTTTATCCAACACCTGTAGGATGGACTGAGTCAGAACTGTCCTGGTACGATGGTGAAAATACTCCAGACTTAACTTTATGAAACACGCTGATCACTAATGTTGCTTTGGTCAACGAAATGTCATCATCAACGAACCTTTATCACATGACGAAATGGTGGTCTTGTGACGATAACTATAACTAAATATATAACACAATATTGTTGACGAAGAAAAACAAGACTAAATGTGGTTCACAAAATAAAAACTCTGCTATAATGTCTCGTCATTTTCGATGACTAATACGAGATGAGACGAAATTGTTAAGTCGTGTTGTTGTTGTTTTCTGTTTCCCTGCTCAGACTCAGCAGGCGACGTCACATCCTCAATCCCCTAACTCGTGGTATTTTTTCATGTAGCGGACGAAGAGGTTTTTGACGTGTGTATGTGTAGCCTGTGTCTCACCTAGCCTGTGTGTGTGCCTGTAACGTGTGTCTAGAGCGCGTGTGTAGTTTCTTGAGTCTATAAGGAAACAATAATTTAATAGCAAGATAATCATGTTTGATTTGTGAAATGGGTTTGAGTGAAAGAAAAATTTGGTTTTATCTGTTCTATACTTTACTAGGTAATTATACTATATTAACTGGGTTAAACAGAATTACATTGCTAAAAAGAGACTAAAACTAGATTAAAATGTTATCAGTTTTCATCAACTAAAACTAGACTTAAACAGTCATGGGTCATTCTGACTAAAACTCGACTAAAATGCTCAGAGTTTTAGTCGACTAATTAAAACAGGCCGCCAAAAATAACATGACTGATCACCCCACTGTAGTTTTCCATCTAAACTGAAGTTAACCTTCCTGTTTGTGGTGTGAGTCACTGTCTCTTAAAAGTTCCTAATACTGCTCCTTCGTATCCATTAAAACCCCTCTGGGCTTCAGTGTGAAGGACTGAACTCTTGATTTGTGTTTAAGGGGATCTCAGTGAAACAATGACAGTTAAGAGAGAAGCAGCTGATCTGTTAAAGTCATCGGCAGAAGTCAGAAACGGTGGAGCAGAGGTTGCTCAGCTGGCAGGTAGAGACGCTGATGAAGTGTCTGAATTAAAGTAGAATTACAGGGTTTTGATTCAGGCGGACCAACAGCGGTCCGAACGACAATGTGGCGTCTTTAAATCTGGGACAAAGAGCTGAGGTCATCTCTGACGGGGTTTCGGGTTCGGTCGGTCAACGAGGGGAAAACCTCAGCTCATAAAATCCTCATATCGATTACTGGAAGTGTTTCTTACTCTTGGTTGACAGGCACAAACAGGAAGTCTTTGGCGAAAATGTCGACATGGCGAGTCCACGTCTTTACCCTGTGATGCCTCATGCGTCGATCCCTGAAAGAAAGATACGAAAAAATGAAAATTTGATCATTAAACCGAAAAGATGAGGCATAAAAATCTGTTGCATGAGTGAAACATATCCTCTAAATCAGTGGTTCTCAAGTCCAGTCCTCGAGGCCCCCTGTCCTACATGTTTTGGATGTTTCCCTGCTCCAACACACCTGATTCAAATGATCAGCTCGTTATCAAGCTCTGTACTGGCTTACTAACGAGCTGATCATTTGAATCAGGTGTGTGCTCTAAATCATGATTATTTCATGTTTATACTGAACGCAGTGAATAAATTTGTAACTTTCTGTAACCTGATCAGACAGTTTGATAAAAACAAGAGTCTTTTTCTCTGTTAAAGCTGGTTTTAGTCTCTTCATTTTATATTTCCAAGGAAATAAGGAAGGAAATCGCAATCATACAATCAAACAAAAACAACAAGCAAATTAAAAACTTTAATTCAAGTCAAAACTTCTGATTCTAAGTCCCAAAAAGACGGATTCTTTATCGACACTTCTGTCTGATTCGTCTTCTTACGGTATCGACGGGGTGTCCTCCTCTCCGGCGGCTCTTCGGCGACTCAGCTGTTTAAAGAAGAAGCTGCTAAAGACGTGACTCCGCTCAGCAACTGAGCCCCCGACTCCCTCCAGGAGGAGATACCTGCAGAGGAGGAGGAGGAACATTTCATGAACACCATGGTCTTCAGATATTTACTTCTTTTTCCAACATTTCCATGAACTTCTTTGTGTTTTTAAACCTTGCACAACTTTTTTTTTAGCATTTTGTTTTTCCAACAAATGAAAAAGAGCATCTGTTTTTCCTAAACCCCCCAAATTCACAGCGTACTTACTCAAATATAAAAGTGTGTCGTCTACATATCGTGACACATTTTTCAGAAGCACTGAAAACTACATGCTGATGCTTCAAACTGTGGCTAAAACCATTTAAAGTAGTCAAGACGTTCTTACTTGAGGTAGAAATCGATAATCACATCATTGAGAAACTCTCCGCTGGCCAAACAGGCCAGGTCCTCCTTCGACACGCTTATCCGGCCTTTACAAGGCGCCGCCGGATATTGAATCAACCTGGAGGCCAGAAACAGGGTTCAATTAGACACATCTGACCAAATAAAGCTTAAGCTGCTGGTTTGCCGCTGTTAGACGTCTAATCTGGTTCTGCGGGGTTCACCTGGAGGAGACAGAGGAGTTCAGTCCGAGTTTGTTGCTCCTCTGGTTGCTTTTCGTCTGACTGGATTTCTCCTGAGAGGATGAGACGGGGAGGATTTTTAAGGAACAACGGCGGAAAAGTAGGAGGAGAGGGCGGATATTAGAGGGGTCTTACTGCAGAGTGTCCAAGCAGACCAAGGAGGTGCTGGTCCAGAGGAGGAGGACAGCTGTGGAGGAGCAAGAGCCCGTCCGTCCACTCTAACGGGGAGGAGGAACAACCTGAGGAAGAGGAGGAGTATCCTCTCCGGTACTCCTCCATGTCCAGGATGGAGGCGAGTAAGGCCGCCTTGAGCTCCTGCAGCTGCTCCTTCAACACCAGCAGGAGGAAGGAACATGGAGGACCTGAAGGAAACAAGTAAACGGATAAACCAGGTTACTTTTACCGCTTTTTTAATTATCGGGACAGAACCTCTTTGATTTGACTGGGCTCTGCTTGTTCACTGGCCCACTCTGACCAGTTTTCCCAGTTCAAACAAACCAGAAACACCAAAGTGCCTCTGTCCCCTCTCCTAGCTTCAACCCTGACGTCTTTCCACCCTCAGGACTCTTTGGCAGCCTTTACTCTTTTCCCATTTGGATGATTTCATTACCAAAATTAATCCACGCATCCGAACACAACATCCACCTTTTAAACTCCTCCTGATTGGCTGTAGCTGCCGGAGGAGCAGCCTGATTGGCTGTTTGGTCACCACCCAGAGCTGGAGGCTTTCAGGAGTTGTCAAAAGTTAATTTTCCGTGAAGCTTCACAGCTCCAGTCGAGCTTTCATTCAGAAAATCCTGGTTTTTGTTCTGCAGAGTAAACGCTGCTGCAGAGATGGTGTTCTTCGAGAGGAGGTGTCACTCCTGATTAAAAAAAAACGAACAGCTCTTCACCTGTAAGAATACCTGGAAGTCGATCTGTACTTCCAGGCACTGCACTTTTTCACGTTTCGTAATCTTAGGTGGAGTCGCGTTGCAGGCACTAACGGCTTTCTAATTCTGGATGACATTTACGGTTCACAGAAAACGCTCCAGAGTGAGAGCTCTGTGTGTTTTTTTCCAGCTCTCTCCAAAATAAACCGTGTGGAAACAGTGTGAAAATGGAAAGTTGCACAAAGTTTCGCTGACTCCGCCAACATATTACTTAAATGTTTATACAACGGAGCGTGCGGGGCAAACACAGCTGCTTGTTTAGCGCATGTGATCATGAAGTGGAGAGAAATAAGGCAGAAAAGTGGAAAAAGATGCTTGTTCTGACAGAAACTGAAGTGAACTCCGTTGTGAAACAGGATGAACATCAGGCTGAAGAGTTAAAAATGATGATTGAGACCATCGACTCATTTGAAGGAGAGAGGTAGGACCAATTTCTCAGACTGGTTTTCGCCCCCTGCTGGTCATCACTCGCCGCTGCCGTTACCTGGTGCGCCGTTGGAGGTCTGGATGATGGACAGTTCCGTCTGCAGCAGCCTGGCCTGAGATTCCGTCACCCACAGGAAGAGAAGCGAGGGGGCAGGACCTTCCCAGCCAGCTAGCAAGGTCCCGCCTCTGGCCACGCCCCCGTCCCAAACACCATAACCTCGAACCTGCGACGCCACAACAGTGACCTCCACCTCCTCCTCTCCTGACATAGACAAAAAACAGAGATTTAATAGCATGCCCAAACTCTGTTTTCCAATATTACATTTTTTTTTAGGAAATAAGATTATTGGCTCTGTTTAAATATTATCCAATCAAACGTAAGAAAAAACCCCAAAGCCTTAAAATAATAGTGTCTATATTCTTCAGCTGTGTATGTGTCCAAGCTGTCTTTGGCTTCAGTGGCAAAAAAATCACAAATTCAGCCTCAGCAGCCCCTCAGTTCCTAACCTCATTATAAATGCAGTGATCTAAGTGGGCGGGGCTGCTATGATAATGAGACACTGTGCCGATTGGCTGCTGAAAGTTGACTGAGGAGGGCTTTTGCTGCATTTAAGTTACCTTGGAAGTCAGATGTCGGGGCTAAAAATGAGTTACCGCGTTTCAGTTACCAAGTCGGAAGAAAAAGCAAAATCGGAGGCGGAAACAAGATGGCTACATCTACGAAAGTTATTTTAGCGCTTGCCTTGTCTGAATAGAACAAGGACAAGGCTAGCCCTAAGGAAACTTTCGTAAATGTAGCCATCTTGTTTCAGGCCTCTGATTTTGCTTTTTTTCCGACTTTGTAACTGAAACGTTGGGAACTCAGGTATGACGTCATTTTCAGCTCCGACATCTGACTTCCAAGGTAACTCGAACACAGCATTCGTGTTGCAACACAAAGTTGTGTTCCCACTAAACCGCCGTTTTGTTGAGTTCTTATTCGACATGTTGAAATAAAAATATCAAGAACTCAAAAATAAAGTTGTTGTTACCTTTCAGAGGGAGAATGATGCAGTTTTCAGTGATCTGCACAGAAAAACGAGATACAACATGACATTTTAGTGAAAAATTAGATAGTTTAAAGAGATAAACTCCGTTAAAATGTAAATTATTCAATGGTTTCTCAGTTTTAACCCCACAGACAGAAAACGAACGATGGCAGTAAAGGGATGATGAGGCGAAAATCTCGTCTTCACCCTCTGGCGTCTGTCGTGAGTTAAACCTAAACACTCACAAATAAACACCCGTCTTCCTGTTTGTGGACTCTGTCAGCTTCTCTCTGTGCGGTTTGGCGACATGCTGACCCACTAACCTCCTCCTGCTTTTTTACGGCGCTCTAATTGGAGGCGGCGCTGCGCCATCAGACCGCACGCTGCGTCTTAAACACTCCTACACGACTGAAACCTGCGCCGTTAACAGCCTCCGCGGGACGATTGCTTTTTTACTTAAGGCCGTAAAACGCTCGCAAAAAAAAAAACCTCTGACTCCGCAGAAGGAGGGGGGTGAGAGGGCTCTCTGGGGCCGTTACCGTGACGACGCTTCAGTGTGATGATGCTCGAGTGAGTTCAGGTGTTTTCCAAACCCGAGGCCATCCAAAGTTTTGGGTCAAAGTCGGCTCCTGTTCACAATTTTCTTTTTTTTTTTTCCTATGATGTGAACACACACACACACAATACACACACACACACACACACACAAGTAATGTATGCAGTGTACACAAACACACACTAACAATAAAATAAACAGAGGTGAACCGGAGCGCTCCAGGTCCTCTGGAAAACACATGTGAGCGTTTAAAGTTCAGTGAGAGAAACAAACAAACAGATATGGGTCAATGTAATTAGTCTACTGTTTACATGCAGTATAAATATACGTGTGTGTGTGTGTGTGTGTGTGTGTGTGTGTGTGAGGGCTGGAAAAGGACACGGAAAAAGAGAAGCTCAGTAAAAGTTTAAAAGTTGTCCAGGAACCCTTCAAATTCCCACAGCAGCCGACTGACAGTGAACACACCGCCGCTGACAGAGTTTAGACAGAGTCGACACACACGCGTCAAACAGCGCACACGTGTGTGTACGCAACCTACACACATGAATAATAAACACCCACAGAGGAGTCTTTGTTTTGTTTTTCTCATGTTTATAAACCGAATCAGAGTCCGGGTTTGAGAGACGGTCCGGACTCACCAGCAGCTCCCCGTTGGCGTGTGCGTGCGTCAGGCCGGCGTGCAGCGAGCTGAACTCCAGCTGCAGGAAGGAAGGAGGCGGGGACTCGTCAGTTTGTCCTCTGGAAGAAGAAGCCTGATGAACCTGTCAGGCAACAAGCAGGGACACAGTAAGGAAATAAAGCAAACCTCGACCTTGAACACATCCTAATATCCTGAGCGAACTCGCCTCCGTCCTGCTGAGATGTAAAAATAAAAACTTTAAATCGACTTTTGATGATTGTTTTTGCACCAACATTATGTCATGGTCCTGGGAGACGATGACGCAGCAGTATGGATAAACTCAAACCTCAACAGAACCGTGTTTCCAGTGCCCTCCATTAACCTCCCCGCTGCGCCGCCACCTTAGCAGCACTGAGACGACAGTGTGAATGTGATTTTTATCTTTTCAAAATAAAAGCTGCTTAAATCAAACTTTTGTCTAAATGTACCAACAGGACGAAGCTGGTTCGGTTTAAATCTGCAGCTGCTCCAACATCAACAATAACAAACAGTCTGCAGCCTGTTCAGACTGTTTACAGACCTGAGAACATCCAAACTACACCTGCGTAACCCACTTCGACCTGAAACCTGCAGAACAGCCCAGAACCAGGTCAGACAGAGAACACGCTGCACTCAAGTGACTCCCCCTCACCTTTTTCTCTTTCTGTTTCTGCTCAGAGTTCGCCAGACGAGACTCCGCCGCGTCTCTGCTGCTCTGTGGCGTCCTCTGATCTCCGTTTCCTTCGTCCTCTGCCTCCCCTTCATCTTCACTCGACAGCACAACTGAGGAAAAATATAAAACATCTTTTAAACCTGTTCTCACAGATATAAAATCACTCAGGAGCCTCAGAGATAATCACTAAATAAATTACTTTTTTTCCATTCATCCACAACCACTAAATTTTAATTCACATTTCCAGGAATAAAAAGACTAAACATAGGTCTAAAAGCTGAAAATCCTGACAGTTCCTCTGTCTCTTTAAACGTCAGTTTTTCTCACTCGGTTCTGTCGGATTCTGTTTTTTCTCTTTCTTCTGTCGAGGCAGCAGGATGCTCGTTCTGCTCGTCCTCTTCCTGTCTCTGAACTCGAGCCACTTCATCCTCTCCCTCTCCCTCAGGTCTTTCAGCTGGGTGCTGCCACCGCCAGTGGGCCCCGGCGTCCGGTCCAGACCCGACGTACTGGTGGAGATGGAGGGTCTGACTGGATCTTTGCGCTGAGGCTTTTCAGCCGAGAGTTTGACTCTGGACGGAGACAGAAAATCGTCCTCGGAGGAGTTTCTCTCTGAAGAGTCGCTCTGAAACAAACATTCAAAACAAACGGGAGGAGGAGAGAGCTGTCAATCATCTGATGTCTGACCAATAACAAAACCGAAACGTTCAATCCTGATCAGATTAACGACCTCTGACCTCTACCTTTCTCTCAGCAGAGTCTCCACTCATCTCCCCTCTCTTCCATGGCAGAGAACTCAAACTCCCAGCAGGCCTCTGTGCTCGCAGCTGTGCCAAAGAGTCCACAGACTTCACAGAGATGCGTTTAGACGGAGGAGGTGAAGCTGGAGGATAAAAAGAGTAGATCGATATTTCAACACTGAGACGGTAAATACTTGTAAGGGTCGAAACTTCATCTTTTTTATGTGTATTCACTAAAATTCAGAATCACAACACAACTTCATGACTAAACTCTAAACATATCAAAACTTTCACCTCTGGAGTCACTTTTCTTCTTCTCTGGTGGGGACAGAGGATCTGAGGTGTCAGCAGGCTCAAGCAGACGGTCTGACGCTCTCTTAGGACGCCACCTAGTGGAGAAAACACGGAGGAGCACTTAACTGTGTTCAATAAGAGCTCCAATTACATCTTCTCACAGCTGTTAAAACACTAAATCTTTGTACCAAATGATCAGCAGGTTGAGTTTATTTATTTAACTGATCAGTCTTTAAGTTTAGTTTTAGTTTCTGTCTGCAAAAGTTTTCATTCTTTTGAAAAAACAAACAGCTTTTACGTATTTGATCCTTTTTCTGTGACTTTTCTGTTTTGACTTTGACTGCTGTGTGTACGACATAAAACAGAGTCAGAGTTAAACTCACCCGTTTGTTAAACCAGCAGAAGACGACCCTGCTCCTTGTCCAGGCTGTGATTTGCTGCCCCCGCTCTGCGTTGCTTTCTGATTGGCTGTTGAGGATCCTCTGTCTGGATTGTTGATTCCCAGCATTATTTTGACGACCTCCCTGAAGGATTGCTCACGTGGATTTCTGACAAAGAGACAACACCAGTAAGACCCTTTCTAGATCGGATTTATTTAATGATATAAAAGAACTCTTTAGTCTGTAGGAGGCGCTTAACAAACCTTAAACTGCTCTCTTGGGTTTTGGGTGCTCTGTAAGCTCCACCTTGGTTTGACTGATCCCCGTGATTCTGTTCAGAAGGAACTGACATTTAAAAACTGAGGATGCAGACTGAAACAGCTTTTTTAATAACAAACATCTTAAATCTGTTTTTGTTTCCCTTGGATACAAACATCACCTATAAGAAAAAAGATGGTGTGATCATGTCAGTACTGGCTGATTGAGAGCAGCTGTGCCTCCTTCAATCAGTCAGGACATTCTCTGTCAGGGACTAAACATGATCACTTTCTCAGTGTGTGTGTGATTTAACCAGGAAAACAACCTTGATTTGATAGGCAGGGTTCTGGAGACGGGACAAAGGTGAATGCATGAACAGGGGGGCAGAGTCCGAACCTGCCGACTGTTTCTTCTTTGGGATTTTGAAGGAAGACGCCATGCTGAAAACAGGAAAACAGAAATACCATTATTTACAAAACAAACATTTGACATCTGCTGAGACAGTCCAACAGGGACACCAAACCAAACATCATATTTAAGATACGGATCTCTAAAGTTTGAACTCAAACACTCAGAACCATTTTGTCATCATTAACAAGCATGACATTTTTTAAGTCTGTAACATTTAATTTAGTGAAAAATCACGAGAAAATGTCACAGTAATTAAGGTTTTAATAACAAAGGCTTCACTTGTCTAAAAAATGAAGATTCTCTGTCTTTCTCTGCTTTAAATTTACCAGGTAAAACGCTGCCTCGACAAGTGGAATACAATCGCAATAAATATGGAGATTTCAGTAAACTGATCTATAATAGTCAAACCATTTCAATGCCGAATTATACCTAATACAGTCCTTATAGCGATTATTTGTCTGGAGTGTTTTATATATAAATATGAAGAGCATAACCTAAAATAGTGACATTTCATAAAGAGATCCGCTAAAGCGCTGCCTCGACAAAGCATATTAGCAATAAACATGGAGATTTCAGTAAACTGATCAATAATAGTCCAACCTTTTTAATGCCGAATTATACCTAATATATAGTTGAGTCAATCCATATAGTTATTAAAGGTCAAGAGATTTTTATATATAAATATGAAGAGCATAACCTAAAATCGTGACATTTCATAAAGAGCACAGCTGAAATGCTGCCTCGACAAAACGTATTAGCAATAAACATGGAGATTTCAGTAAACTGATCAATAAAAGTCAAACCATTTCAATGCCGAATTATACCTAATACATTGCTGACTTAGTCCATATACTGATTAATTGTCTAGAGTGAATTTATATATAAAAATAAAGAGCATGACCTAAAATTGTAGAATTTCTTCAAGAGCTCAGCTAAAACGCTGCCTCGGCAAAGCGTATTGGCAATTAACATGGAGATTTTGGTAAACTGATCAATAACAGTCAGAGCATTTCAATACCGAATTATACCCAATACATTTCTGACTTTGCCCATAGAATGAATAATTATCTAGAATTTTATATATATATAAATATGAAGAGCATATCCTGAAATTGTGGCATTTCATAAAGAGCTTCGCAAATGCGCTGCCTCGACAAAACGTATTAGCAACACAGAGATTTCAGTAAAATGATCAATAATAGTCACAGCATTACAATGCCGAATTATATCTAATACATTGCTGACTAAGTCCATATAGTGACTTATTGTCCAGAATTTTTTATATATGAATATGAAGAGCATAACCTAAAATTGTGATATTTCATTACAAGGTTCCGAGTAAGGTTGCTGCTTAACTTGCAGCTGTAGCTCACACCGCTGAACTGTGGCCTCAAGAAAAGCACACACACTCTTATTATCTCGTTTCTAGGCGCGTAAACAACACAGAATCTGTTTCATGTTGCTAAATAAAAAATTAAAGCTGCTTTTATACTTGAAATGTACAAACCTAATGTCAGCTGCAGGAGTCAGCCAGGCTGCTAAGTCTCGAGCTAACCAGCTAACAGAAAGCTAGTTTAGCTGCTGCACAACTTCCTGTCGGTGTTAAGAGTCGGTGATAACCCCAGCCAGTTTACGAGGACCAGAATGAGACTATAGATACGAAAGAAAACAGTTTTAAGAGTGCATTTCTGTCAGCTGCCGGTGTTTCGGTTTCACTGGTGTTAACTGATAACACTAATTCTTCTTCTTCAATGCAGTTTATTGGCGGTTGGAAAACCAACACGAAGATGCATTACCGCCATCTACTGGACTGGAGTGTGGGACAGGAGATTGGCAGACAAAAAAAAAAAAAAAAGAAAAAAGGAAATTCGATCCTCTCCATTAACCCTGTATCTGTCAAATATGCCATTAAATGCTTGAGCATAACTTCTGACTCTGACTCTCCTCATATCCTCCACAATCCAACAACACATGCTGGACAGTTTCAACCTGCCTACATTGATCACATTTTGGCATTGGGGTGTTTTCCTAATGGCATTGATATGTATTTTGTAGTGTGGAATGATGGAATACACTTTTCCCCTCATTTATGTTGAAGCTCATTTAAAACTTTGCAATTTCACTTAAAAAAGAGCAGAAACTTGACAAACATTGTAAACAATATCCATTTATTTATGTATTTAGATATGTCCAGACATATTCTGATATACTGTCGTTTTATTCGTATCAGCACAAAGGAGACATAATCTGACACAGACACATAACATTTAAAGGGAACTCAGATTGAACAGTTTAACGGCCCTCTGACTAAAAACATCTTTATTATTTCATATCATAAATATTTGATTTACAGGTCTGAGTCACTGAAGCTGCTTTATTCCCTTCCCATGTACCCAAACAAATACCACATATTCACACACAGTCGGAGAAACTGTGCCGGAAACTGACGCAAAGCAGAGAAGCAAAATCACTCACAGTGCGTTGGTGTGGATTATGGCACATAATTATCCTATTTCATGTCGATTTAATCTCAAATTAATAACACTAAAGATATCATTTTATATACAACAACATGTGTTTTAATCCAAAAATAAATAACGTATCATGGAGGTATGAGGTTCTTTTTTTTTAAGCAGACAATAAACTCTGATAAATACTAAATATGCTGTTTATACAGACATGTTAAATCTGACAGACATGTTGATATTTCTCTGTTAAGGCATGAAATGAGCAACGAGGTAACAGCTATCTACTGCATCGCTTCATCATAGTTGCAATAAAAAGAGGAGACATACACATGTGTACACACACACACACACAGAACAACAGCAGAGGACGTCTTTAGTAAATGTGTGTTTTTGCTGAAGTGCTATTTTAGATCACTGAAACACAAGATTAAGATAAAGATACAGTCTTTGGTCACTAATAAAATACTCTGTCAAGACGCTGAGCAGCACAGATGTATGAGAGTAAATGGATTTACCGTAAGTTTGAGAATATGAGGTCATTAAAAATGTGCACCGAGAAACTCAAAGGTAGTGTCAGTACTTTCTCTCCTTCGTGATTGGATTTAGCAGCCAGAGTAAGACCAGTTAACTTGTCAAATTGACTTTTCTGTTTAATTTATATCAAGAATAAAAAGAAATAAACTCTGTGAGGAGTAAATTTGACTTTACACCAACCCTTACAATAATCTTCTTTAATATAAAATATCTTATTTTTGCTGATTTACCCTCTTATGTTTAGAATGGCTCTTCATATAGCTTTAATATTTGCAATTTTTTTTTACACTTTAAAGCATTTCTTTTTAAATAAATGTCAGCTTTCTTTAGATTTAACTTTAAAAAGTTTTAAATTGGAGGATTTTTTAATACTTTTTCCAACATGAGACGTAGGTAAAAAATAAATCTTTCATCTCAGGGAGGAATAAATCGAGTTACTTCACTTTTCCATAATGAGAGCTAAGGTAGACTGCTGCTGTAAGATACATTCAACCCCTCATGTGACATTATAAGAGACATACAGAGAAAGAAGGGGATAAAGAGGATGGTAAAGTTTGAGAGGAAAAAAGGGACTGAGAGCAGCTAAACAAAGTCTGCAGGGGTTAGTTTGCAAAAAAAGCCACATTTCTCTGTCTGTACATTCCCTTTCTCTCAAGCCTCGTACTTTCAGATTGTCTAAACGTACGTTTTCTGTTTTAGCTCTTAAGTATTTAGAGATTTGTGCGACACAGCTTCCCTGTTTTCTGTAACTTGCAGATTTTTCTCTGGGGTTTGGTTTGGGCTACAGAAAGATGAATATAATACACCTGACTCCCTCCTCAAACGTGAGACTCATCCAGGTCCAGGTCCACAGGAGACAGAGGAAGAGGGGATCTGCGTGGCGACCTGCGGGGTGAGGGAGAGAGCAGCGGGGTGAGGAGGGGGTTCTCTGTGCCCTCGTCGTCGCTGAGCTGCAGCAGAGTGTCGCTGCGGGGAAGCAGAGCCGTCGTGTCTTCGTCTCCGGGGCTTTCTCTGATTCTGGACGGCCCTGGCGGAGGGGGAGGCAGGAGAGGGGCCGGCGGGAGGGGAGGCGGCGGAGGAGGACCCGGGGCTGGGGCTGTGCTGAGTACGGGGAGCGGAGGAGGGAGCGGGGAGGAGGTGCGGGAGAGGGGGAGAGGAGAGCAGGTTCGGGAGAGGGGGAGAGGGGAGCAGGTTCGAGATGGGGGTGTCGGGGTGGAGGGTCGGGAGATGGAAGGGGGAGGAGAGAGGCTGCTGCGGAGCCCCCACTGCTCCCGCTTCTCCTTGCTGCTGATGGCTGGAGGAACCTGGGACACAGAATTCAGTTTTTACAGCTTCAACCTCCATAATTAGACATCAGATAATGAACTCTTACTCCGTTAAAGGTGAGGTAGGCAGGAATCTGATTGTAAACAAAGCCATTTTCCACCTCCCCAACCTGATTGGTTGTGAAGCAGACGCTGCTCCCTCGTGTTGTGAGGCACGCTCCATGTCCACGAGCCCAAACAAAGTTAGCGTGCTACAACATCAAACAGTAGAAACCAACCAGAAAATACGGAAAACACAAGCAATAAAACTAAGTAAATACCGGAGACTGGCGGAAAGACAGGGCACTTAAAAAGCCGATAAAAATGTCAACTGGTTTACTGGTGAAGACCAAAATGTCCCACTAGCTAGCATACTAGCGAAGGCGTTTTGATCTTAGCTAGTAAGAATTTCAAACCGTGCTACCTCACTAGTATCAGCAAAAGGCAAACAGGTAACACTAGTGGGTGTTTTTTTCACCTTACTTATTAGCTAGTAGGGTTTAAAATATTAACTAGTTGTACTCGTTAAAGCTAAAATGTCATTTAGAGATATGATTGGACACAATTTTAACATAACTGACTATAAGCCTACAAAAATGTCAACTAGTTTGAAATGTCCTTTAGTTACACCAGCTAGCATACAGTGACACTAGCAAAGACATTTAGATCTTAACTAGTAGGAATTTCAAACCGCGCTAGCTCACTAGCATTAGCTAAAAGCAAACAGGTAACACAAGCAAGTGTTTTTTTTGCCTCACTTGTTAACTAGTAGAGTTCAGAGGTAGACCGGACAATAGCTAAGAAGCCGGGTCAACATCTGCATAAACAATGGGGGTTGCTTAGCAATCTTACGGACCCTGTAACCGAAGTGTTTCTTGTCAAACGGGACCTGCTTCTTGTTGTAACGCCGCCAAACTGTTCATCTGGTCCTGGACTATGTCACTTTATCCTCGTGGTGGAAGTCCTGCAAACATTGTGCTGGTAATACTTTTACTATAACGTTGACTGGGCCCCATTTGTAATTATCTGAAGTATTTATCTGCATTATATCTGAATTTAATTGAAACGATACGAGCGAGCAGGAGCGTCTGTTTGTGGGCGGGGCTTGCTGGAGCAGAGAGGAGGAGCTGAGGGGAAAACTGGTTGGGAGCGGTAGAGTTTACATTCAAGATTTCTCCTAAAAACTGGCACTTCCTCAGATCCTGCCTACCCCACCTTTAAATAAGGAGAATTTTGATGGTTTTGAATGGTAAGGACTCTTCTACTACTGAGCCCCAAACTCTACCTGTGGGTTGGTGTGGCTGTGCAGATCTGCAGTGACAGTAGCAGACGAGACAGACGTCGGCACCTCCAGAGTCGGGGACTTTGACAGAGCAGGACTGTCCTTCCTGCCCTCAGCTGGAGGCTCCACCGTGCTCGGGGTTGGGGGCTTGCCGGCCCCTGCAGACGACGCCTGCTGACCTTGACTCTCTGTAAACGTCACTGACCTCTTTTGGTCTCCGTGCGCTGTGGGGAGCAAACAAGCAACGCACACACGGTCAAAACAAAACAGAGCGGAGCTTCGAGGATATGCGACTCGCTGACTCGTAGCACCACCAAAGAGAGTGGAGGCAGGGGGAGGAGGGGACAGGAGGGGGAGGCAGGGGGGGAGGGAGGGGTTGCAAGACAGACATGCAGAGCGCCCTACTGGGGGTGAGGTTGCAGAGAAAAAGGGGGGTGGGCCGTTGCAGGGTGGAGAGGAAGGGGTACGAGTACATGTCTCACCTTCACAGTCCAATAAAGTTTCTTTATTTTGAAACAAAAGGCATGAGACAGAACAGAGTGAGAAGAGTCAGTCCGGTGACAGGTGAATCAACAAACAGCATTGGAACAAAGACAGAGGGGAGAGGGGAGGACGGGTCACTTCAAGTCAGCACACACACTTCAAACATCGAAACACCAGAAACATCTCCATTTGGACCGCTGTGTGTCTGATCTGAAGTCTGGGGAGATTCACTGATTCACTCCACCCTTCCGATTATTTTAAAACTGTTTTTATCACTTTTTTTTAAACACACAGATGAAGGTGTTCGAGTTTTACCCAGAGGTTTGTTTTTGGGCTGGATGCTCCTGCGGGTTGTGGAGAGTCTGGCTCCAGATCGACCGCGCGGTTCAGTCTTAGGGATGGACAGCAGAGGGCGCCGCAGCTGCAGGAAGGAGTAAAACATGAGTTGAAAATCGGCAACTGTCTATGATCTTTTAAAGGGATATTCTGGCGTAAAATTAAGGAAATTGGGAACCACTAGAGAAGCAAGCGGTCGGCAACATTCATCTCTTGACGGGGTGTCAAACTCGGTTAATTTTACGCCGGAATATCCCTTTAAAGCTTATCCTGAGGTCCTCACCTGTCTGAGTCCTCGCTTCCTTCCTAACGGAGGCTGGATCAGGAGGTTCTGCTGGCCCGGTTCACTCTGCACGCTGGCGACCCTGATTCAACCAATCACATAAACACACACAGAAGAAAACGCCACAGTTAAACAAAACGATGTCCGAGTGTATCCTCAGATGTGCTCCTCTACTCGCCACACTTGTTTTTTTTTTGTTTTTTTTTCTGCTGCTAATCTACCAAAATCACTCACTACACGACACACACAGTATGTTACAAGACAGCCAATCACAGTGCAGGAAAAACAGTGCCGCCATGATTTGTACACTGAAAACACAACAGGGGGGCAGCAGGGGCTGGAGCAGCAACTCTGAGGGGAGAAAACTAGAAAAATTGTCGTTTTTATTTTAAATTCCCTGATTTCAGATCCAAACGTGACTGAGCAGATTAGTTCAGAAAAAGGTGAATTAGACAGAGAGGTAAAGTTGCCACTCCAGTTCCCCCTTGCCCCTACAGATTGGTATCCAAAGTAGGACGCCCAATTTGATCAGCGAGAAGCCTGAGAGACACGTAAACAGTATGAAACACCATGGCGACCGATGGGAGAGAGGCTGACTTTGGTGATGGCACATCAACTCTGAAAGACCCACAGAGGAGAAACAGAGGCAGGCCCTGGGACTTAGGGAGGAGGGGGCCCTCTTTTTTTATCAATGTGGGGAGGAGGAGGAGGAGGAGGGGGCCTGGTTAGGATAGCGCAGCAGATGAGCTGAGGAGATGAGGGTCAGTGTGGAGCTCAAAGGGGGGAAAAGGGGGATAGAAACAGGCACCCACACAGAAAGAGGAAGAGACAGAGAAGTGGTGGTGGGGGGGAAGAAGTGACGGGGGGGGGGGGAGGTGTGGCCGTTTTGAGGCGATTTGATTGGATGTGGATGAGTGATCAACGAGGAGGCAGCCATCAGAAGAGGCCGTCCCAAGGCGATGCCCCTCCCGGACAGATGCAAGAAACGCACCAATGGGACACAGAGAGAGAGAGGCCCACTGTACCTAGAGAGGTTACCCTCCTGCAGAAGGCCCTGGGACTCATCTAGCACATTGGGTTCACTGTAAAAAGGGGGAGGGGGGGGGGGGGGCGGAGGGGGGAGAAGGGGGGGTGGGAGGTGGGGGGTGGGGTTAGGGAGTGTAGTTGAGATCCAGCAAACGCCCCCCGAGATAGAGAGAGAGAGAGAGAGCGGGGCGAGGGAGGATCAACAGCTTCATTCTTCCCAAGATCACAGAGAGTTAGCTACTTCTTCACAAACGCTGCTCTGAGACTGCCGAGTAAAAACAGTTTCAATCAACAGAGATATACAGACAAAGATGGCCGTGGTCGTGGGATATGATTGGTCGGTTGATCTTTTTTTTCCAAATGTTACTTAAATACATGTACGATAAACACGATTAGAAACCTCGGACTGTGTGTACGAAGTGGATCCAGCCTCCAAAAATGAAGAAAAAAAATCACTAAAATCTGCAATTTTACTTGTGACCAGCAGAGGGCGACCTACCTCCTAATTCTGAGATGAGTGTTTATGAGTAACTGAAGCCGTTTTCAAATTCGCCTACTATACTAGCAGTATGTACTGATTCAGCCAATATTTAGTATGCTGTCGGCGAATAAATGCGAAATTTGCAGTATGCCAAAAATTCCCGGATGATGTACTATTTCGGGAGAATTTCACAGTATGCATCAGACCAGTCTGCTTCGCCTACTGTTACTCACAATGCAAAGTGCCTAGGCAGACGCCATCACTTAACACGTTTAGCAAGAATCGCAACTTCTTTCATTTAAGCGGAACGAGGACAACATAACCGACATCATAACTTTGCTGTAATTACAGCGCCGTGATGAGAATCAAATGCTGCCAGATCGACGAGTCCTTGCATAGACAGAACAAGTTTTGATGTCTGGTACTGGGCTAAAAAATCCCGCAAAATTCAAATAAAAACACATAGAAGATTTTTATTCAGTGCGTAATGGACAACTCTGTAGTGTTGTTGCAATTTACCAGGGTACGATGTACTTTTCCATACCGGAAATCAGCTAAACCGGGCAAAGCGTACTACAGAATAACAGCCGACTTGTGGTTGTACTGCATACTACTTTCAAACACAGTACTCAGTATGTAGTATGTACTACACATAGACTGTATATATATAATTTCTATAGTTTGTCCACATCTCCATAAGCATGACCTATACTGCAGCCCGTCACCAGAGGGTGCTGTTCTCGGCGTGGCTTCACCCAGCGAGGAGGCAGATGGCGTCCATTCTAGATACAGTCTGTGGTACTACATACTGCGTTCGGCAGGAGTATGCAGTAGGCCAATTCGAAAACGGCTCAAGTCTTGTTTTATGTGATTAAATCAGTCAAAACTTCTCTCACTGTCGTCCTGAAATGCTGGTCATATGTTGTGTCTGAGCTGTAATGCAGCCATCTGCCACTAGAGGGAGCCGTAGCTCCAGTTACTGTTATACTGCATCATTGATCTACACTGCTAACATTAGCCACGCTCTCCGAATAAAATCTTATGGGTGCATCTGGACCGTCACCTGTGGCTGGGCAGCATTGTGCTGCGGGGCGGCTCGGGCTGCGAGGCGGCCGAGCCCGTGGCGTGGCTAGAGAAGCGGCGCTGTGAGATGACTCTGGGCAGGAAGGCCTCGTGTTCGCTGACCACGCTGGGGATGCTCATGGAGTCATCTAGAGAAGGGAGAGAGAGGAAGGCGGAGAGTTTAAATGAAGTTTCTTTAAGAGTAAAAAAAAAGAAGTGGAGGTGGTTTCAGAGCGTTTCTGACTCTCTTCATCGTCCTCGTCTGTGCGGCTGAGTGTATCCTGCGACGGCTGGCGAGACGGTTGGCTGTCCTGCTCCCAAACCGTGCCGGTTCCCGTGTTGGAGCGCGACATTGTGGCCAAACTGAGGCGATACGCTGACGTCGAAGTTCCCACGGTGCTGATGGACGTCTTGCCCTGATAGGCTGTTGAACACGAATGAAGATAATCGAATTTAGAGCGAGCGGGAAGAAGATCAGACAAAGATCTAAAAATGTGAGTTTGTGTTACCTGAGCCGCTGTGCACGGCCTCCTTCAGGATCTTGAGCTCGTTGTTAAACTCTGCGAATAGCGAGCTCTTGCAGAGAGGCCGCGGGATGAATCGTCGCTCCAGCTGGTCGGCGATGTGATGGCGAGCTGTGATCTCCTCCTGGGAGTCTGCGGGCTGAGTCAGCAGCTACAGAAAAACGATCAAAATGAATCACTGAGGAAAGAACTCAAAGTGAACGAAAACACCTGAGGGGAGAGTAGTCTACCTTGCACTGAATGAAAGGTCGCAAGAGGACGAAGATGGGGATACGAGTTCTGACGATGAAGTCGATGAAGTCCCAGAAGGCGAGGCCGCCCACCTTCCTCAGAGCCATCTCCTTCACCTGGAGGCTCAGCCGGTACCACTGGTTCCCTAGCGAGCGCTCGAAGCACACCAGCACCACCTTCAGAGCTGCAGGGAGAAGAGGATGAGAAGGTTGAAGCAGCGGGAAGGAAGGAGTAGAAAAGGACACCTCTTGTCATTCATACCCAGATACGCCGCCTGGCTGGTGGACTCGGCTAACCCCTCCCTGCGCAGATCCTTCCCGGTGTCGCCGGGGGTGGAGCAGTGAGCCGGGGAGGCGTCCAGCATGAAGTTCTTGGTGCGGGACGTGGAGATGATTCGAGGAGGCAGGAGGATGTTGATGACCGTCTGGAGGAGGAGGAAGATCTCAGGCTGCTCCAGGTGAGGGCTGTCTGCAGAGACAGAGGGCGCGAAAAATCAAGCTCAGAAGACTTTTAGGTTTCCATCTTTTCAGTTTATAACCTGACACATGAACTTGAATGGTTACGATCAGCTACAATCGGCGAATACGACCGTTTCGTAGCCGTTCCGGATGCGGTAGATATTGGGGGTAAGTCTTACCTTTGCTCCCAGAGCCCACAGTGAGCACAAAAGGAATGAGCAGATTGAGCAGCATCCCCTCTCGCCTCTCCTGATTGGTGAACGGTGATATCACATGGCTGAGAGGGAAGTCTTCTTTCAGCGCCTGGAAGAGGGAAAACACGTCGGATGATGATCAATCAGAGGAGGTGCGGATGACGATCGAGTAAATCGGAGACTCACCTGAATCTGCAAAGCCACCAGCCTGACCACGGCTGTGCTGAAGGGCAGCGGGGGCGACAGGTACGGGCTGAGGTGGAGCAGAGGGAGCCCGTCCGCCACGCTGGAGGGACCAACTACACCCATCACCTGTGGAGTAAAGAGGAAACACTGATTTAAACTCTGGAAATACAACAACAGGAAAATGTTGATTATCTTTTCAGCCTGTGTGTTTTTACCAGGTTGACGCAGACGTTGATGAGCGAGCGAAGGTGAGGGAGGAAGGAGATGATTGGCTGTCGCTGCAGCGTCAGGCAGATCCCCTCGATGAGGCTGCTGGCCGCCTCCCACTCCACCTGTCTCCTGGAGAACACCCATCCATGCAGCACCACCCCGCACCCCATTAAAACATACGCTCACGAGAACAAAAGTCTCATTTAAATGAAAGTTTCTGTCTCTTCAACCAACTCTTCTCATAGATGTGAATGTTTGAAACCCTCTCCTATGTGACTGTGATAAATACTGAAAGCATATGTGGGAAAATATGAAGCAAAGCTCACAAACACAGCCAGCTCAACACATCCTGATGTGGAAAAAACACACCTGTTGGCAGAGTTCCCTCTGAGCCAGACAGTCTTGTGTCACAGAAAAGGATGTAAGATTAGTTTAAAGTGTTTTTTTATTACTATTATTATTATTATGATTATTGAGGTAGCAGTCAGGAAACAGTCAATAAAACAGATTTATTATCACTTTAAAATGAAGAAAAGAACGAAAAAGGAAAAAAAAAGTCAGAGGAAAAACAAGCGGTAACAACAAGTGTCCACCTCCCAGGAGCGTTTTTGCTAAATTAAGCGTGCAGGATATCAGCTGTTATTAGCCTTAGTGTCATTTGAACCCATGCGTTGGCATCCACTACAGTATCAGCCGCACAGTATCAGGTATCAGCCCTGACTTTCTTGTCTTATTCAGATTTTCTACATTTTTTAGATATTCCGTCCTGTCTTTGAGCCCATGTGGTAGGCCTGTTTTATTTTTTTTTGGGGGGGGCGATTTTTGTCTTTTTTAAAGGACAGGGTGAAATGAGGGGAGGCAGAGAAAGAGTGGAGAGGAGATGCAGCACAAGGTCAGAGCCGGACTCGAACCTGCGACCTCAGTGAGGACTGTGGTTCCCATACATAGGGCGTGCTAACCCGCACGGCCATCTGAGCGTTCTGTAGTTAAAGGGATATTCCAGCCTAAAATTAATTTAGGGTCAAACACACTGTAACACAAAGTTGGAAATCCCCCGAGAGATGACTGGCCTGAGGTCTCACTACAAACAAGCAACTGCTGGAAGAGAGTAGGTGAGTTGTGTTTAGTCTCTGTGCTAAAGAAATTAGTCAAAAAGATGTTTGATGTCAAGTCCTATGGCTTGGACCGTATATGTACTGTTGTTGAAGTTAGGTGCTGTTCTGAGCATTATTTGTGGCTATAGAGTGGCGTTTTGGTTGACCGCATGACTCTTTGTATTGCTACCATGCTGTCGTTACTAAAGTTGGTATAACTAGAGAAGCAAGCGTTCGCTACATTCATCTCTTGAGAGGGTGTCTAACTCGATGTTACTGTGTGTTTGACCCTAACTTAATTTAACGCCGGAGTATCCCTTTAAGCCTGTTTTTGATACCTCTCTGATACCTCCCTGGCCTCCCTGAAACACCTCATTCACACTTGGTTATGTTACTTACCTGTCATTAATTAGTAAAATCAGCCTGAAGACGTTCCTGAAGGTGTCTTTTTCTTTCCTATCAGTTTTTTTTTGTTGCTCCTGTCCAACTTTTTTAAAACAAGTTTTTCATTTCACGTTAAAATGCTTCGACATCGACATTATTGTTCAATTCTATGCAGGATTAATGTCTTCTTTCAGGGTTTCTGCAGGTTTCAACAAGTCAGATTTAAGACTTTTTTAAGACTGTAATGAATTCAATTTAAGATCCATTTTACATCCATAAAAAAAACAAAAAGACATAAAGGAAAATCAGATCTTTTTTTTTTAAGTATTGCACACCCTAGAAATTAGATCATGTTTAACAAACTTCAAATTGATCTTGTTTTGTAAGTAAAATCAATATATTTTTAAGACCTTTCAAATTTGTATTTAAGACATTTTATGAGGTTTTAAGAGAATTTTAAGACTTTTTTAAGACCCAGCAGAAACCCTGTTCTTTGTCTGATCAACCCGTCTCTACGGCACATAATTTCTTACGATTTCACCTGATACAAAGTTTATTACGTCTAAGTGATAAAACTGACCCTATTTTTCAGGTTGGGGGTCACAATAAAAACATTTTAATGATTACAAGTTGCAGTGAATTTGCAACACAGACAATCAAAGAAGTATTTAAAAGACGATTAACCCCTCTGGATTCTGAATGTTGCTTTCCACCTAAAGGACACCTTCAATACTGAAATCTTCCATGACATAAGACTGGATTCTGGCTTTGAGGGAACGCTGAAATGGATTGTTAGTTCACACTCTCCTCCACCTTCCCCTCTTTCACACACCCGCCTGTGCACAAAAACACACCACAGCAGCCCCACCAGCACTTACGGTTACAGCACCACGTAGGCAGCGATACGGAAGACAGTGCCAAGAAGCCGTCTATCTACAGTTCACAGCACGGCACCGGCACAGCACGATACACTCACAGGAAACGGAGAGAGAAGAGGATCGTATTCAACAGACCTGGTGCATAGTGCCTGTGGGCGAGCGCACCTGAGCGTGGGCATCTTGTGGATCTTGTTGAACATGCGGTCCAGCCTCTTCAGGATGAGGATGAGGGCGGGGCGGACGGCCTCCGACGACCAGTCCGTGATGGGGAGCATCTCCATGATGTAGCGACGCAGCCCTCGGCTCTCCATGGTCAGGGTGTCGTAGGGCGCCAGCTTCAGCAGGGCGTGGGCGATCTCTGCCAGCCTGGGAGGAGGACACACGGACTCACCTTCAGCATGAATTAATAGCTGCGCTTACATCCAATGACATTTTTTTTTTAATTTGACATTTTTTTATTATTTTATTTTATTTCAATTTTTTTTTATTTCTTTATTTTATTTTATTTTTTTTATTATTTTATTTTATTTTAAATTTTTAAACTATTTTTTTTACTTTTTTACTTTTGAATAATTCTTAATTTTTTTATAATTTTTTATTTTTTAATTATTATTGTTATTTTTTATTTTTATTTAATTTTTATTATTGTTTCTCTGACTACATAACAAGGCGTACACACAGTGTCATGATGTCACATCTGCGCGCACGGTGCGACCTTTGACACAACAGTAAAAGAAGTACGCAAGGGCGCCATCTATTGACAATATTTATCAGGGGGGGGAAACTCCTGAATTGGATGGAGTGAGCCACTACCGTGTTTGTTGGTTTGTTGTCAACACAGGCGTAAATACAACTCTTCTTCTTCTGTGGTTGTTTTAGCGAAATCAGAAAACTCTGCGCATGTCCAAAGGCTTCTAATCTGAATAAAGCTTGGTGCATGTATACGCACGTCATGATCAGATTATTTGATTTGGCGCCCACATAAACAGTGGATTCAGATCAGCTGATCCCTCAAATGTTAAAATTTTGCCCGTGTAACTGCAGCTGTAGTCACTCTTTTGAGTTCTCTTGTCGATTTCTGGAAAAGAACAACCTGCTCTCCTCACCTCATGTGGGACTTGATATCCAGCAGCTCTAGAGCCGTGACTCGAGGCTCTCCGGCCACGTTCTGCAGGATTTTCAGCCTCGGTCCGCAGTGTTTGTAAAACTCCGTGCAGATGTTTAACAGGGACTCTCGAGGCCGGCGGAACTCCTCCCTCGCTATGCGCTCATCCAGCTCCTCCCTCGGCATGCCCTGGCCCTCCTCTAACAGGTGGGGGTTATCTCTGACAAACATAGACAAACATATGTCTTCAGTTTTTCCTGCTGTAGGACACCTTCAGTTAAATCCTCTCCTGTCAGCAGATACCTGGTGTTGACTCCTCCTGACATGGCGTGGTTGGCTGTAGTTCCTCCTTTATGGCCTTGGTCGCAGCGGGACATCTGAGGGGCTGTCATGGGCCTGTAGAGAAGAAGATGTGAGTAATATGTGCGGCTAAAACTCTTCCAACGGTCCACAGACTGGATTCAGACCTTGTCAGGGCCTCTGAGCTGTAAAGAAGCGCCTGCAGGGACGTGGCCAGAGCGGCAATGGCGGCGATCTCATCCCTGGCGGCTGAGGCGGACTCCATCGTTACCGTGTTGCTCTTCAGCTTCTGGAGAAAACAGGGGACCAAGGCTTCCAGCACCATCAGCATCTGGAGACTGCAGAGACACATATGAGTGAAGACACAACAACCGGTACATGAGAGAGAAATCCTTGACGTGTCCTCGTACCTTCTGAAGGATTCCGGGGCGTAGGCGACCACAGTGACACACAGCTTGATGGCCTCGCTGATGGAAAAGGCCAAGTCCTCGTTCCCGTAACAAAAATCTGGAACAAACACACAACAGAGGATTTCAGGACAGCTGGTATTTATCTTCTCATTTGCATTAAACCCCGTGAAGAGACTCACCTAAAGAGCGTAGAGGTTTCTCCGCTTTCACCAGCTCCAGAGCGTCCAGAGAGTCCTGAGTCTCCCCTTCCAGAGAGACCAGCAGGTCAAAGAGACACTGAGCCGACACTCCTTTAGACAGACCGGTACTGGTGCTGGTCTGAGGGGCAAAAGTTGATAAACTCGGTTAGGGGGAAATGTTAAAGAAGTCCTAAAACGTTCACAGTGCTTTAAAGAGTCTTACCGTGAACTCCAGCAGTGGGGCGACGCTCGCAAACAGCTGCAGGATGAAGGGTTTGCGGTGGAGGATGTAGAACTGGCGGCAGCAGAACTCGATGCCCTGCCTCAGTAACGGGTTGCTCTCATAGTCGGCGTAAACCTGTCAGAGCGAAACAAGAGTGAAGATCAAGTCTAAGATTGTGGATTTCTATGAGGAATCTGGTCCTGGACTTCTCAGACCTGCAGCATGGTGGGTAAGATCCACTGGTATCCACTCAGAGAGAAGAGGTGGTTGAAGTGGACAGCTGTGTTGATGGCAGTGGCGGTGTACTGCCTGAGGAGGGCGCTGTCCTCTGGGTGCAGCAGCAGAGCCCCGTTGAAGACGTTAAGGAACAGCATCATCTCGTCCCCCCACGGGTACTCACTGGGCATGCCCAGAAACATCTCCTCCAGCAGCTTGATCCACAGCACTTTGTGGAGGGTGTCCAGACCGAACAGCTCTTTACCTGAAAGAGGAAGAGGAGGAGGAGGAGGAGGTGAAATAAAGACGAGAAGGAGGGTTCAACTGATGCATCAGAGGGAGGGTGTCTCACCTTGCGGCTCGTTGAAGAGGGAGAACTCTGCATCGATGGCGGTGCGCGGGAAGGACGGCAGGCGGAGGAGGTCCTCCTGCAGCAGAGAGACGTGGGACTGCTTGTGCACAGCCGGCATGTGCTGCGTGAGGGAGATGAGGAAGAGGACGCGGCCGACCTCCTCGAGTTTACGGGAAAACACCTGGAGAAGAAAAAAGATCGAATCAAGAAGAGAAAGAAATCCACATTTCTTGGTGGATTTGATCCAACCCCCGTCCTCCGTACCTGTTTCTGGATGAGCTCCTGACCTTTGTCGGGAAGCATGTGGACCAGGTTGAGCTGAGGGGAGACGGATCTTCGAAAAGGGTAGATGTCTCTCACATACGTCTGAAGGACACAGATAGAAACTCTTTGAAGCATTTTTTAAGAATTCATCGCTTCGAGTTATGCGCATTTCTGAAATGGCAATAGTTGGTGGTTTTATTGTTATTTTGATCTGAAAGATTTCAACAAAACAACAACAGCTTATGAGTTTTATATGACGTGTTTAAAACGACACGTCTCTACCTTGTTATAATGAATTAGGTTCCAGCGTTTGTCCATGAGGAAGTAGTGCGCAGATCTGGCCTCGGGTATGTTGAAGAATTCGAGACACTCCTGGTTTAGAGGGGAAAAAAGACCAGGATCAGCTCTTACACCACCATCATCTAATGATCTTAGGTCTGGACCGCTTTCTGAAAGTGTCATGGTTTAGTTTTCGACTCTTGGACTGAAAAGGGATAAAAGAACATCCAGATGTTGAAGTTTTACCTTCAGCAGAGCGTCAAACTGAGTGTCCTCGTGGACCGGGAGCTGCGTCGGGATGTCACATTCGTTCTGTCCGTGCACCACCAGAGTTTTGGTTCCTGCATCAACCGTACACAAAAACAAACTCAAATAAATGTGGATTTGGAGCCTCTTAGGTTCTCTGGAACAGCGTCGATGTTTTTTTTCACCTGGCATGGAGGCGGTGACGAGAAGCTTGACCTCACACTGCTCCTTCTTCATGGTCTGTTTGAGGTCTTTGAAGAAGAGCCCCTCAACGTAGCCGACCACCTCCCAAAGGAAGGTCAGCGTGGCCGAGATGGCGTCCATCCCCCACTCACACGGGGTCCGCACGAAATACATGATCAGCCCCACCTGAGGGGAAAGACCCCACCGTCAGAACCCACGGAGAATGGACGGAATAAGTGAGAAATGAGCGAGCGTTTTCTCGCTGTTTTACCAGGTAGTTGAAGAGGATGTGAGAGGTCTGGGCCGGCAGATCTCCGATGTTGAGGAGCAGCTTCCTCAACATGTACATCAGCTCGTCCTGTCGATTGCTGACTGTTAGTTTCTCAAGGAAGTGGCGAAGAACGAGGGCGGGGTCTTCGATCAGGCAGTTCCACAGGATCTGTTGAGCGACGGCACTCACTAAAGAAACAACGTCTGAGCGTGAAAATCAGTCGAAGAACCAAAAGCGGCAGAAAACTCACGGTTGTAGGACTCTTATACCTGCAACACCATCTTCTCTAACCTCCCCGTCCTCCATAAGGTGCACAATTGGTAGCACTGCAGCACAGATGCATGCTGGGAACACAGCTTGTGGTGGCTGTAACATGTGGTGAGTGGGTGTGTGTTCTGTCGTGTTCTCCTCATCTGGCGAAAGAAAAGGAAACTTCTCAGAGAGGATGTTTAGGGAGTTAAACACGGAGGTTTGATTTTACCGTCCTCGTCGTTTTTATACCTTCGGCGCTCGCCATGGAGCGCACCGACCACACCGAGCCTCGGCGGAAGGAGTAGTTGCGGTGGGAGTTGCTGGAGGCGCAGGACGGGCTGACGGACAGACGGCGGGATGCCAGGTTCACCACTTCTTCTGCTGGCGGGATTAAATTCCAAGATGGAGAAAGAACAACATGATATCAGGGCGCAGAGCTGTCCAGAACTTTCTACTGAAAGGAATATTCCAGCGTAAAATAAAGTTAGGGTCAGCCACGCCGTAACAACAAGTTAGACACCCCGTCAAGAGATGAATGTTGCCGACCGCTTGCTTCTCCAGTTATACTCACTTTAGTAACGACCGCATGATAGCAATACAAGGGGTTTACGTCTCCTAACGAGTCGATCACCGAGTGCAGCCGATCATTTCCATGAAGTAATAATCATAATAATAATTGTTTTACACTGCAGATGTGGTAGTTCTTCTGCCTTACCCCCAATTTTCACCGCTCCAATCCAGAATGGCGGCGATTTTTGCCATACGCCAATTCCTACCAGATCCGTGAGAACCCGCGGATTCACATGCAATCGCGATAACGGGTTATCTCTTTAGCCACATAACCATATAAGCAGTAGATTATGTCCTTCCAGAGGAGGAAATCTACTTCTAGACTTATAGAATCAGCATCTCCTCATCCATGGTGTCATCGGGATGAAATGACGTCTAAAAACCTTTCACTTGTTTGGCCCTGCCTGTTCGCATGGTGTGAAATATGATCCGCCTGAAACACAGAGTGCTTTATTTTGAAAAGAAGCCGTATGTTTTATTTTGTGTCTGTGCCTGACTCCTTTCCAGCACGGGTTAATCTGTGCTTAATTTATCCGGCATGCTCAAACGTCCAGAACAAATAGAACTCTTGCGATCAGTTGCGGAGTCCGGCGACCCGCAGTGGAACAGAAAAAAGCCGGTGCAAATTGACACGTAAACTTGAATGGTTACGATCAGCTACGATTGGCAGATACAGCCTTTTCATAGCCGTTCCGGATGCGGTGGAAAAATGAAGTAACAATCATAAATGTTCTTCCTTGAGCTGCGTAACTCTGCTGCACTTGGTGATCGACTCGTCAGGGCTCCCCCACAAACAAGCGGCTGCTGGAAGAGAGTAGGTGAGTTGTGTTTAATCTCTTTGCTAAAGAAATTAGTCAAAGTTAAAAAGATGTTTGGTGGCTAGTACCAAGTTAGGTGCTGTTCTGAGCATTATTTGTGGCTATAGAGTGGCGTTTTGATTGAGGTTTGCATGTGGAGATGTAGACCGCTGTGTATTGCTATCATGGGGTCGTCGCTGAAGTTGGTATAACTAGAGAAGCGAGCGGTCGTCAATATTCATCTCTCAAGGGGGTGTCTAACTCAGACACTTTTTTTGTAACCGTCTTTTTGACCCTAACTTAATTTTACGCCAGAATATCCCTTTAAAGCTTAGCGGTTCATTGTGGATCATTTGGCACGAAAGCCCCACCTTCTTCCTCCTGCTCTGGCGGAGGACTGCAGGTGGGCTCGTAGCACGCCTCCTGAGCCACAGGGATGGCGGTGATGATGCTCGCCTCGCGACCCAGACGCCGCTTCTCCTCCTCCTGCTGCAGGTTCTTCAGGATGTGCTCGGCCCGCTGGTGGGAGCGAGACACGGCGCGGGCGGAGAAGGATTTCTGGGGGAGAACAAAAGGAGGTCTGAAGTTGTAATTAAGTGGTTGTATTTCTTATTATAAGGAGATTCAAAACAAGGGAAACGTTCTCCTCTGTGTGTGCAGAGCTTTTCTATCTAACAAGCTTGTTAATGTCGAGTGACCGGACAACACACCAATACAGTAACTCTCCTCCAGCACATTTAATCTCATGCTTTAATGCCAAAAACGAGCATCGTAATCGTGGGGGGAATATTTCAGCTCAGACGAATTATGACACAAATAAATGTGTTCAGACTGGATTCAGGAGACTTTACTGTATCTTGTGTACAGTAAATGCCTCACAGCATTCGCACAAATGCTCATACACGTACATTTCCAAATAGGCATGATGTGGGTTAAGAAACAAAAAATAAATAAACATACACGGCAAAGTCATCCTCATCCAATGACCATGCATCAACGGCACAACACACACAACATGTCTGAATGTCTGATGCATGCTGTTATCGGGGGTGTGCTCTTTCCAGTGGGGGTGTATCACTGATCAAGATGCAACTATCAGAAATGACCCATGAGAACTCCCCCCCTCCCTTGTCTCCCAGCCTCTGATCCAAGATGAAAACCTACACCTCCCAAAACCTAATGGAGAAAAGAGTCCTCTCCTGTTTTTTTTGAATGATCTGAGGTAACAAGATGCATCAGCACAAACATCCGGACAGAAATACCAACTTACTATGGTATGGACTGACTGAATTAATGTGGAGTACTAAAAACAAAGACAGTCGATAGGTAAATTATAGAACAGGTGCTCGCAGAAGTCTGTTCAACACATTTTGGTCATCATGCATGCAACAAAGTAGAAAGAAATACATCAAGAAATCTGAGTCACTGCTATAAAACACTGTGGACATGTGTAAGTTTAACCTCTGCTTCACTGGAAGAGACAGTTTGATCAACAGTAGTAAATGTTCGGTAACACTGAACTCTATATCGCATCATAAATATATGTATAATTCGTTTTAATCAGGTTATAGCATTGTATAACTATAGTTATAAACACTCAAATGATCATAATGTTTTATAGCAATAATCATAACACATTATAAAACATTTTATCATGACTTAAAAGGTCAGGTATTATAATGTGTTATACTCATTGTTATAAAGCCTTATGATAATTATTGAGTGTTTATAATGAAAGTTATACAAGTTTATAAGCAAATTACAACACATCATAAAGATATGTATTATTCATTATTATAGTTATAACACATTATAAGTCATGATAAAATAATGTGTTATTATAATTGCTATAAAGCATTATGATCATTTATGAGTGTTTATAACTACACTTATACGGTGCTATAATGTGATTATAACGTATTATACATATATTTATAATGTGTTATAGAGATAGGAGCCAAGTAAAGTGTTACCAAATGTTCGTCAACAATAGTTTGAAGTCCACTAATCTGTTTTAGGTTTTAAATGAAAATCCCACAAATTAACATTATTAAAGGGCTAGTTCAACTAATTTTAGGATGAGTTTGTTTCAAGAAATCACAAAAACAAGTTTTTAAGACGTGATCTGTGAGGAGTTTTTAGACTGTATTAGATGGATTTAAATTTATATATTTATACAAAATACATATATATGATATATATAGATAGTTTTCAATGCCTGGAACAGGTGTGAGAGGGTAGGTGAAATTTTAACATAAATTAAGTTCATTAATGATCAATTTTACAATCAAACTTGAATTATTATGAGATTTTTGATTTGTCCAAAGACACAATATAAGCTTTAAGATAACTTAAAATCCCACTCCGATCATTTTTTTTTTTTGTTATCGGTGATCTTTAAATTGTTATTATGATGTTTTTTGCCAAAATCATGTTACCTGTGACATTTTTAAGGGCAGAGCTCCATTAGCTTATCAGCAATTCGCCTCTGAGTCGTGGGCGGAGACAGCGCTGCTCTGCATCCTTGTCTTCACGCTAGCTTGTAGCCTAACATTGCCGATGATGTAGAAGTGACTGGTAACATAGGAGCTACTCAGCTCTCAGACATCAATGTCTTTCAGGACATGATGAAAGTTAATATCATAATTAGCTTTCTTATGCTAACGCACACGCTTGCGATTGTCCTCTCTACTTTTCCGAGTCTGGGGGCGGAGCTTGGATTTGTGACATAGGAAATCTCACTGTATCTGAACCTGCTGTTTGCATCTGCCAGAGATTTACAGCGATTTGAATACTCAGAAATGCAATTTCGCACTTATTTTTCTCGTAATATCTCCTGTAGCATTAGAAATATGAATATAAGAAACATGTAGACATCAAGAAAAACATGATTTTCATCGGAGTGGGTCTTTAAGTAAAATTATTTTTTTCCCACAGGGGATGACAAAAACCAAAACGGGACAGTTCAACTATTTGACCTAATTTTTTCATGTATATTTCTTTTATTTCAGTCAAAACGCTGTATAAAATCATCCACCTGTAGATAAATTTTAAAGTTTCTTTGTGTTTCAAATTCATTTACATTAACAACTTCACTCTAAGAGATTGTGTATTAATACCAAATAAAGATAAATGTCTCTTTAACGGAAGAGGAAATCATATTTTGAAGTATCCACATATCTGGCAGTCCGGTGCGTACTTACAGACTGGTCTTCATTGATCGGATCCTGGACGCTGCCTGTGTTCTGGGGCACCCAGGGAGGGTCGAAAATGGGGACACAGGGCATGCCGAGGATGGGAGACGGCAGGGTGAAGTTGATGCTGGGCGGAGGGATCTGAAACACGAACAAAGATGGAATTAAGAGGCCTTGAGTTTGTGACAGGGATAGGCTAACAACTCCAAAGGATGGTTATTCATCAAGCTGTACCTTGAAGATCTGTTGGGCTCCTTCCTCCATGCGAGGCCAAACCTGGTAGCGGAAACGCCACAGCGTGTAAAACTTGAGGATGGAGTTGATGCGTTGGCAGGCCTCCTGGTGATGGAACTCAGCCATCATCATTTCGGTCACTGCGTCGGGGACCTTTACGGCGCACAGGAGGAACATGGCAGCTGGAGGGAAAGGACAGGAAGGAGGAAGTTCAATCATGTAAGAGGAGAATTAACCCCGGAGCGAAGAAGAGTCTTCAGTGACTCAGAGCGCTGATGTCCAGGCTGATGTTGGACTCACCAGCAGCTGCCGCCATGTGTTCGTCCACGCTGAGCAGGAGCTCCCACGCCGCGGGCTGGATGTCTCCGTACATGTCGTCTGTCAGGATGGGAGCAGCTTTGATCAGCAGCGAGAGAGGAGCCGGAGACAAACTCATCACCTGATGGAGATAAAAATGTCAGAAAATCCAACAAAGTCATGATTTATAATGAGAAAGACCAAAAATGTTAAAACTCCGTCACCTGGTTTCTTATGTACTTCAGCATGCCTGTGTCCTTCTTTCCTTCTGTGTTCGAGTCGGTGGGTCTTCTCTTCATCGACGGCGTCCTCAGGCAAGACTTATCCGAACACTAAACCCACAAAGAAGTTCAAAAACCACCACAGGAACAGCAAACTCGATCAAAACTCGATCAAAACTCCTTAAAAACAAACCTCTTTACTCTTCTTGGCTCGTGCCCCGATGTTTCCAGAGGAGGCGCTGTCCTCTCTCAGGCTGTCCACCGTCTCCCCGTAAACCAGCTTGATGGCGCGGACCAGGCGGGCGCAGGAGCGGCTGTGGTGCTGATAGCAGCGCGGGTGACAGAAGTCGATGTGGGTGCAGATGAAACTCTGCTGGTTGCAGAGGAGGATCATAATCTGCAAAAAGACAAGATGCAGAATCAGGTTAGGATCAGTTTGTGAAGTTAAAGGGATATTCCGGCATAAAATTAAGTTCAGCTCGGTGTTAAGGTGTGTTTGACCTTAACTTTATTTTACGCCGGAATATCCCTTTAAGAGTTTTATTTAAGACGATTTTCAAGGACGTACGTGCAGCCAGGACATGTTGCGATGGTAGTTGTCCTCTGCTCCTCCTGAGCCCTGGCCCTCTGGTTCGATGCTGGGCTCACTGGTGCTGAAGGGGCTGCCTGTCACAGAGAAAACACACCCAGGAAAAGAGTTAAAAACACATATTTAGTGTCAAAGATCGGATTTTTCGTCATTTTTCTGCTGTGACAGAGTGTCTCTGTCCTACCTATATCAGTGACAGTGTCCCTGCTCTGCGTCTGAGACAGCAGCCCCTCTTCGTTCTCAGACTCAGAGTCCTGCCGGGACATCTTGGTGCTCTTCAAACTCCCGGCCCGCCGTATGGAGGACAGAGATCCGCCTTTCTTCACCCGAAAACTTCTCGCCCCTTTGATCTGAAGCAGCCGGGAGCCTCCGATTCGAATCTTTCGTATGGGCGCTGGAGAGGAGGGAAGAGGCGCGAGGTCGTCTAATTTATTTAAAATTATAACCAGGCGGCGTGGAGATCAGCGTAAATATTCAGGTCTGGATGTGAACCTGATCTCACCTTGAACCTCCTGGGGTTTCTTGTCCTCTCCGGTGGTGTCGGATTTCAGCGTGTGGCTGCTGCTGTTGAGCGAATCGTGTCCGTCCTCGTCGTCGAGAATCCCGGCGAAGCTGATCTTCCTCTCGTAGCGATGGCGACCAAGCTCGGGGTCGAGACGTAAGCGGGCGCTGTCCAGATCCTACAGCGAGAACACAACACTTATTTGATATCCAAACATTTTTCTGATCACTTTACATCCTTTACTCTAAAGATTTTTCTACTAACCACCAGCGGTTCAGTGCGCGGGCGAGGTAAGCAGGGAAACGTCTCTCTCAGGAAAGTGGTGATCTCGAGCAGCAGCTGGCAGGCGGCCATCTTTAGAGCGAAGGGGCAGCCGCACTTTGTAGGATTGACCGTGTCTGTGATTTGAGAAGTAAAAAATAAAAGTGTTTGTTAGTTTGTTGTCCCTCACCTGTCATGTTCTGTTTCACATCATTTAATCTAAATAAATAAATAAATAAGTAAATAAATAAAAACTTCCTTCCAACATTACCTTGAAAAAAAAATTGAATAAGGGGTTATATTGAAAAAAAAAAACATTTCAATTTTTCAAAACAGCAACAACTTGATTTCTGTTTTTATTAGCTGATACAAAAGTTTAGTTTAGAGAACGTCCAAAAAACTCCTGACAGGAGCTTTAATCTCTGCATTGGTTACCTGTGTCTTTTAGAGTCGATTATAAGGTTCTTTTATCAGTTTTTAAAGCTCTTAATGCTCTTGGTCCTTCTTATTGGTCGCATTTGCTTTAACAGTATGAATCTAGTAGAGCCCTCAGGTCTTCAGGTGGTGGTCTTGTTTATAGTCCCCATCTGTGGAACAGTCTACCTGCAGACCTGAGAGCGACACCTACTGTTCATATTTTTAAAAGTAAACTAAAGACCTACCTTTTTAGTCTGGCTTTTAGCTGAATTTTGTTTTAATCTTTTAATCTGCATTATGTGATTTTACGCTATTTTAGTCCTAAAGTAATTATTTTGTGTTTCATTAACTCTATTTTTTCAAATGTACTTTCTTTAATTGTTTGATTTTAAGACTTTTATTTAATTAACTTTAAACGTTTTATCACCTCTATCATATTTTATCATGGTTTTATTGTTTTAGTCCCAGATCCAGTGTTTCCTCATCTTTTCTAACTCAAGATAAAGTTTCCTCAGTCATCTGTGGCAAGTTAAATAAAGTTTGATTGATTAACACTGATCATTTTTCTGACTCACTGTCGTCTAAATAATCCTCTTCCTCGTCTTCTTTTCTCATCCTGCGTTTGGTCTCTTCATCAAAAATGTAACCCAGGATGTTTGCCGGGCTCTCGCTGTCTGAGTGACAGAGCTCGCTGAGCCTCGTGCCGATCGCCTGAGTCGATAAAAACATATATGAAGATTAAATTTGACAAATGAGGGAGTTTAAAGTCAACGAGATGCTTTAGAGAAAGGTTAAACTCACGTCTCCCCACTGGCAGAAGTGTTTGGCGGCGTTCCACTGCAGTTTCTGGTTTCGTTTGTTGCCCACGATCGGAGAGCGCCCTCTGGACAAGCCCTTCTTGGTGATATTTACATGGTGGCCTTTCATCCACTCTGGCCAGTTTCCACGGTTACAACGGTGGACGAAGCGGGCACATTCGAGGAAAAGGGACGCTCTGGCTACAACTGGAGCTTCCTAACAAACCGTGAAGAAGAGAGGTCGTGTTAAAAAGGGATTTTTTGAGGAGTGAAATACATAAGAGGTGGATTTTTGTAAAAAGGTACCAAGTCCAGAGCGGCAGCGAGGATGGAGGCGTCCGGTATGGTTCCAGGCTCGCAGCAGTTCAGCAGAAACTGGAAGCGTTTCATACCCTGGCGGATGGCGCCCAGATTCACCACGTTCTTGTTCTTCATGGCTTCCTGGCTGGCAGCGAGTCGCTCCTGGAAGCCGTGAGGTCCTGAAGAGAAGAATACGGACGCAGACGGAAGAGGAAAGAGGAAGGGTATAACAGGAGGAGTGAAGAGCAGATCTGAGAGGCGTAGTTTGTAAAGTTTGACACCACCATCCAGGACGTTTCACGAAAAAGCCACCGACAAATGAAGCTGAGTGTGAGATGAACACACAGCCATCAGCAGGGGTTACACTTGGATTTGAATTCACCGTTTGACCTCTGATGTGAGGATCACGTCTTCAAAATAAGCAGATTTATTCGCCAAGTGTAACCGCAGCCGCACAGAAGAAGTAAGCTGTATGTGGACCATTCTGTTTTCACCAAATGTCAGGCATCGGAAATTACCACCAGACGTCACCACAGAAGAGACGGAGAGAGCACCCACAGCGTCATGCTTCACATGTAGCACAGAAACCTGCTCTGCGGTAGAAAGATGGTCTCATAGATGTGACAGAGTCCCACACGCCTCCTTTCCTTCCTTTCCACCAGTGAGGGGGAAGAAAGAAGGAAGGGGGGGTTTGTTGTTGAGGAGAACGGGGCGTGCACAGTTGGACAGGAGGAGATGTGGAACAACAACACAGAGTTACACAGGAGGAAGAGTGTAATGTCAAAATCTGCTTTTTCTTTTTTGTATAAAAAGCATGATTTTAAATCATGACGAAGGGTCGTTTAAGGAGGGACAAAAAAAAACACAAAATCTCAAGTCGTTTCTGACCCGAGTCTTTGTCCGGTGAAGACATGTTCAACACATCCGAGTGTCTGGCCTATGTAGACTTACAAACGTTCAAGAAATCAGTGAAAAGATGCTGCATTTATGTCTCTATTTGTTTAAAGTGGCAGGGCCGGAGTTAACTATTGGAGGGCCATGGGCTACAGAGAGAGCTGTGGGCACCCTAACCCCCCCAAAGTCTATTAAATACTGTATTTTTTAACTTTTTAACAATATTAGCTAAAATAACATAAAAAAGTACTTTTAAGTCCAGTCCTGTAGGGCCGGAGTGACCAAAAAGAGAGTCAGGGGCTCCAATAAACCCTCAAAGTCAGTGGTTCTCAACTGGTGGGTCCCAATCCAAAGGTGGGTCGCTGACACGTTCTGGATGGGTCGCGAACAGCTGGTCAAAAATGTAAATATTTAATGTGTATCTGATGTTTGACGTGTCTTTTATTTTGAAAAATAACTTATTTTTCGTGGTCCTCCTCGGTTTCTTATTAATGTGGTCTGAATGCAGTAAAAATACATGTTTTTTTAATCTTTATTTTGTATAATTTAATATTTATTCACTTTTGTCCATGCAAATAAATCATTTTTTCATTTTGCTGGTCTCCATTTTGTGCAATTTGATATTCCCTGTTTATGCAACTTCAGTAGTTGTCGTCCTCAGTTTTTGTGCTCTGAAATGCACTAAATTTGCTTGGTTTGAATTTTATAAAAGTGGGTTGCGACTTAAGGACCATGAGAAAATGTGGATCCCACAGTGAGACCAGTTGAGAACCACTGACCTAATTTTTTCTAGCTAGCCAGCCAATAAAAAGTAATCACTTCAATATTAATCTTTAGACTTGTGCTAGCTCTATATCTTTGCCTAACTTCCTTGAATTTGAAATTAGATTTTTTTTTCACAAACCAGACACTAATGGGTTGAAAAACAACATTTAGGATCACAGAGTGTAGCAGGCAGCTATCGGACAGAGCCAGGACATGGATTATGGCGGACGGAGAGAGAACAGGCCACGAAACTGCGATGCGAGACAAGACACGACACCACACGGACAAACAGAGGCGGGGGGAGAGAGAGAGAGAAGGTGACACAGGACGATGGGGCGTGGGAGGGCAAGGGGGGACACCCCAGGGTGGGGGAGGTCTACCATCTTTCTCTTCTGTGTGGTGAAGCTTGGATGGATTCCTCCTGCCAGACCTCCATTTACCGAGCCGCTTGAAGAAATTCTCCTCCTCGTCCCTGCCGTACTCCGGCCCCGCTGCGCCCCCTTCGGACAGCTTCACCGCACTAGTGAACTTCACCTGCGACACAAGGAGATTATTATTATTGTTATTGTTAGACTGTCCTATCTATATGAGTGTGTTTTCATTTATTATTGTTATCTTACAGATCCAATAATTTTATTTCATTATCATTACAACTGTTTTTCATTATTAATATTAAATCATCTACCTAACTTTTTATTTGTATTATATATATATATATATATGAATAATTATTTATTCTTATTATTATTATTATTATTAATTTTATTTTACATATATGTTTACATAAATATATACATATATATACACACACACACACACATATATATATATAAACATATACTGTATATGTATATAAACATACATATCTACATACACACATATAAACATCTATGTTTAATAATAATTAAAATGATAAATATATAAAAATATATTTATGTATTTATTTATTAATGTAGTAAAAATAAAAAGTTAGGTAGATGATTTAATAATAGTAATAATAAAAAAACAGTAATAATTATAATGAAACAAAATAAATAGATCTGTAAGATAATAACAATAATAAATGAAAACACACTCATATAGATGGGATAGTCTCACAATAATGAGAATGATATGAGAGTGATTATTTACCTTATTTGGACTCTTTAATTTAAATAAAAATATCATTAACACAAAGAGACTCTTAACTTTTTGTGAATAAAAAACCTTAAACGCTGATTTACACCGTCTTCCCTCTTTAGTTAGCTTAGCTTAATTTAGTTAACCCAACTACACACTGCTTTTATGACAACAGTATGGCTCAGAAGTAGAAGAGTCCTGATGCTAAATTAACATGTTTTCTGTTCGTCCTCCTGACCTTTGAACTCTGACGTATGAAGGAGAGTCGATCCACAGAGCTGATATCCAGCAAGTCCTCGACGCCGTCAGTCAGTCCAGAGAGAGAAGAGCGCTTCAGCCAGTTTCCTGGAGACGTAAATTCAAGAAAACTTACACGGATCACCAGCACGGAGATGTGGATGTATTGAAGGCGCACACACACACAAGGGGGTTTTTGAGGGGAAAAGGGTTCAGGGTGTCTAAACTCAAAAAAGGAAAGAAGGACGATACAGGAATCGTGCACATGAGGAGGAACGTCCAACACAAACAAGTAGATACGGTATGAAGATGATTTCACATCCACATACGTAAGACAGAGAGAGTGAGCGGATGGCGAGAAGTCCGACGGTATGCTGAGGCGTTAAAAGGGAACACAGAGCAGACCCAAGAGATGACGTGACTCGGACTTCGATGACATTCGTACAAAACACAGCATGTTAAGAGACAACGGAGTCTGAAAATGCAGAGATATGATCGTGGAAATACAGATTTGTGTAAGATATGAACGATTTATTATCTTTCTCACCGATCGGCAGCTTCAGTTTCTTGCGGAGCGAAATTCGACGGGATCTGGAGCGGGAGCGTCGGTCGGTGGTGGTGCCGGAGTGGGCGGTGGTGCACTCTGAAGTGTCCTGCTCGGATTGGCTGCTGGTGTCGCTGGCGGCGCTCTGGGATTTGAACATCTTCCTCCAAAAGTCCTTCCTGCCCAGGAGAGCCCCGGGGATCTGTTCATCACTAGAAACCAAGACAGAGTGACGGGATTCATCTTGAACTAAATCTTTTCATACGGACAGGAGAAGCAGTTTTTTCTTTCCCCCTCTCTCTGGACACACAAATGGACGCTGGACTGGACATACATGGTGCTATATGAGGTGGACACTCACTGTTCGGGGGTCTGGGGGGGTCTGCTTGAGATGTAGCTGCGACACTCATCTGCAGCACTGGACACCTGACCCTTCTCCCCGGACACACCCGCCTCTGACCTGCGCTCACACACAGACACACACAAATACACACAAATACACACAGACAGGGCGCTCAGGCAGCTCTTTTGAAGCAATAACACTCAGTCCTGTCAGTTACACTGCTCTGCTTTTTCACTAAGCTTATAACTTCATTGATTTCAGTCAGTCTAGGAACGTTTGTGAATACAAAGATGTGTAAAAAGTAACACCCATAGATTGTATATACTATGGACAACTTGGATCCGCCTTCCATCGTTATACGAATTTAAAGCCAAATTGCTCTCAGTATTTCAAGGATTTTCTATACTTTCTGGAACCACCACTTGCGCAGTAGCACACTTGCACAGTAGCCATACTTGCGCAGTGGTGTTGTATGCACTCTACTACTTGCGCAGTAGCCATACTTGCACATTACTGTTTTTCGCAATACACCACCTGTGTAGTAGCCGTACTTGCGCAGTGGCATTGTATGCACTCTGCTACTTGCACAGTAGCGTACTCAGGCATAGTGTTGTGCGCACTTCACCACTTGCGCAGTGGCATGCTTGGGCAGTAGGGCTGTACCCACGCTACTACTTGCGCAGTAGCCGTGGTTGTGCAGTGGCATTGTATGCACTCCACCACTTGCGCAGTAGTGTACTTGCGCAGCAGCATTGTACGCACTTCACTACTTGCGCAGTAGTTTTGTACACATTTGGTGGGAGAGTTGCTGAGAGTCGCTGTGATGACGCTCGGCTAAAACAGCGTATCCCCCGGGTGAGCTACTCAATCTTCGTACGCCCATAGGCTGTATCAAGTGTCAATCATAGAAACTATAAACCCACTAATAACTTTTAAAAATGGAGCTGCACAGAATAAAGAGGACTTGAGCACAAACCAGTCTTACAGTAACTACATGTCAACATCGCAACAAGGGGGAGAAAAATGTATATTCTGTGTAATAAGTTTATAAAGTTTATCCACAGCTCCATAGGGATTGCTCGAGGAGGTGAGATTTATGACCTATACTGTAGCCCGTCACCAGAGGGTGCTGTTCTCACAGTGGCTTGGACAGTGTCCATTTTATATACAGTCTGTGGTAACACCCAGAGCTTTCTATCTATATCAACAGTTTTAGGGAGCGGAGAGCAACTTTTTTCTGTACACCTGCACGTCTTTTTAACTTTTGCAAACCATCCAATCTTTTTTTTTTATCATTATGATATTTTTCATGTTTTTAATGTAACTTTAGAGAATTTGCATGGTTATTTTTTATTTTTATCCACTGTTATTTTCAGAAATTCTTGCAGTTTTTCTGAAAATACCCTCCTTTTTTTAAACAATATCTCTCTAATAACTGCAATGCTTCAACATCTATGATATCAAGTTGATGCTTTGGGTTTAAATCCAATTTTAGGAATGGATTTAATAACCCACTGTGCCTTTAAGCGTCTCTAACAGGGTACCCTTAATTCAAACAGTCACCCCGGTCAACAAGAGCACAGTGCTGTGTCCTGCAGGGCTGCTCGGTGTGCCAAAGCCACATCATTTAAAAATAACATCGAATCAGTCGCTCAAGCAAGAAGAACAGATGCAGACGGGACATACGAAAAAAAAACATAGAAAAATAAAAAACAGCGAGCAGTGATGATAAGCAGAGCTCTGATTTGTCGACACAGATTTCTCTTAGTTCCTGGTTTGTGTTTGGATAGAACAAACTGTTATTAAGACCATTTCTGGCCACTGATTGGCCAGTACCTCCTAGGTCCGGGTTGTTTGGTCTCTTCCTTCTCCTCGGGTTTCTTGGTGGTTGTGACCTTCTCGGCGCTGTCCAGGAGAGCGCTCAGAGCCACCCGGCGGAACACGTTTCCATGGGCCTCCTTAATGAACTGCACCAGCTGGCGGATGTCACAGTACAGACCCTGAGAAATAAGAGGGCGGCAAACAAAGTGAGAGCGAAGGAAGCGTGAGCCAAGAGGGAAACGTCATCACAAAACCGACCGCTAGGAACGTGGAATCGGGGCTGATCTCACTTCAAACTTAAACAGCGTGTATGTTTGCTGATGCAGAAGCGGGTGGCGTGTTTATGAGCTCGTGTTTGTGAGGGATCCAGCTCCAGCTTGTGAGTGGGTGGCCTCTGATTCGGTGCCATAACAAAGCCTGCCTTGAAAATTGTGTCATCTTCCGCCAACGAACACAAGTCATGCCAGCTTTGAGGCGTTCGAGCACAACAGAGCGGTCAGAAGTCCTGTGAGGAGTGATCTACACAGAAGATATATGAGTGCATTTACCGTTTTATAAGTTTGTCAGAGATTTAAGGAGTATTTTTATACCGAGTGCTCCATTTACAAACTGGAAACTGAAATCAGAGCTTTTATACACTTCACTCGCTCGCTTATGCCAGTGCTTGTGTGTGATAAATCAACTGGAGACCACACTCAGCTGTGATTTAGGCTATTTAGTTAACCAACATAACAACACGTGTTATCATAGAAAGGCTTTCTGATACAGATAGGATGTAAACAAGCAAGCACCAAAGGCCAAAATAATCATAGGATGTGTCTAAGTTAAAGCACAGACTCTGGCCACTGCAGCTGAGGTTTAAAGTTGCTATGGCAACCAAGTGATGCTCTACTACCTGGATGTAAACAATGCTGTGTTCCAGTTGTACTCGGAAGACAGTAAAGAGTAACAGTGAAAGTTCTCGTAGTGTATTATTTATTAGCGCATCTGTTTTGTCTTTGAGAAATTAAATAAGTGGTTTATGTTGTACTGCCCAACGTCTAAATGTGAACACAGTGCTATAGTGTTTGAAAGAGTAAAATACTGTGATATATGTTGTTTACAACTGGTATAGCTAACAACAGCTGACAACGGCTAACAGCAACTGATAACTGCTAACAACAGCTGACAATGGCTGACAACAAAAAAGAACCGCTAACAACAACAAACAACCACTGACAATGGCTAAAAACAAACAACCGCTGACAACCGCTAATAACAACAAACAACCGCTGACAACCACTAATAACAACTAACAACCGCTAACAACAACCACTAACAACCACTGACAATGGCAAACAACAACTAGCAACTGCTAACAACAAATAAGAACAGCTAACAAGAACAAACAACCGCTGACAACCGCTAAAAACAACTAACAACCCTAATAACAACAAGAAACAACCCCATACAATGGCTAACGACAACTAACAACTGCTAACAATAAATAAGAACCGCTAACAAGAACAAACAACCACTGACAACGGCTAACAACAAACAACCACTGACAACGGCTAACAACAAACAACCGCTGACAACCACTAATAACAACTAACAACAAATGACAACCACTGACAATGGCTAACAACCGCTGACAATCGTAAACAACAGCTAACAACTGTAGGCGTCCATCTTAGTTTTCCGACTTATGAACTGGAACACCATCAACTCAATGTTACGTCATGTAGTCGTCATCCGACTTCCGAGGTAACTGGAACGCAGCGTTAGTTTAAGTGCACCCTCTGCAGCTTAAGTTTAAAGTTGCTATGGCAATCAAGTGACGCTCAACTATCTGGATGTAAACATGCACAGCTGCATCTCTTGGTGGTTTGCACGTATTCTGGACTAGAAAAGAGATGAGACCGTCTTAAACAGCAAACCTAATGCTGCGTTTGAGTTACCTTGGAAGTCAGATGTCTGAGCTCGGATTGACGTCACACCCGAGTTACCGGCGTTTCATTTACCAAGTCATGAAAAAAGTGAAATCGGCAGCGGAAACAAGATGTTGCAGAAGGACTGCATTTTTGTCCAGAGGTTGCTTATATTCGGACAAGGCAAGCGCTAAAATAACTTTCATAGATGTAGCCATCTTGTTTTTGCCTCCGATTTTGCTTTTTTTCCAACTTGGTAACTGAAACGCTGGGAACTTGGGTGTGACGTCATTCCAAGCTTGGACATCTGACTTCCAAGGTAACACTCTGAGATCTATACAGAGTCAAACCTGCTTTTTTAAAGATCAGGCGATGTTTCCTAAAAAAATTTAACAAAATTATAACAAAAAGGTGCGAGAAATTTCAGTTCAAGCAGAGAAGTGGGAATAGCTCATTCACAAAGCGAGATAAAGTCCAACTCCTCCTGTTTGACGAGGCTTTAACAAAGACAGCGTGAATGATTGTTCTTCTGGCTCAGTAGGAAATGAGTCTTTAATTATTAAACTACAATTGCCTCCAAAGAGGAAGAAGAGAGTCTGACTCTAATGGGAGTGCAGCTGATTCGTGGATCACAGCCCGAATCAAAGCCTCGGAGGCTTACAGGGAAAACGAAAAACAAACACAGAGGCAGATGGACGAATGATTCCTCACACCACTCACCAGGTTCTCCGGGCTGTGCAGCTCGTGTGTGGTGGAGGCGCAGCGGGTGATGAGCGACTTGAACATGCAGCCCACCACCACCGCCTCCATGTTCTGCGCCACCGACTTGTTGTCTCCGGTTGTGAAGTTGTTGCCGAAACCCGCCTTGTCTGGAAGCAACAGGGAGGCGGGAGAGACCACGGATCACACAGGGGGGAGGTTTAGTCAGCGGGAAGAGAGCATTATTGACAACTGACCGGCTTGGATATAAAAACAGTGAGCCCAAACAACAAGAGGGGGAGGAAAGGGGGCAAAGGAAAAGGATCCATAAAGCAAATGGGGGAGAAGCCAACTGAAAAGGGTTCTGGGAAAGGGATAAAGAATACATGCAAGTGACTAAGGCCTGCTATAAAAGCAAAAAGGTAAGGGGCTTATTCTCTCGGTCCGCTTAGATTTATAGGCAGGAGATATGAGCTCTGGATCGGCCTAAATTTGAAGTTGCAGGCGAGTTTTGAGTGAGGGGTGCAGCGATGGAAGCGGTGCCTTGGGAAAGGTCTAATCAGGTCAGAATACTCATTTTAAAGCTTAAAATTGTTATTGATTGATTATTGATCATGTGTATCTACCGATGTTTCTTTTTTTCGCCCTCCTGGACCTCTCACCTGCACTGCCGTACTCTGCAAGAGAAAAGAGGCGGGGCACAAGTTGATTGACAGTCAGGCCAGCACAGACATGTACGCGGTGTCAGAAAGGGCGGGGCACCCCCACCTCCCAACAGAGGTGAACTTGAGACACACACACACACGCACGCACACACACACACACACACACACACACACACCACATAACTTAACAAGGTGCCCTGGTCACTTTCAGATTAAAAACACTCATCTGTTCAGTAACTTGCCAAACGTTTCTGGGTAATTGTCGTCACTTTGTCGTAAACAGTTTAGATTTCAGCGCAAAACTGAATTGGCATGTACGATGTGTCTCAATGCTCAGCAATAAAGCCGCCGATTGAGCAGAGATGCAATGGGTAAAGCTCTGGATTGGCAAGTGTACGGAATGGATGAGTGAGTAAGGAAGGTAGGATTCAGCTCAATTAAAAGAGGATGGTGAAAAAAGAGGAGGGATGGAAGCAGGAGGAGGAGGAGGAGGAGGAGGAGGACAACGAAAAAGGGACAAAGACAAGCAGAGACGAGTGGGAGGAGGAAAAGGGGAAACAGATATATAAACAGAGATAGCGCTGGAATGCAAAGTCGAAGTGCGGGGTGAGACAGCGTTAGTACAATTCAGCTTTGTCGACCATGCTGGAGTTTGAGATTTGGTCCCAGCTTTGCAAACACACTCCTGGGTGTTGTCGTTTTCATGGAAACAGGAGTGTGGAGGCTGTTTTGAATCAAGATGGCCTTGTTGCTCGAGTCCTGACAGTTTCACTCAATCGGTTTTGGACTTATTGAGTGTGTTTTCTAAATGTGGGTGAGGTTAATTTAGCAAACTAAAACGTCATGATGCGAACATGCACACAATGACACTGCTACAGTATATATATAAATATATATTTGCAGGTATGACGACTTTAAATTCATTGATTTTGACTCATTCTGATTAGCTTGCTAACATTTGCCGATTTGCAGTCAACACAAAGTTTAGCTTAGCGTGATGGGGAATGTCAGCAGCTATTTGGTTATGACAACAGCAATGCAGCAGTTAGCAAATGTTAGCATCTTCTACGCTTGATGTACATGCTGTCATTACAGATTCGGGCACTGCTATTGTGAGCATGTTGGTATAGATTGAATAAATAAATCACCCTGATTGTGCGTGCATATGTGTGTCTACACTGTGATGGATCTGCATCCGGTCCCAATCGCAGGCGCGCCACATACTTACTGTCAGTGATGGGCTCCATGCAGAAGCCCAGCAGCGCATGCAGGAAGTCCACAATGTTATTGAGAGAGTCTTTGTTGACATACTCGCGCATTGTCTGTCGAAACTGCAGCTTGTCCAGCTTGTAAAGGCTGGTCAGGCAGTTCTGGGCCTGAGAGGAAGGAACGGACGAGGAAACGTCAGGAAATGAAGTGAATTATAGAAATATCACAAACCCAATTTAAAGGCATGGTTGACCATTGTAGAGATTGGTAATTATTATGAAACTAATTTCTATGGTGATCATAATCCTATAGTGCGATCTCCACGAAATGAAGAGAAAAAACAACAGAAAAAAAATCCGTTCACCCTAGCAGGTGCAGGGCTGCAAAAACATTGACCAATGGGAGCCATCCATCCCGGACAGCTTCTATTGGTCAATCTCCTGCTCCGCCTCTACATCAAATCATCTCGCTATATTCAACACACCCCTTTCCCATAGTTCTGACTCATCCCCTCCCACTCTCCCGGCCCTCCCAGCTTAGCTACAGGAGCTGTGATGGAGAAGGACGCAAAAAAAACCCACTTCTGCTTGCCCCACCACCAAAAGTGGGAAGAAAACGCAAGCCAACAGAAGAAAGGGCGGAGTCAAAGACTTTGCCCTTTGTTGAACAGATCATTTTTATCGCCTTTTATCGTGGCACATGTTACATAAATAACTCTGATTAGTCTCTGCGATGTCAACATGGTAGCTGTCCAGGCAGCTGCAGACGGCGCTCGCTAACAGAGCTGGTGTTTACTGCCGCTAGTCACTAACAATCCGACATGGTGAAACCTATTTGAAGCTAGCGTAGGATCTTCTGGCGGCCGGCTTCTTGCTCTGCCAGAGGGGGTATGTTGTGGGGAGGGCGATACAGGGACGCTTTTTTCAAATCTGCCTCAACGGCTCAGTTTTTTTCAACTGCATCTCAGATCGTCAACCGTGCCTTTAATTGTTTGAGAAATACTTCTGTTGCTGCTTCCCTCCACTCGGATTCATTTCACTCTCATGCAACTTTCACCACACTGACGGAGCATTACAGTTAATATTTCATAGTGAATGAATGTAGCGTGTTAGGCACTGGGACTGTGCTGATTTGTGGGAACAGTGGACCAACGCAGAGGAGATCAGTTAGGGACGGAATAAGAGTCTGACCTGCATCCTGAGGCGGTCCCCGGACAAACCCCGGTGTCCCTCCCCGCAGCCATAAGCGCAGCCTAAAGACTTCACGATCTTTATGAGCATGGTCAGAGCCAGGCGGTGTGTGCTGAAGCTGGAACCCTCTTCCTGTTTCGAGTCAAAACAAATACAGAGTTTTATTTTGAAAAGATCAGACAGAGCTGAGTTTGGAAGTGAGGAAACAGTGGAAGCGCACCTTTTTATCACTGTCCTTGTTATTCTTCACATCATCCTTGCTCCCCTGCCCGCTCCCGCCGCCGCTCCCCCCTCCTCCTCCGCCCCCGCCACCATCTCCCCCTCCGCCTGCTCCAGCTCCAGGAACCGCCCCGCCTCCCTGGGCGCCTCCCATGAGGCCTTGACTGGACGAGTCTTTGGAGCGCGCCTCCTGGTTCTCCTTGTCCCCTTGCTTGGACAGCTTCTTGCCCATGCCAGGGACCACACCCAGCTGCAGGAGGCAGTCGATGATGTTGAGGGCGACGTCGCAGATCCTGGAGCTGATGTCGTGGCTGAGGACGGCGTAAAGGGCTCGCAAGACGGCCTGGAATACAACAAGTAGGAATCATCTATAAACATTCATCTGTTGATTTTCCGTAGCTTACATCAGAATGCCAAGAACTCACAGTGAGGTCCAGCATGCCGTTCTTCAGCACAAAGTTGTTGGTCCCCTCGATGTTCTCGCCCTCCTCCAGACAGGAGTAGTTGATGCAGGAGTCGGTGAAGCTGCGTGGCAGGTTGGTGCAGGCCAGAGGCTCTACAGGGAGCTCAGGGACGGTGTTAGGGTTGCAGAGTTTCTTCATGTGCTCGGTGAAGAAGTCGGCGTAACCAACGTTGAAGGACGCCACGGTGGTGTTGAACGCGGCCATGGTGATTGTGGAGATCTGGGATCGGACTGTTAGTGGAGAGATGGGTTGGATCACACTTCTGACTTCTAAAGAGACTGAAAATATCTGGGTTGGAATAACTTTCAAAGGCTTTACCCTCTTTGACGGTGTTATCGCTGTGGCTGTTGGAATGGTCAGGCATGTCTCGGAGCAAAGAGTGATGGGAGTGGGAATGTTTCGCACTCAGGCTGTCCGCGTCTGCAGCCGTGTCTGTGCTGCCTCTCCGTGTGAATTTGCCTAGAAAGGAGTTAAAAAAAGTGGGTTTCAGAGAAGGAGAGGAAAGAAAGACTGATGATTGGCCTTCTGCTTACCCATGATGGTGGCCTGCCAGCCGCCACGGTCGAGAGCCCGCCGATCATCGCCCAGGCCGGAGAAGCTCCCAAAGGAAAAAGTGCTGCGTGTTGGTGAGACGTCCAGGTGGTCCTCATGGAGCAGAAAAGGAACACCCATACGGCGTTGACGCTTCTTACCGGTGTGATGGAAAGGGATGGAGCCTTTTCTCTCGCGGTCCTCACGGCGGTTTTTAAACTGGAATACAAGAGCCTCTTAAACAAACTGTTGTTTTCAAATCCCTCGAGCTGAAAATGACATCTCAGCATGTTAGCACGGACAGGGACCCAACTGACCTTTTTGAAGATGTTCATGCCCAGGTCAGAGGCCAAGTCAGGGACCGCCTGTCGCCGCAGATTGGTCAGAGAAACCTTCGCAAACGTCTCTGTGCTGAGAGATTTTCCCTCCTCGTTGCATTTTAGGCTCATATCCTGCAAGACAGAGCAGAGGGTGAACATAACGTCACGGTAACAGCAGCCTGATCATCATCATCTTTCATGACGTCACATTACCTGCGTCTTGTGTGTGTTGACGAGTGATGGCGTGGCAGCCACCATGGAGCTGCTGCGTGGCCGTGGTAAAGGCGTGACCAAGGGTTCGGGGACACGCTCCGGTCTTTCCTCCAGGATCTGCCTCAGGCGCTGCAGGTAGTACATCAGGGCCCAGTGCACGCCCTCCTCTGTCCAGTGCGGCTGCAGCAGACATCGCAGGACGGCCACGTCGAAGTATGTGGCGTAACGCGCTCTTTGGGAGAGGGAGGTCGGCAGACCGGCAGGGGCTGATGTCCTGAGGGGTGATATTATAATAATAAGGTGGTATTATTTTGTTTTTAGTAGACTCCTCCACTGTTGCCAATCTACAAAATCATGTTTTTATGTGTAAAATGACAAATTCATGAGATATGACTGACAACCTTGAGTTTCCACTGCATCCGTAATGGCAGCGATTTCTGTTCAATTGTATGTTTTATCACATTAGGTACTTTGTCTGTTATTCTCTTTTAACTCATGGTGCGTTCCAGTTGGTTTGGAGGTAGGAATTTATGAGCTCTGAGATAGAACTTTCAACTGGAACAAACGTTGAGGTCAGATTTCCGACATGGAAAGTGGGATGATCAGCACAGCCCACGAGTTGACTTTTAAAGATGGCAGCGCCGACTGTAACAGTAAGTTGACTATTCACTATTTATTGTTGTTTTGTTGTTTAAATGCTGTCATAGTGTCATTTACATTTTTCATGTGTATATGTGAACTATAAAGCCGTGCTAACAGTGGCTAACAACGGCTAACCGTAGCCTAGTAGTTTCAGACGGTGTTTTTTTGTTTATTTCAACTTATAATTGACAAAATGAGCGGTTGTAGTTGTTAAGAGCACCGGCCCGTTATTAACTGATGACCGATCAAACGACGATCAATACTTTTTGTAAACAATGAAATACTTAAACAGAAACAATAGGCTGTTGCCTCTTCAATCACCGCATATTTGTCCAGAAGTTGCTTATATTCGGACAAGGCAAGCGCTAAAATAACATTTGTAGATGTAGCCATCTTATTTCCACCTCTGATTTTGCTTTTTTCCGACTTGGTAACTGAAACGATGGTAACTCAGGTGTGACGTCATTCCCAGCTCCGCCATCTGACTTCCGAGGAAACTTGAACGCACCATTAATTCACAATTTGTGATGTCACTAATTGACATTTTTTGACAAAACATCGCACAGTTCAAATTTCAATATTTACTATATGTGCTCTAGTTCTTCAGTAGTACCAAGACCAAGTGAAATATACGAGCTTGGTAAGTCTCTCCAGCACTGCCACATAACTAACTGCTGTAAATACAATTACATTATGCTATGGCCTTTCCTATCCTATTAGTCCGTCATCAACTCCAGCCACACTGCTTCATTAATAATGCATCAAAGGAGGATGGTAAACAAGGGCAGAGCCCCCCTCCAGCATCATCAGGAGAGAGGAGCAGGGAGAGAGGGAGCCTAAGCCTACGTGAGTCCACTATAAATAAGCCTGAATGAAGGTCAGCGGCTGGAGAGCGGCAGAGCGGAGGAGAGACATATTGATACCGTGAGGGAGAGGGACAGACAGAGAGACGTAGAGAGAGAGCGAGGGAGGGAGAGGAAGAAACAGAGAGGACGGCATTTAATCTTGGCTGTCGTAATAAATGGAGCAGGAAGAGATGGTCGATATCTACATGAATCACTTTGAGAGGACAGCAGAGGGAGGCTGTATCATGTTTCACTGTCTAGCCAACACACACACACTCACATGGACACTCACACACTGTGCACACACACACACACACACACTGCTTCTGCTGCTGCTGCTGTTGTGTCAGGTTGCCACAGAGACCGAGTGACGACAGCCGCCCCGGAGCCTCTCGGAGGAGAGGAGAGGTAAGAAAGGCCCAGCCCCCCGACTCCATGCGGTAAGGAGAGGGGATGCGGTAAGGAGCCAGCGGTTGCCTTGGAAACAGCATCGGCATAGGCATCAGCGGCGTTCGCGATGCAGGATGAGTAAGCGGCATTAATCAGAGGAGCTGAATGATGGAAATGGTTTCATCTGGGTGTCACAGCGCAGAAAGATGAGATTGGATAAGACCTCCGACAATATTTGAGAAATTAAAAACATGTTCAAAGAGTAATTTTAGACCAGTCGTCGGGTTTACATCTGCATCTTTCTCTCTATAAGCGTAAAATCAAGTCCTCCAAATCCCCTGGGAAGTCAAAAATACTCTCATCCTGCAAATCTAATTTACATTCTGCTCACTTTTCTACCACACAACCTCCCAGATAAGAGAGCAATTAATCCCTCATTGTCGTATGTGTGCAGTGAAACAATAGGGATAAATCTCTTATCCCTTTTTTCTGCATAACCATGTGACTGCTCGAAAACCCCTTTGGTGCTGGAGTGTATCAAAATATAGCCAGCTTGGGGGGAAGGGGGGTAGATTTCAGGCTTATTTTGACTTGCAGTTGGTTGCTAGCTGTCAGAGGGATGAGGAGAAGCACTGGAGTGACTAGTTTGGTTGTCAGAACGAGTCGAGCGGTGACGGGTAATGAGCAATAGGATGGCTCACAGACCTCCTCTGTGCTTTTCTTCCACATTCACATTTCTCCCACCCGCTTTGTGGGTGATTCAGGGCGATGACAGATTACATGTGATGAACCTGACGACAGAAATCAGCCGCCTTAGGAAGTGCGGGATGCAAAAGTGGAGACTTATTTTCCGAACGCTGAGATTTATCTTCTAGGGAATGAAAATAAAATGAGGGAGACTAACTAGGGCTTTAAATTCTTGGTCGACTATAACCCTGAAATTTTCGACCAAATATCGACGAATCAAAAAATATACTAATATCAGCACAAGAAGGCAATTAAACACAAATATTATATTCAGCAAACCACCGGACGTTGATTAACTCTTCAATCTTTCTGTCTCTAGTAGGTTGGGTGAATCCAAAATGGCAAAAACAAGCGGGGTGTTCTGAGACGGACTCATAGATTGTATATACTATGGACAACTTGGTTCCGCTTTCTGCCAGTAAACTGATTTGAAGCCAAAAAGCGATTCTTCTTCATTTCCTGAAACCCCCCAAATCAAGTGTCAATCATAGAAAACATGAACCCTATAATAACTTTTAAAACGGAGCTGCACAAAAAAAGAGGACTTGGAGAGACTGTAAATTGACGCCGGAAAAAAATTGAGTCGATCCGAAATTTGGCATGTATCGACCAAAAAGTTGACCAGTCAACTAGGACTTTACAGCCCTTGGATGGACAGTGAAAACAAGCTGTAGTCATGTCTAAGGTTAGACTGTGAATTTGGTCCCATTAGGTTGATGCATCAAGAAAAGCAAGTGTGGGGAATAGAGTGTGGGGGAAAACACAGGTATTTAGACAATCAGTGTCCAGAAATCATGTCATTTTAAAAAGTCATGATCTTAATATCAGTCGACCATCATGATACTATTCGAGAAAAAGGGTCTGAAACATCCAAAACAGTAAAATCCTCTAATTTTACAACAATGATATCAGATGCTCAGAGTTCAACACAACCACTGACTGCTCATTATCAGAAAAGGTAAAACTGGTATCAAAACTATCTCCACATTTGCCTCCAGCCAAACTGGACGGAGCTGTCTCATCGATGCCAAAACAAGCACAGATTGAGCCTTTAGCCTGGCAGCGATGTCCAAAAACGGCAGACTCGCTGTGGGCAGACCAAACCGAACCGTCGCCGTGTCATGCCAGGCCAGGGACACTGCCAGCATCAGACATGTAGCACATTACTTCAGCATAATTACCCTGTTTTGCAGGCAAACGTCACATGGATCTAATGCTCATGTACGAGAAGAGGCTATCCATGTCTGTGTGTGTTGACGGTGCTCAGAGCGAAATGTTACACAGGGGAAGGAGGAGTTATTCGTATACGCCGGCTCTTTGACAAGAAAGCGGCGCTGTGCAGTGTGTTTGGACAGACGCCGCCGCAGGGATGAATGTTTAGCCATCAACGAGATGATGGCACCAGCTTGGTGTCAGTGCGGGTCACTTATAAATCAGTGAAGTTCTGCACCGAAGCTGCAGCAGCATCTGGGATACATGGTGGACAAATTATTCATTAAAGCAAGCTTTCAGAGACGGAGTTAAATCATGTTTTGATTTTTGTGAACGACAGTGATGTTTAAAATATGGTTTGACGGCGTGGTTTTACTCCCTTGAGATATGGTGATGGGAAAAAAAATCAGCTGTTACTGCTGCAAGAAAAGAGTTGGTAACACTTTACAATAACCATAATTTAGAGATGGTAAATAGATAGTTTATTAATGTTTAATCATTTAAAAACAGCATATAGGCCAGTTATAAATAACAAATAGATGGTTTATTAATATAAGTTAATAGTTACTTTATCATTAACAAGCAATGAAATTATGATTAGTAATTTCCATTAACCCTTTAATGCCTGAAACCACAAATTATGGCCAGAAAATTCAATTTTTCGGAGCTGAAATGTTTATTTCACTGACTACTGAAAACCAAAAATATCAAAATGTCCTTAAAATTTAACAAATATATATATTTATTTATCTTGTTTGATACATTAGATGTTTTTGGAAACTGATAAAACACAGTGGACATTTTTATCATTTATCGGACAGTATTCAGGTGTTTTTTTAGTTATTTGTTGATCATATTGATTTGATAGAAGTATGTATCAAATATGATACAAAAGGCATTAAAGAGTTAATTATCAATGGACTATTTATTAAAAGGTTTATATAGGGTTTAAATATTGATTGTTAAACATCTAGGTTAAAATATGTGTCTGTAACACTTTGTAAATGGTTAATATTTAGTTTTTAAACCACCTATAAACATTACTTAGATGGTTATTGTAAAGTTAGGGTTAAGTTCCTTACACACCGGGAGCGTTTTTTTTCGTGCGATTATTTCAGACGTCAATATTTTTTTTCGGACCCGTATCCTGTCAATACAAGCGTTCACATCAGCGACGTTTTCCTGTCCTGCGGTATTGCAGCATTTATTTTTTTGCATCGATTTTTCTAAAGTTTCACATACTGTGTGTCCACTTCTGACCAATCACATTTCGTGTTGTTGCGACCGTGTTGTTGTATATCCAACATGGCCGACCAGCTGATTGTTCACGTGTCGGAGAACAAATATTACAAAGATAACGACCTGAAGGACAACTTGTGGAGAGTCATAGCGTCGGATTTCTCATATGACGATGGTTTGTGTGTTTTAACAGTTTGCTAAATGTCTTTGTTTTAACTTTCATCTGTGCTAAGTAACTTTAGCTCGTAAGCTAACCTGTTCAGATTCAACATACCATATGTATTTTCACTGTCACAGCACCATTAGGTCTCGGTTGTTACCTTACATTTATGGATTATAGTTTAATGTTCTTATCTGGTACTGGCCCCGACTCAGTACATGCTATCATGACAGACAGACATCTCAACACTAGAGTCTAATCAGAACTGAAAAACACTCAGTCTGCTGTTGTGTCAGTCTTTTTTTCCCCCCAGAGAGTCGCAAAATCACATTGCGCTTGATGTGTATAGTCAGGCGTGTCGAAATTCGCCTTCGAATATTTCGTAATTTCGTGTCGTATATTTGCGTCGTTCCCGGTGTGTAAGGACCTTTAGGGTTAGGGTTAGGTTTTTATAAGTGAAAAATGTACAATTTATCAATGGTCTATATGCTCTTTATAAATAATGATTAAACATTTAAAAAAACCATCTGCTTACCATTTATAAGTTATGGTTATTGTAAAGTGTCTCATGGGTTTTGCATGTTCTTTCTGCGTTTACACAATCTATGACATCTCCTCCTCCAGCCCAACAAATGGCTTTAATTAGCGTGAAGCTAAAACCCCTACATGTGAAATCAATGACACACTCATGGACAATCCTCGCCGCCTCGTGTGGTTAAATTGATTAGCATTGCTCACTTTTTCTTGGAAGGCCCTTTCACCGCCGAGGGTTGCTGAGAAGGGCCACCTTTCTCCACCGAGTTACCACGACGACAGCTCTGCTCCCCTGCCGAGGGGGAGGAGGAATCGGATTGGGCGGCTTCGCAGACCACCTGGAAGCCCTGTGGGCGGCAGAGAGAGATGGACAGATACTGTAGATGAACAAACAGACGGACAATCCTGGATAATTAAGGGCTGTGAGGGTTGGAGTGAGGTTTCTGTCATGACCCTGGATAACCACTCCAGCGCTCCCAGATGACAAATGCTAATGAATATGAGCAGCTATCCTCAGGGGATGCTGCAGGGGGGGAAGGGAAGAAGCCCTTAGACTCCTGCCTGAGCACGTTCAATCAACAGCTGAGCTAAAAACGCTCACTCACCGTGGGACCTGGGTTGCTAGATCCACAGGGGCTGCACTGGTTGTTGACTGGGGAGTTCCTCTTGGCTGTTGAGACAAGCGTAGCGGATTACACGTCTCAATTAGGAACAAGCAAAAAATAGATTAACCCTTTAGAGGAGATCTATACGGCTGTTGGTGAGGATTTGTCTTTCCCCACCTGTAACGATGTTCCTGACGGGTTTGATGAGGGAGGTGAAGGCGGGGATGTCGGGCTGGCGGTGCTCCCACATGGGCTGCCATATCACAAGACCGCTGGCTAGTCTGAAGGTCAGGTCGGACTCCTGTGGTTAAAAAAAGCAGGTCAGTGACATCAACGAGGCAGACGACGGCGTTTCCAGTCTCTTAAGATGGCGAAAGTGAGAGACTGTGTGAGCGAACAGTTCAACAGTTTCAAAGACGTTCAGGATCTGATCATCTACAGAATCTGGAAACGTGCTTCCTCATCCCTCCAACACCTCCTCATTCCTCCTATGCCTCCTCATCCCTCCTATGCTTCCTCATCCCTCCTATTCCTCCACATCCCTCCTATGCTTCCTCATGCCTCTTACACCTCCTCATCCATCCTCATCCCTCCTATGCCTACTCGTCCCTCCTAAGCCTCCTCGTCCTTCCTATGCTTCCTAATCCCACCTATCCCTCCTTATTCCTCCTATGCTTCCTCATCCCTCCTCATCCCTCCTATGCCTCCCTATACCCCTATGCCTCCTTATCCCTTCTTTGCTTCCTCTTCCCTTCTATTCCACTTCATCCCACCTATGCTTCCTCATCCCTCCTATTCCTCCTCATCCCTCTTACACCTCCTCATTGATCCTCATCCCTCCTAAGCCTCCTCATTCTTCCTATGCTTCCTAATCTCACCTATCCCTCTTTATCCTCCTATGCTTCCTCATCCCTCCTCATCCCTTCTTTGCTTCCTCTTCCCTTCTATTCCACTTCATCCCACCTATGCCTTCTCATCCCTCCTATTCCTCCTCATACCTCCTATGCCTCCTTATCCCTCCTACACCTCCTCATCCATCCTCATCCCTCCTTTGCCTTCTCCTACACCCCCCCTCCTATGCTTTCTCATCCCTCCACATCCCACCTATGCCTCCTCATCCCTCCTATGCCTCCTCATTCCTGCTATGCTTCCTTATCCCTCCTCGTTCCTCCTTATCCCTCTTATGCCTCCTTATTCCTCCTTCGAGATCATGGCAACTTAAAAACCCCAAACTACCACTGACCAAAAATCTTGATACCTGTTGATGAAGAGTCAAAATCAGATCCTAAAATCAGACTTTTCTTTTACAGAAGTGTTTTAAAAGGATGTTTAGATTCCTTCTCTCGGGTACAGACCTTTATCCGATGGATAAGCGGCGCAAACAGGAACACAAACAGCTCCACCGTCGCCATACTCTTGTGGAACAGCTTGGTACGAGCGTGTTCATCCTCCTCCAGCAGCGACCCGCTGTGCTGAGGCCCCGACCCCCCTAAGGCGGAGCCGGAGCACGAGCCGGGCGCCCCGGGAGACGACCCCTGGTTCCCCACTGGCTGGAGGAAGGCGCTGCTGCTGCTGCCGGCGGACCACCCGTGGCCCAGGCTCGGCTCGTGGTTGCACTCTTGGGCGGCTTCCAGCAGCATCCAGTGCAGCGTGTGGAGCAGCTTGGTTTCAGCCACGCCCAGCTTATCCTGGTGACCTTTTGGGGTCAGAGGTCAGAGGTTAATGGTGAGGGCTGATTAGAGGGGTGATGAATGGGCGACAAACAGCTAAGGACATGACTCAGTTGAAGACGTGGGATAAAATGTTTGATTTTGGACAGTATGAGCAGTATGATAAGGAGAAATTTTCCCTTTTTTATTTTAATATTTCATATAAATATTAAATGTTAACGTCTGTTTCCAATAAGGCCGCAAACTGAGCCATCTAAGACTGTAAGAAGATAAAGCCCGCCAACTTGATGCCTGAAGCTGCACTAATGCATGTCCTGCGCGTCCTCACCCAGCTTGTTCCTGTTCGACAGCAGGATGGAGGTGCAGTGGAGTACATGAGGCAGCGCCGCCTGGACGAGCTCCCAGCGGGAAATGCTCTGGATGGCCTCTGACAGGGCCGGCGACAACCCGTGCAGCTTATTCTCCACCAGCACACGCTCAAAGGACTGGGGAGGCAGCCAGAGACGAGAGAAAGGAGAGAAAAAGAGAGAAAGAGAGAGAGAGAGGCATCAGGCAAGGATCTAAAGCTGCTTTCTTTGACTATCTAAATGTCCCACATGGCCCCCGAGCGAGGCAGCGCCTGTGGGAAAGACAGAGGCAGCTCTGTTTTGATCCAGAGGGATCTGGAGAAGCCGTCATTATGGATATGAGTTTCCGAGAGGTCTGGCTCTGGGGTAATAGGAGGAAGCAGGGGGGGGAAAACTAATTTGCCAAATGTAAAATCAAGAGCCCACTTGATTTGCAGGTGCATTAAGGTGAAAAGAGATTACAACAGAGCGAGGGGTGATTATTCTACTGCATTGTGCATATTTGCATTATGAAATTACTCACCACGCAAGATGCTTCATACTGCTTCCCCAACTTTGGGCGCAGGAATGCACTGAAAGGTGAAAAACAAACCCCAAATGAAGGTTAAATCTTCAATGTCATTTCAGGTTTTGAAGAAAAAAAACATGTCAGCCTTCATTTTTTTTGCAGAAAATCCACAAGGTGTCATTCTTTCTTGGCCCACTTCCCGTGTAAATTTGTTATACAGGTGTGACATCATGCAATCTGCAGCCGGAGAACATGCAGATCACCTTCCTCCGTTTAAGACACTGCTCAGCTGCACAATAATCATTGTTTATTTCCAATTGTCTTATCTATTTTAATGTCTATAAGGCGCAGAGAAGCAGCGACATTGACACCGCTGGCTGTCAAATCCGTATTTGTGTCAAACACCTGTTATCAATTCTGCTCACACCAACCTGGTCTGCCTCCACAGAAAGGTCTGGATGGGGAACGGGATCCCTTTCCCGCACTCCGGCTCGTTCTCGTCCAAGCTTTTCCTCTTCACCATTTTGACCGGTGCCCTGCCTGCCCGCCTGTGAAGCGCGACCACCGGGACGCGCGGAGGAGGAGGAGGAGGGCTGCTGGCTCTGCCCAGGTGACCAGCGAGATTTCGTCTCACGACATGATTGGGTTCGTCCTGCGGAAAATGGCTGCAAGTGTCGGTCGATCGGCGGCGAAACAGAAACACGGAGAGGAAAAGAGAGAGAGAGAGAGAGAGAGAGAGAGAGAGAGAGAGAGAGAGAGAGAGAGAGAGAGAGAGAGAGGGTGGGTGGGAGGGGAGAAGGAGAAGGAGAGGGAGAGAGAGAGAGCGCTCTGATTTCAGCACCACCCTCACCGGACAGCGACAGTTGATCGACGTGTTAATTTATCGTCGGCGCAGTTTAAAGACGCAGTGCACATCTGGGACAGATGTTTGTCAGCTCTCACACTCATTAAATAAAAAACGACAGTGTATGCTGAATAAACACACATCAGGATGGTGCATTCACCTAAGAGGGGAGGTCCACCTTTAGAGTATCAACAGGTTGTTTAATAAGACAGGTGGTGGACAGGCAGGGTTGGCTGTAACCATGAGAAACACAGCAATGAATAGGTACGGTGGCCGAGAACCGCCACTGCTGCAAATGAAAAAGAATGCAAATTGGATGTTACCGATGCAGAAAAAAGGAAACCGAAATCAGCTGCAATTAAAAAAGGAATGGCACTGATAAAAAAAACCCACAACAGAAGTTAATGAGGCAAAAAAAGTGGCGTTGCCAAAAAAAATAGAGAAAGGAGTCACAACCGATGTTACTGATACAAAAAAAGAAACCAAAATCCGCTGCAATTAGAAAAAGAAATGGTGCAGAAAAAAAAAAACCTAGCCACAACGGAAGTTAATGACGCAAAAAAAAGTGGAGTTGCAAAAAAAAAAAAAGAAGTCACAACGGGATTTTACCAATGAAAAAAAGACACCAACATCCACTGCAATTTAAAAAGAAATGGCGCTGATAAAAAAAAAAAAAACAGAAGTTAATGGCGCAAAAAAGAGTGGTGTTGTAGAATAAAATAAAAAAAAAGATTCACAACAGATGTTACTGATGCAAAAAAGAAACTGAAATCCGCTGCAAATAAAAAAAGAAATGGCACAGATAAAAAAAAAGGCACAATGGAAGTTAACGACGCAAAAAAAAAGTGGCGATGGAAAAAAAAAAAGCTACTCACTGTGAAAATACAAAGATGCAAATAAAAAAAAGCCACCATGTAAGTGAGCTGCCGTGGACCAACAATGATGATGATGATGCACCGATGTTAGTAGACGACGGCGAGAAGACAAGCAAAGAAGTAATGCTGCGTTCGAGTTACCTTGGAAGTCAAATGTCGGAACTGAAAATGACGTCAGACCTGAGTTCCCAGCGTTTCTGTTACTAGGTCAGAAAGAAGCAAAATCGGAGGCCTGAACCAAGATGGCTACATCTACTAAAGTTATTTTAGCGCTTGCTTTATATTCGGACAAGGCAAGCGCTAAAATAACTTTCGTAGATGTAGCCATCTTGGTTCCGCCTTCGATTTCGCTTTTTCCAACCGCTACATTATATCCTTTGTGTAAAAATTTTGTCAGACATTTTTTTTCACAACATAGTCAGCTTTATAGTGAAACCCCATATAGAGGTAAGGGATTGAGTGATTAATTACGGACACAGTTGGGGTCACCCTAACTTTGGTGTGAGATGAGGAGTCTTAAACAATTTTTCTCGTTAAAAGGTCATTTTCAAGAAACACAAATAAACTATTTACACACACACATATAAGAGTTAGCAACAGTTTCAGATAATTCAGCCATAAAAACAAGAAGCGGTTTTTATTTTCTTTATTTCTGTTGTCTTCATCCTGTAGGAGCATTTGTCATCAGTATGTCTCAAACATTGGAAAAGTGTGCACACATCTACATGGTCTTTTAAATACACTTACACAGGCAAAATGGGGGCCGGGAAAAGAGGGAGGTAGAGTATAGGAAGCACAGAAAAACACTGGAAGGGTAACCAACATCAGGGGGGAGGAGGATTAAGAGGAGGGAGGCAGAGGAGTTTCACAATGGTGAGCAGAGAAAATGTTTCACTTCCTTTTCTTTTGATTTTTTTTTAATGTGATTTCTAACAGTTGTGAGTTGAGGGTCATTTCTGCTTTCAGCTCGTGTGAAGGTCAAACCTACAAAACACGGGCCGGGTAGCTGCTCTTACGCTGGAATGTTTTCATATAAAGCTTCCACTTTTTTTCAAATCAACTTTTGCTGCGCATTCAAATACATTATACAACTCTGCAAAAAAGAGAAAAGGTCACGTAGCCTTGGAAGGAATCGGTCCTCGAACACTAAAATGCACCCACACACTGAAAAAGTTGCAGTTTGCTCCGAATAGATCTAATTTATTTATCATTTATTTGCCATGCCAGCATAACAGGATCATTGTAGCCTAGTAAAATCACTGAGCTAACGCAAAACCGAACGATAAGAGCAGCCAATTGATTAAAAAAAAACAAGAAAAAACAAAAAAAAAAATATCGGAAAGCTAGCCTTTTAGCGACACATCTGCATTAGCTTACGTGCTAATAAGCCAGTGCAGCCAACAGGAAACGTACAAAAACTCGAACAACTTCCACTACGGTGACATATATATAAAAAAGAAAACACAGTTTGTCCAACAATTCCGAACAATCATGAACCAACGAACAAAATTCCTCTCGTCATGTTAGCAAACATGCTAATTAGCCTCTCTTCGGACACTCCCGAGTCCGCTCACACACTCAGCAAGAATCGTGTCGCTGTTTCTCGGACCGGGTACCAAGGAAAATTACGCATGAGTTAAGTTTTATTCCCGTAAAAGTGGAATGTGATGCTTTTCTTTTGCCGCTAAAAAAATCACTGTACAATTGTAAAAACCATTCAATGTGTTCGAAACAAAACCATCCACCCTTTAGCGTTCTTAACATTCAAGCTAGCTAGAACAGAAAGTTCGTATTTGAGCGAAGAAAAAGTGAATGAAAAGAAATAAAAGAGTGGCCGGGCCTGTTCTTTTTTCAAGTCCTGCTGGAGGGGGGGACGGGGAAAGCCGTTGACGGACGAGAAAGTCAATCAACTACAACTGCTGGATCGAGAGTAGGGGGGTCGTGTTGCTTTCAAGGACCGCAGGAGAACATTGAATGATGAGAGAAGAGAAGAAACGGCGGGGATTCTTCGGAGGAGATTTCCAAACAGACAGCTCATAAGCCCTGCTTGGCGAGGGCGGCGGTGACATCCTGGGCCAACGTGGACAGCTGTGGCGACTCCAGGAGGTTGATGCTGCCGGCGGAGGACAGACGAGGCGAGGTGCCCCCGGTCTCCACCCCGGGGGAGTGGGTGATGACGATTTCCGCGCCGTGGTCCACCCGAGCTTTGGCCGTTTCCCGGAAGCTCAGCTTGTGGCTCTCGATCTGGAGAAAAAGTCAAGTCAGGACGTTTTGATCACATTTAAAAAAAAAAACCGCTGTTCATGTTTTTGCCCTTTTTTTAAATCTCAGTTTCGCTACCATGATGTTCCCGCCTCCAGGGGTGTGGCTGGTGTTGCTCAGGGAGCCGACCTTGGAGTGGGCCTTGTCTTTAAAGTCCAGCTTCACATTCTCGATGCGCACGTTGCCTCCCCCTGGGGACAAGACATCGAGAAGGAGAAGAAAAACGTCAAACCTGAGAGGCGTCGCATGAACGCGGGACTCGAGGCGGGGAAGCTCAGTCAGTCAAGGACGGCGAGCTTTCAAAATACAAACATTTACCGTCTTGTCTCTGCACAAACAACATCACAACGACCCACCTGGCATTTTTTATTTCTTGATACTGCAAAGGAAAGTTTTTAAAAGCCGACGACATTCTTCAGTTTTGTCTGTTGACACTGCGGCAAAAACATCGTCAGGAATAATGACATTTACTGGGTACAGATATATAAGAGTAGCCTTTGGAGCTACATCAATCGAGCAACGTCTCACGTGCATCAAAATGTTTGCACATATTTTTAAAACTTTTTTTACTCAGAGTCATTTATTTATTTGCCAATTGCAGAAAAAAAAACACATAGAAAAACATCTGCTAGAGGACAATAAAGACAGATAAAGTTACATAGAAACAGAATAAGGTGGGTTAAAATTACAGTTAAAGTAGAAGGACGCTACAAGTATTAATAGTGATAGTGATAATAATAAACAATAAAGATAATAATAGTATTTAAAAACTTCTATTTGACCCTAAGTGTTCAGACTAGGGTTGGGCATCGAGTCTCAAGCATCGATGGAGACCGGGACTATCATTCCGATTCTCCCCGAATCGTTTAAATTTTAAAATTTTCGATTCCAAGTTTCCAAGTAGCGATCAGAAAATAACCGGGCCAATCAGTGACTGTGTTTCCACTGTTACCCTGACAACAGGGAAAGGCAGCCCCTGATTGGTCCATGTGTAGATGGTGACGTCTAACACATGCTGCGGGACTTTTCAAAGCGCCGTTCATTCAGAACGCCGTTAGTTCTGCAGTTGATTTTGCAAAGTCAGCAGAAATCGTTTATATCCGCAGAAGACGTCGGATATAAACGATTTCTGCCCAAGTCCAGACTGTTGTGGGAAGGAACGGCAAGTGATTCACGCAACAGGACGGCCCAGCCAGGCTAACAAACCGGCAGGTAGAGCATTTGATTGAGCGGTACAGTCTACCGAAAGGCTAGAGGCAGGATGACTGGTGATTATTTTCACTATTTTTGAATCCCGAGTCAGGAGCCTCGATTTATAAAGTGCATCAAGTTTAGTCAGGTCAGTGCCGATAATTTTCTGAGTCAGATCGGCTATTCTGGTCAGAGATTTTCGCTCCCGTACAGTGAGGTTTCTAAACCAAACTGTGGACCAAGAGGTGAGAATACTTTGGATGATACACCTTTAAATTAAAATCTGACAATTAGAGGAGAAATCGCTGCATAGATTTCTTGACGATGGTCCTGGCGTTAAAGGTGCCAGCTTAGATTGTTTGTAATAGACACCAACTACCTTTGTTGTTTATAATGAGAGGGATCATTAAAAAGTGACGCTTACTCTTTGTTTTCCCCCCAAAATCATGCATTTCTAAATATCTGGATGTACTGCACCTGGTCTGTGGCGGATGTTGGACATGGAGCCACATTTGGAAGTGATGTGGCTCAAGTCGATCTTCTTGCTCTGGATCTGGATCTGCGGGCGTCGAAAAGAAAGAAAGAAAGAAAGAAAGAGTTCTCAAAATCAATTAGCCTAAAAAAGTCCGAGGATGAGTGCAGATTAATCAACGGCATCTGCAGGGGGATGTTGAGTTCAGCTCCCTGTGGAGGGAGGGGGAACATGGAGCAGGAACAGCAAAGACATCCGACAAACACAGCCAACAAGCTCTACGGGAAGCTGCACAGAGCAGGTGCGTCGATTAAACTTTATGGTCCGTGGGTGATGGGAGTTAGAGCGAGTACAAACACAGTTAAAGAGACAACGCTGCATGCTGTGTTGACTCTGTGTTTAAAGAGGCTGGAACAAACATCGTATAGATATTCGGTTTTTGGTGCAAACGGAAGCAGGAAATTAAAATTTGATTTCTGCTGAGTCACTCACGTTTCCGCCTCCTGCCATGTGCTGGATCTTATCCAGGGAGCCACACTTAGCCTGAACGTGGCTGAAGTCCAGTTTGACGCTCGGGATCATGACCTGGGGATGACAGGAACATTTTTCTTTTTTTCTTTTTTTCCCAGGATCACTGTCGGCCTCTCAAACTGGATCGAGGGGGAGCTTAAACTTCATCCCTCCCTCCCTCCTTTTCCCGGCCCCGAAATAATCCTCGAAAAATTGTCCCAATTTTAAATCCAGGATTTATCAATCTGATGGTGTTTACTTTAGCACGAGAATTGAATTGTGGACTGATCTAGATCACGGAAACTGAAGCTTGTAGTTGAAGGAGTCTGCAGGATTCACAGATTCGTTAAAACAGCCTGAAGCATATTTAGATTTGATTCCCAAGTGTGACATCTACTATTCTACGCAAGAACACAACAAACACACAAAGGTTAAAACAACTAGTTAACCCTCAGATGGGAGGACAGGTGAACATTTAAAAGTAGCACAAAAACAAAAAAAGAGCTAAACCTGGAGAAGAAGGACAGAAAAGGGAGAAAAGAGAAAAGGCGTACATACATTGCCTCCTTTGGGCGAGTGCTTCAGATTATCCTTGGAGCCGCACTTTGACTGAACATGACTGAAGTCCAGCTTCTCGTGTAAAATTTGAACCTAAAACAAAATCCAATCATAAAAAAAAGAAAATGCTATATGTGCCTCAGAGAGAAAGAAAAGTGTCTCAACATGCATTTACATTTAAACTGTGTTTATATCGAAGATCATCCAGATTAGTTTTTTGTATTCGTGGATTTTTAGAGCTCTCAAACCTTTGAATCTGATTTTCAACGACAGGGACTGAAACAGAATTCAAACAAGGCCTCAAAAAGTTCAATTTTCTAAAACATATGTCCACCAGGAGCTTTTTTTAACTCCACGCACACAAAACATACTCCTACTATGGGCCTGTTTCCACTATTGACATTAACTTTGGCACAAGTTAAGCATTTTCATCACTTCACACTGCTCTTATGCTGCGTTCCAGTTGTACTTAGAAGTTGGAATTTCCGAGCTCCGAGTCGGAACTTTCAACGAGGTCACAACCCCCCAGTTGACGTTCAAAGATGGCGGCCCCTGCCCCGGACAAGGCAAGCGCTAAAATAACTTTCGTAGATGTAGCCGTCTCGTTCCCACCTCCGATTTTGCTTTTTTCCGACTTGGTAACTGAAACGCTGGGAACTCGGTAGTGACGTCATTCCTATTCGAGGTAATGATTATATGATCGTGATAAATTCCAGTTCGATCACGGTGATCAGCTGTGAGCATATTTACTCGATCAAACGTAGCGGAAATGTCGTCACATCAGCCAATCAGAGTCGAGCTTTTCCTGCCCACTTCTGTAAGTTACCGGAGAAGTAAACAGAAGAAGTAAACAGAATGACCGAACGTGGAGCTGAAGCAGCAAAACAGTTGTCAGCCGTGACTTTGAGTCATTCTCTGAAGATGTTATTGTTGAGAAGTTATTCAACGTCGGTTGTGTGACGGTGGTTGGGGTATCTCCAAAGTGACGTCAAGCAATTTAGCCAATGTGTAAAGTATGTCGGCGGTCGAAGTCTGTACAGCCTGTTACTGCTGACGGCACAAGTAGCATTAGCAGTTTTGCGACAACTAGCGGTGCAGCGATCAATCGTATCATCTACGTTTACATTTTAAGGCGTCTTCATTATCTCTGAGGGGGCGATTTGTTTATTTTGGGTCTTGCATACTTGCAAAAACACTCAGGACTGTAAACTAATTCAATGTATTATTTAATATTTATCTACATTTGTTATTCTGTTGAGTTAAAATGTTTTTTCTATTTTTCAAAGTTTATCTTATTTCATTTGTTTTGTAATTTACTTTGTATGTTCATAAAATGTTGAACTAATCTCTAGTTTCTTTAGTTTTAAGTACAGATGCTTTAAAACTGGCAGTTTAAAAAAAAATAGTGATAATAATCAAAATCAAACGATATGACAAAATATATCGTGTATATATATATTTTTTTGCCAAATGGCCCAGGCCTAACTCGAACGCAGCATCAATCCCAACTTGGAGCAGAATTCAGGGCCTGTGTCCACTGAATGCATTCTTATCCACTTCAGTGTTGACCACACGTTCAGTCCTAAAAATAATAAAGGACGGATGAATTTTCTACCTTAAAAATAAAAAATAAAAAAAAAACTCTTCAAAGAGCCTAAAAATGAGAGCGAAGGGGAGAGGAGGAGGAGGAGGAGGGAGGTTTTAGGGGAAACACACAACAGCCCTGACAGCGGGCCTCCGTCTGTCTCCTGTGACCTGACCTGGATTCTCTTGACAGCTTTTCCTCTTACCTGCACAAACACATACGCGTTTTGACGCACACACTCTTGTGCTTTTTTTTTTTCTTCCCCCTCTTACTGTCGGCTGTTCTTACTCCGCCTGTTATCCTCTGCAGCTGTTGCAGCACAAGCCAGCTGCAAGGTCAGACAATGACAACGCACTACATCCTAAATAAATCATGACAGACTCAGGACTCAGAGCAGGAGGGATGTTTGAAGATATTGATGAACGCTAAACTATGACGAAATCGATGAATACATGATGGATAAACAGATCGCAGAAACCTGCTTCTAGGGAGCGGGAGTCTCACAGACACAGACCCTTTCGTGCCTCGCCTTCAGGCTTCATTAAAAATTTCTGCCCCTGTGTCACATTCCTCCCCGAAGAAGAAAGAGGAGCATGAAGAAATGACTCCGCCGTAGATCACAGGAGCTAATTAAGAGCCTCACCTCGGCTCTACTCCGGGATCATTAAGACTGTCTGTTGCCTCCATGAAAAAATTTCCAATCACACGACTGTCATCGCACCCTGCAGACTGATCTGTTTTATTAGAAACCTTAAAAATTAAGAGGAAAAAGCGACTTTCTATTCTTTATCCTTGGAGCAACTTATCAATAAGTAATTCAGACTGATGCAATTATTAATATTCAGAGCCAGAGGGAAAATTCCGCTGAGGCTTCACCGTAAGAGGAGCTGTCTTTACTCTGCTTCTCAACAGGGAGAGATTTTAGAAAAGGTAAAGAGAAGGAAGACGAAAAAAAAAAAAGGGGAGAGTCAGAGGAAGAGGCTGGAGGCGACGGGTGACGGTTCATCCGGACTGACAGCAAACAAGGAGGAGGACAGCCAGAAGGAGGAGGAGGAGGAGGAGGAGACGGCGAGGACAGTGAGTGAGAAGATGTGGGAAGAAAGAGATGTTTGAGCGATTTATGACATTTTTAGACTTCACATAGAATAAATACAAAAGAACGAGAAAAATGGTGTCATATTAACATATTCTGTCTGAGTCGACCTTTAATAAAGTCACTAAAACATCGAGGGAAGCTGCGCAAATGTGCAAATAATCTACACTGATTTTATCCACTGAAAAACGCTTTTGGGAAGCCCTTGCGGTGATTTCCACTACAGAGCCAGGTGTATTTTTAATACTTTTTAAATTTTAACACCTGAATCTTGTCTTACAAACCATAAATATATGTTTTTATCAGCATTTTACAAAATGTCTGAGCATGTTTGGGATAAAATTTGTACTTCGAATAAAGATGTAAACAAAAATGTGTTATTTTACTTCAGAAAATCACCACATTTGCTTTATTTTTATGAACCTTTTTCTCATCGTATTCCGGCCTGTGTGTTACCGATGTAGTCTAAAGACATAAATGTTCAACAACTTCAACAAACTCGAGTATAAAAAGCAAATTAAAGATTAAGAGTGAGAAATTATGTGTAAGAAAAACATCAGCTTTTCCCTTTCAACATGGAATCCGTTTATATCTGAGTCTTTACTGCCCCCTTGTGGCAGAACTGGAGTAATGCACAAGATATATTGGAGGTTTAAGGAACAAATTAAAGATCCCTACGACTTAATTTTACCTGTCCCCCTTTCGGCTGGTGTTTGAGGTTGGAGGTGGACCCGATCTTGGACCTTACATTCTTCAGGTCGGGCAGGGGCTGATTGAGCACCTTCAGCTGCCGTTGGGCCGAGGACGGAGACTTGGGCGGGGTCCGGATCACCGCCACCTTCTTCTCCTGGAGGACGCTGAAGGACTTGGGCGTGTGGCTGCCGGGGGTGCGAGAGCCCGGGGTGCGGCAGGAGTAGCTGGGGGGCGTGCCGGGCGTGACGGCGGAGGAGCCGGGGGTGGAGGAGCCGCTGCGGACTGATCGGGAACGCGCCGATTCTGTACCTTTAGAGAGAAAAAGACCAGAGGAAGAAAAGTCGTTTTGGAGGGAGAGAAATAGGAAAAACAAAGACAGATGGGAAAATAGAGACGGACCAAAATATGAGAGCAACAGATGGATCAGAGAGAGAGAAACAGAGTGATACTGATAAGGAATAAAAACACACAGATGAAAGATGTGAAAGAAGCAGAGCTGTTGGCAGAGAATCGGCTCAGTTTCCACAAAACAAACAACCCAGGTTAAACAAGCAGTGTGAGCACACACACACACACACGCGCTGGCAGCTTGTTGCTGGGATACAAGAGCAGCACCGATAAGATTTAAGCTCTTAGATCCGATCCAGGACTAAGGACCTTATGTTATGGATCCCACCGTTTCCTCTGATAATATCGCTGCAGGTGTGACAGCTGGAAAATGAAGGTGATTTAACAAAGAAACATCAACCTGGATGAAGTGATGAGAGCGTTATGGACGGATGACGTTCACTCGTGATGCTCAATGTTATCCAACATGAAGTCACTCAGTACGTTTACATGCACAGCTTAATCAGACTAAGCTCATAATTCGTTATTTTTCACCAAATTGGACTTCTGGTCTGCGTATACATGCAGCCACTAGGGGGCGACATGGGTCTTTTCAGCGGCGCTGTTTCCGACCCCATACAACCATCAACAACAGCAGGTCAGTGACAGACATCAGAAGTGTCTACAACTGCTGCTGGGAATTTTTGAGCAAGAAGATGGCGCATCGTACAGCGTTGTTTTTGTCGTACCGTATTTCTCGCATTATAAGGCGCACTTAAAATCCTCTTGGCTTGTCGGAACACTGCAGCTACTGTGGCCTCGCAGAGTTACTGACTGTTTTGTTTGGCTTAATGCGCTTTATAATCCAGTGCGCCTCATGTATGAAAATAGATGCAAATATACGCATTCATTGATGCGCCTTATAATCAGGTGCGAAAAATACGGTCCATGATGTACGCGCTATTTTTTCTGTGGATGAGATCCACGCTACTCCTCTTCTCTAGTGTTCTTGTCCTGGGGTTACGGGGATGTCCGATCATACTTCGACTACGCTGGTTACATGGTAGAGAAAATCCAATTCCAATCGGATTATCTGGGTGTCTTTATCGGAGTTCTCAAACCAAGGTATTTAAATGCACTTCAGTTGTCCGGTTTTAATCGGAATAAGGCGATAATTCGTTTTTCTCGAGTGTCATGTAAACGTACTGAGTGTGTTTATCCTGTCGAACAGAAGTTGTCTAATGTTGATGAGAAGGATGCAGAAACTCGAACAAGAGCGACTAGGTTGGTCTACCTGCCATACCAGGTGTTCTCCCAGACCGGGTGTCCGCTCTGGACTGGAACGCTTTGAGAGGCGAGGAGTCAAAAAGAAAACAGAATAAAGGAGGAGGAAAAAAAGAATAAAAAGACAGACGGAAGATCAACTTTAATCTGTGACTGAAAAGAAACTGAGTGAGGAGAGCTGTTAGTAAAAGTGGAAGTGAGTTCATCAAGAAGGAGGCAGAGGAAGCTGTGCTGGTGTAGGTGTGTATTATTACAGGTTGGCCTGGAGGGGGTGCTGTTGTCTTCCTGTTCAGCAGCAGGGATGTGGCGTGTCAGAGACTTGGCAGGCCTGGGCAGGGACGACCTCTTCTCTGGGCTGCGGTATGCTCTCTCCTACATGAACATAAAAGAAACACGAATGTCAGGAAGCGGATCTCCAACATGTGAGACAACAAGGACATCACCTGGTCTTTGTTCAGTCTGTGCTTCCCTCTACCTGATCAATCAACAGTCAAAGCCTGATCATTATTTGGTTTTCCCTTTGGTCCTCAACTGGTTATTGCTTTTCTTTATTTGATCATTTTTGTGTCTTTGTGTGACCATCGCTCTGTAGTTGCTTGGTCATTACTTGCCAAATTATTACCCAATCAATTGTCGTTTTTTTGCCAAATCCATGCTTAGTCATAGCTTGATTACTGCCGAGCCACTGCTTAGTCATGTCTCTGATTTATACTCCTGTCGTTGCTAAGACAGCGCTTTGTCCTTGCCAGAATGTCGCCTGAAAGTTGCTTGTTTATCGTCTGATCGTTAGTCAATCTCTGTTTGTCGTAGCTCTGATTCTTGCCAGACCACTGCAAGTAGTAACCAGGCCCTTGCCAAGTCCTTCTTTTTTGTTAATTTTTGGTCATTTTTATGTCTTTGCTGATCTTTAAAGGTGGGGTAGGCAGGAGCATCTATTTTTGTGGTGTATATACAAAAAAGCTTTTAATATCAGTCAATAGCTATTAGTTATTGATGACATTTAGTAAATTAACGGTATCGCTTAGGTCTTTGCCTCGTTCGGTTTCCTCCTACTTTACCTTCTCTGAATTGTTTTTCGACAGAGAGGCCTGGCGTGAGCATGCAGAGGAGGGGCGGATCTCATTGAGCTCCACCTCCACCAGAGGGCTCCCTTTAAGGCTACAAGCAGAGCTGGGCCGCGGAGGCGGGTACTCAGCTGCCCGGCGCTGAACTGCCATCTTTAACAGAACGGCCCGTGTGGGGCTCTGCACCGAACGCCGGCGGGGCAGGAGGAGGGGCAGCATGCAGATGCAGGATGGAAGGATGGCAAACAGATAGAGAGGAGTGAGATGGGATGAAGTGGAGATGAGCTGCAGTTTCATTGTGAGTAAGATTTTAGCTGAAGATGTCCAGGAAAAAACAACACAAATGTAGATGTTTACAATGAGGACATGAATGAAAAGATGAAACTTCTACAGAGTAAAAAATGAAAGATGGAGTTGAAGATATTTGTGAGAGCCCCTTTGACCTTAAACAAAACTCTGCAAGCTACTCCGCATATCTCTGTCTGCCTACAGTAATCTTATTTCTGTACTCACAGATTTTCTCTGTCAAGACAAGCAGAGAGAAAAGAGGCAGGCGTGCAAGAAGAAAGAAAGAAAATGCAGAAGTAAAAACAAACATGCATGCATGCAGAAACGGACATAACACAAAAAATGAGAAAACTTTTGGGCGAAGAACAAGCTTAAAGACATACACACAAACATGTATAAAGTTGTTTTTTCCAGATGCATTAAAGGGATATTCCGGCGTAAAATTAGTACTATGGCTAGGACCCTATATGTACTGTTGATGAAGTTAGGTGCTGTTCTGAGCCTTATTTGTGGTTATAGAGTGGCGTTTTGGTTGAGGTTTGTCGTTACTAAAGTTGGTATAACAAGAGAAGCAAGCGGTTGGCATAATTCATCTCTCGAGGGGGTGTCTAACTCAGTGTTAAAGTAACTTAATTTTACGCCGGAATATCCCTTTAATTGTTAAAACTAATTTTAATTTGTTTTAACTCCAAAACAATAAGACCCCACCACACAGTGGGAAGACGAGCACTCACAGTGGTCCTCTCCCTGGACTGGTGGGCCACACTGAGGGGCTGATGGCTCTCCATACCTGTCAACAAAGAAACCAGCTGTAATGACCACACTTAACCAGACAGAGGCGACATTTATTTTGCACAAAACACCCACTCAAACATCCAAATCTGCACTCCAAAGGGAAAAAGTGTTACAACAGATTTCACCCTTATGCGTGTTAATCAAGCACAAAGTTTTAGTCAGTCGCTCCGGACATTCGTGGACCTCTTTTGCACCATCTGAACACAAACAACCTTCTGCATGCAAGTGACATTCAGCAATTTTTCATTTAATTGTGAACACAGTTTACACATCGGTGTCAGTGAGCAGAAATAAACATGAATATGAAGCCAAGCAGGAGCAAAAACCTCCATGTTTGACACTGATAGAAACGAGAAAAAGAAACAGAAAAATAAATTAGACAAAGTAGTCGAGTTGATAAATTAAAGACTGGACATGACGTGTTGAATATGAGTAAGCAGCACATGATGTTTGCCAGCTACATTGCACCTCCTTGATTCGTCAAAAGGCCATCAATAGAGAGAGAGCAAACTGTAAACAAACTTTAAATATCTCCAATCCAATCGCCAGTGTTACTTGGAAATTGTTGACAGCTTTTTGGTGAAATAGTTCCAAAATGAAACCAGAGTTGTTATAAAAAAAAACCCACAGCACTCTCTCTATCCACAGCACTTGTTCCCGGTGAAGAGTGTTCACCTGTGGCCTTGCGTCTAGCAGAGCCGTGAAGCAGAGCGGGCCTAGGATGTCTGGCCGCCGCTTTGGCTACACTCTTTCGAGATGGAGAGCGACTTTGGAGGGCTGACACCTTACTCTGGTCAGCCCTCCTCACGGCTACTAACAAAGGAGGAGAGACAGAATTATACCAACATGTCAACCTGCCGTCAAACAAGTTAGCACTAGCATTACAAAATTACAAAAGGTACATAAATGCAAAAAACGGCATGATGGGTTAGGATAGGAACCTTTTTTCTTCTTCATCTCCTCTCTTGGCGGATGATGGATCGGTACTTTGCGGAACACTTTGCTCTCAGTGGTACCGGGACGGCCCTTTCCTCTGCCAGGGGCCCGTTTAGCGGGTTTGTCCACCACAGGTGTACTGGTAGGACCCTGGATCTGAGGAAGGGCCTCAATTTGCTCTGTCATGATACTTTTGTCATCATCTGCAGTGGAGAGGGATTAGAAGAAGACTGACTCTCCATAGTTTTGGCTAGCTAGCAGCTAGCTTGGCACAAGAGACACATAAAATCTACTAGAAAGCCAGTTCCATGTTAAATACCGTAAAATCCGGAATATAAGCCACATCAGAGTAGGTAATGAAATCTAAAGTCCTGCGTTACATTAAGCAATGTGCAGTTTTCATGCAGATGTGTAGCTCTTTCAAGTACCATCTGTTATCGCTATCACCCTGGCTACCTGTATGGTAGGTGAGCTCCGCCTACAATGGCGTTTAAAGTCATGAGGTATAGACAGACCTATTGATTGTAAACAATTCACATTAACCCCCTTTTTTGGTGGTTTGTTGTCAAAATTCGAGGACTTTGACTAAATATCACATGACGCTTGCTTCTGAGCAAAACACAGTAACACAATAGAATACCTCTCTCCACATTTTAAAATGGCATCCGTGTACAAGACACAGCAACAAGGTATCAAGACAGTGTCTCATAAACTGAATTTTACGGTAAAGTTTGATTTACAAAAAATATCAAAGTTTATTTTACAAGTTCTGGGTACCTTGTGAGTCCATCCAGCCACTGTCTGTATCTAGGATGGAGACGTCCATTGTGGTTTCATCGTTTGCTGACTGGCATTGTACATCGGCAGTCTCTTCCACCTCCTGACCGATCTCGATGTCTTTCTCTTGACCCATCTTATCTAACCTCTCCTCACTCTTATCCTCTTCGTCTTTGGTTTTCTCTTTTCTCTCTTCAGGTACCACATCTTTCTCCCTCGTTTGGTCTACCTCGCCTACCTTCACCTCCTCGTTTTTGTTTTCATCACCTGCATTTTTTTCCTCTCCTTTTCCTTCGTTTCTACTACCCTCTGCAGACTGATCGTGGTCAGAGCACGGCGACAAGTGGGAACTGTCTGTTGCAGGCTCGCCGTCACTGTTTTGGGCACTGTGACTCCATTCTTCAGCTCCAGACTTTGGGTCCTCATCCACCAACTGGTCTTCTACCATCAGTGTCACCCCTGCTTTCTTTTGCTCCGCCATGCCAACGTCTATGATGGCTTGATCTATCTTTGAAAGCACAGGCGCTTCAGGTTCCTCCATCATCTCTTGGGGCTCTTCGGCAATCTCGATATCATCATCTTCATCTACATCTTCGTCTACTTGTGCTTGAGGTATGACAATGACTGGGGAGGACATTGGTGGCTTTGGTGAGGCTTTATCAGGAGGAACTTCTTGTATCTTCAACTCTAAGGGCTTCTCAGGGCTTAAAGCTTGACCATCTTTGGAGGACTTTTGCTTTCCATTTTTGTCTGATCTCATTGGTGCCTCCTGCTTACCTTTTTCTGTGTACTCCTTTAAGGACTTGGATGGCAGAGGAGGCAAGTCTTGGTTAGCCTTTTCTGGTTTGTCACTGGATTCCTCTGATTCTCTTTTTTGAGTTTTTTGCAATTCCTCATCCGACTTTGTCGATTTTTCATGAGTAGCTTCAGATTCTGGTTTGCTCTTTGCTTGAGCCTCTAGTGGATCTTCCTTTTTTGTGCTTTCCTCTGTGACTTTCATTTCAGAGTCTGGGGATTTGGGGGTAGTAGGAGTCCTGATTCCAGTTTCCAAAGAACTAAAAGTAAAGGAATTATCCGGTGGGATTGGGGATGCCTCCCTAGAGGGGTCTTTTTCTATCTCTACCTCAGGGATCGCTTGGATCTTAATGTCACCAGGTAGGCCAGTCTCCAGTCGTAACTCAATCAATCTGTCTTTCGTAGAAGTCATTGGGATTCTTAGGCGGTCAGGTTTTATTCCACTTGGGACAGCTCTTTCAAGAATCAGAGAGGACTTTACTGGTGAATCTTTCTTATCAAGCACTATCTTATGAGAAATCTCAGGAATGACACCTTTCACTTCTTGTTGCTGCATTTCTTTTTGGACACCCTCAACCACCTTTGCCTCAAGTTCTTCCTCTGCTTCACTCTCCGCAGAGGGAAAACGCTGATGTGGTGAGTCCCCAGGACTTGGTACATCAGCCGGTGAAGGCATAGGTCCTGAGTACTCATTGAAGACACAGTAGCCCATTTCCTCAAGCGGGCTCTCCCCTCCTACCCCTGGTGAACTTTGATTTTCCAGGGCGAGCTTGGCAAAAGAACTTTCCACCAAAGCTGGTACATTACAAGGCATGGACTTTCGTCTGAGATGATCAAGCTCCTTTCTTTCTGAAGATGGCTGAGGAAGGAGTCCAGCCAGGTCCAACATCTCAGAGAGACTGCCTGAATGTTCCAATACAAAACTGTGCTTGTTAGAGGGCTTTTCTTCTTTGTTGGGTGTATCTTCAGAGGAGTCTGCAGAAGTTTGGGTGATGGAGACAGCTGGAGGAAGCTGGCACTGGCTTTCCACAGAAGGGGTTGAAGGTTGTACCTCAGACTCATCAAAACTTCCACTTATTGGACCCAAGCTTTCCAGGAAGGCCTTTGACTTCTCTCCCATTGCTGTGTGTCCAGATGAAGATCCAACTGTAATGTTCAAGGAGAGGCTTCTTTGCTCTACAGACATCTTACCAGAAGTCGTGCTTGTCTTTGTCTCCTGTTCTTCGTCAAGCTTTTTCATTTTAATCTCTTCTTCGCCGCTTAGGTTTGTCCCTGCTGCTGTGCTCAGCTCGTAATAGCTTTGGGTTTGCAGTGAGTCCTCTTTGTTGTCTTCGGAAGTTGTCTCAAAGTAAGTTTTTGCCCCGGATTCTTGCTCTGATTCGGCTTTGGACTCTGTACAAGGTTCTGGACTTGACATGGTAGTTTCTTGCCTGTGAGTGTCAGTCTCTTGTGGCTTGCCCAGAGTTGTACCTTTCACTTGGTCTTCCTCATTTATAGTCTCTGTTGTTATTTCAGTTTCAGATTTGCTTGCCACAATCGTTTCCTTTTCTTCTTCAGGTTTTGGTACCTCTCCTTCCAGTGAAGGCTGTTTTACTTCTTTTACTTCTGACTCTTCAGACTCTTTCACTTGACCTTTACTCTCTTGGTTAGTCTGCTCAGTCGAGGAGGTTTCAGACAAATCAACAGGGGGTTCAACTGAAGCTACATCTCTGCCTTCAATCTCTGCCGACTCTTGATGCGGCGGCGCCACTCGAGCCCCCTCTTCTTTCACGGCGGACTCGCACGTAGCTTTACTGACGCATTCTTCTGGCTGGGCTGTGAGTTTGAAGGATACTGTACAACCTTGTGCTAGGTCACATTAGCTTAAAGCTTTGCTGGAAGCATCCACAAAAGCTAGCCAATGCAAGCCGAGGCCACATAGATACAGTAGCTCTCCATCAAGCAAAACACACAGCGCAGTGTATTTTGCAGCAGGCCACAACAGCACAGGGGGGGTCACAGCACCTGGGATTTGCGTGCAGAACTGGAATGGAGGAATGAGTTGCATGATTTTAGATGACAAGAAATGTACACACGTTTATTGAATTCCTATTGCAGTACATGAAATTTTTAAGAAAGTATGTTTTTTTTTGTCATTTTAATGTTGAAACAGAAATACTGTGTGAACTAATAGGAGACACTCGTCTTAAATATGAGGTTGGGTTGTGATTCCCACAGTGTGTTTTCTTAGGAACAATAGGAAAACAGAGTTATCCTTTGCCTTGACATGGAATGAAAACAACACTGAAACTCAAAGCAAGTGAAATACAACAGACTTTAAATACATTCACAGTGCACCCCCTTCAGGTGGGTGTACTCAGAAACACTCGCTTGCACATGAGATCTCAGCAGAACCCACATAAAAAGATACATACAACTTCTCTCAGCAACACTCAAGTCTACGATGCTCGACAGTTCAGACGGTGAAATCTGCATTTGCAATGTAGCTGGCAATACAAAAGTGCAGAGATGATCAACTGCAGTACGGTTGATCAGGTGCTTTTATGTCACTCCAATGAGAAGCAAATGGTTATGTTTGCATGAAAGAGCACAAAATCAAACTGCTTTGCCACATCATTTCGCACATGGCAACTCGAGGTATTGAAGCAAAAGCTTGAGGATTTAGAAGCAGAGACTGCGGGAAAGTTGGGCGGCGAAGCTTTGAAAAAAAAGAAACAGTCCGGAAACAAAGAGAAGAAAGTCTCTGTGGTGGATGGACAATCATCCAAACACACGTTTACAGATAAACAATGTTGAGTTTATCACACACACCAGCAGCATGTTTGCATACAGAACCTACAAAACCACACACACACCTTGTTGTGATGGACTGTGTTCAACCGGATGACTTCCTCCATTGAGGACCTCAGGTGTCTGGGCTTGCTGGGAGCCCAAAGCCTGCAGCTCTGACAAATAATCTGTCTGCTCTAAGAGCGAGTCTCCGGGCTGCTCATATGTCCCTTCCTCAGGGTAACTTTGGGGCTCCTCTGGAGCCTCTTCCTCATCTTGATGTTCAGTGACAACCTCTACTTAATGAGGGGAGGGGGAAACATGGATGAGACATGGAGGACAATAATACAGGGTGGGTTACAAGTAGAGTTGTTCTGATATCATCCTTTACCTCCTGATTCTTACCTTTGTTTTTGTTTTTTTAGTTAGTTAGAGTTTGAGTTTTAATTTGAAATGACTTGCAAATCAATCTCTCTGAGTCATCCCTGCTGATCTAAAATACCAGTTTCAAACAGCATATCAATGCTGTGTGGACCAGCTTGAGTTTTAATTATATTTTACAGTATCACACTCTGCTGATAACGCTGATTCAGGCTGTATCAGGAGTATCTTTGACGACAGTATCAGAACAACTTTTCTTGTGGTACATGTTGCTACCTGATCCGTCCCGGAAACCTAATTTGTACTACGCATGTGCGAAACGAACGTCACTTCCTCCACTAGCCATTTTTGCAGCTTTAACACTTGTTCGACAGCTTCGGTTTATAACAGCCACACACTTTTCTTCTCTCCTGAACGGAGTGCTTCCCCTGATTGAAGCAGAGCGCCGAAAAGTCAAGAGAATGGCGCCTCGTTTTATGATTAAAGGTTCCTACTACAGCTTAATTGTAAAATTGCAACATAGTGAATATTTCAGTGCTGAAATTCTAAGCTGTATAAAAATGCTGAAATTTATTGTCCATAATGTGTAGGCTTCTTGTTCATACATTTAATTAATAAACTAAATGAAATAAATCCCCCTTTGATACTGTGAAAAGTCAGAGAACCATAATTTGGTTTTCTGACTGGATATTTTTTTTTTGTAGGATGGTGGGGTCCCGCCTCCTTCGCATCTGATTGGCTAGAAAAGCTGGAAACGTCATCACACGCTTAAGCCAAATGCGGGCTGTCGGCTCTGTACATTGAACAGAACATTATCTCCTTACCCTAACCCGACAGACGATGACGTTTCACAGTCATAAGAAATAACCCATCAAAGCCCAGCACTTTTAGCCAATAAGAGGCGAAGGAGGGCGGGACCTTCTCCTACCATCCAACAAAGACAAAAAAATTGTGCGCAGTAGGGATCGGGTAGGTAGCAATAGTAACGACTAACTGCCATAAAATGCGTTGAAATACAAAGAGAGGAAATGACGTTCGTTTCACACATGGGCAGTACAAATCGGGTTTCCGGGACAGATCTGGTGGCGACGGTACAAAACACTTTCAGCTCAATGGAGATGCATGTGATGCAATCAACTTCTCCTAGTCTAATTTTAATGCAGAAAATACTTTCTGAAAACTAGAATGAACGATAATCTCTGCATGTATTACACTCATTCTGTAATACAAAAGCATTAGCCTTAAGCCATGCAGTGTGACAACCTTATTGTTTGGCATCATCGTAAAGGGGACCCTCTAGCCTTTCATTTAAGCCCATTGTTGTATTTTATACAATTATATGAATGATAAAACTAAAGTAGCAAAAACATGGCAACTAATTACAAATATTAATAGTAATGATTGAATCAAAACAGCGTTACAATTCTTTGTGATCATATTTTTTTCCCTTCAGTGCATGACATATTCATATAATTGCATTGTGATTATTCTGTGTAGTCTGTGTTATTTTTTTTCAAATTTGGTTTCCATGGATACGTTAGAACAGTCTTGTGACATGGAAAGGGGAAAATCATTCCGTCGATGACATCAGCGTGACATCATCATTCCTTTGATCTTTCAGCACAGACTGAAGGGGAGGTCAAGATCTTTGGATGATATCCGCTTCACTTGGAATCATTTGGATTGTTTTCACTTTGTGCTAGGTTTGATTAGAGAGACTCTGAGACGCAACTAGTCTAACACTCAACTAGTCTAACTCTCAACTAGTCGAACACTCAACGCTAACACAATGCCAAACCATCTACACCCAGAGGGGACAAAAGGAGTGCAGCTGAGAGCAGAGGAAATGCTCAAGAAAAAGCTGGAGAAAGAGATAAGGAAGAATGAACTTCTGCAAGAGGAACTAGAAGGGATGAAGGCTAAAGGCAGAGAGACATTTAAAGCTGAGCTCAACCAAGTTCTTAAAAATCAACTTCTCAGAAGGGAGCAGGAGGAGCTAAAACATCAACTTAAGCTCCAAAGACGAGAGATTGAGGAGCTCAAGATGACTCATTCTCCCAGCAAAGATCCATTTCTAGCTGGGCTCCAACAAGAGATTGAAAATAGACGTCTCAGAAAGGAGCTGAAGGAGCTCAAAGATAAACTGAAGCTCCTTGAACATCTTCCCCAAGAGATCGAGGAGCTCAAGAAGACTCATTCTCCCAACAGAGATCCATTTCAGGCTGAGCTCCACCAAGTGATTAAAAATAGATCTCTCAGAAAGGAGCTGGAGGGGCTCAAACGTGAGCTTGGGCTTCACAAACAGCTGCCCCAAGAGATCAAGGAGCTCAAGGAGACTCATTCTCAAGGAGACTCAATCTCCCGACAGAGATCCATTCAGGCTGAGCTTCACCAAGTGATCAAAAATAGATCTCTCAGAAAGGAGCTGGAGGGGCTAAAACATGAACTTGAGCTTCACAAACAACTGCCCCAAGAGATCGAGGAGCTCAAGAAGACTCTCACGACCAGCAGAGAGACATTTAAGGCTGAGAAGGATGGCCTTCTTCAGAAGATGGAAGACATCCAGCAGAAGGCCAAGAAACAGGAGGAAAATCTCTTGAAGGAGCTGGAGGAGCAAAAACATGAACTTGAGCTTCACAGGCAGCTGCCCCAAGAGATCGAGGAGCTCAAGAAGACTCTCACCACCAGCAGAGAGACATTTAAGGCTGAGAAGGATGGCCTTCTTCAGAAGATGGAAGACATCCAGCAGAAGGCCAAGAAACAGGAGGAAAATCTCTTGAAGGAGCTGGAGGAGCAAAAACATGAACTTGAGCTTCACAGGCAGCTGCCCCAAGAGATCGAGGAGCTCAAGAAGACTCTCACGACCAGCAGAGAGACATTTAAGGCTGAGAAGGATGGCCTTCTTCAGAAGATGGAAGACATCCAGCAGAAGGCCAAGAAACAGGAGGAAAATCTCTTGAAGGAGCTGGAGGAGCAAAAACATGAACTTGAGCTTCACAGGCAGCTGCCCCAAGAGATCGAGGAGCTCAAGAAGACTCTCACCACCAGCAGAGAGACATTGAAAGCTGAGAAGGATGGCCTTCAACATGACACTAAGGAAAAGACAAATGAAGAGGCTGAGGGGACGCTGATTCAGCAGGATCAAGAAGGACCGGTCGTCACAGTACAGGAAGAGGCTGAAGATGAGGATGCCACTACAACTGAGGCACTCATCGAGGCACTCACTGAGACAGTGACACCACCAAGACCTTCAGTCTGGAAAAGGATGAAGCATTTTCTGGGCTTGGGGAAGCTAAAGAGCTCGAAGAGGAGGAAACGGGAGGCACCTCCTTCTGACCTCTCCTCTTCAAACTAACTTCCCCAATTACCCTCTTATCCCAAATTCATCATTTCCCAGTTTTGTATCAATAAAGTCTGTCTATCTATCTATCCATCTATCTATCTGTAATTCTTCTATCCCTGATGTCCCTGGGTGACATATGCCCAAAAGAAAGTATATCATGTAGGCAAAAATTGCGGGATCGGGTAGGTAGCAATAGTAATGACTAACTGCCATAAAATGCGTTGAAATACAAAGAGAGGAAATGACGTTCGTTTCACACATGGGCAGTACAAATCGGGTTTCCGGGACAGATCTGGTGGCGACGGTACAAAACACTTTCAGCTCAATGGAGATGCATGTGATGCAATCAACTTCTCCTAGTCTAATTTTAATGCAGAAAATACTTTCTGAAAACTAGAATGAACGATAATCTCTGCATGTATTACACTCATTCTGTAATACAAAAGCATTAGCCTTAAGCCATGCAGTGTGACAACCTTATTGTTTGGCATCATCGTAAAGGGGACCCTCTAGCCTTTCATTTAAGCCCATTGTTGTATTTTATACAATTATATGAATGATAAAACTAAAGTAGCAAAAACATGGCAACTAATTACAAATATTAATAGTAATGATTGAATCAAAACAGCGTTACAATTCTTTGTGATCATATTTTTTTCCCTTCAGTGCATGACATATTCATATAATTGCATTGTGATTATTCTGTGTAGTCTGTGTTATTTTTTTTCAAATTTGGTTTCCATGGATACGTTAGAACAGTCTTGTGACATGGAAAGGGGAAAATCATTCCGTTGATGACATCAGCGTGACATCATCATTCCTTTGATCTTTCAGCACAGACTGAAGGGGAGGTCAAGATCTTTGGATGATATCCGCTTCACTTGGAATCATTTGGATTGTTTTCACTTTGTGCTAGGTTTGATTAGAGAGACTCTGAGACTTAACTAGTCTAACACTCAACTAGTCTAACTCTCAACTAGTCGAACACTCAACGCTAACACAATGCCAAACCATCTACACCCAGAGGGGACAAAAGGAGTGCAGCTGAGAGCAGAGGAAATGCTCAAGAAAAAGCTGGAGAAAGAGATAAGGAAGAATGAACTTCTGCAAGAGGAACTAGAAGGGATGAAGGCTAAAGGCAGAGAGACATTTAAAGCTGAGCTCAACCAAGTTCTTAAAAATCAACTTCTCAGAAGGGAGCAGGAGGAGCTAAAACATCAACTTAAGCTCCAAAGACGAGAGATTGAGGAGCTCAAGATGACTCATTCTCCCAGCAAAGATCCATTTCTAGCTGGGCTCCAACAAGAGATTGAAAATAGACGTCTCAGAAAGGAGCTGAAGGAGCTCAAAGATAAACTGAAGCTCCTTGAACATCTTCCCCAAGAGATCGAGGAGCTCAAGAAGACTCATTCTCCCAACAGAGATCCATTTCAGGCTGAGCTCCACCAAGTGATTAAAAATAGATCTCTCAGAAAGGAGCTGGAGGGGCTCAAACGTGAGCTTGGGCTTCACAAACAGCTGCCCCAAGAGATCAAGGAGCTCAAGGAGACTCATTCTCAAGGAGACTCAATCTCCCGACAGAGATCCATTCAGGCTGAGCTTCACCAAGTGATCAAAAATAGATCTCTCAGAAAGGAGCTGGAGGGGCTAAAACATGAACTTGAGCTTCACAGGCAGCTGCCCCAAGAGATCGAGGAGCTCAAGAAGACTCTCACGACCAGCAGAGAGACATTTAAGGCTGAGAAGGATGGCCTTCTTCAGAAGATGGAAGACATCCAGCAGAAGGCCAAGAAACAGGAGGAAAATCTCTTGAAGGAGCTGGAGGAGCAAAAACATGAACTTGAGCTTCACAGGCAGCTGCCCCAAGAGATCGAGGAGCTCAAGAAGACTCTCACCACCAGCAGAGAGACATTTAAGGCTGAGAAGGATGGCCTTCTTCAGAAGATGGAAGACATCCAGCAGAAGGCCAAGAAACAGGAGGAAAATCTCTTGAAGGAGCTGGAGGAGCAAAAACATGAACTTGAGCTTCACAGGCAGCTGCCCCAAGAGATCGAGGAGCTCAAGAAGACTCTCACCACCAGCAGAGAGACATTGAAAGCTGAGAAGGATGGCCTTCAACATGACACTAAGGAAAAGACAAATGAAGAGGCTGAGGGGACGCTGATTCAGCAGGATCAAGAAGGACCGGTCGTCACAGTACAGGAAGAGGCTGAAGATGAGGATGCCACTACAACTGAGGCACTCACTGAGGCACTCACTGAGACAGTGACACCACCAAGACCTTCAGTCTGGAAAAGGATGAAGCATTTTCTGGGCTTGGGGAAGCTAAAGAGCTCGAAGAGGAGGAAACGGGAGGCACCTCCTTCTGACCTCTCCTCTTCAAACTAACTTCCCCAATTACCCTCTTATCCCAAATTCATCATTTCCCAGTTTTGTATCAATAAAGTCTGTCTATCTATCTATCCATCTATATATCTGTAATTCTTCTATCCCTGATGTCCCTGGGTGACATATGCCCAAAAGAAAGTATATCATGTAGGCAAAAATTGCGGGATCGGGTAGGTAGCAATAGTAACGACTAACTGCCATAAAATGCGTTGAAATACAAAGAGAGGAAATGACGTTCGTTTCACACATGGGCAGTACAAATCGGGTTTCCGGGACAGATCTGGTGGCGACGGTACAAAACACTTTCAGCTCAATGGAGATGCATGTGATGCAATCAACTTCTCCTAGTCTAATTTTAATGCAGAAAATACTTTCTGAAAACTAGAATGAACGATAATCTCTGCATGTATTACACTCATTCTGTAATACAAAAGCATTAGCCTTAAGCCATGCAGTGTGACAACCTTATTGTTTGGCATCATCGTAAAGGGGACCCTCTAGCCTTTCATTTAAGCCCATTGTTGTATTTTATACAATTATATGAATGATAAAACTAAAGTAGCAAAAACATGGCAACTAATTACAAATATTAATAGTAATGATTGAATCAAAACAGCGTTACAATTCTTTGTGATCATATTTTTTTCCCTTCAGTGCATGACATATTCATATAATTGCATTGTGATTATTCTGTGTAGTCTGTGTTATTTTTTTTCAAATTTGGTTTCCATGGATACGTTAGAACAGTCTTGTGACATGGAAAGGGGAAAATCATTCCGTTGATGACATCAGCGTGACATCATCATTCCTTTGATCTTTCAGCACAGACTGAAGGGGAGGTCAAGATCTTTGGATGATATCCGCTTCACTTGGAATCATTTGGATTGTTTTCACTTTGTGCTAGGTTTGATTAGAGAGACTCTGAGACTTAACTAGTCTAACACTCAACTAGTCTAACTCTCAACTAGTCGAACACTCAACGCTAACACAATGCCAAACCATCTACACCCAGAGGGGACAAAAGGAGTGCAGCTGAGAGCAGAGGAAATGCTCAAGAAAAAGCTGGAGAAAGAGATAAGGAAGAATGAACTTCTGCAAGAGGAACTAGAAGGGATGAAGGCTAAAGGCAGAGAGACATTTAAAGCTGAGCTCAACCAAGTTCTTAAAAATCAACTTCTCAGAAGGGAGCAGGAGGAGCTAAAACATCAACTTAAGCTCCAAAGACGAGAGATTGAGGAGCTCAAGATGACTCATTCTCCCAGCAAAGATCCATTTCTAGCTGGGCTCCAACAAGAGATTGAAAATAGACGTCTCAGAAAGGAGCTGAAGGAGCTCAAAGATAAACTGAAGCTCCTTGAACATCTTCCCCAAGAGATCGAGGAGCTCAAGAAGACTCATTCTCCCAACAGAGATCCATTTCAGGCTGAGCTCCACCAAGTGATTAAAAATAGATCTCTCAGAAAGGAGCTGGAGGGGCTCAAACGTGAGCTTGGGCTTCACAAACAGCTGCCCCAAGAGATCAAGGAGCTCAAGGAGACTCATTCTCAAGGAGACTCAATCTCCCGACAGAGATCCATTCAGGCTGAGCTTCACCAAGTGATCAAAAATAGATCTCTCAGAAAGGACCTGGAGGGGCTAAAACATGAACTTGAGCTTCACAAACAACTGCCCCAAGAGATCGAGGAGCTCAAGAAGACTCTCACGACCAGCAGAGAGACATTTAAGGCTGAGAAGGATGGCCTTCTTCAGAAGATGGAAGACATCCAGCAGAAGGCCAAGAAACAGGAGGAAAATCTCTTGAAGGAGCTGGAGGAGCAAAAACATGAACTTGAGCTTCGCAGGCAGCTGCCCCAAGAGATCGAGGAGCTCAAGAAGACTCTCACGACCAGCAGAGAGACATTTAAGGCTGAGAAGGATGGCCTTCTTCAGAAGATGGAAGACATCCAGCAGAAGGCCAAGAAACAGGAGGAAAATCTCTTGAAGGAGCTGGAGGAGCAAAAACATGAACTTGAGCTTCACAGGCAGCTGCCCCAAGAGATCGAGGAGCTCAAGAAGACTCTCACCACCAGCAGAGAGACATTTAAGGCTGAGAAGGATGGCCTTCTTCAGAAGATGGAAGACATCCGGCAGAAGGCCAAGAAACAGGAGGAAAATCTCTTGAAGGAGCTGGAGGAGCAAAAACATGAACTTGAGCTTCACAGGCAGCTGCCCCAAGAGATCGAGGAGCTCAAGAAGACTCTCACCACCAGCAGAGAGACATTTAAGGCTGAGAAGGATGGCCTTCAACATGACACTAAGGAAAAGACAAATGAAGAGGCTGAGGGGACGCTGATTCAGCAGGATCAAGAAGGACCGGTCGTCACAGTACAGGAAGAGGCTGAAGATGAGGATGCCACTACAACTGAGGCACTCACTGAGGCACTCACTGAGACAGTGACACCACCAAGACCTTCAGTCTGGAAAAGGATGAAGCATTTTCTGGGCTTGGGGAAGCTAAAGAGCTCGAAGAGGAGGAAACGGGAGGCACCTCCTTCTGACCTCTCCTCTTCAAACTAACTTCCCCAATTACCCTCTTATCCCAAATTCATCATTTCCCAGTTTTGTATCAATAAAGTCTGTCTATCTATCTATCCATCTATATATCTGTAATTCTTCTATCCCTGATGTCCCTGGGTGACATATGCCCAAAAGAAAGTATATCATGTAGGCAAAAATTGCAGGAAAATGTGTATTTTTTTGTGATTTAAAAAGCTCTAGTGACTTCCATGTTGGTCTAAGATAAACACATATAGGCTTAAATGAGAGCCACAAGGATCCCCTGAGCCTAAACCAGATATACATCAGTGTAAAAAAAAACACATTTATCTTAAGGGGTGGTTAACTATGTTTTTGTGATTGCATGCCACATGCAGTCGGTAAAAACAGCCGGAAAACAGACTGTGCTGCTCTCGGAGCGAAGCGCTGAAAGTAAAAAGTGATTCACTTCTTGAGGAAAATCAACAGACAGAACAAAGAAAGGAACAACAGAGGAGATGATCTGAGGGGATTAGTGGGATGACGGGCTCCAGTGGCAGGTCGGGCTAGAGGATGTGTGCGATTTTCTTGCTTTAATACGTGTTTTAACCCAAACTATTGGAGTGTAATGTGTTAGAAAACTACTAATAAGCTGTTGGAGGGGTGTGAGGAAGACAGGACACATGCGGCAGACTCCCAAAAGTAGATATGAGGATAAAATGACATGCAAAGTTAGGGACAGTTGAAACTAAACCCTGTTTCTTGACTTGGTCGTCATGCCAACGGCTGCTTTAATCAGTCTGTCTGTCTCTTTTTGAGATGTTGGTCCCACTCTCACCACCACCGTTCACCCTCTCATTCTGAATGGTCTGAGCGGTCAGAAGGTGTGTGTGGGTGTACCTTGTGCCACGGGCCCAATCTGCTCAGCGGATGGAGAGGGGGGAGGGGAGGGAGGCAAATTGGCTGAGTCATCCACTGCGAAGGGAGAGAGAGAGAGAGAGAGAGAGAGAGAGAGAAAGAGAGAGAGGGAGAGAAAGAGAGAAAGACAACACAGGGGAGACAAGACGTGGATGGGAGGAAGGAAATGAAAAGCTAATAACACAGCGGACCTTATCTCTGTGGGTGGCCTCGCTTTTGTGTTCGACTCGACTCCTGTCTTGTGTGTGTGCGTGTGTGTGTGTGTGTGTGTGTTTGATGAGTTGTTGATGCAAATCCCGCCTCCCTCCAGGTTCTGATTATAGGTTAGCTCGGACTTAATATCCAGTTCAGATGGATGCAGATAGAGCTCCGACTTACCTCTGATGGTGTCAAATAAAAAAAATAAAACAAATGAAATAAGATTTAAAGTCGAAATAAACCAGAAGAAAAATCCAATTATTGATAAGAGTATCCCACTGTATAATCAAAAATGTGATATTACAGACACATGCACATGGTTGCAGCATATTTTACCCAACTTTTTCTCCTCAAACTGCTTCACAAACAGAAACTTTCCTCTTCTAACCGTCTTGTTTTCCTTGATTTTTCATCAAAAGTTGGAATTAAGACGTTAAACGAACATAAAGAGCATATCATGTAGGGGTGGGAGAAAAAAATCGATTCACATAAGTATTGCGATTTTTTGTTTTATAATTTTTATGTTCAAAAATCGATTTATTTTTTTCAAATTCAAGAATTAATCTTAAGAAACCGACTTAGATGTGATGTGTATCTTTTGGGGGAATATAGTTCTTGGAATAGTCAGCAGACAATCATTAATATTCAGCTGTTTCACTGGTGTTAAAAATGCAGACTGGATATTGAGGACATCGATAATATCGTAGAATCGCAATTTAAATCGAATTGGCATCGAAAATATCGTAGAAGAATCGAATCGGGAGAAAAGCATATCGTCTCAGCCCGACTATAATGCAACTCTTCGTAAAAAACAAACAAACAAACAAAACAAAAACGTAAAACATATGGCGACCATAAGGGCCTGTGTCCACTGCCTTGTTTTCGTTCCTGCATTATCAGTACCTATTTATCTGCACTTACAAATGCAAAACAACGAAGCAGTAAAGACAGGAAGTTTTTGTGGAGATTTTGTTGATTTTTTACAGAAGTGGAACAAATTTGAAGAGGAAAGAAAATGCAGCTCATTTGCATTCCTATTGGCAGTATTTTATGGTGTATTTGTGGCATTAACTGACTGCATAAAGGCATTTTACTCTTAATCCGACAACTCGTCCCTGTTTCAAGATCTTACACCTGGAGGGGATTGGTTTCATTCATAAGATTTCGAAAAAAACAAAAGAGGTTCGATACTATTTTATCACAGAAATACTCAGACACACTTGATCAATAATACAGTTAGCGTGTTTAAAAAACATCCTCTCTCTTTTGTTTTTCCGGATAGTTTTTAGTATTTCCCACCAGCAGTGAAATCTGCTCACTTCTGTGTTCAAACATGTTCAGCTGAGTCTGTTTTTAGAATTGACCGTCCTTGCTTTGCACCACAGAGGCAATCAAATCTACTCACAGCTGCGGCGCCATCCAATCAATGTCATTAATCCAGTCCTGCATGCGTATCCTCACACACACTCTCGCTGAGTGTTTGTGTACCTACCTGCTGTCCCGGGGTGTGCAGCCGCTCCGCCGTGGTATCCGTTCTCCCTGTAGGCGGAGCTGTAGGCAGAGTAGCCATTCTCGCCATTCTCTTGGCCGTTTGAGGCCCAGTGCTCGTCCGGCTGCCGACCGTCTGCCATGCCTGCCTGCTGGGACGCTGGGGAGGGGACACTTCACCTGAGAGAGAAAAGACACAGAGAGGAGATTTGTAGTTTTGCAGCAAATGATCAGGAGAGAAGTGAGAGAAAGAGTTAAAATCTGCAGCAGTTTCTCTGAAAGTGCAGAAATCGACCACTAGAGGGAGTAAGAAGCAGCGTTTTCCTCTGCCGGCTCATCCAGCCGGTCTTTGTCTCAGCATCCACGTGTTGAGATGAAGAGAGATAATCTTCCAAATCAATCCTTTTCTGTATTTCACACTTCAACAGTGAGTCTAAGTGCCCAATCCAAATCAAAGGGGTTTCTAAAGGGCTTTTATTTTGTTAATTTACCTAATTTGAACCCTTCTGAACAGGGTTGATCACGCTGACTGTAAAAATTATATTTATACAGTGCCATGTCTCTGCGTTTAAAACGTGGTTATAATGGGAGTCAATGGGGCAAAAACAGCCACTAATACCATAAAAGGATTTTTTTGGAAAAACTGTTGCTGCACGAAAACTGAATCTGCATCTAAACCAATTATGTGACTAATCTTTGACATATCAGAGACTGTGATAGCAGGTAAAATATTGTCATTGGCCAATCACTTTTAATATTGAATATACCCTCATTTGTGCGTATTTTTTCACATATCAGTGAATTTCTTTGTAAAATTGGCATTCAAAGGGTTAAAATTATGAATTTTTAAAAAAATATTGAACAGTTTCGATCAAGACTGAGGTTGATTTGTAAGAACAATCCACTCATTTGTATGTTTGATGACATGAAGGTGCACTGCAGCAGGCAGGAATAAAAGCCTTTGAGCACACCCTTCATTTCCCCTTTCACCAGTGATAAGGAGGCTGTTACCATGGCAACCGGAACAGGTCTTATGGGGGTCCGGCAGATGGGTTTGACCGGCTTGCCCCGATCTACACAACAAAGTGCCTCTGCATAAACACACACACACACACACGAGAACAAGTGCGTCACATGGTGCGCGGCGTCGACGTCCATTAGCTTCTGCTGGGTTTAATAAAGTGCAGCGAGCTCTTTCCCCGCTTATAACGACGACAAAAACCAATCAAGAGCGCACTTTTCAAGTATGTACCCTCCTAAAAGAGACCCCCGTTCCCCTGAGAGGAAACACAGAATGTCGCCTTTTAAATAAGATTAGTAGGGGGGCCTTTTCTCGCTCAGCAGACCAACTAAATAACATCATTACCATCAAACAGCTGCGGTTAATTTCATTAGAGGAACTTATCAGCATGTCTGTCCTCGATTTGTGTCTCCTTTCTTGATTCTTGCAGTTTTTCCTCTGTTTTAGACATGCACAGGAGTTGTTCAAACTTTATCTTCCAGGAGAAACGCTAAATCAGAATATTAGCACAATCCTGAGTGAACTATCTCCCTTTCTGGCTCATCTCTCTCTCTCCAGCTCTTTCCTCTCCCCTCTCCTTTTCCCCTGCAGCGCTGCATGACGACAGGCTCGCAGTGATCCCGGCTAATGTCTGCTGCAGTGGGAAGACGTAAGGATCAGAGGAGAGCGAGACAAAAAGAGAGAAGAGAGAGGAGGAGAGGAGGAGATAGACCCGCTGACACTCTGATATATCCTGGGCCAAAGTGTCTGAGACTGAAAATCTCCGCCCTGGGCTCAGTCGGAGGCGGGTCTGGTCCCAGCTGTTGCTAAGGAAGAAAACCGGTGCGCCGACGGACGCGTTGTGCTGATGCCGGCGTTGGAATTGCATTGACCTGCTTTCGGCTGCTGTTTTGGCAATGTTGTGCCACACTTCACAAGCTGTCCTTGGATGAGGGTGTCATCGAGCGCGGACGCTTACATAAAAACCTTTGTGTCATTGTTTGATTAAAAAAGGCACAGTGAAGAAGAAGAAGAAGAAGACGAGGACAGCACCTGCCTCCAAAAAGAAAGTGATAAAAGGAACGAATTATATAAAAACACGACTTTCATCTTGACATTTAAGGGCTTGTGTTTTGTATTTTAACACCTCCCCTACCAGCAGATTACAAATTCACACAACAGTGACCTTAAATTAGGTGAAAAAACAACTGTGACAACTAACAGGAGAATTCGTGAATGTTTTTGCATTTTGTCGTCTCTCATTTTCAATATCATTTTTATTTCTGCTTTTTACCAGGGGTGTTAAAGGGATATTCTGGCATTAAATAAATTTAGGGTCAAACACACCCTAACACCGAGTTAGACACCCTGACAAGAGATGAATGTTGCTGACCGCTTGCTTCTCTAGTTATACCAACTTTAGTAACGACCGCACGATAGCAATACAGAGAGCCAACCAAAACGTCACTCTATAGCCACAAATAATGCTCAGAACAGCACCTAACTTCATCAACAGTACATATAGGGTCCCAGCACCAGCACTAGCCATCAAACATATTTTTAGCTTTGCCTAATTTCTTTAGCGAAGAGACTAAACACCACTCACCTACTCTCTTCCAGCAGCCGCTTGTTTGTACAAGTCGATCACCGAGTGCAGCGGAGTTTCGCAGCTCAAGGAAGAACATTTATGATCATTTCTTCATGGAAATATAATCAGACCGAGACGCTAAGGCAGAAGAACTACCGCATCTGCAGTGCAAAATGAGTCATATGATGATTATTACTTCAAGGAAATGATAGAGTAATGATCATAAATGTTCTTCCTTGAGCTGCGAAACCCCGCTGTAGTCGATGGACTCGCCCGGAGGTCTCCATAAAAACAATGTGACTGTTGACGAACATGAAAGACCTCCAGGGGGTCACTGGGATGGCTGAGAAGGTCATTAATGCCTCAGGAGAGCCACCAACACCATTAAGGACTCATCCCACCCGGGCCACCCCCTGTTTGAGCCGCTGCCGTCAGGTAGACGGTACAGGGCCATCAAAGCCGGGACAAAAAGACTGCAAAACAGCTTTTCCCCCATACGCTGTCCGTTCCGTTAATTTTCCAAATTGTCCGGATATTGTGAAATCTGTCTGCAAAAATAATGGGCTCACAACACGACAGCTATAAACAAACTCCTTCAATCTTATGTCATGACCCAAAAACACCTGAACAGAGCTTTGGCAGCCTCTCTTTCAGTTAACTCGTGTCTGCTTGGCATGCTAACTCTCATGTTGGCCTGATCATGAAAGGGTTACATCAACAGCACCAGGAGTCCAAAAAAGGAACATCAAATCCCATTAAATCTTGGCGCTAATGCCTTAAAGTGAACCTGACCTCTCTTAGAAAAGTCTAGAAGGTGTGGCAGGACGCCCGAGGCTTGTCTGGCTCCAGGGGGGCCCTCTTTGAATTCCTCGCTTTTCCTTTTGTTTTTCATCACCGCCGTCGCTGCTTTCCTTTGCTCTACCTTTCAGCCGCTGCATCCGTCTCAACCCCACCCCGTCCCTAATCCGGCCTCACTTCCCATCCCCATCTGCGCCTCACCCTGCCACCAACCCCACCCCGATCTGGGTCAGTCATCACGCCTCTGTGGAGCCCTGCTCACATCGGAATGTCAGCATCCATTTAGGAGGGAGGCCGCGATCTCTGGCGGGCTGTCTCAGTAGGCCAACCTGGCCTTAATCCCCCGTGTGAGAACGCACAAGTGTGTATGTGTGTCCTTGTCTTTGGAGTGTGTGTCAATGATAAGACTCAGACTAATAAAAGTCTGACTTCTCTGTTCTACACCGTTTAACACTTAGAACTCCGCTGGATCGCCGGCGATCACTTGTGACACCATTAATATTGTTTACAGTTTCTCAGGAAATTATACCGTGTATCTCTACGGGGTAAAAAGTGTTCAAAACCAAAAATAGCGAAATATAGCTGTGAGTTCTAAGGGTTAAAAAACCTGACAAGTGAGAGTCCAGACATGTAAACACAGCCTTTACACTGCATAGTATGTTGCAGTGCATGCTGGGTAATTGTCACACTCAACAACAGTCCTGAGAGAACGACTGTCAAGGTTGCCGTGACCCGCAATCAACCCGGGATCCAGCAGCTTCCTCCACAGCTGACTGAGGATTATGTATCGCTGACTCAGCAAGGCATGATGGGGGTTCGAGGCATAAAGGAGCCGCCGCAAACCGAGTGTGAACGCGGCGTGTAAATGATGAGCGCCGGCAGCACGCAACCAGCCGGGCGTACAGCGTGCACAAACACACACACTACAGCAGAAAGAGGTGTGGGGATGTTTTCTTGGCTCACAGATTAAGTACCGTAATAACTGCAGTATAGGTGCACTGATATTTCATCTCAACATGATGTAGATTTTTTTCCAGGATGTTGTTTTAAGACTCACTGCGAACTTCTAAAAAATAATAATAACATGTGAGAAAGATAGACTTGATAGGAATTGTTTTAACTTATTTAACAAGAATATACTGTTCCATTGTCTTACCATACACTTGTTTATATGTTTATAATATTATGATGATAATTCATATTATTATATAATATTATGATATATATTTAAACCATTCGTGTAGGAGAAGAAGTGGGACTAGATAAGTCTCGACTTCTTCCCACTCCTTTTTAAACATGAATAACTTTTTGTCATTTGTTGTTGTATTCTTTGCTTTTTTATTCTTCTTATTATTTTTTATATGTTCACAAATAAACTTTAATCAAAGTGACAGAAATCTTTCTAATGGCGTCTTGTGAATTGTTGGCAGATTTTAGAGGCTTTTGATGGTTTCAGTGATTATTATCCTCAAAGTGGATTTTCACCTCTTAACTACAATTTAAATCAAACCGACTTCATCCGCCTGCCAAGATTTATTCCCTCCTCTTGTTCATTTCATTCCGTTCGATGTTTCCTGGCACACTCGTCAGCCCCGCCCCGTTCTGATGTCACTGTTCCCATGGTGATGCGAGACCCGGGGTGGGAGGGGTCAGGGGAGGATGCTGGCTGCACAGAGCTGAGCTCTGACCATGCTATGGATCCTGAAATAGGTCATCAGATCCTGCAGGCCCAGCCCCAGGGGTCCGTCGTATAGCCGCGCTGACACAAATGAGAGGCGAGCCTTTTAGACTCATCGATACGCTGATGGCTCCTCGACCGGTGATGTAATTTAAGACTTTTAGGCCGCTGTGAAGGGGGCTGATATCCTGGTTTAGCTCAGGTTGGTTGAAACGGTTAATAAAAGCTGCAGTAAAGACGAGGATTTCAATCGTTTTAAAGGACAATTCCTCACAATTTTGAAATCATAGGCTTTCTTTATATGTCCCAATATGCCAGTTTCTTTTGCTGTTTACAACAGAATGTAATATTTGACATTTTTAGAGCTACGAATATGTTTCAGAAGCCAGTACTAAGTTTACATGATTTTGGTAAATCCTCCCTGACCCTAGGTGAAAAATTACACACTATTAAAAACATTAGAATCAAAGAAATAATCATTTTACTGATATCATGACAAACGTAAGGCTGTCTTTGTTGGTTCAGTCAATCAGCTTTTACATGAAAAAGTAATAAAGGAAGTTTATGTGGCTTTAAAATATGTTCAAATGGACGGTGACGTCAGACGCCGTTTATACAATTTCTGGGGGTGCGCAGCCAACCCGGGAACATGAATGTGAACCCAACAAAAAAGAAGGGCCGGTGGCCACTTAAAGATTCATTGATCGATGAAAAACTGCCTAATTGACGTGAAGTTGTTCACTCATAATTAGAGTTATAAATCAATAAGAAATGCCAATGAAGCCAATCCATTCACAAAATTAACCTAAAGGTCACTTTTCGAGCAAAAGATAGATCTTTACAGATGTGACAATTTGAACATTTTCCTCTTTTCATGATATTTCTAGATCTTATTCCAAAGAAAAGTCATTTAAAAACATAAGGGATTGATTGCCATCAAATTGTGATCATTTAAAAACCAAAAATACGACTCAAATCTAATTAATTTCAAACAGGTTCTGATATCGCCACTTGGATATAAATGTAGGTATAACAGAGTATCATCTGCGTACCGATTGTATGAAATATTATGTTTTTCGGAGGCATGCACAGACCAACCCAGGAATCACACTGGATCCGGAATGGCTCCGCTACAGACTGGCAGGCGGATCAAATACACAAGCATACAGCGCCCACCGGATCTGATCCACCTCCGCCATCGGAGAAGAAGCACATGGAGATTACCGATATTTCTTGGGAGAATAGATGAGATCTCATGAGATCATGCGTGTTTCCCTGTGAGACATTGAATGAGATCCGCCGATCGGTGTATATAACCACCCACGTCCCACAACCTTGGCCTCTCCTATTATCAAGTTAAGAACAGTTCAAATTAACCAGATATTTTCCTCTGTAGCGGCACACAACTTCTGCTGCTGCTCGTGCTTGCACTGCACTGAATTGATGCGCCGTGCTGCAGTGTCCGGCAAAAATAGAAGCCCTGTGTATCTGATCTGCAGCGGAACCAGACGGCGGTCGAATTGTGTGGAATCACAACATTGATTAATTCTTGCATATTTGATCCACCTGCCGTGCTGGATCCTGTGGGTTTTAGCCGTTATAAAACAACAGGCGCCAAAACAGAGCTCTGAGGAACTCCACAAGTAATAGAGGAACATGTACCAACAAATTGTTATCAAATATAAAGCGTTGGCGGACACCTGGCGTTAGGCCTGTCGCGATAATCAATAAATCGCCTTATCGCTCGATAAATAAAAACGAGGTCGATAACTTTGCCAGCCTCGATAATTGACGTGCGTTTGTTTTCCTCCTCTCTCGCTACCAAACACGCTGGATGAGAGAAGAGGTCTCACTCTGCGCATTGTTCTCGGCACCTGGGGGCGTTGGCTCTATAGCGGAATGAACGGAGTTAGTGAACCCTCCTGTCAGTCATTCAGTGTCTTTGTCACAAGGGGGCTGGCGCGCACAGGCACACAGACACAGACTTTTTGGATACAGTGCTGCAAGTGCACGTCGTGAGTGAAAAGCAAGCTAACAGAATGAACACGACAGCTTTGGTGTCTAAACCGAACGCAACAGCCCAAGTGTGGGAATATTTCGGCTTTAAACCAGTTTTGTTTTCGTCAACCACAAAACTCCACGTGTGTGTGTGCGCGCGCGCGTGTGTGTCTGTGTGTTGGAGGAGCACAGCAGGCTGATGAGAGCTGTCAGAGCGGACTGAAGCTGCTCCTGTATGTTTAGCGTTTAACTGACTGAGTTTTGCAACTCTGTTCGTCATTTTCGTCTCGTCCCATCAACGTAAACGCACTTTCGTCTCGTCACATTTTAGTCATCTCCGACTTATGTTTAGCTCGTCAACGTTACGTCTTCGTCGTGGGAGAAAAGGGAAATATTTTAGTCAACGAAAACAACCAGTGTTGTTCTCGTGTGGAAATTAAAGTTTATCACTTTTGACATGGTGTACTCGCATTATTATGCCATATAATATCATTATCTATAATTTCAAAAATGGTGTCAATAATATCGTTTATCGGCGATAATTTGTAGCACAATTATCGTCCAGCAAAATTTGTTATCGTGACAGGCCTACCTGGCGTGCTGGATCCTGTGGGTTTTAGCCGTTATAAAACAACAGGCCCCAAAACAGAGCCCTGAGGCCCTAACAGATTGTTATCAAATATGAAGCGCCAATATGAGCGAGAACCTTTCAGGGACTCGATCAGGACACACCCTTCACACTCACACAACACACCCTTCTCTGAACAAACATCCACAAAAACTGAGCCACACACACGCAAACAAAGTCACACCTCCCAGAGCTGAACCCACAACTCTCAGACTGGGAGCAAACATGAGCCGAAAATAGACACACACACACACACACAGACAAAACAACTCTACTGTACAACTGAATCTGTTATTTAACCTCTCTCTCTCTCTCTCTCTCTGTTATTTCCTGTCATGAAGCTCAAACACATTTCAGCAGTGAGAGCTCAAAATAAGAGATCCGAGTTTCGTCTTAATGACTGTTTGGGTTGATGTCATTCGAGATATTTCTGACCGTGCGCTCTCTCGCTCTCTTTCCCACATGTTGCGGCGCATAATTCCCCCTCTATTACACGTCCACAAAGAGCCAAGCTAATCATCTGGCTGAGTGCGGCCACTTACATCTGACTCCCGGGGCCCCCGTGAGTCATGGGAACAGTGAGTGTGAAATGTCATGGAGAAGAAGGAGTGCATAGTACACCATCTGGCAGCGGTCCAAACATACATGTTTCAGAGGTTTAATAGACGTGAGATGAAAATATCTCTCTGTAAAAGATTTATTCAAGCAGGATAGGAACCTAAAAACACTTTCATGGTTTGGAGAGGAATTTAAAACAACTCTGTGTCCTTTTTTATAAAGCAGATGGAGAGAGCTGTATATGTTTTAAAAGGATATTGCAGTGTAAAATTAATTTAGACTCTCTTCCAGCAGCTGCTTGTTTGTAGGGAGAGCCCTGACAAGTCGTTCACAAGTGCAGTGGAGTTTCGCAGCTCAAGGAAGAACATTTATGATCATTTCTTCATGGAAATGCAATCAGACCGAGACACTAAGGCAGAAGAACTACCACGTCTGCAGTGCAAAATGATTAATATGATGATTATTACTTCAAGGAAATGATAAAGAAATGATCATAAATGTTCTTCCTTGGGCTGCGTCACCCCGCTGTAGTCGAAGATGGACTTGTCAAGGTCTCACTACAAACAAAGGGCTGCTGGAAGAGAGTAGGTGAGTTGTGTTTGGTCTCTTTGCTAAAGAAATCAGGCAAAGCTATGGTGCTTAATATGGTGATTATTACTTTAAGGAAATGATAAAGAAATGATCATAACTGTTTCTTTAACGCAGCTGGATTCAAGGTTTATGACACGCATTAACTTTAAAACCCAATAAAAAACATAGTAACTGATCTCTTCCTGTTTGATATGTCACTGAAAAGTCAAAGCTTGGGGGTAACTGTGCTGAATTTTGACAAAATACACTTTAAACTTGTTCATTATTTGAGCGTAGACCCACCTCAAAGTGCGGCCTTCACTGATGGTTGAAACAGACAAACGCTGGGATGGAGGGTCTGCTCAGACCTGCATGAAAAAAACAGAAACAGAGTGCATGTTAGGGCATCAGTAGAATCAGATCAATAGTCTATCAAAGCTGAAGCCCCCCTCTGAATCCACACACCAGTCGCGCTAGCCCAGAATCAAACCGTGGATTTTTTCCAAAACCAGAAAATCTCAAAGCCGTCTGCTAAACACAGCTGTCCTGGAGCGTTGCGTGTACACACAGCTTTGCTGCGTCACCTGGAGTTTGCCGCTGATATTAATCCGAACCCCGGTGTGGCCATGTGTCTCTTTTTAAGCCTCTGTGATGAGCTGTGCGACGACAACAAAGCAGCGAAGACAATCTCTTTTTTTCAGGGGGGCAAATTTACATGTAAATCCCTTTATTCGTGACGATGTTCGGCTCTGTGACGAGTGTCATCGCAGGACTGTGTCAGGAATTTTGATTATTTTGTTAATGATTTCTGGTAGAAGGAGCTGGGTTACCCATTTCTTCTGTATCAGGCTTAGTTATACAGGATTTAAGCATAAAATACGGTCCAAAAAATATGGAAAAGTGAGTGGGAGATAAAGAAAACCCAAACGTTAAATTAAAAGGACTCCAGCCAGCAAAAATGAAAAACTAGAGGTCATTTGGGCGGCTTCCAAGGCAACCAAAGCCAAGAAAAGTAAGATGATTTTTCAGGAACAAGCGATAAAAAGTGAGTAAGACGGCCTTTCTAGTGAGCTGTTTTTGAGATTTTGTCAAACGCTTGGATTGGTCGGCTGGGGCAGAGCCAGGGGATGAGTTAAAGCTTAAGTCAGCAACGAAGAAAGACAGATTTGCACATACGTTCAGCCAGCTTTTGGAGGTAAAATAAAGAAACAGAGCATCCTGTTAACGTTAAAACAGTGTGAAGCCACAGTCAATGGGATTCTGGCGCCAAAACAGGCAGCTGGATGAAAAAGAGAGGGAAAAAAGAGCAGAGCGGAGATTCTCCAAACAGGAAGGAGGTTGATTTATGACAGAGGAGGGAGAAGGAGGCCTGGAGTGAAGAGCAAAGAGGAGGAAATGCAGATATTTCTAGAAAAGGGACAACTTGAAATGACGATTAACTCCTGTCATCCTGCCGCGGTGAACTTTGTTTTTGTTTAATCGAGGTTACGGTAAGCAGAAGCCTTTTTGTTGCTGGGATTAAATCGAATTTCTCTGTTTGTTACGGTTTGATCACGCGGTCATGCTTTCCATGTTAACTCATTTTCATAACCTCACCAACATGCTTTTGATTTGATATGACTGAACTCTTTTTGTGTTTTGTTTTCTTTATCAAATTGGATTTTTTATTTTCCATAAAAACATGTTTTTCTCATTCTTTGTTTTTCGTGACTTTTACAGGAAAGACGTAATAAATAAATGAAAAAAAGAGAATTGATGTTTTTTTTCCATTTTCCGAAATGCTGGTTTGGCGGTGTGTCCGTCATTGGCTGTAAGGCATGGACGTGGTCACTGTGACGTCAAGCACTGGTTCCTGAACAGATGCCGAACAATAGCAGACGCCATATTGGAAACACTGACGGACTTTCGATTAACCAAAACCTAAACTAAGACCAGGTGCTGGAGCGGGCTCTCTGGAAAACACCTGTCCGTCTGCTCTGTTAAGATCTCAACAACAAAGATGCAAATTTATGTAAAACTTTGAAACGGTTCACGACCGCTACAGTGTGTACAGATGCTGAATACTAAAGTTGACACACTGTACTTGTACCAGGCTGTTTATTTTTGCTGTAAAAAATGGCCGTTAATGGGGATCACTCAGCTTTTTTCAGCCAGCCTCAAGTGGACACTCAAGGAACTGCAGTTTTTGCACTAAAAAGACCCACTCCGATCAAAATCACATTTTTTTCATTGTCTACATGTTCATTTTTCTGATGCTACAGGACATATCATGAGAAAACTAAGTGCAAAATTACTTTTCTGAATATTTTTGCATTCAAATCACCGTGAATCTCTGGTCGACCCAAACGGCAGGATCAGATTCAGTGAGATTTCCTATGTCACAAATCGAAGCTCCGCCCCCAGAGCCCCTCTATGCAGGCCAGACTCAGAGAAGTAGAGAGGACGATTGCAGAACAAGCGTTAGCGTTAGTGGATTGCAATACTCATAAGAAAGCTAATTATGATGCTAACTTTAATCATGTCCAGAGGCGAATTGCTAATGATCTACTGGAGCTCTGCAGAAGAAAATGATACAGGTAACGTGATTTTGGCTAAAAACTTCATAAACGCTATTTAAGAACCACTGAGAAGACTTAAGAAGTAAAAAAAAACAGCTTTTGTTTTTCAGCTCGGTATCAATTAACTTTGTTGCTTTAAATCTCATTTAAGCTTTGGCAACATCGATGGATTAAAGGTGATTTAGCGATTTGGGGCAATCAGCTTGATAGAGAAATAATGAGGTTTTAACGAGGGTAAATGATTTCAAAATGTTTGTTGGTTTCTGAAGAAATATGGAGATGAAATTTGAAAATAAAGAGTTTCCAAAACTATTTCAAACAATTGTTTTTGGGTTGTTTTCCTCAACCTTTATCATGCAAAGCCAAACAATTTATGGTCTTTTATTTCAGGAATGATGGATTTAAGTGGAAACAAGTCAGCATTATAAACTGAGTGACAGGAAGTGAGAGGGACCAAAATAGTAAGATACACAGAGAGAGAGAGGGGGAGAGAAAATAAGGTCAAACAGGCGGTCATATCTCTTCTTGGGGGCCAGTCGGGGAAGTTTCGCTTAGAAAAACAAAGAGACAAGAAAAGGGGATGGATGTGTAGAGACGTTTGAGGCTACTGCCGAACCTTAAAATATCAGAAGTTTGACAGAAATAGACTGAGAAGAATTCGTGCTTTTAACTGTCGCTGCTTATAACTCTTTGTTCACACAGCATGTGGCCCTCTGGATACGAGATAATCCAGTTTTTCCTCACAATCTCTCATTAGAAAGTCATTAATACGTAGAACTTAGACTGAAGAGAATTGGTTTTAATCGGGTGAAAATAAGGAATTACTAAGAAAACTCCCTTTTCTGTTTTATCATTGCTATTAAATGACTTCTTCTCGCTCATGTGACGTTAAATCTCAACTCTAAAGTCATTCATTATCTCTTCCATCAATGCTGATGGCGAACAATCGAGTGATTTATCTTCAGTCCTGTTGTTGATGTTTTTCCAGCCTGACCTGCACGTCTCTTCCCAGGAGGAACGGAGGGCCAAATGGGTCAAGCAGAAGGCGAGACAGAAAAGACGGAGACGTGGAAAAGTCAAGAATATTGGAAGGAGGGTAAGGAGGTCAAAGACTGACCTAATCCACAGATTTGACTTCATCATCGCAGAGGAGTCGAACAGGAAATGAATCCTAATCTCAGCGTCGGAGCGAAAACGGCAGATAAACCTTCTTGAACTTTGCTGAAATGAGCGAGGAGATGAGAGCGATAAAGAGGAACATCATAGAGAGCTTTTTGGAGGATTATCGGGTTCATTTTTATCGAGCAGCGCACTCTGCATTAGAGGCAATCCGTTAATTCTGGTGTATTGATCCCTCAGCCTGCAGGACTTTCATTACACAAATCTCAATACCAATCATTTTCAAACCAGCTTTCAGAGGAGGGACGGAGCACTGAATCTGACATCGCACTCCGCAAGAATGGGCCGAATTTACCGAGGCTTTAAATCATTTCGGCTCTTCAAACTCTTACGAAAAGTGCTCTGGACACTATCAGTTTGTAAAAAATAGTGAAATTCAAGGGAAACGTCTGATCATTTCAGGATAGGTAAAACCGTAACTGATAAAAGCTGAGGTCACATTAGCCAAAAGCTAACAGAACTCTTACGCCACTTTCAAAACAACATGATTCTTTGCAGTGTTAGTGAATCTTGTTTTTGGAATTTTTCGAGCTCCGAGTCTCAAATTCATCTGGAATGACCCCCAAAGTTGGATTTCCGACTCGAAAAGTCTGACGATCCTCGCCAACCCCGACTTGACGACAACATCATTATCAAAGATGGCAGCGCAGTGCATCAACAGTAAAGCGTAACAGTGAAAGCTCTCGTAAGGTATTATTTATTCGCACTTTCGTTTTGTTTTCATGAAATTAAATAAGTGGGTTATGTTGTACTGCCCAACGTCTAACTGTGAACACGGTGCTATGGTGTTTGTAAAATACTGTGTTATACGTTATTTACAACTGGTATAGCTAACAACAACTAACAACCGCTGATAATGGCGAACAACAGCTGACAATTGTAAACAACAGATAACAACTGGTAACTGTAGGCGTCCACCTTGGTTTTCCGACTTGTTAACTGGAACACTGTCAATTCGGGGGTAACGTCTTTCCCAGCACCGACATTCGACTTCCGAGGTAACTGGAACGCAGCATTGATAAACACGTATTTATACTGCCCCTCTAAAGTTTTTCCTGTCATCAAGAAACTTCTTTGGAGTTTTTGATCATTTGATTTCAAATAGTTTGAAGCATTTCCCGACACTTTCACTGTTTTCATTTTCGTGGTGTAATTTATTTATTTTTTGGCACAAGATTTAAAGGTAGCGGAAAAAGTCACAAAATGAAACAAATTTACGAACATTAGAGGGCATTTAGGTTCTTTGGTGTTTGTAAAGGGTAACGTCATTCTCAGCTCTGACATTCCACTCCAGAGGTAACTAGAACGAAGCATTGATAAACACGTATTTATACCTCCCCTGTAACCCGCTCTTACGATAAACTTAGCTAGTAGTGGATAAAGCTTATGTGAGCTCCGCTAACAGGGTGTCAAGTGTGTTGTTCTACTTTTTCTTCATGTAGTTTTCTTATTTTCGAGTTATTTTTTGGGGTGTTTCTGCCTTTAATTAATAGGACCGCTGGGAAATGAGAGTGAGGGGAAACAAGCTGCCAAGTTTCACGGCAGAGGGTCATCACGCCATTTCTTTTACGCCGTTTTTCTTTTAAGATGGTATAATGGTAAAAGTTTACAACATCAACAATTATGTGATTATTTTAGAAACAGTATTTCTGCCTTTCTGTCCAATTTCTGTCTGAATTTATGCTAACAAACGTCGCCGGTGAAGCTGCACTGGTTCGGCTAGAAACAGTTTTGGTCCAACCCAAGGGTCCGGCTGCCACAATTGGCAGTACGACTCCTCTGAGGTCTCTTTCATCCCCCTCTGACTTGGCCCTCGCCCCCTATTTCCTCATCTATAATTCACACAGACAGCCTTCTTGTCTCTCCACACCCACTACCTCAGGCCAATGCAGTCCTCCGTACAAATACACAAACACACACATGTTAAAGAGATCAAAGTTGGAGTAAAGATGAGGAGGATTATTAAACTTTTATATTTCCTTTTAACAATCCGCGGCTCATTCACATGTAAGAAGTGGCTCCGAGCTTTCGCCTCACCTCATCGACTTTTAAATAATCAACCTGAGTTGGTGAGTAATCGCATCTGTGATTCACCTCATCTCCTCTGATCACGACTCTCCACCAAGTCCTGAACCTGTTTGCTCTGCGGCGGCCTCTGGATCGCTCTCGCAGGTGGGCAAAACGCGAAAAGGAAGAGAGAAACGAGAAGGATTTCTAACGAGCCAAACTCCGCTGAGAGCGAGAGAGAGGCTGAAAAATTAATCTAAGAGTTGAATACACAAGAGAGGAGCAGACTTACTTCAGCTGTGATAAAATCGATTTTTTTCTCCACTGGAATAAATCACAATAAAATCTCAAAACATAACTGTAATATAGTCGAATTATGGAGAGGTTACTGTGAACAGACACTGCAATACAAGAGATTTCAGCTTAACATTAAACAAAGCTTATTATTATTCATAATTAAACTGATATGATTTTGCATTTCAGAGCGATACGTCCTCATTATGGCGACAGAGGAGTAATCAAGCGGGCATTAATTTTCAGATCAGCATGTCTATTATTTTCTACACTCTTCACATATTTCTCATACTTGAAATGTAAAACCCCAGTCACATCATCTACAAGCTCAAACACATGCGAGATGCACTCTTCCCCGCAGCGTTGTGTAAACCAGGCAGGACCAGGTGCGGGTTTTTGTGCCCTGAAGGCGGCAGCTGCACTTTAAAAGCGGAGACAGGTGGGAGAACTGGTCTGGATTCAAATGGATGTGCGCGCCTGAGTGGCTTTGGCGTATCAGATACACATTCACCAATCGACTGGAAAACTCAATGCTGCCCGAAAAGGACCCTGGGGAGTTGAATTTCACATTTAGAGGACCTTTTCCCACTTGAGAATGTGTAAGGTGTTAAAAAAGAGCAGAAGTCCAGGAACGTTGTTTTGAATTCTGAATCTAAAGTATCACTTTGTCTGTTTGATTCAGCTGCCATCACGTATCACTCCTCATTAGACACTTAGAGGGGGAGGGGTTTGTCAAAGTTAAGTCTGGTGTTCGACTAGCTGAATAACCATCATCATAGATTTTTCGTTCATGCCTTTGTGAGTACAAACGACTCTTGGTCTGGATTTAAAGGGACATTCGGGCGTAAATTTTGGAGTTCCTTAAGCGGTGGAGTTTCGCAGCTTAAGGAAGAACATTTATGATTACTTCATGGAAGCGCAATCAGAGTTCTTGTGTATCTTGTATGTGCACTGCAGACGCCTGACCTTCAATTTTCACTGCATCTGGAACGGGTCCAATCCAGAACAGCGGGGATTTCCGCCATCCCCAAATTCCCACCGGATCTGTTTGTGAGGCGAATTTCATGACAGATTACGAGCAGCGGGAAAGAACTCACAAAAACCTGCAGATTCACATCCAATTGCGCAATAACAAGTTGTCTTTAGCCACATAGGCTAACCATATAAGCAGTAGATTGTGTAGTAGATGTTTTATTTTGTGTCTGTGCCTGACTTCCTCTCCAGCACGGGTTGATCTGTGCTGAATTTATCCGCCATTTATGCTCTGGCATCCAGAAAAATTGGAACTCTTGCGATCAGCTGTGGGGTCCGCCGATCCGCAGAGGAACGGAAAGAAGCCGGTGGAAATTGACACATTAACTCGAATGGTTACGATCAGCTTTTCGTAGCCGTTTAGGATGCGGTGGAAATTGGAGGTTAGCATTTCAGTCTGATTGCATTTCCATGAAGTAGTAATCATAAATTTTCTGCTGCACTTGGTGATCGACTCGCCAGGGCTCTCCCCACAGACAAGCGGCTGCTGGAAGAGAGTAGGTGGGTTGTGTTTAGTCTATTTGCTAAAGAAATTAGTCAAAGTTAAAAAGATGTTTGGTGGCTAGTACTATGGCTGTGACCCTATATGTCCTGTTGATGAAGTTAGGTGCTGTTCTGAGCATTATTTGTGGCTATAGAGTATCGTTTTGGTTGAGGTTTGCGCATGAAGACGTAGACCACTGTGTTTTGCTATCGTGAGGTGAGCTACTAAAGTTGGTATAATGTATTTTTTGGACTATAAGGCGCACTTAAAATCCTTCAATTTTCTCAAAAATTGACAGTGCGCCTTATGCATAATTACTTAATGTGCTTACTGAACGGTTTTAAGTGGTACAATGCGCACAAGTACGTGCTAGCAACAATAAACCAATCAATGCTTAATGCGCCTTACAATCCGGTGCGTCTTATCCCCCAAAAAATATGGTAACTAGAGAAGCAAGCAGTCAGCAACATTCATCTCTCAAGGAGGTGTCGAACTCGGTGTTATGGTGTGTTTGACGCTAACTCAATTTCACGCTGGAATATCCGTTTGGGGGCGTTCTGTCAAAGTCAAGTCTGGTGTTCGACCAGCTGAATAAACTTCATAACAGATTTCTACACACGACTCTCGGTCTGGATTCAAAGTCCCAAAAGACAGCTGGAAAAGTCAAACTTTCCGAACAATGCCCGTCTCTTTCACACTTGGCATTTCCGTCCTCTCTACACCTACATTTATCTCCGTTTCGCTCAAAGGTCTCGCTGGCTAACAAGAGGCGGTGTTGACTCCCTAACAATGTCCCTCTCTCCCACCGGTTCTGCCCTGAGAGCACCTACAACAGCCTCCGTGCCTACCACGACCTCGCTCTGGGGGCACGAGCAAATAAAAGGGGGAGATGGATTAATTGGGGGGACGGGACTCATTTACGACCCCAGGAATGAGGACACTGAGAGGGCGCATGTGCCCCCCCTCTTCCCTACGCCATGGCATGTCATCCAAAACTGGTTCCCAGGAAAGGACAGCTCGCCTTGGAGCTTCCCTGCCCAGCAACCACGGAGGCAGAGTTAGATCGAGAGAAGATGGGGGCTGGAGGTGAACTGGGGGGCACGTCACTGTGGATGTGACAGACATCCTGGTGGCTTCTGGCACCGTGTCACAGACAAACACATCTTACTTTTCCACTGACAGAAATGGATTAGAGGCCAGAGACGGATCAACAATGATCCATCAATTCAACCTCAATTAACCCCCGATAGGGTAGCAAAATTCCGGGAATAAATATATTATATTTGATCTGTAAAAGTATTGATATTTAACTTGCAAAACTTGAATAAAAATAGGTGTTAAATGTAAGTTATTTGTCATTTCATTGACCATTTGAGGGGCTAGGTATTATGGTATGGGTGATGCTGTTTCTTCTGACTCCTGCAAGATGGTTTTCTGTAACCATACAATCATTTATACATCGATTGTCAAATATTTCAAAGACCATTGCAGTTGTTATAGCCAACTATATTTCAGTTTGTGCCATTGCTTTAGTGTTTTTACAAGCATTTTTTGCCATCTGATGTGTGGAAGCATTTCACGCGTGCTTATTTTGAAGGAAAAATACTGACATTTATGTTTAGATATGATACACTTGGTTTAAATTACCCCCAATTTCCAGTTAATCCCCATAAATTACCAATAATTCCTGTAAATTCCCAACAATTCCCATGGAAAGTTTCCAATTTGGATGATTTTCGAAAATTTCCCAGCTTCACTTTCCATGGGAAGTTTGTGGAAATTTACCCAGATAGATAAAACCCTCTCACTTTAGGATCTTTCTCAGTTATTAAATTTCTTTGGGTTTATTCACCGCTTGAGTCGTAATCCAGAGCAGCCTTTTTAAGCTAGCAGGACAGGTCAAAAACTACTCAAGATAGCTGATAGATAATCCTAAAAAGAGGTTATTTGGTCAAGAACGGGCGAAATAACTAACCTGACTTAACTCAGAGAAGAAAACGACAGAAAAGAGAGTCAGACAGAGCAAAAATGAAAATGAGGGCGACGAAAGACGCGGAATAAAAAAAAAAGCTAAAGTAAAGTCTGGGAGTCGGAGGAAGCGTCTCGCCACTCCATCACCACCTGCTACGATCAAAACCATCCGCCCTTCAACTCCGCCCAAACTCACCCTTCAGCAAACTTGTCACCGCCAGATACGCAGACGCTGACAGGCAGATATGTGTCCTGCGGTCTCGCTTGGCACGGTGTCACTCCCCACGAAGAAAACCACCGGCAATCTGTTGGCTGTGACTCGCTAACCGCCGCTGGCCCGCGTGCCCCCAGCCCCAGCCTCAGCCTCTAAATGTATCATTGTTTTGAATTGAAATGATGCTCTCCACTCTGAGGGTGAAATGTGACGTCCTCCTGGCTGAATAATCAGTGATGTCTAGACGGGGTACGTCACAAAGACTATAGGTCACCAAAACACTGAAACAACCTCTGGCTCATCAGAATATGAGCTCCTCTATTCTGTTGTTTTCAAATGTCAGCGGCGGTTGATAACGCGCGTGGAGACGTTAATAAAAGATGGAGAAAAACAAAAGCTGTGAAGGCAAACAAGCGAAAGGAAAAGCAGCGTCTTACCTGGAGGGGACGGCAGTCACTCCAGCTTTCTTTTTTTTTATGTCCGTGAAGAGGGCTCGAGGGGAGGGTAGGGCAGCGGCTTCTGCGAAAGAGACAGAATTGAAGAGAGATTGAGAGGGAGGGAGAAATTACAGAGGGGGGTACCGAGAGACACGACTGCTGCTTTTTCACACACACGCCGCTGCAGCTCACGAAAACACACACACCGAGCCAACCGGCATGCTGTCTCACGAAAAAAAATCTCCACCCACCCTCCTCCTCCCCTCTCTCCTTGCACCAGCGCACCCTCCACAACCAAACCAGCATCTCTACGGCGCTGGGAAGACTGGAAAAAAGGGGGGATGGGAGGAAGAGATGTGTATGTTTGTGTTCATGTGTCAATCTCATTAATGCATGTTTGAAATGGATATGAAAGAGAGAGAGAGAGATGCATATTTCATTCACCTATCAGCGCTCTTTTGTTTCTAATAAATTCATGACACATTTGAACATGACATGAAAAACAACAGAGGGGTGCTGGGCTTGCCCCCGTGCTGAATAATTGCTCTGTCCTCGTGCTCATTTGCAGGCATGGCCCACTGCAGCGGTATAGCACTGAAACAAAGGCAGAGAGTGGAAAAAGAGGGGGAAAGAGAGGGTCTGAGAGAGAGACTGCAGAAGCCAGACGAGCCCATCCAAAGCACACAACTCAGTAGCGCTCACTGACTGAAAGCCTAATTCCCCCTGCTCCTTACTCCAGCCTCAAACCACATGAAATGAAATATATTTATAGACCAGAGGCTCACAATGATTCCAGTGTTTAGCCATTCGTCAGGCAAAGTACAACAGTTGTCAGAGCTGTGAATAAATAGAGGAATTTAGAGCAGGAGAGAATGAATGAGTGTGAGCGCGGACAGCTGGATAAATTAACATGTTTTGGGATGATCTGGATTTAAGGGGAGTTTGGTTTTTATCCGTGTACTTTATAATCATCCCTTCTCCACAAACTTGACGTTAAAGTTACAAACTTTTCGCACTAAAATCCCTCATCCCTCTGGATTCATGAGCTGAAAACGACAACACTACAAATGAGGTTTTAGCATAATCAAGGAAGCTACGTCCCTGGAATCAAAATGTGATATTTTCTGCCCAGCAACAAACGGCGGAAATGCATAAAGTTGGAAATCCTCCAAAAAATGTTGAGTATATTTGAACCAGACATCATTTTTTTCGTAGACTAGAGGACACCAAAATAGATCTGAAAGAGAAGAGGAAGCAGAGTTTGACAGGGTCTGACTGTGTTCAGCTTTTCTGTTTATGGGAAGATAGCTCTGATCCGTACAAAGTCCAAAAGACATGCAGTTGGAAATTCAGCAAAAAAATGTTGAGGATTTGAACGAGATGAGACCTCGGGCCAGTCCACTGCAGACTACAGCGGAGTTTCACAGCTCAAGGAAGAACATTTATGACCATTTCTTTATCATTTCCTTTAAGTAATAATCACCATATTAAATTTTTTTCACTGCAGACGTAGTAGTTCTTCTGCCTAAGCATCTCGGTCTGATTGTATTTCCATGAAGAAATGATCATAAATGTTCTTCCTTGAGCTGCGTCACCCCGCTGTAGTCTGTAATGGACTGGCCTGAGGTCTCCATATTAACAAGCGGCTGCTGGAAGAGAGTAGGTGAGTTGTGTTTAGGGATCTAGCTTTTCCATAGAAAGTACAAAAACCTGATGTTAAACTCTACACAACAGATATAACACAACTGTTATTTTCTGTCCTTGAACCAACAGACAATAAATACTGAATTCATATTTTTCCAGGTCATAACTTCCATTTTTTTCAGTCTTGTAGATATGAGTGTTTCTTTTTATACTTCCCCCTAATAATGGCATAAGGAGGTTCATTTCTATTAAAACTTTATTTGACTCTAACTCAGTACAGTTCTGTGTTTAATGCCAGTTGGTGTTTTAGTCCAAAGACCTCTGAGTCCATTCTTTAAAAGAGAAATAAATTAGCCCACGAAAGCGTTTGATTTGACCAGACCGGTGGTCAGATACACTCCCTCACACGATGGCCAAACCCCACAGAGACCTCTGAGGCTGACTCACAAAGGACCCAGTCATGGGGTTCTCAAAACCACGTCAAAAATTAAAGGAAAAGGAGGAAGAGAGAGGAGGCCAGCCGTGCTCCCTCCATCCCACATCACATCCTCTCCCAGTCCCACCATTAGCCCGTCCCGTTCGGAGGATCTGAAGGAGTAAGACTGTAATCAAACTGTCAGTGGAGGGGGACTGGATCTGCAATTGAGACATTAAAACAGGCAGCTGAAAAATAATCCTGCTGTCAAACTGAGTTACAAGATTAGTTTTCATATTTTTACATTCTCTGAAAGGTTTAGTCTCAGTGAGGGAAAAAAGGACAGCAGCGAGCGAGCAAGCTCAGAGAGGCGCAGACAGCCCTGTCAACGCCAGCCGTCCTTAGAGAGGCCTTTTGCCAGCCTTGATTAGACAACCAGGTCTGGGCTGAAGCTGCAGAGCCAGCTAGCCTGGACGCTAACGTTTAATCTCCCTTCAGCTTCTCCGCTGCCAGGGAGCAGATGCTAGTCCGGCGAACGCCAGTTCATCACCACCAGTGAGCTGACAACAGACACAGCAGCAGCAGGCTGAGCTGGCTGTGACCAGATTACACGTTTTTGTTTACGCCGTGTTAAAACGGGACATATGGAGCGTCACACATCAGATGCGCACTCGCCGGGAAGGTGAACACAGGTCATGTTGGGTTGCTGAAGAGTTTGTCTTCAAGTACGATCCATGAGCGAGAATAAAACCTCTTATTTAATCCCGTGTTTAAAAGGTAGGTCAATCTCAGCGCTGTATTGGAATTGGTCATTGTGGGTCAGCCTGATGTTGCCTGTCCCCCCCCCTCCACAGCAGTAAGACGGGGGGCACCGCCAACTCGCTATGATCAGGATTAGCCGAATGGATCATCGAAAAGCTGGGGTGTAATCTGCCTCGACGCCTTCATCCAGATTTGGACGGGAGACTTCACGGCTTGACAGAAAGTCAAATTGTGAGTGAAGAAGTCTGTTTTGGTCGCGAACGCCACTTTGAAAACTGTTAGAGTGAATCATATTTGACAAACGGAGCGGTAAACTGCTGCGTCAGGAAAACAAACCATCGCTGTATCGTAATCAAATGAAAATAGATAAACAGCACTTCTTGACTCATAAATAAAATTAAAAATAAATAATCCAAACTGCAATTGCCTGATTATTCTGTAACTTAATTCAAATGTAAAAGAAAAATCTATTTAAGGTTTAATTTTCAGAATACGCCCCAGCAAATATGGACCTAAATTCAGTTCAAAATGCCAGATGTGAAAATTCAAATTCATTTGCAGTATGCCTTTTTCATTCCAAAGTCAAAACTACATAATTTGACTGAGAAATTAAATGAAGATTCTCTGACAGAATCCAAAAGAGAAACCAAATGGGCCATTTCATTTTCATGTCTGCCCGCCAAAAAATCAACCAAAACTCGCACACGAGTGACGTCAGCGGTGTTTCCATGGTACTGCTTTGCTTTCTTTTCTAGCTCAATCTACAATACGATGGCTCTTCCCGAAACCATTGCTCGAGCGGAGTAATTGGAGTTCGGATTATATATTTTTAATTTCATTTATGAGTCAAGAAGTGCAGGTACAATCTGAAAATACAAACGCATTTCTGAATCCAGTCCTAACCGTGGTGTCATGGTCTCCAAACCGCCGTCACCTCCTCTGACTCCCTCTGCGAGCATGACTCAAGCTTTTTAAGAAACGCAGCGTGAGCACAAGCCGGGTTCCTCTGAGCGAGCAGATTTACTGCAGGTGCTTGAGAACGAATCAACAACCGCGCAGACTTCTGCATCGTCGAACTAAAGTGTCGTAAAAGCTGTTATTCCAGCTCCGGCCATAAAAATGTGACCTTCTGTGGGTTTAAGAGGGAGCAGAGAGCGGTGGATGTGAATGCAGATATTGATTAGAGATTAGGGTTAGTGCCTCGGGGGCGAAATGGAGAAGAGGACAGAGAAATTTGAGACGAACCGCAATTAAAACCGCCTGATTGGTCTTTTTTTTTTCATATATAACCATTAGCATTAGCACTCAATGCTAGGTTAATACTTTCACCCAGACATGGACCTAATAATCTCCTCCACTGGCAGACGAACGTTAACGGCTGAGGAAGAGCGGATCACCGCTACAGCACCCCGAGGATTCAAGAGCAATTCAGTGGAAGCTGGGAAGACTTCCAGTGAATTTACACAACGAACGACTGCTCCAATTGGCCAGAGTGTGTGGCGTGCTTGTTTTTTTGACTGCTTTGAGTAAATTACCAAATATGAACTGATCTGATCTGATCAATACAGATTATGACGACACATTAAGTCCAAAAGATCCTTTTTCTACCTGTAATTGTGTTCCAGATGTTAAATTTTGGTTAATAACATCAGAAGTAGGATGCGTTCACAGGACGCTTCCCTAGCTGTTGTTTTCTCATAAGCTATTTGTGGACTCTTGTCAGAGGTCAAGGGTCGGCCTCTCAAAGCTGCTAGACTACACACAGAGGCTGATCCTCCTACATCCCCTTAGAGCCCTATGCATATAGCACTACACCAAAGCCCAGGCGCTCTGTCCTGTTCGACCTGCTGATCAGGACACAAAAACAAACATGAGGATCTGATCATCAGGGAGGGAAAAAAACGGCATCGGGAATTATTGATTTTGTTCGAGCGGGAGTCAGAAAAGTGTAAAAAATTGATGTTAATATCATAATTTTTAACACTTTGTGGTTTGGTTTTCATGGATGTGGGAAAATTACTCAGATAGGCAAACAAAAATACTTGTTTTACTCCTAGAAGGAGAGGAAAGAGGGTAAAAAGGTGATTCTCGTACTGGCGGATGATCAGCCGAGAAACGAGGAAGGCTCTGCTGCTTCTACTAGATTTGAAGATGGAAGTAAATGTTGATATAGAGTTGAAAACTTCCTGCCTACCCCACCTTTAATCCTGGAGAAATGTGAGCGCACTTCTGCACAGTCCTCTCGCTGACACTTGTGATTCTTCAGACTCAGCTCCCCTTGAGGATTTAGTGTTCAAAGATTATCCCGTTCATAAACCCGCGGACTCTTCCCCGTGCTTTGTTACCTCTCTGCTGAAAAGTCTGTCCGCACACTCCCTCTACTATAAAAGATTTGATAAAAGAGGGCGCTGGCGGCACTAAAAAGAAAATCAATAGTCGATTATTTCTTCCTGTGAGAGCCGCTCTTTCGAAAGAGGGGCACAAAAGCAGATGATTTATTAAAAACACCAGCCTCCATTCATGTTCTGAGGGGAAAGCAACAGTTTGCTTTACATGACACTGACACTATTACCCAACAACCCAGCTGCTTGTCATTACCCGGAGAGAGCGCGATTGCATCAAGGCCTGTGAAAAGCACTTGAGTGCGTACAAACATAAGTGGTTTCTGAAAGTGCGGCTTTGCTTGTTCGCAAACTGCCACGAGCGAATCGCCGGGCCGCTCGTTCTGCCAAGACGGAGCCGTCCCTGCCGTTCAAAACACGACCGACAACATGTGAGGAGAGTCAGGTCCAACGCTCTTCGTACGCAACAGCTGGACCTCCGCGGATGTGATATTAAATCTGATGGATGTAAAGTAATCCTTCCTTTTTACCTCCCAGCAAGACGGCCTCTCTGGGGCGCATATTTTCTCCTTCCTCACATACTTACGCATGTATACAACATGAAGACACACACACACATGCTGTCAGTGTGTGTGTACACTCTTGGACTGTCATTCCTCCCTATAAGCAGAACACAGGAAATTCCTCAAATGTGAAATATGCCTCTGAGAGGCCCGTTTAAAACAGCGGCGTGATTCGAGGGGAGAGAAACAGACAGGAAGTGGAGCTGCTGTGTGTGTATGTGTGTATCTTTTTTTTTTACTGCAAGGGGGGAAGGGGAATTCAGGGGTGAGAACTCAACAGCCCACTGTTTTTATGGACTTAAATATATTTACGCCAGTCTGAGGGCGTGTGCTAGCTTTACAGTATACCCTACAGTGCATGGCAAAGGAGGCGCGTCTGCCAAGTTGGGCGCACGCTCCGGCTCGCGTGCGCCTGGCTGTACGCTAACCACAGGGTGTAGTCGCCGCCTTTGAAGTCATCCCTACACCCTGGGCTGAACTCAAATGGGCTACCGTACAAGACGGCATATGGCTCCCTGGAAAAATCACAACATTTGTACTCCGAGGGAAGACTTTCCTCTCTTTCGGTTTCCCCTCATGAATCATCGCTCGGTAGAGAAAGCAGAAGAGCAGTACAAAAAGGCTACAGTTGACAGTTATTTACATATTCTATCAATAGATACAAAGAAAAGAGCAAAACTAAGTCCTTTGGAATTTCCCCAGCTTCAAATTTCCTGTTTGGTTCGACCAAAACACCCAAAACATTTCCTAAAATTAACTCAAATTAAATAAAGCAGAGAAAAGTGTCAGTTTCCAAAGCTATATTTAGTCATGACTGACGTATTTTCCAATTTTGCTCATAAAAATTACAATTAGTTAACTCATAATCAAAGCAGGCAGTTGTTACTGAGTCTTGCACACAAAAACTACAATTCCCATGATGCTTTTGTAGCTGTAACTGTTTAAACTAAGCTGAATTTTCTGTAAGGACTTCCTGTTTGTGAATGTTTACATGATTTTATTAAAAAGTTTTGTTGGGTACTTTTATTTTGAAGTACACTCAAAAACAGTGTATTTCTAAGTGAGGTTCTGAGGGGCTTTCTATCTCTGCTGTTGTTTGCAAAGATTTTAGGGCGTTCGTTCCAAATTATGTCCTTTTAAACGTCTGAATCATATTCAGTTCTAAGATACGGGTTTTCCATGTTGTACACTACAATTCCCATGATGCTTTTGTAGCTGTAACTGTTTAAACTACGCTGAATTTTCTGTATGGACCTCCTGATTGTAAATATTTACATGATTTTACAAAAAGGTTTTGTTTGGCACCTTTATTTTGAAGTACACTCAAAAACAGCGTATTTCTGAATGAGGTTCTGATGGACTTTCTATCTCTGGTGTTTGCAAAGATTTCAGGGTGTTATTTCAAATTATGTCCTCTAAAAGTCTCAAGATATTGGTTTTCCATGTCATACACTACAATTCCCATGATGCCTTGGAGGTTAAAATCATAAAAAGTAAGCAGAATTGCCAAAGAAAATCCTCAATTTTTGATTTTGATGTTTATGTAGAAACAAATGTCAGTGAATTTTTGTTAGCTGAAGAAAACTTAAAAACAGCGTTTTTCTAAGGCAGGTTCTGTATTAAGAAGCTGCATCTTTCTGCTTTAATTTGTCCATATTTACTCAAATCTATTACCAGTAAACTTAAGCTTTAACTATGGTCTGAGCAAGTGTACATCATCATTAATCTGAAAATATGTCCCCTGTACTTTTGTGCCAATTCCACTGACTCCAAACTCTTGCAGCGATTCCAGTCTCATGTAATTGGCTTCACTATCTGTTCCTCCTGCTGCCGCTGAAGCTAGAAGAACTTTGGCCTCAGGTGCTGGTTTTCTTATTTCGAAGCTGTCTTTCTTTTCAGCTGGATGTTAAGATCCTTATCTGCAGCTGCAGGGTGTCTAAGTGAAGCAAAGCAAACAAATTATTCATAAAGTCGAGGAGAGATTTCAAAGGTCGAGGATGATGCACCGACGCCTACTGAGCGCAGAGAAACAGAGCGCAGAATTAAATGAGAATAAAAACACGGGTCAAAAGTGCTGGAACAGTTATATATAAATCCTATTATTGCTTCCCCCTTGGTGTTTGATATTTTCCTCAAGCTTTTCCTTTAATAACATCATATTTCAGCGGGATGACTCAACAGGCCGGCCACCAGTCAGGAAAGGCTGTGATTTGTAGCAGGGATGTCCTTCGTTTCAAAACCACTTCCTGTTGATGGGAGTTCTGAAGCTCGCCGTCCACACGCCATCTGCTCTAAATTAGCACCTACACGGGGAGCGCTGTGATCTGGGCATCGGCGGTCAGACGTCGGGGTTTAAGGTCCTGAAGCTCCAGCAGCGGAGGACAGCTGGAGATCAGACTAATGACACTACAGTAGCACAGGAGGAGGATCGGAGCTCTTTACTGCTGTTTTTGTACGTAAAAATAAGGAAGCAGCTGCAAGATTTTTCCTTTTTTTCCATTTCTATCTTTTTTCTATGGTGGCCGAGAGCTGCCACTGCTGCGAATAAAAAGAATGCAAAAAAGAAGTCAAAAAAGAAACGATGCAGATATAAAAAACAAAAAAACAACGGAAGTTAACGACTAGGGTTGGGTGTCGTGTGATTTTGAACGATTCTGATTCCGATTCCTTCTTCGTTGGTGTTTAGCGGCGTCTTCCTCGTTGGTATTCGGCGGCTATTTCTTCCCGGTTGGCGGACTCCAGCATCGAAACTTGGAATCGAAATTTTAAATATGAATGATTCCGGGAGATTCAGAAAGTTAGTCCCAGTCCTCATCGATGCCCAACCCTGTTAACGACGCAAAAAAAAGTGGCGATGGAAAAAAAAGAAAAAGTTACTTACTGCGAAAATAAAAGGATGCAAAAAAAAAAAAAAAAGTGAGGGGACCAGTCGTGAGGATGCAACGGTGTTTTATAAACTAGGCACAGAAGATGACGGTGAAAAGACGAGGTAGGAAGTGGAAAGGTTAGCGTTTAATTTCGCATCGTAAACTTTTCAGCGTGGTTAGACCATGTAGCGCCTGAGTTGATATGAAGTTGAACTGAAGCTAACACTACACCCACATCCTCCAGTTTTTTTATTTGCATCCTTATATTTTTATAGTGAGTAACTTTTTTCCATTGCCACATTTTTTTGCGCCGTTAACTTCTGTTGTGGCTTTTTTTTTTAATCCTGCACCGTTTCTTTTATTACTTGCACCGGGCTTCGTTTTTTTTTTGCCTCGTTATCTTCTGTTGTGGCTTTTTTCATTCGCACCATTTCTTTTTATATTTGCAGAGGGCTTTGCTTTCTTTTTTTTTGCATTAGTAACTTCCGTTTTCCTTTGTTTTGGTTTTTTTTTGCATTTTTTTATATGCAGCAGTGGCGATTCTTGGCCACCATATTTTCCAACCAATTACAGATTATTATTATTATTTTTTTTTTTTTACGAATAAACTTAAAATCCAACGTTCTGTGCATAAAATAAAAGTTTCGGAAGCTGACTGTCTCCAAACTCTCAGAAATGTAACGTGCAGGAGTGTTTGCAGTGCGGCGTGCAGGCCCTGAGTCACCGTGGCGTTCATGCTTAGAGAAGAGGACACACGTGTCACTGAGACCGAGTGAAGAGCGGAAGTTTCTGGAAGTCATCATAGACAGGCAGGGAAGGAGGGAGGAGGGGGTGCAGCTGCAGAGGACTTTTACTGCAGCGGAGGGAGATGCTTACAAACCTGCTCACAGACTACAGTTGCATATAAATGAGCATGCACATGTACATAAACGCCACATGGCGTTAAAAACAACAAGCAAAAAAAGACGTCAGCACGGACCCACATCCTGGTCAGGCGGGTCAGTGTCCCGGCACGCCAACACGCAGCTCGATCCGGCCGAGTATAAACACCAATAAATGACAAACAAAGAAAGGCAAACACATCCCTGAGCTGAAGTCAACAGCTGTCAAGACTTACGGGGCGGCTCCGGCGTTCCTGAAACCGCCCTGTCAGTAAAACATCCAAAACAAGCAAGCCCTGTCTCCAAGAAGAGAAAGAGGATGAGTCATGATTTGAGGCTGAGGAATAGAGATGATGTTGACTTTTGGCTGCTGTAAGCGGGGAAAACGACGAGAAACACCCTCGTGATAAATGAACAACAACGTGTAAAGTTGTGACTTCTTTTTTTTAATTAAAAACAAATCTCCACCTGCTACTTAAGAACCAGTTTGGGGATTATTTCCTCTTTGTTGGCAGCTGCACTTTCACTCATTAATCAGAGTTGATTTGTTTATGTACCAAAAGCTCCTCTGATTTCCTCTCAGGACGTTATTTCGCATCTTTTTGGTCACTTTATGCAACTTGGGTGCTGGAGCCAACTGTTCCTGCCTATATTTAAAGAGCTTTCCTTGTTTAAATGCAGACCCACTGCAGCTTAAATACACGCTGGGCTGCTGTATCATGTAGGCAAGAAGAACCAAAATATAGGCTAGTGAAAATAAATATGGAATCTGACTCCGCGTGGAGAGATGCAATGATAGACTGTAACTGGCTGTCAAGTTTTTAAGAAAAGCTCGGTTTTCTTCTCTCTTTCCGCCTCACGTTTCGTCCAAGTGTCGCACTTTAACGGTGTCATTTGCGGTTTACGCTGTGAGAAGTCGGGCCAAAGTAAGCTTAGCATGATAGATTCATTTACTTGTTGTTTCCCAGCTGGAAAAAAAATGCACAAGACATAACAAAACTATTAAATCAACTCAACAGTTTGCACTTTGATAGCAGATGCTGCGCTGACAGGAAGTATTCCACTTCGAGGTTCTCTAAGTGCACGCTATTAGTGTAAATGACACAGCAAGACTGCGGTGAGAGTGTGGACGCGGCGCAGAGGGAGGTAACAACACTGGGAGGCCGTTAATAAAAGCAGGAGGCGAATAAAGGAGGAGGAGGTTTGTTGCCTGGGAGTGGATCTCGTCCTGGTTTCCATTAAGAAAAGCGAACAGAGTGATGAATGAAGCCCGGGTTATTAAGAGCCGAGGAGCTTCCCTGGTATAATGCACCGGAGCGGTAATGACTGAGAGTACTTGAGGGACGTCCAGATGAGGTCATCCTTCATTAACTTCCTGGACTTGACATACTTAAGAGTCAAACGTCTCGCATTTTTCATGGCGTGTCTGAAAAGTCACGTTTATCGCTTTGTCAGAGAGCGAGAATTGATCAGGATCAAACTGGGGTGGATTAGAGGTAGGGCCAAAAATATTTATCCACCAAACAGCTTTTCAACTTTGACTAGATTAAACACAACTCACCTACTCTCTTCCAGCGGCCACTTGTTTGTAGTGAGACCTTTGGCCAGTCCATTACGGACTACAGCGGGGTTACGCAGCTCAAGGAAGAACATTTTTGATCACTTCTTCATGGAAATGGAATCAGACTGAGACGCTAAGACAGAAGAACTACTACGTCTGCAGAGCAAAATGATTATTATGATGATTATTACTTTAAGGAAATGATAAAGTACTGATCATAAATGTTCTTCCTTGAGCTGCGGCACCCCGCTGTAGTCTGCAATGGACTGGCCTGAGGTCTTGCTACAAACAGGCGGCTGCTGGAAGAGAGTAGGTGAGTTGTGTTTAGTCTCTTTGCTAAAGAAATTAGTCAAAGTTAAAAAGATGTTTGGTGGCTAGTACTATGGCTGGGACCCTATATGTACTGTTGATGAAGTTAGGTGCTGTTCTGAGTATTATTTGTGGCTATAGAGTGGCGTTTTGGTTGAGGTTTGTTTATGGCTCCTCAGACGGCTGTGTATTGCTATCGTGCGATCGTTACTAAAGTTGGTATAACTAGAGAGGCAAGCGGTCGGCAACAATCATCTCTCGAGGGGGTGTCTAACTCAGTGTTACGGTGTGTTTGACCCTTAAATTTTACACCTGAATATCCCTTTAACATCATCATAATCAAATAATCCAATCAAATCGATTAATCGTGCAGCCCTAATTAGAGGCTTTATAAAGTAAAGCTTTCGGTGACACATCCTTGATACTGAGGATACGAGTCCATCTGGTGACATGGTGACGTCAGGATCAAAGCACGTCACACTTATAAAGCGGTACAATGTCGTCTAAAGGCTGATATTCAGGGACTAGATGCTCTCTCTCCCTCTTTCATGGACGTCTGTAGGGATCTATAATTCCTACAAAACTTGCAAGTTCAGGGTTTCGCTTAAAATCAAGCAGATGTATAAATTACCGCCATGAGTCATTCCTTATTTATGTCCGGTGAAAGTGATGATGCAGCCAAAGAAAAGCCCGACCTCAGCGCAGGTAGGTTTCTGTCAGAGAGGGACACCGGCAGTGCTTATGTCAGTGCAGCATCAGCATTCATGAGGCATCCTTCGCCGCTCTGCCGCAGAGTGACACCTGATGTCTACAGCCGAGTCTGGCTCTCACCTTGAACACACATATGCAAAAACCCTCGTTTCTCATGTAGACAGAATGATGCAAAGCAGGCTCGACCAGACCCAGCTTTGTGTTTTCACTGCTCAGATGTGGACGCAGATTAAAGCGTCTTGAATCTCCGAGCTGCGTCCCTCTGCGGTTTCCAATCACAGCTGGTTCACATGTCTGTTGACGGGAATGCCGCCCAGCACAGGAAATAGCTGGGCTGGAGAACATACGAGTTCGTACAGATAAAACGCAGCCTGTGTCTCCGGGTTTGAGACTCAGCAGAAATGAAGCGAGCTGGTGGTGAGAATACAGGAGATAAAGGCTGGAGGGAGCAGGAGAGTTTATTTTCCTGTTTGTACGAAAACTTATCTTCTATCTGTAGCTGGTAACTTTATATATTTCATTTCTGCGTGTATTTTTTAAGGTACATTACACCCTGATGGGAGATTGTGTATCATACTTAAATTAAGAAATTGTAAATCTGTTTCTTTGGGGAATAATGAAGCTAAATATTTACATTTGATAGTTTTTCTTCATAATTTGGTAATATTTTCAGGTAAATGTTGGCTTCACGAAAATGTGCCCAGGCCAAAAAGTCACCAAAAATTGGCGAATGAGAGTGTTTACGCAAAAGTAATCTATTAACACAACATAACTGTTAGTTAAGCTTGATATAAACTCAAGTTTAGATCCTTTACCCTCAGGTTAAAGGTGGGGTAGGCAGGAATCCGTAAAAGAAGCATCTTTTTTTACAAATATATATATACAAGTCAAGAGCTATTAGTTATTGATGACATTCGGGAATATCAAGATATTGCTGTGTTTTGTTATGTCTGTGTAGTCAACATTTCAACATTTTTGAGTGGCCCGCTCTTTCTAAATGTAAACAAAGCCGTTCTCCACCTCCCCGACCTGATTCGTTGTGAGGTACGCTCCATGTCCTCGGATAACGTTCATGAGCCCAAACAAAGTTAGTGCTACGATACCGGACAGTAGAAACCAAATAGAAAGTTCGGAAAATTGTCGGAATCCTCCTTTGGCCACGACTGCCAACACAAGCTAGAACATGAAGTAAATAACGGAGACTCTGGTGGAAGAACGGGCGCTTAAAACGGAGGTGGACCACCCGGACAAGAGCTAAGAAGCCGGGTCAACATCAGCATAAACAATTGGGACGCTTCAGGATCTTATTGTTTACATTCAAGATCTCTCCCAAAAACTGGCACTTCCTCAGATCCTGCCTACGCCACTTTTAAGCAGCTTTGAATCGATCCTGAAGGGTCCCTGTGTTCAGAAAAAAAGTGCTAAAAAGTGGCGAATAAATCCGAGCACTCAAAAATTCAAACTTTATAAGACTCCTGCCAAGAGAAAATATCTCACGCTAGTTATATAAGATGTCGACCTGGTTGTCATGCAAACATAATTGATCATGTCTTTGAGTCCTCCTGGCATAACAAAACGCATAATTAGATATAACAACAGCATTAATGAGAATCTACGCCTTTTTTTTCAGATTTAGAAGACAAAATTTGGGAAGGAGTTGGTTTTCAAGCAAGAGGTGGAACTTCCAGCAGCCAAAATACTCTCTATTATGTCATTCTGGAGCTGCAAACCAAAGCACAATCCCACACAAGCCAGCTGAGGCGCAGCCACTCAGAAAAACAAGGCTGAGAAGCGTTCCCACTCAAACTGAGTGGGAGCCAAACTAAAACAATTCTGAACTTTGGTGTAAATCACGTCTGCTTCATTTGATCAGATAGAGGACTGGCGGACCCTGACAGCCTACGTCACCGCAGTAACAGTGATTAACTCATCTGTCCGGAAGCCTCTTTGACCAGCCGATGTGACGGGGTCGGGCAGATAAAGGGGTCTATTATGTGAGGGTCCATTGCCCAGGGATAAAGGCGGTAACTTCTTTGGGTGGTTTGTAGCATTTTCAAATGATGACCTCTTGTTTGGCGAAGGACAAGGACTGAGGGAGCGAAAAGGAGGGGTGCTATGTGATTAGGGTGCAGAGGTGCCAATCAGCCTGGCAAAGCCCTCAAGGCATAAGATGCTGAGGGATTTTACTCCCAATTTGCAGTGACCATAGACGGGGAACGATCACGTGCAGCCTTCCCCTGAGGTAGAAAGCAGATGGCAGGGGATTAGCATCTGAATGTGGGCATGTAGATCCACGGGGGGGCCTCTCTCCCATCCCTCCTCCCCACAGGGGATAGGTGAGCTGAGGAAAAGAAGGCTTGGGAGCGACAAAATCAATAATTGGCAACCCACGGTGCCAGGACAAAGAAACAGCGCAAAGCTGGTGGCTTTACACGGCAGTGATCTCACAAGACAAACAGCTAATTAAAGACTGAGAATCTCCTTACTTCCTTTCTCCTTCTAACTTTCTGGAGAAACAACTCAGGGACAAGCCTGTAGAGATACGAATCAGGGCGAACGCTCCCGTAGACATGACAGCAACAGAGATAACATCAGGACTCATACAGAGCGACATAACTTTGAGGTTCAAGTCTGTGATGTTTGGACTGAACATGCTGGTATCAACAAAGAAGTCCGGGTTTCTCTGACTGACGTGACTTGACGCCACTTAGACCAGGGCTTGGCAATAACTTTTTTTACAAGGCGCGCATGTGCTCCTGAGTCGTGTCTGATTGGTTGACATAAGTAGCTACTATTAATTGAGATCAATTTGAGGTCAATTGGTCACATGACATGGAAGCTTGGAAAGGAGCCTTTTCTGAGAACATCAACCGGTAATTTATTGACGGTCCCTTATTCAACGCCCGACATTGACAGTGAGGGTGCCGAGTAGATTAAACTGCGCTGCTGTTGCCATTACCGGGTATAAAGAGTGAGAAGACACCGGTAGATCCACAGTGAATGTCCATCGAATATCGAACCTAAAACTAACTTCACGGCGGTATTTACATGAAAAATTATCTGTTGCCTCGGCTGACACGTGCCCCAAATACATTTTACAATTCGCACATATCCATTGGTCGCACTGTCGAGCCCTGTAGACCGATCTAGCCTATCTAAATTTTTCGTTTAAAGCTCAAAGAGCAGTCTCGTGGTCACTGGGCTCTTACGACTTAAACAATAGCAACAAACAAACCGTCCAAATGAACGCACACGGGAGCAGCGCATGGAAATCTAGTCCCATGAGCCCGAGTTTATAACCCAGTTTATCACCGGCCATTGTCAGCATTAAAAAGAGAGCACTCTCCTCCCCTGGAGACCACTCTCAACCATCTGTTGATGCCTCCACGTAAACCCATCGGCTCTCCTTCTCCACCAGGATTTATGCCCTTTGATTTAATGAGGCGACCTGAGGCGGCTCGCGCTCCCACCCAACCTCCACTAGACTGCGCCTTGAGGATACAAGTGCTGCCGTACATTTACATTAGGTCTGTATGCTTCGTCCCTTGGCATCAAACTGGAGCAAACAAGCAACAAAGGTCTGTTTGTTTGTATCTCTGCGAAAGGATGACGGTCCTCTGCAAGGATTATAATTGCCATGCCAATTAAAAGGGAACACGTGAGGTAGGGTCAAAGGCCGAGTCCCAACAGGGTTCGTCCCAGGTCAAAAGAGAAATTAAGAATATGATGAAGGCAAACGGCGGAATCGAAATGAGAAATGGCGACTCCTGCCTGTATCCTCTCACTGCAAGAGGGTCCAAAACACTTGTACTCAAAGGGGTCATTCCTTTGAGGGCTAGTTTCCATGGCAGGGGTTGCCTTGGTGAGGGGGGCCCTTGATGATCCCAATGGGGCAGTGGGCTCAGTCAACACTCCTGAACAACACAGGCAGTCCGGGGAGGAGGAAAGTTGTGAATGGAAAACCTACCACAGTGTACTGTGTGAGTACAAGGAGTGCAACTCAGCTAAGAAAAGCAGAAAGGCTAAATTTATTTGGCGTTTGTCTTGGAAGCGCTCATTTCTTATCTTTCCGTCCTCCGTGTCAAAGTGCAGATGTCTGATTTGCCCCTTTTCAGACATATTCAGTGGCGGTCCAGTAGAAACTCCTCCTGGAAGCTGGCCAGGAGGTCTTTCTCAAACAGTCAGCTGCTGTGTTCCTCCAGTCCAGTTAAAAACAGACTCCTCAGAACGTGATGTACCATCAATGCATTCATGCTGTCCATCTGTTTCTATGTTTCACACTGGCTTTACAGAGCTGCTGTGTGAATCTGGGGGGTTTCCATTCACCCAGAATCGGCCCTGACAAGCAGATGCGCACACAAACAGAGATGGACTCTTAAAAAACACAGTAAAACACAGAGAGATAGATGTTCTGGTTTCATTTAAGGACCCAAGAGGAAATTCATCCTGAATCCTTGAAGACTTTTTTTCACTGGGAGACCCATTTTCTCCAATGGATTGACTGGAAAACACACCCACATGGAGATGCGACTAATTGTTTTCAACCATGCGGTAACTCGATATAGAGTCTGTACGCACAAACAATACATGGACCTCCAACAATGGAGCTCATTGATTCCTCTAGTGCCATCCACAGAGACGGATAAGCTGCAAGTCTGCTTTTAGGTTCGGGAGAAAACAATCTAGCTGTTTAGCTTCAACATCTGGAAATCATAAAAGCCCTGGGTATAAATGACTTAGCCGCTATGCTAGGCTAAGAAGTGGTCCCTTGTCCATTTAGGAAGAAGCGAAGCCTCATTAGTGGTTTCTTTCTGTCGTATGCCCACGTCAGGGTCCGACAAACCAGGCCAGGATCCACTGCAAAGCGGCCTCAAGCAGATCATTTAGGTTACTGTTGAACCCTTGAATAGTCCTGCTTTGGATGGACAAGTTGGATTTTCATTGAGCTTTGAAGATCTAATGTCTTTTTTGTCAAGCCAATCCCCGGATTTCTTGAGCTGGATAACCCCCCAAACTTGATATTCTTAGATCAAAACGCACTTCATTTAAATTTTCTTCACGTTTCAAAGCGCAGCGTGGTTAAAAAGCTAATCCACCACAAACAGCAGGTACTTGGCTGATTCCAGAAGAAGCCACGGCTCATTAACTTCAGGACCAACCAAACCAGTCGCCATGGAAAATAAATGTTTTTTCAAGGGTTATAGCCTCTAGGTTGATGTTAAAATTCCCTTAACTTTTGAAAACCCTCCAAATATCTAAATTGTCTGATGTACTTTGATAAAAACACACAATTAAATTGTCTACACACGTTCAACTGCAAAGCCAATAAAAACTCAGCCAAGTGTTTCTGCTCTGCAAACATTAAAACAGATGCAGGACCCAGCTGGCTGCATAGAGCAACAGACACCACCATAATATTATCCAGAACATGTCAACAGCCCAAATGTCTACATTCTCCTCCGCCAATTAGCGGCGTGAAACCGCACACAGCGATTCGAGAGCTGGATTTTATGACAGACCTGTAAGATAAACTTCCTGTTTTAGCACCGTGTGAACATCTAGCTGTTTTTTTTTTTGGTCTTGGAATGCGTTGTTGGGCACCGGTCCACAAGAAACAGCTCCAAATAAAAGAAGCTTTCCAGAGAAGAGGGTTCAAGGCAACAGAGAATATTACTGATGCCAATATCTGAGTAAGAACGCCCCGCATGAGAGTCCGCTCTGTCGAGGGGCATCTTCCGTGAGGAATGAAATGAGACACTGGCTGTCAGGGCTCGTTTGGCAGACTTACTGCTACTGAGCCGTGGATGGGGCTTTGATTCATGGACAACAGGGGTGGATGAACGGTAAGAAAGACCATCCTGAGCAGGAGAGGTCACACAGGGGATCTTAACACCAGATTAACAGTGTTTATCAAACCCAATAAACTCGACACCTGTGTCCTCGATAAGAAAGATCCATCAGCTCCAGGAATACTCACGCAAGAAAGAAGAATAACCAAGAGATGATTCAATAAAAACGCATGAAAACCATCTGCGATTGTTGAAATTGAAATACCGTTATGTTAGCTAGTTACAAAACAGATTACGGTAGGTGTATTTATTCAAACAAAGTCTTTGTTGAGACAATTTTTTTCAATAAGATACTTCAGTAACATCAAAATCCCAATGTTTTAAAGTGACCCTACAAAAAAAAAAACGATAAAAAATGGCTTGCTAGCGCCCCCTACAGAGCGCCATGAACATCAACTTTTTCCGATCTGCCCAAAATTTTACAGGCACGTGTATCTTAACGAGATCTTTGATTTTGCGCACTTGAACTTTTCTCTCAGGCACACGGTTAAAGAGTTATTCTGCTGTTTTCGGCCCATTTTGGCCATTTGCATATGTAACGCCAAACGTTTCTAGTTCCTTTTTGTTTACAATATGGCAGCGCATTTTTTAAAACTTACGCTCAGTGTTTTATTTGAAAACTTTTTTAAAAAATGCACCAAAACAGAGGTATGGACACATCTGCCAAAGATTACAATGGCACCTTTAATATATTTAAAACTGGTTCAGTGAGAAAGTATCAACAAGGTGTCTCTGGAAAATTTCAGCATTTTTCCAACCCAATTTTCTCCATATCCATCGTCGGATAAGTCCATAACAAACAAAAAATTCCTCAATGCTGAATAGCACTAAAGTTCGCCAAAAAGCAGGGTGTGTGTTTGGAAAAGCGTATAAGCATCTGTCTGCTCCACATGCAGGTCAGTGGGCCGTTTGGTTCCTGTGACGTATGTGAATTAGATTAAGATTCCTCTCACACTCAGGACTTAATCACGGACTGTAGCACAGTTCTGCCAGCTCACATTAGACACCTGTAGCGCTAAAAGGAAAGAGCTGGGGGGGAACAAAGAGGCATCCTGAGTCCTTGAACACCTGCGGCTACACCTGCACCAGCTCTTTTTGCACCTACTTTGCCGACACTCTACCAGATTGCATGTGAACGTATGAAAATAAACCCAAATCGCCACTTAAATGCCTCCAAAAGGCCTTTAAGGAAACGCACTCCTTATAAATAAGCAAAGAGTCAACCTAGTTTACATTCATCCACAAACAAATCCAAAAACTGATCTTTACTCTAAACATCGTTCCCTCCTCAAAAGAAACAACAAGCCAAGATGGCATGTCTTCATTTCAGTGGAGCGCGCAGTGGTTCTGTGGTTTCAGGACTTTGACTGCTCACCTAACCAGAGTTGACTTTGGGAAATGTACTTAGCATTCCCGCATGGTGCAAGGGAGCGGATCGGGTTTCCAAGTGGTCGGAAAATCAAGAAGTGGCGAAACGTATGGCTCGCAAACACTCTCGGGTTTCATTTTAGATCTAAATAAGTCGCAGACAAACCCAATCTGTTGTATCATGATTAAGGTCATTTCAATTACTCCATCCAGCAGTGATTAGACTCAGCCCAATCTGGCCCGATAGAGGCTTGTTCTTCCAGGAGGAGTAGGTGATACCTGACACACATCTCCGGCGTAATGCACTTTGTCAACCTCCATTTGGTCCGAGCCAAAAACCGCGTAATCTGCTTTGAAATAGACAGAGGAGTTTTCAGTTCACGCCAAGTAAACATGGCATGTGTGGTCAGGTTACCCGGGAACAAGAGTTGCACCAAAACCCTTTTACATACTATTAATTTAAGTGTTATTCCTAATGTGTACCCATATTCAGAGTGGTGTGAGGCTGCAATTGGAATGTGCCAACGCAAAGAAAATGGAGTGCAGTTTCATGCGAGCGTTAATTCCTTCTCATAGAGGAATGTTTTCACATCCAGACATGGGAAATCTACAGTTCCGGCCTCCCCTTTGGCGTGTTTGTGGCGGAGGGGACACTGAAAGGGGGCTTGTCTGGAGAGTATATCCATGTTTAATGAAAGTCTGGAGGTTGGATGTTGGTTTTACAGCTGAATGCATACAAAAAATTAAACTGCATTTCATCAGAGGATGTTTTTTTTTCAGTTTCATTTGGTTATAATAAAAAAAATCAACTTGAAAACTGATAAAGTGCATTTAAAGCGCAATTCATCAGCTCTGGAGGCTATTTCCTTCTACTGGTGCAGACTGGTCATGACTGCAAGGGCATCATCACACGAGATGCCAACTACGAGCCGGGCAACTCCCATAACCAGTGTGCCCATGAGCGAAAAAAATGCGCCAATACATCCTCATATGACTTCTTTAAACTGCGCCTTTTCATGTTTTAGATCACAGCCTCTCTTTACAGGTCAGCGCTGCGGTGAGTAGCCGGTGTGCTGCGCCGGTTTCAGCACCATCCAGGCGTGGACCAGAACAAAAGGCGCAGGTTTCTGCAGCAGCACGAGCGCGTCGCGGAAAGGAACGCAGCGGGACAGCGCGAATTTACCCATCAGACGCGTTTTTAGTTAAATGCGGCCTCTCTATTTCTTCAATTCTACATTTGGAAAATCTCAAAAATGCTCATTCCACCTTTCCAAAATCACGCATAACTGCACATCACACCACGCAAGATTGCGCTCCAGCGTTTATTAACACTTTGGTTTGTTGCACCAACTTTTGCAGCTTCTAGTGATGCTTTCAATGCCTCAAACTGTACATTCATGCTTTTTTCTTAAAAATCTGTGCGCTTTATTATCTATTAAATGATAAACAAAGAGCTCGGACCCTTACCTGGAGATGTCGGCTGCTGAGCGGCACTAATACCCCTGTGTGTGAAGGCGGCTCGAGTGACAATGAGATCGGTACGGGGGCCCTCTGATCCCTCCCATCGCGAGTTAAGCCGTACCGTAAGTGTGGTAGTGCGTGCGCAATGAGATTTCGTGGCTGCAACGTGCATGCCAGGAAACCCTTATTCGCGCTTGCGTTGGATTTCTGCGACGTTAAACATGCAAAATGACATTTATAGGATCAGATGCAGATGTGAAATGTGAAGTTAGTGTTTGTTGTGAAGGTGGAGGCGCAGTGTCTGCAGTGGAAGCTGGTGAGACACAGGGGTGTGGCTGTTGCTAAGGAAAGATGGAGATGTAGGGGAGAGAGAGAGGTAGAGAGAGAGCGAAAGAGAGAGGGAAAGGGACTTAAGTGGATGTGATGCCAAAAAAAAGGGGGAGACCAGGGAGGGAGGGAGGGAGGGGTGGAGGTTGCATCAGTGAGCACTGGCTGCACTGGCTGCTGCACTTGTGCCCCCTCAGGTAGGATGTCTGCTCCCTCAGCTGGCACTGATGTGAGGCTTTTGGAGGATTTCAGCACCAGAGTGTCAGACTGGTGAGCTGTTCATTCACACCCCGATAAATCAAACACATGGGAATGCAGTGGGTCCATTTCACTCTCAGTTTGATGCATGAATGTGTAAACAACCGAGGTGGATCATCTTTAAATTTGTGGTGATTATCATACCTCAAACTTTTAAAGCGATAATGTTTCAACTTCGTGAGAAATGCTCTAAATCATACAGACTCATTCAACAGTCTGCTTTCTCCTGTGCTGCAATGGAGTCAAGTGGAAACATGGTGATCTGTCATTCCTCTGTCAGCTTGGTCTATGCGATTACTGCCACCTATTGGCACAAACGACACACTACAACTGGACTGTTCTTTAGGTAGGACTCCTCCTTTACCCCTTCACTACACATCCGAGCACTAATACAGGTGAACAAAGAAGAATCTCAGTTAAAGGGATAGTCCGGCATAAAATTAATTGAGGGTCAAACACACCATAACACCAAGTTAGACACCCCGCCAAGAGATGAATGCTGCTGACCGCTTACTTCTCTAGTTTTACCAACTTTAGTGACGACCGCACAATAGCAATACACAGCGGTCTGAGGAGCCATAAACAAACCTCAACCAAAATGCCACCCTATAGCCACAAATAATGCTCAGAACAGCACCTAACTTCATCAACAGGACATATAGGGTCCCAGCCATAGCCGCTTGGTCATAGCGAGACCTCAAGCCAGTCCATTACAGACTGCAGCGGAGTTTCGCAGCTCAAGGAAGAACATTTATGATCATTACTTTATGATTTCTTTGAAGTAATAATCACCAGATTGATCATTTTGCACTGCAGACGCTGTAGTTCTTCTGCCTTAGCGTCTCTGTCTGATTGTATTTCCATGAGGGAATGATCGTAAATATTCTTCCTTGAGCTGCGAAACTCCGCTGCAGACTGTAATGGACTGGCTTGAGGTCTCACTATGACCAAGCGGCTATGGCTGGGACCCTATATGTACTGTTGATGAAGTTAGGTGCTGTTCTGAGTATTATTTGTGGCTATAGGGTGGCGTTTTGGTTGAGCGCGTGGCTCTTTCTATTGCTATCGTGTGGTCGTTACAAAGTTGGTATAACTAGAGAAGCAAGCAGTCGGCAACACTCATTTCTCGAAGGTTTGGTGTTACGGTGTGTTTGACACTATATTAATTTTACGCCGGAATATCGCTTGTATTTGTCATGGTACACAAAAAAACAGTGGAAATAACAAGTCAAAGCCCTTTAATTTGACTTTCATTTGAACAACCCATCGCCGACAAAGCCGCCTTACGATGCAGACAACCTGAATTTGATTCTCCTTCTATTCCGATCAACACTGACCAGTCTTTATTTGATTAACTTGCATTGTACGGTGCAGAAATAAAAGGCATATGGATGTGATAAATTAATCGCACAAAGACGCTATATTAATGACGCATTCGTGAACATTAGTCAACAAGTTTCACAGCAATATATACACACAGCTAATGCTACAAAAGGTCGTCAACGGATTTACAAAAATAGGTCATTATTTTGGCAAAATTGTGAATCAAAAGTTACAGAAAAGCCTCTGTACAGATGAGGTTACCTTCGTGAGTATTTCGTCGTACATTATTTAAACTTTTGTGTTTCTTGTTCTGTTAAAGTTGGGATTCATTCCCCCTGACACATTCTTCACCCGTGCTCAAAACCCTTTTCAGACAAATTCACAGAGACCATCCGTGCACACCGCCTCTTCCCCCAGTGCTCCTCCTCGTCCACAGTGAAAACCTCCAAAAATCTCACTTCTGACTGACGATGGTGCGTGCGATCAGCTCTTTCATGATCTCGTTGGTGCCTCCATAGATGGGCTGAACGCGGGAATCCACAAAGGCCCTAAAGAGACGCAAAAGAGAGACAAGTTTTAGCTTCTTGACGAGGGACTAAGCAACCTCAGATCCGACACCTGGACAGGTTACAAGCCACTTACTTTGCGATAGGGTATTCCAACATGTAGCCCCATCCTCCATGGAGCTGCACGCACTGAGTGGCCACCCTGTTCTGTAGGTCAGACGCCCTGGGTAACAGATGGAGGATATTAAGAAATAGCAGAAACACGGGCTGTCCTGTACAAATAAAAACAGATCCTCACCAGTATTTGCCCATGGAGGCAGTCGCGGGATCCAGGCGCTTCTCAGCGTGGAGCTGAAGGCAGTTATCTAAGAAGGATCGGCCCACGCAGATCTCTGTTTTCAGCTCGGCCAGCTTGTGCTGCACAGTCTGAGGGAAATAAACGGATGCAATGATGTTTAAAAACATCTAATTCCAATTCCAGTGCGGTGCATCTACTTACACGATAAACAACAACAAAAAAACAGACCTGGAGGTGAGCGATGGTCTTGCCGAAAGCTTTCCTCTGCATCACATAGTTCCTGGTTTCCTCAAACATAAACTCAGCGCTCGCTATAGCCATGTCGGCAATCAACAGACGCTCCTACAGACAAAATAAGTGATTATTTAACACAGACTGATACCTCAGAGAAGAACAGAGTATATCAGAAAGAAGTAAAGAATCAGCATGTAAACGACCTCTCTGCCCTAATATCAGAGTGAGTTCCTAATGTCCGTGTTTTCGAGGTATCACTGAATTACAATTAGGAATGGGTGCAATTTTTAGTGCAATTTACAAGACTACTGCCTTAAAGTTTGAGCTTAAGTGTTTTTTTAATTGATCACCCTGGAAATAAGTCAAATCTGTGCACACGGTCATCATAAACACAGTTTTCCTGAGTTATGACTCAAACAACAGGTGCAATTTTGGGTGCAATTTAAAAAAAAAATGCACCCTGAAGTTTGGGCTTGAGCATCTTTAATAATTGCACTGTTGTTTTATTATTGCACAAATATCGAGTGCAATTTTGAGTGCAATTTAGAAAAAGTTGTTCATCAAGGAAGTTTTTAGATTAATTAACTTTCGTAGATGTAGCCATCTTGTTTCTGCCTCCGATTTTGCTTTTTCCAACTTGGTAACTGAAACGCTGGTAACTCTGGTGTGACGTCATTTAGGACTTCTGACTTCTGAGGTAACTCAAACACAGCATTAGTCAAATCTGTACACACAGTCATCATTAACACAATTTTCCAGAGTTATGACTCAAACAACAGGTGCAATTTTGGGTGCAATTTTAAAAAAATGCACCCTGAAATTTCTGGTTTGTGTATCTTGAATAGTCTCACTGTTGTTATATTAACATTTGTTTTCAATATTTGTGCTTTCAAGTGTTGACTGGCTTATCGCACAAATATCCGATGCAATTTTGGGTGCAATTCACAAAAAGTCGTTCATTACCAAAGTTTCTAAATTTACCTTAGATTCCAGAAAAGAGGTAAAAAAAAAAAAAAACTTACTTGTTTAAAAAAAAATCCAAATGCAAATATTTAGTCACCTGAGGCAGCTCGTTCATCAGGTAGTAAAAACCTTTGTTGAGTTGTCCCAGGAGGGCGCTAGCTGGAAGGCGCACATCTTCGAAGAACAGCTCAGCTGTGTCCTGAAAGAAATCAAGAAAAACTGTAACCCCCCAAAAAAACGTTTCCCCAACATCGGCACTTTGCAGGACCCCCAGCAGACGTGCAGCTCCGTTACCTGCGCCTTCAAACCGATCTTCTCCAGCTTGCGCCCTTTGTGGAAGCCCTTCATGCCGTCCTCCACCAGGAACAGACTTATGCCGTGCGCTGCCGTTTTTGCCTCCCGATTCGTCACGGCAACCACCACAACGAGATCAGCCATCCAGCCGTTTGTGATGAACACCTGGAGAAGGAAAACGAAAAGAAATGTCAAGCTGACGCTGAGGTGCGATTTAACATTTCAACTTGAACATCTCAGCACCTTGTTGCCGTTGAGGATCCAGTCGCTGCCATCCTTCTTGGCGTTTGTCCTCACACCCTGAAGATCACTAAAATAACGAAAACGCATCATCAGAGCTACACGATGCTACAATCATGCTCTGTATTTTTTAACTGTAAGCTTAAAGTTTGAATCCTAACCTTCCTGCTCCGGGCTCCGTCATTGCAATCGCACTGATGCACTTCCCAGCAACCATCTGGGGAATGAAGCGATCGATCTGCTCCTTGCTGCCGTAGTTGACGAGGTAAGGCATGACGATCTCAGAGTGCAAGGAGAAACCGGGACCTGTGCAGTTGCAGTACATTCTGACACATACAGAACCCCAGTTAAGAAAAGTCCGATTTAAGAGTCTGATCATGTTTGTGATTTGAAACTCACTGCTCCTCCCATGTGACGGCAGCAGAAAACAGGTCTCCACCGATGCCGCCATGCTCTTCTGGGATCATAACTCCGAGGAGGCCTTGCTCGCCGGCTTTCTCCCACAACTCCCTGCTCACCTGACCCGCCTTCTCCCACCTGGAGATGTAATCGTCGGATTAACTCGCCGATAAAAAGCGTTGCATTCACTTTGGCTGTGTTTACTCATGTTTCGACTCACTCTTTGTGATATGGGACGACCTCCTCTTGAAAGAAGCGCCGCACGCTTTCTCTGAAGAGATCATGGTCCTCGTTGAAAATCCGGCGGGTCCCGATGTCCATCAGGGACTTGGCGCTGGAAGTCTCCGGACGTGGTGGGGTGGCATCCTGTCCGAGGGGCTGGGCCTGGCTGTGCTGTAGCCTGCAACGACAGTTTTAGAGGGTAAATAGACGCTTTTTTTCAGCGATGAGTGACTCGGGGATTTACTTTCAAAATAAACAGGTGAATATAGAAAGTTAAATATTGATCAAGAGGCCTGAATTGACAGAGAGACATTAAAAGTTTGAGTTGAATTATGCAACTCCAGTTAGAAAAAAGCTGGGACTGGGGGTTTATGTGAGTGGAAGAGTAACAAACCTTCTTCTTGGAAATGTCCCTTCAGGCGTTTGTCTGAGAGTGTTACACAACTTATTCAGTGTTTATTTTTCTTCCCTTTCATAACCTTTCAGAAATTTAAATGATAAAATTATGCTAAGCTGTTTAAAAAACAATAAAATGTAAATATAAATTCATTGTATAACCACAGGAGTACCATGAGACGCACATTTAAATGAAAAATATATCTTAAGTAAAATAGACCAATCTTTTTCTGAAATAAATTTATTTATATAAGAAAAGCATCAACATTTTGACAACTATAAACGGCTGATTAAAATTAAAATGCAGATTTTCTTCTCCTTTCTAACAAATCCACAGATGTAAAAGAATTAAATATGACAAACCCTAGTGAGGGCAGCATTTACACGTATAAAGACAGAACAAAATAAAGCGCTCAGTTTAAGAGGATTGTTTTTAAACATCATTTTGAGATTACCGATCTGTCTTTCTTATCTTCTTAACAGTCTCAACCAAGACTATAACCTCAGTAAACATTTCCCCCTCTTCTTTCTTTTGACTTTGATAAACAGAATCTGATATCTGTATATCCATATATGTGATATGGTTCAATTCCATATCTCATTTTAAAACATATCGATATATTTCTTATATCGAAATATCGCCCAGTCCTAGTCTCTGGGTAGCTTCAGGATTTCCTTTGACATCTTTGAAGGCATATTTGTTTTTTCCTACAGTGATAGAGGGTAAAGTAGGCTTGGGTGGATTTGATAGCTGTATGTAGGGAATAAGGTCCTGGAATTTGCACGTTATCTTTATTTAGCGCAGTGCTTATGAATAATTATCACAAAGTCACCACAAAGTGATTTTCAAGGGAATTTAAATGTTGAAAAGAAATATTTGAGTCATTTTTACTCACTCTAAATCTGCCATATTTTGGTTCTCTCTCAGGGATGACTCACAAGAAACTAAGTTAATATCTGTATGGAATTTTTGGTTCATTTCCATTTTGTTGCATTTTTATATGATCCCCTCATGGAACTTTTTTTCCTCCCTTTGGAAACTGCAAAGTAAAAAATAAAATTGAACTACTTTAATTTGTCATCTATTGTCCTATATTGATATATTTTGATGTTAAGGACTTTTTCTTGGGTTTATTATTTGGGGTAAAAATCACCGGATAGTGATAGTGATGGTGTTAGTCATTTTAGTGATAGTGTTCTAGGGTTAATAAAATTTGTTAAAACTCTTTCCAAGTTGTGTTTAACATAAATAAGATTTCTGATATGAAGTTGTTAACTTTGCTTTAATTTGTGTAGTTATGAGTCGAATTCATGAATGTTAGTTTTACCAAAGTTCAGTCAAACAAACAGTAAAGTTATACTCCGTCTGCTAATAGGTTTATTTAGTTGTACAGTAGTAGTTCCTTATGTAAGGGAAGTGTGTCAAAGGTCGTCTAGGGTTAAATCAACGGAGGTTATAATAGAAAAACACTTAAACCGACGGTTGACCACTGGCTCGACTAACCGCTCATCGACAAACGTTCGAGACTTCACAACGAAAATGTAATTTAGTCCTTATGTTTAAAACATTTCTCAGCCTCAAAGACAAACCACTCGACAAAACAGCGAATATTTTGATGTATTTTACCTCGCAGCAGCCGCAGACAGTACCTGTCCTCGTCCAAAGACGGTTCTCAGTCCCCAAAGACCCGTTTTTATCATCGTTGAAGCGAAAAACTGTGAGAAATAAACGAAGAGACAGGTCGAAGACAAACACTACAAAGATCCTCTAAACAAAAGTGAGTGAAGATGGGTTACTTTGTACCCAACCGCAGGCCTTACTTATGATGTAATCGATTTTTATTATATGAAAATGTTCAAAAAGGTATACATTGAAACTCCGTGTTCAATTATGTTGAATTTGTACTTTAATCTTTGAATAAAACTAAAAATTACCTCTATTTAGACAATAAAGATACTACGCCCCCAGAGGTTTCATCCTGGGCGACAGCAGCGGAGTGATACTTCGTGCTTATTTGCTCAGCGTTGACCCAGTTCTTCTTCCACGAAACGGTTATTAAAGGTATTTTTGCTCTCTACTGACACTCTCTGTAGAAATCAATAACTGCAGAAATAAGTGTAAACACACTTTTACCTTCAAACCTGTCAGAGAATTTTTTTTTTCCAGCAGAAAGCTTTAAAATAAAAATGAAAAAATAAAAATAAAAATCTAAAATAAAAAAGTAAAATAAAAAATTATATGAAATAAAAATATATTAAAAATATATGAAATAAAAATAAAATAAAATAAAAAACAAAAAAATTAAATAAATGTAAAATAAAATATAAAATAAAAAATGATATGAAATGAAAAATAAAAATTTAAATAAATATAAAATAAAATATTAGATATGAAATGAAAAATGATATAAAATACAAATAAAAGAAAACCTAAAATAAAAATTAAATTTAAATAAATGTAAAATAAAATATAAAATATAAAGTAAAAAACAAAAGAATGATGTAAAATAAAAATAAAATAAAATAAAATAAAATAAAATAGAAAAATAAAAAAAATATATATAAAGAATTAAAATAACCATAAAATAAAAAAAATGATGACTTGTTTAAAAAGTAAATAGCTTTTAGAGACATGTTAAGAGAGACAACAGACAATTGAGTTTCCCTTCAGGAATTAATAAAGGTCTTCTTTTTACATTTTTCTTTTGTCACTGGACCTACTGTGGTTAGAGCCCATGCAGTTTCTCATTACACCACAAAGGGGCGGACTCTCTTAACGTTACAACCTGTATGAGGTTACAAGAGTCTTGTACAGGGAATAATTCCTCTACTACATGTCTACAAGTTAAATTTAAAGTTCATACAGATTAAAGTTCAAACTTAAACACCATGTCTTGATAATTTGACGTATCTAAAGCACTCAGGTTATGTTTTAACACCTCAAACTAGATTTTCCGTCATAAAATACAAGGTTATTGCACTTTAGATTGGTATCTGACGCATGTGAGAAGAAGTAATGTGGACTCAATGTGCTCTTGTAGCCTGACTCAGTTAGAAAGTACAACTTACACCATTCAGCTGGAAAACAAAACGTGAGGGATAGAAATTATTTCTTATTTCATGTTTGCTTTAAGTATGACACTTTAAAGCTACTGTAAGATTTTGTTTACATTAAAAACTTAAATTGATGCCTTTTTATGATAAACAGAATAAAAAAAGACCATCAGGGACAAGATTCTTGATTTTTGTGTTGTGTTTTTTTAATGCCTGAAAGTTATGCGAGGGGGTAAGTGTCAGCTGAGCAGCTCAAGAAACTATTTTACACTAAAACAATTATAACAAATGATGCATTTGACTGTCAAAAGTCGACGGGATGAGATTTTTGCAAGACGACACTCTTCAGGTTTGCAGGCGGGGACCAAAACCACGGTGAGTTTTGCTGACTTGGCAACAAATTGGAATGGAAAGGGGGTCAAAGAGCAGAACTAACGGGCAAGCAAGAAGTCTAAGTTTGTCCTATGTTGCGTGGACTGACATCCGCCCCCTTCACAGCATTTACAAGCATAAAAAATGACAGAGTATGTTATATTTATCATTCTTGATGGTCATGTTATCATTTACCTCTCATAAAATGTGATCTTTTTTGTGTCTTTTTTGAAGTATTCGTGGCTGTATGCGAACAATGAGAGATCAAGTATCAACTCAGATGGGATGTAAGTTGGAAAAGTTTATTCTGACATGAACAGAGTGACAATAAATAAAACTTTTCAGGGGAGTGGGAGACTTTTGGCAGTCCATCCACAACCTTTCTCCAGCACCTTTGGCATTGCTGGGCCAGTGATGGCGTGACTGAATGAGGTGGCGGTGGGAAGGTTAGGGATCTACCCTCACTTGATGAGCGGTCACCCCTTCTCCCCCGTTCCTCACCCCATGCGGCAAGTGGAGACGTGCCCCGGGGGGGGGGAGTTGAGGCCGAGTGATGGTGGGATTCTACATTGGAGAGATGGTGATGACGTTGTCCCGAGATAGAGGAGGGATTGAGACGAAATGGAAAGGAAAACAAAATAAAACAACAAGATGGGTTCGCGTCAACATCCCTTGTACATAGTCCTTGTCTTTCCTTGGTTGGTCTTTGACAACAGTGTAGATGTCCTGAACACTGTCGGCTGTCTGTAGGTGAGCTACAGTTTCTTCAGCACTCCTACTGCTGGCCTCTTACACAGACATGATGTGCTTGACGAAAGCTGGAAGGAAAAAGAGACGGTATGTTAAAATATTCGTACGATCACCTGTATTTACTGTAAAAAAGACGACTAAAGACTTACCCTCATAGTGCACACTGCCGTTCTCATCCTCCTGGCCGGCCATGAGGGCATCAATCTCGGGCTCAGTCATCTTCTCTCCTGTGGTTTGACAAGTATCCATGTCAGGAGTCTGCTAGCATACCGCGCATGCTAAGCAAGCTATATTTGTACGCCTCTATATTTGGGGAAGGTGACTTGAGACTCACCCAGGGTGGACAGCACGATACGCAGCTCAGCGCCCATGACTGTGCCGTTGCCCTCCTTGTCGAAGACGCGCAGACCCTCAACGTAGTCGTCGTAGGTACCCTTGGGGAGGGCGTCGACCTCCTTCAGCATGGGCAGGAAAGCGTCGAAGTTGAGCCTCTTGTTGGCCATATCTGGGAAACATCACGAGAAGGGAGCGATAAATAACACTTTCCTCCAAGAGTAACAGAGTCTAGAACTTGAGGAGTCTTTTCTAGCGTTTTTGTGTTTTGAAGCTTTTACGTAAAGACCATTTCGAACTACTTTCGATAACCTTCGATAATATGACTTAGCTTAGTGTGCTAGCAAAGATTAGCTTGAGAGTGCTTTGCCTTTGCTTTGCTTACAAGTCTCCAACACCTAAATCGATCGAGACTCTTTTTTTCCCCTCTATGTTTTGAGTTTGTAGTTAGGCTCGGTTTCAGCATTTTTCTGTCTGTTTGCAATGGGGTCTTACCATCGGCGCTTGGGTTGCCCAGAATCTTGGTAACGTCCTTGTTGGTGGGGTTCTGGCCCAGAGCGCGCATGATGTCCGCCACCTGGTTGAAGGCCACCTGGCTGTCACCAACTCTGTCGAAGAGACCGAAAGCCTCCTTGAAGTCTGGAAAAGACAGAAGGAAAAGGAAGAGATAGAGTATTCATAACTCGGTCCTCTCATGAATTCAGAGTTTATGTTGAACCCTGCGCTCTAGAAAGGAATCCCTTTCATGCTGCCGTTGAAAAGTTATATTTGGGATCTAGTTTGACACTGATGCTCGCAGAACATTTGAGTCCTCCTTTGGGTTTTATTCTCTTTCTGTATCAGGGATCTAAGTCAGCTAAGAAAGCCAGTTGCTGTAGGATCAGAGTCAGCAGAAGCCGCATACTTCTGTCATTGTTCCCGGCTCACTGAAGGCGACAGCTGAACCCAACCGGCAGCAAAGAGGAAGGCCTGAACAAGGGTCTCTGTATCCTACCAGGAGGGGGGGGGCCGACTCAAAGTGACCTTTTTGGTGGATTAATGCTCTGGTGTGGCTTCCGAACAGCAGGAGCAGCTGTACCCCCCCTCTCTTTCTCTAAACCCCGCCCCCTTTTACTTGCATTTGGGGAGGAATTTCATGGTGCAAGCTGATACACCCCCGACAGAGTAACCCCTGCCATATAGAGGCATGACACCAAGACCCTGGTTGAGTTAAACATAAGAATGCTGACCGGGATGTAATCAGAACCACTTCTCGCACTGTAAACCGTGTCTGACTTATTTAACTCTCGAGGAATGTGCAGAAGTGGCACTTTTGCATTTTTGGGTGCATTTAAAGGCTGATTTTTATGCACTTTTAACACGCCAGATCTGGAACAACTCAGAACAAGCTTAAAAATGGTGTACCCATTGTACAACCAATGGGTGAAATTCCAATTACGTAACACAAGGAAAGCAAACTCTTTCAAATATTGGTGTGAAAATGGCGAAACACGCCCCCATTCAAAGATCTGGCGTCTTTCAGCGTTGGACAAAACCCTTGGAGATGGCGTTAAGGGAGTACAATTCGGCCTCCTCCAGTGAGGGGACGCGTCTTAAACCTTGACCTGGCAATTTACACCTCAGCTGTGCGAGGGCTGCAAGACAAGGCTAGGTCGGCTTAGAATAGACATTACTCAAATCCTTCACGACAGCTGCACAAGTCCATGGCGTGGCACGCACAGTGGGTGGGAGGATCTTGAGTCTGGAGCTGTCTTCATCCCTACTTCCACTTAATTTGGACTAAAGGTTTTAACTCTCTGATCTGTTTGTTTAGAGGACGGGGTTGTTGTGGGGGACTTTCTCTCTGTAAATATCACCCCCGCACGCCAAGATATTTGAGAGATTATGACCAATTATGATGTTTCTACACCTACCTTCAATCTGGTCCGCTGAGAACTCAGTCTGTCACGTGGAAATACAAAACAAAGCACATCAACAAACAGAGAAACACACAGAACACAGAGAAATGAATGAAAACACATGATTAATAAGCAGATTTAACACAGTTTCTGCAGATTTTCCTTAAAAACGTTGAATTTTTTAGCCCTAAATGTTTCAAAATTGACGTAATTCATGAGATATTTTAGACAAATTCCCTGTTTGTTAATATAAGCTTACACAGACTACAGTTAGAGATATGTTGATTTATTTCAAGGTGATAATCCAGGGTCAAAAGTAGTAAATATTAAGCTTGAATCTTAAATGAGCTTCTCAGTTGAGTATCTGAGTCTCTATCATGATTTCTGTGATGCCAACAATCAGCATTTTCGTGATTTATATCCAAATGTACGCCACAAACTTCGTCCCTGGATGCCGAAAAAAGTAACTCCATCCGTAACCGCCCCACCCAACAGGTCCAAGAGAAAAAAAACACAACTTTGTACACACCATTTTGGAGAGTTGGCGCTGCAGGAAAGAAAGGAGAAGAGAAGCTGGACTCCCGAGACAGAGTGGTCCTGAGCCATGGTTGGAGCCCCCCTCTTATTTATCCCGGGCCTGTGACGTCACGTATGCTAATGAGGCGGATCAGATGACAGGTTGGAACATCTTTAACTTTCTTAGGGCAAACGGAAAGGAGAGCTGCGCGCCCACGGAGCTGTGGGAGTAGGCCTTTAGAAGGGGACGGGGCTAAATTTAGACGGAGGAATAACTGTGTCAAGACTGCGAGGGGTTCAGTCTTCAGATTTAAGACCGACTTTAACTCATTAAGAGTCGCAAAACCACCTTAATTGATGGGATTTGAAGGCTCCGGTTCTGTGCAGAGGCGCACGGTTGACGTGTGAGTGAAAATGCAGAAACTTAGCAACCTAGTGGTCCACTTCAGAGGAGCTCCAGCCCCAGAGAGATCATTTACAAGCTGGTATTTTTAAACACTGCTCCTCCTCTTATGGTTAAATAACAGCAGGGCAAAAAAACAGCCTGAAAGTTGGTTCTCTTCAGGCAGGTTCTAGAAAACTCTGCGGTTTAGTCATTTCATCATTTTTTAACAGAGAGATCCTGCAAACTCAAATAAATCACTTCAAGTCTCTTTGATTTCCTGAGCTAAAACTGGAGGTATGTAGGTATTATGGCAGGTTATGTTGTCCAGAATTGAAGATGTAATTACACACTGAGTGGAGGTTCAGCTGCTGTAATAACCTTCTCATCTGTATTAGAGCTCTCCATGGTGCTGATAGCAGTATGAATAAAGGCTTTATTATTAAAGCGGTGTGTGCGTGGAAAGAAGAGTGCAACAGCTGCTGCGACAAAACAAAACACAAGTTTCTGAAGCTCATCAGTATTTACAGGAGCCGCCCCCTCCAAGAACAGGTTCAATACTTGTTCATTTGAAGATCTTACACAAACGTCTCTGTTTACATCAGAAAGTTTGCTTCTGTCACAAGATTTATCACACATTTTCACACATATTAACATAACTCAAGTTGCACTTTGTATACTTCTGCTTAAATGACTTTAAAACGGCCGATCAGTCACTGAAGAAAAAAAGAGGAACACCTGGAAAGGAGACTGGATGTGACAACTGTGAATCACTGATATGAAAAAAGAGTTTCATACGTCAAATATCACTCTTTTGACGAACATTTTCACTCTGATCACATGAACCCGTGTTTTTTGGGGGGCTGATTTCACCCTTTATTGACAGGACAGGGTGAAATATGCACCAAATGGTCAGGGCTGGACTCGTGTGCAGTTCGCGAATGATTTGTTCAAAAGAACCGACTCTTTTAAGTGAACATACTGAACAGAATCACTTCGTCGTTGAGTGATTCGGTTCGCTTCTCACTTTAATGCAGCTGCCATAGCACGCAGCATTGCCAGGTGAGCAGATGGCGAGCGAGGGACTTCACGCGCCGAAGCCTGAATCACTTGGTGAACGAATCATGCAGTGAACTCCACTCTCTGGAATCATTTTTGTTTGAGGGATACACTTATATGGCTGCTGTTCCCCGTTGTTTTAACAGATTTAGTAGGACACGGCATGTAACAAGTAGTGTATAAAACCCGCAGTTTGATTACGGACTACAGCGGGGTGTCGCAGATCAAGGAAGAACATTTATGATCATTACTTCATGGAAATACAATCAGACCGAGACGCTAAGACAGAAGAACTACCGCGTCTGAAGTGCAAAATGATTAACCCTCCTCCTGTGTTAGAGTCATTGCGGCGATTTGCGAGGGAACGGTGCATGCTCAGTGTAAACTCTTGACTGAATGTACTGTGGGGTAAACGTTCAGCGAACGAATCACTCACTGAGCCCAATTTACCGAGTAGACAACTAGCATACCAATGGGCAGTCCACTTAAAACCTCATGATTTATAAAGTTCACTTTTACAAACCTGTTTGTCAAAACGACACAAACACTCTTGTCTCCGTGATTTGGTGAACAAATCTTTTTAATGAACTGATTCTAGCGATTCAGTACATCTAAAAGAACTGCCGTGACCATCACGAGCCTCACATGAATCCTTTTAAACTGATCAAATAAACTGTTTTCTGATTTATTGATTTTATGCTGTTGGATTATCCAGGAACCCCTGGATGCTAAATTAGAAATCAATAAGTAACCATATTGACTCTGAATGGACATGTTTTCTCTCCTGTCTCTGAGTCGTGGTTTCACTCCACACCGGTGCAGAATTTGTTTGAATAAGAAGTCGTAAAGTCCATTTGGTAGTAAAAATAAAAAGTTTGTCTGCAAAGGCCATAAAGGTAAAAAAACATTTTGTACCTGACAAGTTTCGAAGGCTGCAGAGACGAGGTAGCTGAAACTTATCAGGTATAAAAACTAAAATATACGGTGAATCATCGTTCCAATATTATAGTCCCCATTTGTGGAACAGTTTCCCTGCAGACCTGAGAGCGACACCTACTGTTCGTGTTTTTAAAGGTAAAGACCAAAAGTTTTAGTCCGGCTTTTAGTTGAATTTTGTTTGAATCTTTTAATCTGCATGATGTGATTTTACCCTCTTTTAGGTGTAGAGTAACAATTTTGTGCTTTATTACCTCTTTTTTGATTTTCTTTCTTTGACTGTTTTATTTAATTGAATGTTAAAGTTTTATCACCTTTGTTATATTTTATCATGGTTTTTAGTCCCTGATCCAGTGTTTCCTCAGTCATCTGTGGCGAGTTGAAGAGTCGTCACCTGGTCTTTAGTGTGTGTGTGTAAGTGTGTGAGTGCTGTTTGTGTTGAATGGGGGTTGGGAGGGTGGGTGGGGTTTGATATTTGTATTTTTATTTATTTTATTTCATTATTTTTAATATCCTGCTTGAATGGACAACACTCATTATAAGTATGAAAAGTGCTTTAGAAATAAAGTCTGATTGATTGATGGATTGATTGGAAATGCTTCCTACCTTTTTGGCCTTTATGGACGAACCGTTTTATCAATTTAAGAAACCTCTTTTGTACAATTCTCTTACCCGTTGACTTCCATTGCAATATTTGGGAAGGCTCACCTAAGGCCAGTGCACTTCTAGAAATTAAGTTTTGATAAAAAAGGTAATAAAATCTTATTTTTATCATCAAGTACTGATGCAAATAGTAACAGACTAAATGCTTAAAGTTTTGATAGAATTTTTAATATTTATTTTTTGTCGTCGTGACTCAGAAGCTCCACATTTTCGTTCACTGGCGGCCCCGCTCAGAGACACTGTGTCCAGGATTATATAATTCACTTGTAGTGTGAGTAACTGCTCTTTGCTTGAATCCAGGGCTCAGTTGGTCTTGTCATCAGCTTTGTAACACGCTGCAGTCATGTCTGAGCGCCGAGGTAAAGCTCTGGAGGACATTTGTAAGACCCCAGACCCCACCCCGGGGGTAAAAGATGAGCTCTATTTTTACTCCCTATTCCTGCCGGAGGTGTTGGATTTCTTCTACGATGGGAGGTGGGGGTGGAGAAAATGAGCGCTCCTGCTCCTCAAGACTCCGCTACAGTAACCCCCCCATTCCTCACACACGCCCCCTCTCCCATGTCTCTCTCTCTTTGCGAACCAAGACCCCCCGCTGGCGTCAGGTTATAAAGAAGCATGGGCCGGGGGGCTTAAAAAAGAGCAGTGGCATTGTGTCGCTGCTTGGTTTTCAGAGGGGGTTACGTGAGCCTTATTTGGAATCGGGACCGGAGTGACTGAGCCAAGTGGCCCGTGGAGGGTTGGACGGAGGGTTTTGAGTCACTTGATGGAGGAAAATCTGAATTAGTTTGTAAATTTTCTGCTTAAAACTTTTATTTTTTATATTTTAACACCAAATCAGATCAAATTACTCACATTGTTTGGTTTTCTTCCCTAAAATTGACCCTTCTCAGACACTGACTGTCTCCTTATGTGCCCAAGTCCCCCCATTCACACACTCCCATACCTCTGCTGCCCCCTTGTGGCTCTTCTCTGAAGCTGCACCAGACCGATAAAAACAAAAGCAACAGCTGAACAAAGTCTCATGATTTATTGCTCAGACAGTGCAAAGGACAGGCCACAGTTTACACTCGGGGGGGTTAATCCTTTAACACATGACAGAGCTTGAACTGTAGTATATTTAGTGCAGTCTTTCTAGCTTTGTTGACCTTTCCTCATAAAGAAAACAGTAAAAACTAAAGCGCTCACTTTCAACAAAGACATAAACTAAAGTGCAACAAAAACAAATCACAAGTCAGTTTTCTGACGGCTTGAAACTGTTTGAACCTGCGTAAGAATCACATGCTGAACAACAGCTGAAGTTACAAGTAGCAAGAACGGCTCTCTCCTTTAAACACTTTTGAAGAACTGTTAAGATTTATCCGGTTAATAACGTGTGAGAGAGAGAAGGAAAATTATGGCACCGCATCCAAAGTGAGCGTCAGAACCCATCCCCAGATTGTCCTCTCGTCTTCTCTGTGAGCCTGTTTCTACACCTCGAAAGCGGGGAACCTCGACTTCAGCGGCTGCAGGAGGTCGGTGAGGAAGTAGATGGTGCCCGCCATGCCTGTAAGGACGGTAAGACGCAACAGATTCATCAAGTCTGTGAGAGACTGCGTGAACAAATGTAGAAAATGAAAGCAGAATTCTTAAAGGGATATTCCGGCATAAAATTAATTTAGGGTCAAAAACACTGCAACACCGAGTTAGACACCCCCTCGAGAGATGATTGTTGCCGACCGCTTTCTTCTCCAGTTATACCAACTTTAATAAAACAATACAGAGCGGTCTGAGGAGTCATAGACAAACCTCGACCAAAACGCCACTCTATCGCCACAAATAATGCTGATTTGTGGCTAAACACAACTCACCTACTCTCTTCCATCAGCCGCTTGTTTGTATGGAGATCTCAGGCCAGTCCATTATGGACTGTAGCGGAGTTTTGCAGCTCAAGGAAGAACATTTATGATCATTTCTTCATGGAAATGCAATCAGACGATAAGGCAGAAGAATTACGGCGTCTGCAGTACAAAATGATTAACCCTGCTCCTGTGTTAGGGTCTGCACTGACCGGGTTTTGTTTTGAAGTGTTTAAAAGAACCACTTAAATTTGCTTTTTTGCATCAAGACTTTTTGACTTTGTCAGGAACCTCTATTTCAACAAAATAAACATTAAAAAATTAAATTGACTAAATTGTAAAATTCTCTTAATTAAAATTCTCGACCCTAATACGACACGTGCCATAATTTTAACAATTGTAAAATTCTCTTGTTAAAATGATGGCACGTGTCGTATTAGGGTCGCTGTTGACCCGGTTAGATCAATATCTTATAATTAGAGCAAAGACTAAAATCATAAGTGCACTGTCAGGCCCCACACTGACAGTCAGATCCTCTGCCAATTATGAAAGATTTAGGAAATTCTCATTTTGCTGTGTTTTTTTCCTGCACAAAAAACAACGTCGGGCATGGAGATCAGTTCAGTATAGATGTCTGTGTGAGGGGTATACTGACAAAGAAAGGCCAAGAGGACCACACCAAAAAATATTACAAGCAATATTTTCATGGATAATAAAGCCGAACAAGGTAACCTAGAGATGAGAACCAAATTGGACGATAGAGAAATGTTTTTAGTGAAATTTACAGCTGATTTAAGACACGGGACAAAACCAACCCTTAACATGGTGGGTACGTAGTAAAAGCTAACACAGGAGGAAGGTTAATATGGTGATTATTACTGATCATAAATATTCTTCCTTGAGCTGCAACACTCCGCTGGAGTCCATAATGGACTGGCCTGAGGTCTCGCTACAAACAAACGGCTGCTGGAAGAGAGTAGGTGAGTTGTGTTTAGTCTCTTTGCCAAAGAAATTAGGCAAAGTTAAAAAGATGTTTGGTGGCTAGTACTATGTCTGTGACCCTATATGTCCTGTTGATGAAGTTAGGTGCAGTTCTGAGCATTATTTGTGGCTATAGAGTGGCGTTTGGGTTGAGGTTTGTTTATGGCTCCTCAGACCACTGTGTATTGCTATCGTGCGGTCGTTACTAAAGTTGGTATAACTAGAGAATCAAGCGGTCGGCAACAATCATCTCTTGACAGGGTGTCTAACTTGGTGTTGTGGTGTGTTTGACCCTAAATTAATTTTACGCCGGATTATCCCTTTAAGAAGCACTTTGAATCAGCGTCGGTCCTTTTTACCTTCAAACAGAGAGTAGGGGGTATCTGGCGTTCTGCATCCGTGTCTGCCGTAGTTCATGCACCAGTCTGCAAACTGCAGAGACACAAATAGAAACATAGAGTGAAGCAGTTTCGTAATAACATCTCCGTCTATCACAACAGTGAACTTTATTTAAGCCGCCTCGAGAGAACAGCGAGTAATGTCAACAGCGGCTATAAATTCTGCTCGGCTCGGTGAAATCCGAGCGTCTGTGGAGGACTCGCATTAGGACCACAATGTAGCGGCGACGCTCGGTAACAGAGCTCAGCCCAGACATCCGAGGAGTCCGTTTCCATCCGCTATGAATAGATGCGTATTAATGACGGTACATGTGGGAGCAGTGCCACCTGGAGGGAGTCCAGAGATGAGCGGCGGCGCTAATGGTTTCAGCGTGTGCGATCAGTTTTGATTGAAGTTTGGCACGAGGAGGAGGAGGACTGTGCGGCTGAGTGAATCTGACATGAAACTGTATCAATCATTCCTCTTTGAATAATAATGAAGTCGCTCTCACCAAACAGGCTCTGTAGAGATGTTTGGGGTCATGCGTGTGCCGGTACAGAGCCAGGAAGGCGTAGGCGTTCCCCGCCGCACCGTGACACAAACCATACCCTTTCTTCAGCAAGCCGTAATGCCACACCACCTCCCCGCACTGCAGGGCGTCGATCAGGTACCGAGCCTCTCCGAAGGCCTGGAGCAGAGGAGAATTAACACACAGTACTCTTATTTCACCACAAGATGGCACCATGACTCTAAAAACGAGGATGCAGTCTCATTCGTTGTGATCTAAAGGTCTGAACTCATCGTCTTGTTTACCTTGTGCGCCTGCAGCAGCATGTAGATCACCCCCGGGGCGCCGTGGCACCAGTGCACCAGCAGGTCCCGGTCATCCCCGATGCAGGGGGGGTAGTTTCCAGTGGGGAACTTGAGACGGCAGACGTGGTCCACGCTGGGCTTGACCAGCCTGAGCACCAAGTCCTCTGATTGGACGAACCCCGGCTGTGGTGAGGAGATTAAGAGCAGCAGGTAAATCCAGAGGTTCTTATTCAGAGTCTGAAGCTGCTCCGAATATGAAACAGAAACCGGTTTTACCTGCATGAGGAAGTAGTAGATTCCAGCCAGACCATGTGCAGCACCCACATACGGCTCCTGGTACCACTCGTACATCAGCGGGCTCTGGTTCTGGACCCTAAACTTCCTGCTTTGGTTCTCTCCGGATACCAGCACGGCATTGCTGATCTAAGGAGGGACAGGTCACACATCCGGCCTCATAAACACACTCGATTCGTACCAGAGGGAATCAATGGAGACATATTAGCGCAATCAGATAAGTATAAGTGGAAGAGTGAGCGAATTAGACCAGAAGATAATCAAGATTAGAGTCTGGAAGTGAGAGAGAGAGAGTTTCTCCTTTTTTATCCTGAACCTTCGATTCCTATTATGTCTGTTTTGAGGACATTTGTCATTTTTTTCATCTTTATTTTGAGCTGACAGTCACATTTTTAAAGATTGGGGCATCAGAGTTCTTATTTTTCTTCACATATACATGAAAATAAAAAAAACTCCATGTCACCCTCCTTCGTCCGCAAATCGGACAATAGACTTCCATTAAAAACACGTTTTTTGAGCGTGAGTTTACGGCACCATAACAACATATTACAAAAACACGTTTTTACTTTCCGACTTTGACACAACGGATCGAATCAGCGTAATCATGGTCATAATTTGGTTAGAGGTTGATAACCACTTATAAATGATTCATATCTTACATGTATCTTCAGATTTTATATAAAATTAATTTATTATGAACATATGAATTCGATTGCATTTTATTTGGCAGAGGACGAGGCTCCAGAAAAGGAGGTAAAATTGGCGTGGTTTTCTGCTCCAATACACTCAGCTGTTTAAACACTTGATCAACAAATATGACATGGCGCAAAAAAACTGGAATAAACAGGGTAATACATCGATTTTTTTTATTCATTACTTTTTTAATGATCAGGGCTGAAGTTGTTTAAGAGATTTGAGTAAAAAAAAGTTTGAAAAAATGTTTAAAAATGATTATTTTATCAACACTTACATGCATGTTCATTCGTTTTGGGAACAAAATAGGCTGGATGGAGATAAAATACGGAAATTGGTGCGAAAAAAAGGATTAAAATTTACCAAAATCGGTTTAACTTCTCATCATTGACATGGCCCAGACTATTTATCAAAAAATAAAAAAAGATCAATGTCATTTTATATGGGAAACATGGCAATTTTGTGTTTTTTACCATTAAAAATAACAGTGACATGGTGCACAAAAACTGGCATACAAAGGGTGATACTGAAGCTGTTTAGGAGATTTGAGTCGGAAAAAGTAGAAAAATGTTAAGAAATGATTATTTTATGAGTACTTATCTGCTGGATGGAGCTTAAAATGAACAGGAACCGAGGGTTAAATACACCCGATTCTTTTCCTGTGTCGCTCTCACCTGCTGGATGTACTGCAGTGGGATCCTGTCCTGCCCCATCTGCTGGTTGATGAAGACCAGAGCGTACAGATAACCCATCCTCCCGTAGAGCATCTCATCGGGGAGACCGCCAGAGCCTTCCACGACACTCGGGTAAAGCTGCAGCAGTCTGAGAGGGCGGTGAAAGCGAAAAGGAAAAGTTTATTCAAAAAATGTTGAAAAAGTGACACTTTTGCCTTCTCTAAAACTGACCTGTTGATGCACTCCTCGCTCTCCTGCACCCTCTGCAGGCGATAGAAGACCACAGCGGCCACAGCCAGAGGCCCAGCATCCCCACACAGGAAGGTGACGTCATGGCGTCTGGTCAAACACTTGAGGCTGCGGCTGACGTGCTCCAGAGCTTTCTGGAGGAGGAGGCCGTCCCCGAGGACTTTGTGGAGGTGTAAATAGAGCAAAGCAATGCCTGCGCAGACACAGATAAATACTCTTAGTAAGACAGCGAGCGCAGAGGTACGACAGCGCCCCGAGACATGGTCCAACTCCTCTTACACTGATTTCCAAAGACTGTTTTTGAGAGCCAAACTGGATGTAGCATAGACCTAATTTCACAATAAAAGCATGGATAAAAAACAACCTAAATATAAGAGTAAAATGTCAAAATAAAAGCATGAAAAACAGTGAATTTATCAGGTTATGTATTTTCTAAAGAAGTTTCTATCATGGGGCAGGTGATGCAGACTCAACATGACTTGAAACATCTTTAGAAATACTTAATAACAAGTAAGTAATACGTTTTTTTGTCCACTGTTTTCCATAAATATTGTAATATAATTGTTATTGTCCAAGCTACTGTCCATATATCTAAGTTTAAGCACCTAAAATCTAAATGTGTTGGTCATCTTACAATAAAAATATTTAAAATGCTGCTGTATTTAAGGGATTTTAAATCATGCTTGGCCTTAACAGCAAATGGGAATAAGTTAATATCAGTTTTGGGAATCTACTAGAGGCAGTCTCAGTTATTTTTAACATTTTAATATACAACCAGGAGTGAGATTGATTAAAAATCCTTAAATACCAACCAGAAAAGTGAGTGTTTCAGTCCAATCCTGATATCTAAGGCTGAATAAAACCCTCCCTTTTCTATATTAGTTCCATCTATTTGCTGAATTACCCTCTAATTGTGAGAATACAGAAGGACGTCCATGCACAATATGGTAAAATGCAGTGCAGGAAAAATTCAGTAGGGGAGAGTGGGGTAAGTTGAGCCACCCCTGTTTCTTGAAAATGGTAAAAGAAATCGATCATGTGACCAAATATTTAGGAGATGGGCATCAATTCATGGAGTGTTTGAAGGTTAGAAGCACATGGGTGAAGGGGTTAGACATTTATTTCACTCTGTAAAGTGAATTTAGTCCGTCATAAGTTTGATCATTTTAAATTTATTTTATACATCAATTCTGGTATCTATGAGCTCCAACATAAAAGTCCACCATTTTAGCTCAGAGGACTGATAAAGTCATCATAGTAGTTCTGGGGTAACTGAGAAAGTAAAGGAGTCTGATGAGAGGATCAGAGTTTCAGTTCAGATTGTTGAAATGTTTGACTTTTTCTTTTCAAAACTACAGCTGTGAATGTTCTGAATCACTTAAAGACATTTTCATGTTCAAATGACTTTGATGAGATTGGTCGTCCAATAACTGGAAGCCTGGCGGTTCGATTCCCCCCTATCCCAAGTCTGTCCGTTGTGACACTTAACCCACCTTGCTCCCAGTGTGTGTCCTCCACTGGTGTATGATTGTAAGTGTGTTGTGTCTGGTAGCCACGTTTCCGTCAGTCTGCCCCAGGACAGCTGTGACTACTAAGGTAGTTTACCAACATGAGGGTGTGACTGTGTGAGCGAATGAATGACGTACCAATGTAAAGCGCTTTGAGGGTCAGTGATAAAGCGCTTTATGAAATCTGATGAAAATGTTATCGTACCACTTGAATAGGGTATAACAAATAAAAATACAAATGAAAGTGAAGAAATGACTGTTATTTAGGGAGAGAAAAGGTGAGGGAGTGAGGGAGAGTTGGTGGGTGGTAGTAGGGATACGGCTCAACTTACCCCGCTCCTATGGTCAACTTACCCCGTACACGGGGTAAGTTGACCATAGAAGACCACTTTTTTTGGCATGCTGTATTATCAAGACAGTGATGTTTACACATATTCTGTTGGTTTGCAGGGATGCACAACATCTTGACACACATGCAGACACACAAGTTAGAGACAAAACTATGATTGACTTGATGGAGTGATCTGAAATATGAAAAATGGCTCATCTTACCCCACTCTCCCCTACATGTGCAGCCCCTGCTTGACACAAAGTCACCTCTCATTCAGGTGAGCAACTCCCCCCTCCCATAAGACCATATGCTGTCACTTATATGGGCAGTGTTGCCAGATTGGGCTGTTTTCTACCCTCTACGTCAGGTGGGGAAAAAATACATTAGGCTGCTTTTGTTGGAATCTGGAGAGTTTTTAAGATTGTGAAAACAGCTCAGAGGCAAGAAGAGGCGCTCTGTGTATTTTCGTTTGTTTCAAATTGTTCTGCAAGTAGTCCTCATACGGGTGATTTGTGATGTAAATAAATTTATTAGGCCTACATGGTTAAAGGTGCACCTTTTTACGTGCAGCAGTCATTATTACTAATCTGAGCCTGGCGCTAGGATGCCAGAGGTTCATCTTGCAGATTTACTGCGCTCTTGTTTGTTGCAATTAAACCTATTTATCATTTATGAGTGGTTATTTGATGCTATATGAAGCTCTGGATACTTACGAGCGTTTTCTATTGCATGTGGATTGGGCTGGTTTTTATCGGATTGGGCTGGAAACTGTCAATCTGATCGGGCAACACTGGTTATCTGCCTTTTTATATCGTGTTACTTCTGGTTTCAACTGTATGTGCAGCCCCACTCCTTGACACAGAGTCGCAGCTCATTCAGGTGGGCCAGGCCTCCCCCTCTCCCCTGCCCATAAGACCATATGCTGTCACTTATATGAGATGTTATGTCAGATGTGCAATAGTGTCATCACCTGCCCAGCCGGTGTAACCGGTGCAATCTCTCGGGTCAGCAGACATCAGCCCATTTTCCATGACAGCCAGAAGCTCACTGATCTTACCGGTGAGCCTCTGAGAAAACTCTAATGTGAGCTGCAGGTGCAGAAAAATCATCATTTATCGGGGTTACATCACTCACATGCACTTCAGCTGAAATATTCTCCAAGCATTACCTTCCCCTGGGAGTCAAAGAGAGCCATTGTGGACGCAGGGTTCCCATCATAGTCCTGATAGGGATTCCTCAAGGCTCTTGTGTCCATTTTCACAGATTTACTGCAGCACTGCGATTAATCTGGGTCACATAGAAAGCTGTGTTAGGAGGTGATAGGTAACATTAGGCGCAGAAGAAGCAGATAAATGACAAATAGGGATACAAAATGGGGCCGTATCGATCTTATAACAGCATTATAGACGCATAAACATCCACTACACCCCCTCACTCAAACTAATAGCTGCAGTAGCTTAGCTTCGGCTAAAGCTAACGGCTAACGACCGTTAGTGGACCTAGTGTCGCTAAACGATACATTAAAAATCAGAATATTGGATTAAACATAAAAAGGCAAGACAAGAAATACAACTTCGCATTTAAACGCTGATATTTACCTCTGCAAGAGCAGGACTGTTGTTGCAAACTCTTCGTCGTTATTGATGATCGAAGCGGAGCTTTGGCTAGCGCTACAGCCATCTGCTGCATCGGATGTATTACTGCACCCACAAAAAATAACAAAATAATTCAATTTAAAGGTAGGGTAGACAGAATTTTGTTTAAAAAGCATCGTTTTTGGGGTGTATATACAAAAAAGCTTTTAATATCAGTTAATAGCTAATGTTATTGATGACATTTGGTGATATAACAGTATTGCTGTGTTTTGTTATGTCTGTTTAGTCAACTCTCTGTGACTCTCCCGCCAAATGCGTTTAATGCTACTGGGCAAGCGGTGGAGTGCGTACAACGCTACTGCGCAATGTTGGTTTCAGGAAATGGAGAGAAGACGCAGAATTACCGGGAGCTTTTTGGCTTCAAATCGGTATACTGGTGGAAGGCAGAACCAAGTTGTCCATAGTGACGCTGCAGAAAATGCTGGCGGAAACAAGATGGCTACATCTACAAAAGTTATTTTGACCGAAGATAAGGCAAGCGCTAAAATAACTTTCTTAGATGTAGCCATCTTATTTCAAGCCTCTGATTTTGCTTTTTCACGACTTGGAAACTGAAACGCTGGGAACGCTCCAACATCTGACTTCTGAGGTAACTTGAACGCAGCATATATACAGTCTATGGGCACCGACCACGTCCTTGAATAATGTTAACGAGCCCAAACAAAGTTAGCGTGCTACAATATCAGACAGTAGAAACCAACCAGAATGTGCGGAAAATTGTCTGAATCCTCCTTTGGCCACGACTGCCAACACAAACAAGAAAATGAAGTAAATACCGGAGACTCTAGCAGAATAACGGGCGCTTTAAAAGGAGGTAGACCGGACAAGAGCTAAGATGCTACTGGCATCTACAGTAGCACCAATGCTGTTTACTTTCACATTCACTGGGCCCCATTTGTAATTATCTGAAGTATTTATCTGCATTATATCTGAATTTAATTGGAAGGATACCAGCGAGCAGGAGCGTCTGTTTGTGGGCGAATAAAGCAGGGGTTTTTAAGATTTTTCACCAAAACAAATGGAGAGATTTAGAGGATCTTTTGCACCAACAACCATAAGATGAATTCTTCTACAAATAGTACATGTGATGAGATTTCAGACAAACGAGTGAACCTTCTGGGTGCCATTAAGGCCTTGTATTGTATTGTACTGTAATTTCAGACATTAGCCTGCAGACATGAACATTTCCTCAGCTTTAAGGTATGATGCTTCTGACTAATCAACAAATAAACAAGCATAAATTCATGATCACAGGGTGCAGAGAAATTTATACACACTGGCTCCATGGAAACACCATGTGTCACCAATCTGCCGCTGACCTTCTACAAAGCCCAAAACAACGTGTCATTCCTGCAGATAGTGATGATAATTGGTGCAGTCATGGAGAAGAAGGGGCTGCTATTGATTGGCATGCTGCCGAGCCTCGCTGCTGGTGTTCCACATTCTCACTTAGTGCAGAAACGGGAGCTGCAGCAGCTCTGTAATCTCCCATTTTTGACTTTTTCTGCCCTGTGAACGGCTCAATGGGAAGAGAGAATACGACATTGTTGTGCCAGCGAGACATTTCACATTCCAAAAGCAGAGTGCAAAGGGATACGTCCTCTAAAAGGCTCCGACTGCTCCTCTCTCTCTTTATTAATATGCTTCCTTTTCTGCCTTTTCTCGTGTTTCATTCAGTATCTCTCTGGTGTCTGAGTCTTTCTGCTCCTCACTTTGTATAAAACATCAAAACCGAGTCCTAATTAATCCAGGCTTTGGACTAAATATGTTCGTCTCTCTGCAAAAGGGCTCCCACATGAGCACAGTCATGCTATCATCAAGACAACCTTTTGTGGGTAAAGGGATAAAAGCATAAGATACATTATTAATCGTGGAAGTCTTTCAACAGAGCAGAATGAAAATGTGTCTGTGGTGCAATTACAGAGTAGCTGTGCATGTCTTAAGCAATGTTCATGTGATCAATTTGGCTAGTTATTGCTGAGGGAAACAATAGCTATGCATGTCAAAAATTACTGCCACAGAGATTACGGAGCTGTGTGCACATGAATGGTGGGGGTATAAAGACAGAGGGGGTGTTACAATTAACACAGCAGACAAGATCGTTTGTTTGTTTGTTTGTTTGTTTGTTTGTTTGTTTGTTTGTTTGTTTGTTTGTTGTTTGTTTTCTTCCGCTTATCCGGGTCCAAGTTGTGGGGCAGCAGCTTCAGGAGGGAAGTCCAGATGGCCCTCACCCCAGCCACCTCCACCAGCTCCTGGGGGATTCCCAGGCACTCTGAGGCCAGGCGAGAGATATACCCCTCCACCTGGTCCTGGGTCAGCCACGAGGTCTTCTCCCAGTGGGACATGTCTGGAACACCTCTAAAGGGAGGCGTCCAGAAGGCATCCCAACAAGATGCCCGAGCCACCTCAGCTCTGTGTGCCTTACCCTATCTCTAAGGCTGAGCCCGGCCACCCTGCAGAGGAAACCCATTTCGGCCGCTTGTATCCGCGATCTTGTTCTTTCGGTAATTACCCGAAGTTCATGACCATAGGTGAGGGTTGGCACATAGATCGACCGGTAAATCAAGAGTTTTGCCTTTCAGTTTGAGTTTCAGCTCTTTCTTCACCACGACTGATCGGTAAAGCGTCCGCATCACTGTTGACGCTGCTCCGATCTGCCTGTCGATCTCCCGCTCCATCCTACCCTCACTTGGAACAAGATCCAGAGATACTTGAACTCTTCCTCTTGAGGCAGTACCTCCCCTACACTCTACCTTTTTCTGACTGAGGACCATGGCCTCAGACTTGGAGGTGCTGATTCGCATCCCAGCCCCTTCACACTCGGCCGCGAACCACCCCAGCAAGAGCTGAACATCATTCGCAGAAAGCAGCGACGCGATCCTCTGCCTGCCAAACTGGACACCCTCCACCCGCGGCTGCACCTAGAAATTCTGTCCATAACCGGTGACAAAGGGCAGCCCTGGCGGAGTCCAACTCTCACCGGAAACGAGTCCGACTTACAACCGGCTACATTGCCCAAGCTCGTGCTCCTTTGATAAAGGGACTGGACGGCCCTTAATAAGGAACCATCCACCCCGTACTTTAAGACAAGATAATGGATCAAATCTGCAGTTATGCATGTGTGCAATGAGCCAAAAAAACCCTCAGTTGGAGTAATTTGTGAGGATTCATGTAGATTTTATGAATTGATGTGGAAACATAAATGAACATGTCCTGAATGGCGATGGGAACAGCACACCCTCACAGGCCCTCTTAAAGGTGCACATGCTCTTAATGGGTACATGCTCCAACAGGGTGCATAATTTAACAAAGTATCTGCTCTCAATGGAAATAGGCCCTTATCATGAACATTGCATTAAACAGATGCATGCTTGGGGCGCTGATGGTCTAGCAGTCTTGATGCGCCTCATGTGCTGCATGTATTCCTCCACTCTTTACTTCCTTATTCAGCTGTCCTATCTAATTTAAACCAAAAATGACCCAAAACATCATTTAAAAAACACAATTTTAAAGGTGAGGCACTTTTACAGGGGAGGCAGTGAACTGTTGTTTACTGCTTACACTTCTAAGAGGATAGAGAGAAGTTACTCTAACCTTGAGGTGTGCAGTTTTCAACAATCAACTTCAAAAAACAAAAGTTTGAGTTGCTTATGCGCAGGATTTCGTGTCCCTTTTATGCTCCCGTGTTGATGACAGGTGTAACCTTGTCTTTGAAAAGTGCAAATGAAGCTGACAATTAGATTGGCCAAAACGCCGCAACTGCTGCAGTCATCACTGTCATGTTTTTTTTTCTCTCTCTCTCTCTCCGTTTACCTCTCTGCCTTTTTGTTTTGTTTGTGTCTAAACTCGATTATTTGCCTTCAGTCAGGGCAACTTGACTTCCTGTCATTTCCATATCAATTGACCGAGCTGCAGGTGAAGGCCAGTCATGCGGTACAGAGTGCGGAGCTTGTGCTCGCACACCCTGGGACTGTTTTACCTTGCCTTGAGGGACGGGAAATGGAAATGAGGCTCAAAATGCAAAAAGATTCAGGGGCAGACCTTCGGGCTTGATTAGAGCTCCTTTTTGAGAGACACATTATTGAACCGCGTCTGCCTCCCACCACGCCGCCGGGGAAAAAAATATTAATTAGAGGTGATATTGATCCTCATTTCTTCCTCACACAGGAAACATCCAAGCTCAAACCACCTCTTGCACACTGCTATCAAATCTAACTCTTAATCTTTCTTTATTATGAATGCAAAGGTAACTGTTCAGAATCAGACTTTAGCAGACAGTCAACATTACAATTCATGGACCCCACATCCTTTGACCAATCATGCACTGCAAATTATCTGGTTCTTACCAAGACGAAAAAACTTAGATTTAGATGAGTTAAATCATTTCTCTTAAGACTTATTTTCTTATTTTAAGAGTTCAACTTTACACTGTGGTCTTAAATAAAGCACAACCTTGTCTTTTTTGTCTCAAATAGGCAGGAAAACTTCAAATGAGGAAAATAACTGTTAAAATAAGTTATATTCCATCTTTCTTCCGAAGTCTCATCAAAAGAAATCTTGTTTTAAGATTCAGTAACAAACCCAAGTTGCTTGATTCAAGCAATTGTCACACAGAAAGCATTTAGAAAAAGAGTTTACTGCTTTGATGTCAAGCAATTGTTTGTAAAACTAGCACAGGGGGGCTGTAAAAGTTACATTTCGAGTAATCTGATCTTAGAACCAGTATTGTATGCTTATATTTAGTACATGCAGCTTATTTTGGGGGTTGTTAAAGTTAAATTTCAAGTAAACTGATCTTAAAACTAGTATTTTATACTTATTTTATGCTTATATTTAGTATATTTAACCTGTTTTTAGGGCTGTAAAAGTTAAATTTCAAGTAATCTGATCATAACGCCAGCATTTTATACTTAATTCTTACTTATATTTAGTATATTTCACCTGTCTAGGGCTGTAAAAGTTAAATTTTAAGTAATTTGATCTTAAGATCTGTATTTTATACCTATTTTATGCTTATTTAGCTTACTTTTGGGGCTGTAAAAGGTAAATTTTTAAGTACTCTGATCTTAAAATCGGCATTTTTGGCTTGCTTTAAGCCTTCTAAATACATTTGTAGACATGCTTATTTCTAGATTTAACTATCTTAATTTAAGAAATCTTGTCAAGTTAAAGTTTCTTGCTGCACGGTTCGATAATTTCACTTGTTTTTAGCACCTTTTCCCTCAGATTTAGTGTTTTCATCTTGTTTTCAGATCCCTCTTTTTTGCAGTGTAGAGAAGAGAGAGGCCAGTTTCAGCGTTAATGTCACCTTATATTAAGTCATGACTCTGCAGATCCGAAATGTAGAAGCTCTCTGTATGTGAAACACTTTGAATCCTTTTTTGTTTTGGTAGAAAAAGACAAAATAAAGTCATTCAAAACCTCTCACACACCTGCTCACGACACCTTAACCAAATCTGACAGCCTGACAAACCCAACCTTGGATCAATTCTGACTTCTTCGCCCCACAAACCCTCACCTCTCCCTGCCTCCCCCGTCCGCCTCCTCCATTACTCACTCCCATTCCCTCCTCCCTGTCAGCCTCCCCTTTCTGTCTCCCTCCCAGGCCTCCTTGATATTCATGCAGACAGCCGGCCTGCTGCTGGAGTGTGTGAACGCTGCCAGAGGAGAGTCTCAGCAGACTCCAAACTGTGGTGCACAAAGCCGAGCACTTGACCCGCAGTTGTAGCCTGAAGCATATATTCCTACTCCCTCTGCAGAGAGAAAAAAAGAACTCTTCATAGTCTGGATGGCCTGGTTACTGCTCCCTGCTGTCCTACGCTGTGTTTGGAGGACATGGGGGAATCAAACGGTTACTTCACCAGCGGAGTGTTTTACCAGGGGGTATCTTGAATATACAAGAGCAGAGACAGGATTTTGGCTTTGACTGAAGTCTGGTTTGGAAGTGTACTTGGCTTTCTTGGAGCAAGTTTTGTCAAATTTAATGGAGGTTTTTTATGTCAATTGGGTGGACATAATCCAGGAACCTCTGGATGATACTCTTACTGTGGTTTCACTTTGCTTAAAGGGATATTCCAACGTAAAATTAATTTAGCGTCAAACACCATAACACCAAGTTAGACACCATCACATTTCTTTAGCAAAGAGACTAAACACAACTCACCTACTCTCTTCCGGCAGCCGCTTGTTTGGAGCGAGACCTCAGGCCAGTCCATTACAGACTACAGCGGGGTGCCGCAGCTCAAGGAAGAACATTTATGATCATTTCTTTATCATTTCCTTGAAGTAATAATCATCATATAAATCATTTTACACTGCAGACGCGGTAGTTCGTCTGCTTTAGCGTCTCGGTCTGATTGTATTTCCCGAAGAAATGATCATAAATGTTCTTCCTTGGGCTGCGTCACCCCGCTGTAGACCGTAATGGACTCGCCCGAGTTCTTGCTATAGTGTGTAACCCTTTCAAAATATAAATATCCCTTTGAAATCTGTCAGAATAATAAATGAATCAATTTGATTTTTACCAAAAAAACATCAAAAGTGCCAAACGCTGCAGTTCTCATAATGTCCACTGGAGGCTGGCTATCAAAGTCCTTGCAGCCACATTTACACCCATTATAAAAAGCCCATCTTCACAGCAGAAACAGGAAGGTTGATTTTTTATTTCTCAAGACCGGAGGCTGCGACTTGCTTTTGCATAATTAGAAACTTGATTGACCGCTTGTCTCCCCTCGCGGCCTTTCTATTTGGAAATACATACATCAACGTTTGTTTCAATTTCACTGGTTGGCAGTGACAAACAGCTGCAAGGCTGTAACTCTTGAGTATAACTAACCTGGTAATTTGTCCTCATATCAGGTGATTCAGTCTTTTCAGAGATCTGTCTTTTGTAGTAAAAACATATTTTCTTCCAAAGTCTGGCCTGTAATTTTACCTCTGCTGATCACAGGTTTGGATTCAGCTCCCATTCAAGAGCTGACGCAGCAATTGCTGGCGTTTCCCTCCATTACCACCTCCAACAGAAGGAGTTATTTAAGATTGATTAAACCCCCAATTTGAAGATTATAAAAAAGGGAGAAAGGGGGGAAAGCATCCCGTCATTTCCAGCTTCTCTCCCCGGGTGGACGAGTCCATTTTGGCCCAACAGCTGAGATAAAGAACATTCTGGTTGCTGACACGCTGCCATGGTCCCATCTGTGGCCGCGCTAAAAATACTCGCAGTCTGGTGTGGTCGTACCAGTCGACTGTCTGGGAGAGTAAGAAAAAGAGAGAGAGGTGACAGACACAACCGAGAGTGGAAAAAAGAGCGAGAAAAGAGAGATGTCGAGCGGATATTAAGGCACGTAACCCCCATTAGCACACAGGAATAAATAAAGCTACATGTTAAAAGGTCATGTACTGTCAGTCAGTGAAGCAGTCCTGTAATAGAGGTGATTACTGTTTGAATAGACTGACTGTTGGGATTAAACTGGAGTTACGGGTCATTTAAGTACACCACATTAAAAACTTTATAACCATCTACTGAAAAATGCTTCCGTTTGTCTAAAAACAGGCATGACTCTGTAGTGCAAGTCGCTGCATCAGCTCAAAATCACTAGAACACAGTCGATTCTGTTAAAGAAGCATCTTTTTTGTGGAGTAAATACAAAAGAGCTTTTAATATCAGTCAATAGCTATTAGTCAGTGATGACATTTGATAATATAACGTCTGTTTTGTCAACGTTTTAAATTTTTTAAGTGGTCTGCTCTTTCTGACTGTAAACAAAGTCGTTCTCCGCCTCCCTCAATCTGATTGGTTGTGAGGCGGAAAATCTAGTTTTAAGAGAAAATGAACTTTTTCTTGATAAAATATTCCAGCTAATTTTGAGATAGAATGAACAGAAATAGAGTCGAAAAATGTTTTTCAATAAAATCCAGCGGAGCAACAAGATCATTCGTCTCATTTTAAGAGTAAGACATATGTACCACTTCTCAATTTAAGAATGCCATTAAACAACAGTTGTTTATTTATTTGTTTTATTAAGATTTCCATTGTAGGTCATCTAAACCTGACAGAACCTGCTGCCTCATCCATTATCTGACATATAAAGATGTCAGTAGGCTCGTCTGTACAAAAGACAACATAATACAACGACCAGATGAGAACGGCAAAACAACAAAGAACATGCTTTCTTACCACATGCTTGCTTGTGGAATAAAAAATATATATTTAATGAGAATGTTTTGGTATCTTGATTTAAGACAACGTCACTTATATTTGCTCTGCTGTTTTAAGAAATTATGTCTTATTTGAACTGCTGTCATGCTCATTAATAATCCTAGATTAAAGTATTTTTCATTTATTCAAGAGACTAAAATTCTAATTTTAAGTAACTTCATCTTCATTTTTCATCACTTGCTGTAGAAAAATGAGATAAATAGAAGATTTTCTGTCTAGTTTTCTAGATTCATTTGAGTTTGTCGGGGCCAATAAATTTGTTCTTTTAAGAATTCTCTATTTGATTGAATATAAGACTATTTTGCTTCTCTCTAGTAGGGCTGTTTTTGCAGTGAGGGGGAGTATTTACATTCATTCTTTCAATATGGATTGAAGCAAAGTGGAAAACTTTCTGACAGATCGATGTTTGACGTTCTTTTAGGAAAGCATGGACGCCCTATTCTCGAGGACGTATGAAGGCCAACAGCACGGGTAGTTTGGGTCTCATAGTTGATATTCCAACGGCGGACTCCAGTTTCACAGGATCCAGACAGGATCAGGACAAAGCAACTTACTCGGGGAACTGGATTATTTATGAGATTGAATTATAAGGAGCAAACAGTGTCCCATTAATATAGAATAAACTCCCCGACGCTCACCTTGTCGAAAGGGCAGATAAAACGATGGAAAAATGGAACTGCTGGTGGTGGATTTTGATTTGATCGAGTTTCACACGTTTACTTTTCTAAACTATAAAAAAACACCTTCTGTTTTATTCAGTTTAACTTGTAAAAGCCAAAAATCTGTTACGACTCTATTATCAGTGTCACAGTTTGCCTCAGATGAAATTGGAACTTGATTACAGCAGATTACACACACTTTTGAACCCCGCCTCCCACCTCTAACCAAAATTGAGTTATGAAAATTTGATCAGGGTCTTAATCTAAAAAGACGCCTGTCTTCTCTTGCACTTTAACAGCAATCTGCGAGGCGGGGAGGCGCGTAATCAAGGAGGCATTTATTGTGTGGATGGAAAGGAGCTGTGGCAGGATGGTGTTGTTTTCCCTGTCAACATCCTCATCATGGCTGTCGTGCTGCTTTGGGAAACGCGTCCTCTCGCCCACGCACGCTCAAAGGAATACGGTCAGAGTATAGTTATTAGTTAGGAGCGCATATTTAAGACAGCTGTGCATAATTAAAACCATGAAACGGTCCAAATCTTCTCAATAATCAGGGGAAAAAGGCCAAAACTGCAGTGATTCTTTGCTGCAGTTCTTTAACTCAACCACCAGGGGGAGTCCTTGTAATGAGATGGATCCACCTCCTCATGTTGTAGCACCTGCTAGCGCTCCAAGTTATTGGTTTCTTCATCATTCCCAGTGTGTGAAAATCAATTCCCTTCCTCCCCCCAAAATTTAAGCCTATTGTTTGCAAAGACAAAAACCTATTTATTTTTCCTTCTCTTTTCCTCCTCTTCATCCTCCTCTCTTCCTCCTCCTTCATTTGTTTTGGCCAAGCAATCTGCACCCCATGCACAGCCTCGCCTCTGCTCCCCCCCCACCCCAAATGCTTGATCCCCAGCAAAAGGGACTGTTTAGCTTTCCTAATTAGAGAGCAAATGCTAAGCACTCGCACAGCCTCCCTGAGTGGACTTAATAAACAGGCGCCTCATTAAAAGCAGGCTCTGCTCTGATTGTGCAGAGGCATGAGACCCCTGGTACCACCACCCCCTCCTCTCTTCTTACCTCCTCAGCAGCACCCATCCTAACATCACGACGCATGCCTGCTGTCCTCCATCAGTTTCCCTGCTCACTTGGCAACAAGATATTAGGGAAGGAATCGAAGCGAGGAGGCAAGCAAGAACTCTTCTATTGGAAACATCCGCTGCAAAAATGAAGAAACGAAAACAGTTATAAAGTTACGATGAGAAACAAGAGGGTTAAAAGGTCAAGACATGATGTTAGCCATGCTTGTACTATGAGTAACAAATACAGCTCTCTATGTTGCTAGCATCATCCGGAACGGCTACGAAAAAGGCCGTATCCACCGATCACAGCTGATAATCATTCAAGTTAACGTGTCAATTTCTCTAGACTATGTGGCTAGGGACAACTTGTTTTCGCGCGATTGCACGTGAATTGCGCGGGTTCTCTTGAGTTCTCGCAATTCCTGCGATCTGTAATCTGGTAGGAATTGGCGTACAGTGAAAATCGCTCCCGTTTCGGGTTTAAGCTGTTCCGGATGCGGTGAAAATTGAGGGTAATTCACTCAAAAAGTCCTAGAAATATCTTAAAGTGTGCCTAGAGTTGCACTGGACTAAGTAAAAATGACTTAAAAGCGGTTAAAATAAGACATTTTCTTACTTTAACAAACTTAAATGAGTGAATTTTTCTATAGATAAATAAAATAAAGCAATTCATGTCTGATTTTTGGTCAGTACCATCTTAAATCTCCTGTAAGCAACTTTCAGTTTGTGTCATGTTTGGCGCCCCCTGTGGACAAAGCAATTGTTGCTTATCTTGTCTTTTAAATAGAGATTTTTTTTTTTACTATTTTCTATATAATGCATATCTGTGAAACAACCTCCGAGTAAAAGGAAGACAACAACATCATTGAACTAACTTTAGATACACAGTACCAGCTCTTATTCTTTCATTCAACACAGCAGGTAGCAGGAAAAAAAGGATATGAAAGCGGCGTTGTGCTTTGAAACCTCGTTAGAGTCGGAAAATATATTGTTTTGCTTTATAAGGAGCATTTCTGAAATAATGAATGACAATGAGAACACTGAAACATTGAAACTGAAATAGAAAAGTTGTTAATAAATCTCATATTTCTGACGTTTCTGGTAGCTGAACTGACTTGTGCCGAGCTAAACAAACCTCCCTCATCTCTAAAGTCTGATGACACGATTGGGAGGCGGCGCACGATTCTAATAGCCTCTGTCTCCCCTCCTGCTCCTCCCCTGCCGGACTGAAATTCTTACCCCGCGGCGGGGGGGTCCGCTCAGACACTTAGGCTAACAGCCGCCTAACAGGTAGAACTACCCCGAAACCCCTCTGTGAGTTGGACCACATACTGAGCGCGACTCATCATTCAAAATCACATTAGACTGCAGCGCCTGAAAACACAAGAGTAAAGAGAGGAGGAGACATCAGAGGCTGTTTATTTGTGTTTTAACGTGATAATGAGATTCACAACCTATGGAAGACGGTTTCATGCTGAACAGCTACACAGGAGTTAAGACTGTGTCCTCATTTTTACCGCATGTTTTCATACAGCCGGTATTTATCTGTTATTAATTTTTTCACAACTGCCCATATCAGTCCACAAATCTGTTTGAGCTAACTCATTTGAAAAAGAAGTTCAATTCAACCCTTTCAGTAAGAAATTACATTTCAGTTAAGAAAGTAGTTCATGGCAACTCTTATAAAGGAAAAGTATATAAGGAGACATGACGTTAAGTCCTGTAGCGCAAAGTGACATGATGTAAAGTGACATGACAAAAAGTGACATGATGTAAAATGATGTGGTGTAAAGTGACCTGATGTTAGGTTCTGAGTAGTAAAGTGGCATGACATGACACAAAGTGGTATGAGGTAAAGTGACATGATGTGAAATAATGGAATGTAAAGTGAGGGTGCGTAGTGTCATAATGTAAAGTCTTGTGGTGTAAATTGATGTGATGAAAAATGATTCAATGTAAAGTGACCGAATGTAAAATGATTGAATGTAAAGTGACGTGATGTAATGTAAAGTTTCATGATGTAAAGTGACCTGACTTAACCTGAATAAATGTAAAGTGACATGATGTAATGTAAACATTCGTGATGGAAAGTGACGTGACTCAAAGTGACATGATGTAAAGTGACATGTTGTTAAGCAACACATTAAGTGAGATGCTGTAAAGTAACATGTAAAGTGATTAAAGTGGTTTAAAGTGATGTGAGGTAAAATAACATGATGTAAAATGATTAAATGTAAAGACACATGTTGTGATGTAAAGTTTCATGATGTAAAATGACATGACCTAAAATGATTAAATGTAAAGTGACGAGGCGTGATGTAAAGTTTGGTGCTGTAAAGTGATGCAACACAAAAAGATGTGATGTAAAGTGTCATGATGTGAAATGATTAGATGTAAAGCCACATGTTGATTAAATGTGATGTAAAGTTTGGTGATGTAAAGTGATGTAACACAAAAAGATGTGATGTAAAGTGTCATGATGTCAAATGATGAAATGTAAAGCCACATGTTGTGATTTAAAGTTACATGGTGTAAAAAGACGACGTGAAATGATTAAATGTATAGTGACGAGATGTTATGTAGAATCATTATGTAAAGTGAAGTGACTTAAAGTGATGTTATGTAAAGTGACATGACCTAAAATGATTAAATGTAAAGTGACGTGACGTCATGTAAAGTGATGTGATGTTTAGTGACATGTTTTAAAGTAACAAATGTAAAGTGACATGATGTAACGTAAACATTCGTGATGTAAAGTGACGTCATGCAATGACAAGTTTTCATGATGTAAAGTGATGGGATGTTAAGTGACATTTTGTAAAGTAAATGTTTAGTGACATGTTGTAAAGTAACACATTAAGCGACATGATTTAAAGTGACATTTTGTGAAGTAATGTGATGTAAAGTGATGTGTTTCCACTTTTGTCATTCTACTGTCGTGTGGTTAATAGATTTCTGTCACTACTCCAGTCTGCTCCATATTTTTTTCAGCGTTTTTTACTTACAGATTAGATTATTGATGCGCACATGCAAAATATTTGTCACTGTCTTGAAAGAAGTCTTTATTTTCTTGAAGGAAAAAGAAACGAGTCAATTTGCACATTTTACTGGCAGATATCTTTCACTTATTAAAAGCAGTTCAGGCTTTGATTTTTGCTCAGTTTCATCAAATAAGATGTCTCTCCGGACTCGCCATGTAAATGAGGCTTCTCCTGGAGTTAAATGAGATATTTTTGACTCCGAATGAGTCAAATACATTTAAGATTTGAGTTAATCTGTTTGTTTTTTCTTATCTCAGACCAGACATCTCCTCTGTGGGTCTTATCATTCAGCAGCAGCAGCAGCAGTGATGGTGGTGGTGGTGAGGCGTTTGTAACATAAATGTGTTTTTGAGGAAGCTCGTGCGTCCTGTTGCTGGTGTATGAATCACGCCGCGTTGCCATGCACACTGCCCTTTGCCTCCCCCTCTCCTCCATCCTCCATCCTCCATCCACGCTTAAATCCTTTGAAGCGCAGATGTGCGCTGACAGCGGTTATTTCTCATCACGCCGCGACGGTTTTATGTGTCACAAGCGTTCAATACACATCAGATAGAAGTGAGCAGGGTCATTATGAATCCCAACACCTCGGAGGCGCAGTGATCCCCGAACCTGCCGATACTGTCATGTTTTATACTCGTCCTGGCAGGGCTGGTGTGCGTACGCATGTGTGTGACCAGGGGAGGGTTCAGGGGGGTTACGGCCACCTGCTAGCGAGGCCTGGCGCTGGTTGATAGCTGGAGGGTCAGGGTTGTGGTTTTTGGCACATATGGCAAAAAAAAAGGGCGAGAACGGTGTGTCTGCACTTTCTAGGATTTTTTTGGGCCAAGTGAAAACTGAAATTGTGTCAAGCAAGTGAAAGAAAGAAGAAAATCATGATTGTGTGGAAATAAAACACATTTATGAATATTTACAAAACTATCTGGATGAAGCCGTTATTTAAAAAAAATGGAAAAACATAAGAAGACTTGTTTTAAACTCTACTTTCCATCAGCTCGACTCATTACCTCTTGTTTTTTTCATGTTCATCCCTCAACAGGTTTTTTAATCCTCTCCACCGTGCTCCTAACACTCCCTCAGCATGTCACTACACACTTAGTTTGATTCTTGGGCTCAGTGTTCATCCTCTACCGGTCCTTTCGCCTTCGAAAGTTGGACTTAAGAATAAAAAAACTATGAAAACTAACAGAAGAACGGAAGTTTACAGAACAAGTCAGAAGTTTTCTGAAGGCACTGCCGGCACAGCGACGGCTAATGTTAGTTTAATTTGTTTTTAGTGGTTTAATTTGATCATATTAGCATTCCTTTAATTTTTCAGATTGGGGAAATATGTTTTAAACTTGTTCTGAATATAACTTTTTGCCATATTATGGTAAAAAAAAATGCAGATATTTAGGGTTAAAAAGTAATTTAGAGAGAAGAGGTAATAAATGTACATGAAAAGTTCATAGCCAAGTATACAGAAAAAGCTTAAATAATCATATCTTTTAGTTTATCAATGTAAATGTCCTTTTTTTTTCTTTTTTAACATTATAATATGACTTTATTCTTGTAATATTATGACTTAGATGTCTTTTTCCCTTCTTTATTGTGGTCCTTATACCTGTTCATACCATAGATGGAGACCAAATTAATCAGATTCACTCTATAAAAGCTTGTCCATGCATTTATCTTATCAGACTCGACTACAGTAACAATTCCACCAGACAGCTCCAACTGATTCAGAATGCTGCTGCTCGAGTCCTGACTAAGACCAAGAAAGTAGATCATATCACCACAGTTCTCAGATCTTTACCCCGGCTTCCCGTCTGTCACAGGATTGATTTTAAGATACTATTGCTGGTTTTTAAAGCACTGAATGGTTCGGGACCAAAATACATTTCTGATCTGCTGGTACGTTAAGAACCATCCAGACCGCTCAGATCTTCAGAACTAAATGTGGAGAAGCAGCTTTTAGTTTTTATGCTCCTCATATCTGGAACAAACTCCCTGAAAACTGTAGGTCTGCATATGTTTGCCATGGCCTAT